TGTGCGGTACAGTTGTGTCCCACCAATGCGTCCCGTGGGACACAACACGCTTCAGAATACCGTGAAGCGCGAGTCTGTGCGGTACAGTTGTGTCCCGGCCAGACACAACACGCTTCAGAATACCGTGAAGCGCGAGTCTGTGCGCTACAGTTGTGTCCCGGCCAGACACAACACACTTCAGGATACCGTGAAGCGCGAGTCTGTGCGGTACAGTTGTGTCCAGGCCAGACACAACACGCTTCAGAATACCGTGAAGCGCGAGTCTGTGCGCTACAGTTGTGTCCCGGCCAGACACAACACATTTCAGGATACCGTGAAGCGCGAGTCTGTGCGCTACAGTTGTCCCGGCCAGACACAACACCCTTCAGGATACCGTGAAGCGCGAGTCTGTGCGGTACAGTTGTGTCCCGGCCAGACACAACACCCTTCAGGATACCGTGAAGCGCGAGTCTGTGCGGTACAGTTGTGTCCCGGCCAGACACAACACGCTTCAGAATACCGTGACGCGCGAGTCTGTGCGGTACAGTTGTGTCCCGGCCAGACACAACACCCTTCAGGATACCGTGAAGCGCGAGTCTGTGCGGTACAGTTGTGTCCCGGCCAGACACAACACGCTTCAGGATACCGTGAAGTGCGAGTCTGTGCGGTACAGTTGTGTCCCGGCCAGACACAACACCCTTCAGGATACCGTGAAGCGGATTTGCACTGCAGCTGGTAGCTCTGGAGAAAGACACATCAGTGTCTTTTGGCAACGGCGGCAACACTCCTCCACCAGGCAAACATCGAGGAGCAGACAGTCTGTGAACATGCACAAAAGAACAAGTGAGTGAGTAAGTTGTGTTTAACCTGATCTCTGTGTGTGCAAAGTGTCACGAAAGAATACCTATTTGACTTAGGGATATGGTCAGGACAAACACACTACTTGGAACAGTCAAACTTACAGCCATGGAAACTGGGGAAAAAAAATTAAAAAATTCCTAAATAGCAAAAGGCACCACTTCAGCCTTCGATTGATACATGTACCAAGTTTGGATAACAAAAGTTCAGTAGTCATCTTAGTTCTGCTTCCGAAATGACGCCTACCTGTTTCCATGAAAACGGATAAATCAAATTTTGAAAATTTTCTAAATAGCCAAAGGCACCACCCCAATATATGTACCAGGTTTGGATGAAAAATCATTCACAGTTTTTGAGTTGTGCTCTGGAAACAAAATGATTGTGGATTGGTTTGTTTGTTTGTTGTTTAACGCTGCACTCAGCAATATTCCAGCGATATGACTGATTATGGACTGAGGGAGAGACAGTCAAGGTCACATCTATCTCCCCGGTTTGTATGCACAGGGTAACAAATCAATAAACCTCTTTTCAACATCTCATTTCAGGCTATATTGGGCCACAGATGCAATCTCATTAAAATCATTAGTTCTAGCGGTAGCGAGAACTGAGGTCTGATTTTAATGAGATTGGCCACAGATGTTCAATCATTCGCTTGGAGTAACACCACAACTGTAGAAACATCTGTTAATTGTCATGCAGCATGTTTACCATCAAGTTTCAATGGACAGATATCATATATCTAGTGATTCATAATTATTCAGAAACATCTGCTGATGTCAGTTTGACTTTTTGTGATAATTTACATGTACTGCACATAAAAACAAGAAACTTTATGTGACAACTTATTGAAACAATGTTTCGGGGCTCTTTCTTGTCCCTTCATACATTCCAGTCTACTTAATGATCTTGCCCTGATAGGAAACAAACAATACAGAAGTTGTTATCCACAAAACACATGTTTCATGTCCTCATAACTTCTAAAAGCAAAGTAAGTCTTTGAGTGAGTGAGTGAGTATGATTTTACGCCGCTTTTAGCAATATTCCAGCAATATCACGGCGGGGGACACCAGAAATGGGCTTCACACATTGTACCCATGTCGGGAATCGAACCCGGGTCTTCGGCGTGACGAGCGAACGCTTAAACCACTAGGCTACCCGACCGCCCCTGTAAGTCTTTGAAGGTGTTGAACTATACATTTTAATTTCATAACGTTTGTTTGTTGTTCAAAGCCACACTGAGCAATATTCCAGCAAAATGACGCCGGTCTGTAAATAATTGAGTCTGGACCAGACAATCCAGTGATTGATATCATGAGCATTGAACTACGCAATTGGGATGCGATGACATGCACCAACCAAATCAGCAATCCCAACCACCCATCCTGTGAGTCGCCTCTTTCGCCAAGCATGGGTTGCTAAAGACCTATTCTAGCCCAGATCTTCACGGGCACAATTTCATAAGGTGAAATCTCAATAAAGATAAATAAAAAGGATTTATCTAGAACTGCTCAATTCGGTCCTATGTTTGCAGCAAATAACAGTAAAATTTCCAAATTTGAATTAGAAAATTCCCAATACTTCAGCATTTACAAATAGAGTCAAAAGAAGATGACAAATCCCCCAAGCCTCCAAAAATATTCGAAAGAGCAATTCATCTGACTGTTACTTTAAGTCCAACTTGATGAGAGGATTTCTATCTAATCTGTCTGTCCGTATACAAGAGTAGTTATTGAGCTATCAAAACAATACCATGGAATTGGGATTCAGAACTTTGTATTTCTATGTAAGGTACACACACACCGAAAGGAACAGAGCCAAAGTCAAACTTGTTGCCATGGAAATGGAAACAAATATAAATTCTAAGAATACCTAAATAGCAAAAGCCACCAGTTGACAATCTGGTCATTGTGTGTGCACAGTTTCAAGAAAGCATACCTGTTAGGTTTAGAGATATGGTCCGGATAAACACACCACTGTGATCACAGTCAAAGTCAAACTTGTTTCCATGGAAACAGGGAAAAAATCAAATTTTGAAAAATTCCTAAAAAGTAAAAGGCATCACTTCAGCCCTTGGTACCATGTACCAGGTTTGGATGTCAAGTCTTTCAGGGTTTTCAAGTTGTTCTCTGGAAACAAAATCCTCCATCCCATTTTGAGACTACATGTACATGTAAGTCCAAAATGTTTCCATGGAAATCGAGAAAAAAAATTGCTAATCTTCTGAAATTAGCAAAAGAAACCACTTAAGGATCTGTTGAAATATCTGCCAGTTTTTTGAGTAGTGCTCCAGAAACAAAACGATTATGGATGGACGAACAGGCTACAACTATATTCCCCTTAATAATATGAAGGGGAGATAATAATGGTTTCATGCAGAAATATTCATTAGCTGTAGAGATTTGGCGGGAAACAAATGCTACTTGTTTGAGACCAAGACCAAATTGTTTCCATGGAAGCACAAGAAATTTAAACAAGAGTCATACAAAGATGACATATCCCCCGACGTGGCATGTCGGTAAACTGTGTAGATTGGCAAGGAAATCTTTTTCCTTGATGCCAAAACCAGAAATATAATGAAGGTTATTAAATATTGGTTCATGTAGCTCACTTTCTGATGATCTCATGAAATTTTAATAACAATAACTTCGCAGATTCGCATATGAATAGCTCTGTAGTAGCCTCATGACACAAAGGCATAAAGAGAATGTACTAGGGATTGACAAAAAACAAAACAAACCTAAACATCTTGTTTCATTATATGTCAGGGGCTACAAATTAAAAAGATTAAAATCTACAAATAACAAACTGCACTACTAGTGAACATGATTGATATTTGCATAAAGTTTGGTGAATCTCTGTCGCATGGTTTAGAAGATATGCTCCAGACGAGGACATTACCCTAAGTTCATAGCAAAGGCACCACTATATAACCTGCTTGATAGGTGTAAAAACTTTTGAGAAGCTAAGTTGTATGGTTCGGCAAAACAAAATAAATATAAAATTCTAAAAATCTCTAAATAGCAAAAGGCACTACTACTGAGCCTGATTGTTAATTGTACCATGTTTTGTGAAGCTAGGTTGTACGGTTTAGGAAATATGCTCCAGACAAACAATGATTACATTATATGTCGGGGGGATAAAAAGTTAAAATTGAAAAAGATGAAAAGGCAATAGTTGAGCATGTGGTCATTGCACATGTATAGTTTCATGCAAAAATATTCATTACTTTGAGAGTTATGGCTTGGGAATGAAGCCTTGACATGTTGGAGACCAAATTGTTTCCATGGAAAATAACAAAATATAATTTAGAAATATTTCAAAATAGCAAAAGGCACCATGATGAGCAATGCATCTGCCAAGTTTCGTTGACAAATGTTTTAAAGGTTTTCAAGTTATGGCCCAGAAACAAACCCTACCCTCGTTTGAGACTAAGTCGAGATCATTTCCATGAAAATGTAAGAAATGTAATTTGGAAAAACATCAAAAGAGCAAACGGCATCAATTCAGCTTATGAGCAATGCATATGCGAAGTTTTGTTGAAAAATGTTGCAAGGTTTTCAAGTTATGGCTCGAAATAAGATGCTGACGCCAACACTAATGGAAACCGAGCCAAAAACAGTATGTCTCCCCTCCCTTCAGGGGGGACACATAACAAAATGAGTGTCAGCTTTTAACACTATACTAGTTATACCAAGGTGTGTCAGCTTAATGTGGGAGGGAAGTCGGAAGTGATGCAGGTCTCAGGTATTGACCACTTTGGTGAAACCCAAGAACAGGGTACAGTCCTGACTAACATAGAAACATCAGGGTACAGGGCTGACAAACCTAGAAACAGCAGGGTACAGGGCTGACAAACCTAGAAACAGCAGGGTACAGGGCTGACAAACCTAGAAACATCAGGGTACAGGGCTGACAAACCTAGAAACAGCAGGGTACAGGGCTGACAAACCTAGAAACATCAGGGTACAGGGCTGACAAACCTAGAAACATCAGGGTACAGGGCTGACTAACATAGAAACAGCAGGGTACAGGGCTGACAAACCTAGAAACAGCAGGGTACATAGAAACATAATCAGGGCAATAAGTTTTATAGGTTTCTGCACAGCGAACTGTGGCGCCTGAGACAATTTGACCACCCATGCCCCCACAACAACAAAGGCAAGTTTATTGTAAAAGACTTTATTCACAGCTCTCACAACAATGGTAAGGCTGAGGAGAGCATCAGTCATTGAGGTCCATCAGTAAATGGGATAGAAAAAACGACTATAAGGACGTGTGTTCAATAAGGTATACCATATTTTATTGTTTTAATCATGACTCTGCACATCAATGCTATCAACAATATACATGTATTGGGGATTGTAAACAAAACAGCTGATGGATTATTAAATTGTTTGATAGGTATTACTTAAAAGTTGACAGATGACAAAGTAGACACAATTTATGGATAACAACTTCATGAATACTGTCTTACTTGACAACGGCATAAAGATCTGTACCAAAACGTCGCCTTTACAGTATTAAAGAAGTCGTTATCCATAAATTGTGTCCACTTTGTGATGGATTTTTTTATGTGTATGTGTTTTAAAGATATTGCAGTTATCAATCATAGGAACATTAAAAGCTGAGGTGTTGGTTAAGTTTTTAAATTGAGATAGACAGACGAGTGTAAAACTCAATAAATGAGTGGAGCCTCATCTCCGAGTCTCGGATTTCAATGAAGGACAGCATAAAGGGCGATAAAAGTGAGACTATATATAAGTATAAAAATACAAAATTCAGTTTCACTAAAGTACAATAAAAAATACACGGCAAATGATTACAGCATCTTCAAGAAGAATGTGTACTTCATAAACCAGTTTTGAAGCATATTTCATTTTCCTGAATATGTTTGTCATATTTTCGTTTACTAAAAACTTGATCCCAGTTTTTAAAGAAAGTGGTGCTAATTTACTTAAATTTCAAGAAAATATCTTCGCAATTGCTTCATGATGTTTTCTGGCCTGTTTGATAAAGCGTTCTCATGTCTCAGTAACTGTTACGGTAACTTCATACTAGCCTCATTTTAAAGATTGAAAATGAAAAAGGCTCAGGAAGAAAATTCGAAGATTCAAAATTTTAATGTTAAACAATATCAATAAGGGCTACATATTTTCTTATTGTTTGAAATAATCCGGCTCTGGCTCAACTATAGCATTGATGTAGCTTTCCGACCCCAGTGGCGCCTGTGCTCTAGGATTGTGGCTCTGAACTTCTGAAACCTGTGAGATCTCTTCATGCTGAGAGATCTCCCCTGATAGTGGGCGATTCCATGATTCCTCATAGGGGTTCTGGGCTTGTTGCTCTCCTGAATGTCTTTGAACTGGAGTGATCTCCCCTGATAGTGGGCGATTCCATGATTCCTCATAGGGGTTCTGGGTTTGTTGCTCGCCTGAATGTCTTTGAACTGGAGTGGTCATCCCCTGATAATTAAAATGAGAAAATATTGGAATAGGCCCCTGGATTTTGCACAGGGTACAGATGGATAAAAGAATGCCAATTTCAGGCATAATTACAGGATCTGCACACAACACCTATTTTCAGAAAATGACAATATTTAGCCTTTCTCTTTCACCAGATGACCTGTGAAGATAAGGTTAGAATTGACCTTCAGCAACCAAGGATAGGGTGGTCAGGCTCGCTGACTTGGTTGATGCACGTCATCGAACCCCAACTGCGTGGATCGATGCTCATGATGTCAATCACTGGATTGTCTGGTCAAGACTCGATTATTTATAGACTGCCATCACATTGCTGGAATATTGCTGAGTGTGGCGTTAAACTTCAAACAAACAAACTTTCAACAGATGCAATAAACATGATAATTGACAACACTGCGTGAAAACCATATTTATCATCAACAGTGACAGTAATGGTATGGATTTCTGGAATTTCTCTCTAAATTATCGAAACCTTGCTGCTTGTTGCCCATGACAACACATAGTCTCCAATTATCATGACTCAGCAGAGATATGGAGTTTATATCACCGACATCCAGGTACCCTGGGTTGTTGGTCTCAACTGTGACTGACGACCCCGGTACCTGTGTCATTCCACTCACAGGCCACTGTCACGCATACTAATAACAGACTATATTTCCTTCATTTTCTGAGCCAATATGAAAACACAATAGGTACTCAAAGCTTAACTGAGTACAATCACAAAGAAAACACAAGAATCTTAAGTTTATAATTTCAGAATTCAGGAATTCATTTTGAAAACTGCTTGTTGCTTATGAGGCTTGTTGTTTTAATGTCATCAAGACAATTCTGGAAATATATTAAAGAAAAAAAAGAAACTAAAAAAAAAAGAGGTTTGAATTAAGCTTGTTTTGTTTGCAAATCTCGGAAACAAAACAAAAATGTCATGGCCAAAATCAAAGGTACTGTAAATCTTAAAATTAACGTGAGTGTGAATTAAATGCGAAAAACGCGAGTGGTCTTTGTTCGCATTAATGAAGCTTTGCATTTGTGTCTCCAAAAGCTTGATAACAATGTTAGAACCTACACCGAAACGTTGCTCCAAATTGTAATAAAGAAGTTGTTCATCCATAAATTCTTATCCTTACTCAGTGAACTGTTCCTGGTTCAATTATTTTATTGCCTTTGAACTTCCTTAATGCCAGTCAGCAGAATAAACATATAAACTGTGTGTTGTTTTTAGGAAAACACTATTTGTTATTGTGCTAATAAGCGGTGCTATTTGATGTTTGATTGGATTAAGGTAAGGGTATGCATCATTCCACTGAGGATGGGGTGGGGGAGTCGCAATAATTTTGAATCACATTTTGGGCTAGGGGTCAGCAGTCATATTAATTTGGAGATGCATCAATTTCAAGATTTACAGTTTATCGATATCTCCCTTCTTCGAGACAAGCAGAGTGGTGATTCCTTCCCTGAAGACAACATGTTCAGCACTACCTTGTGAAAAAAATTATATCTTGTTATTGAATTCGAAATAACGACTCAACAAGATTCACTGTAGATTGGACTGGTCCGTCTAGAAACAGGCCAAGCCTGATCTGATTCTAACATATTGCTAAACACTGACCGAGGGGACAAATCGGAATCTTCTCTGGTCGGAAGTGGTGGTAGGGTCCGGGCGTCCGCTGAAGATTACCCATGATGCACCTGAACCGGAACGTTGTCGGAATGGTTCATCCTAGATGGTAAAACAAGGCTTCTTAAAATCATGATCATGTAATATATTTAAAAAAAATGAAAAGCTTTGAAGAGGAAACAATATTCCCTCAATACAAATATTTTTTAATTCCACAAAACAAATTTCCTTTTCTGGAATGTTAGCTTATATACAAATCATCAAATAAGGGCTGTGATTACTGGTTTCTTGTCAAGCCCTTTTTCTCAACGAAAGAGAATATACATGGGGAAAACATTTTGTGTGATTTCTGCCAACCTGGCAGAAGAAGTAATGTTATAATTCCATCGAAGTAAATGCATGTAAAAACTCACCAAGGAACACTCATCTCCGTTGAAATCCTGCAACCAATAGTGTGTATGTTATTCCTCTCTTCAAAGACATTGTGAGTCTTTCTATCAAGCTTTAGTATTGATTGACAGTTAATGCCTTTAATTGAACGCAGTACCATATAGAGTATCTTCCCGAGGCAACAGAGTTAACTGACTATAAAAGTCCAGTTTCCACCCATTGCCGAACTTGGCTGGTACCTTATGGAGTTACATTTTGGCCGGACTTACGAGTCTATGCATAGCCCAATCAATATCTTGCCATGAAATCAAAATCCGGTTCGTAAACTGTCGTGTAGATTTCGGGCAATTGCAGGATTTGCAAAGCATGTGCACCACCAACTCGTTGTCAAGAGATATTTTCCAAATCTTTTCAAGTTTTTAATCAAGGTGCTCACGTGATTTAATGCATTTCGCAATGTAAGACCTGTTTTATCACAACATAGACCTTGATTATCGATCAGATTGTCTTGACTGGGCCCTGCTGTTTTGTTTGAAGCAAATGCAAGTGATACGAGAGCGGGAATCTGATTGGTCCATAGGAGAGGCATGGAAGGGACATAACTCGTAATAGCCACTGGTGGCGCTATGACTGGGCCCAGGAATTCCAGCCTAGTTCGGCAAGGAAGATGAGAGATGATATGAATCTCCTTATAATCAGATTTTAAATCCAATAAAATACTTCTCTTCACATAGAGGTGCCGGTATTACCAGTACACCACAATTTGAAATACAACTGATACGTATCACAATACGTTCGGAAATTACCGATAGATTGCATTTTCAAAGTTTACATTAGTGTAAAGATGAATTGAAATTATTCAATTCAGAGATTAGCAACTGATTACTTTCATCGAAAAAAAAACCCCAAACTATTTGTGACCATATTCTTGTATAAAATCGCTTTGTGACCAAAATAACATCCAACAAAATGTCATACAATGACAAAGTTGTCAAATATGTATGTGCGTGCGTGCGTGTGTGCGTGCGTGCATGCGTGTGGGATGTCCAACGTATGGGTCCTTTTCGGACTTCCACAAATTGAATGACGCAGGTTCATAAATTACAGATGAAAGAACGCAAAAAAATGAAACGTTTACATAACGGGTATTCGGGCAGCACTGCATTACCTCATAAGCCTTGTTGACAAAGGCTGTGGTTGTGTCCTTTCCTTCACTTGAGGTTTGGCTGCCTGCTCGGCCCTTCAGTCTCATGAAGAACCAGTTCCACTTCAGACGACTGAAAGATGAGTGAGTTCACAGCCAATTTGTACATTATTTTACCTATATCACTGCGAATATGGGATGCGAAAACACAATCATGTGTTTCAGGCACATTGAATTGCGATGTCTGAGTGAGTGAGTGAGTTGGGTTTAACGCCGCTTTTAACAGTATTCCAGTTATATCACGGCGTGTCAGCTTAATGTGGGAGGAAAGCCCGAAGTGATGCAGGTCTCAGACGTTTACTACTTTGGTGAAACCAACGAGCACGGGTATGGTGCTGACAAACCTAGAAACATAATTGGGGTGAACCGGGATTCGAACCCACAAACATTGGTTTCTGGCAAGCCCAAGGGACGCAACTCTGTACAGCGAATCGCGGTGCCTTGGGCGACTGGGCCACCCGTTCCCCCTGGGGTGTCATGGACGACTGGGACACCTGATGGTTAGGGAACATGTATCACTACGTCAGTTTTAACAAGAGGACAAAGTCATTGCTGCCCTGCAAAGGTAAATACTTGTGAATACATATATGAAACTTGCTGTCATGGAAACTAAAACAAATGGGTTTTTTTAAATCCCAAACTATCATAAGCTACCAGTTCAACATTTGACCTATCTTTGTGCCAAGTTTGGTGAAGAAATATTGTACATTTTTCCTGATTTGCTCTCACACAGATGGACAGATGGACTGACGGTGTCCATTTTAATTTCCCCTGGGGGATACCGCTTGTCAGCTTAATGTTGGACCAAGCAAAAGCGATGGCCCAAGCCTATTGACAATGTTGAATGAAGTAACTGCAGAGTTATTGATATAGCTTTTATGTTTTACGGATCCACAGACCTTCAAATAGAAAATTCTGAAAGAAAAAAATCTGAATAACACATTGTTTTTTTATCCCGCTTACGGTAAAGGTTAATTAAACAATGTATATATCCCAATGGATTTTCATATGATTACAAGTCAGATTTTAGATTTATAATATCAATAAGGACCAAAGCGAGGCTAAGATTTTAATTTTTTTTACCCACCTTTCCAAATCAAACTAATTGATGATTAAAAAAAACCTTTTAGACCAACTGACAGAAGTTTTCACTTTCAAAATCCGTAAACCCTCTAAAAAAAGGTCTGGTCTTCTGATATTAAGGAAATCAAAATTATCTTCTTTCAGAGTGGAAAACTCTTCATAAGTGCATCAATTGTTGAAGAACTTCCTCCGTCCATTAAACAGGAAGTTCAGTGGTTGTTATTCTGAGCACCGATCTACGCTGTCAGGGTAGATGCCACACAGTCAGCTGTGTCACACCTACAACCACCTGGGCCTCATGAGTTGCCTCTTACGACCAGCATGGCCCACTGGGGACCCATTCTGACACTGCCCCATGGAAATTCCAGGTTAGAATAGCTCCCCAACACTGGTCATTAGAAGCGACCACATGGATTGGTGGACCCGTGAAGATCCAAGGTAGAATAGGTCTTCAGGAACCCATGCTTGCCGTGAGAGGCAACTAATGGTATCGGGTGTTCAGGCTCGCTGACTTGGTTGATGCATGTTATCGATCCTAATTGTGTGGATCGATGCTCTTGATAGCAATCATTGGATTGTCTGGTCCAGACTCGATTATTTACAGACCGGCGTCATATAGCTGGAATATTGTTGAGTGCGGCGTTAAACAACAAACAAACAAACAAACATGGATTTGGTGGTCAGACTTGTTGACTGTGTGTCATCATTCCCAGACGGCATGGATCATTACTTGCAAAATCAATGACAGGATTGTCTGATCCAGACTTGGTTATTTACAGGCCGCTGTCATATAGCTGGTGTTAAACAACAAACACACAAACATTGTGATCCACTGAACGTACCCGCGTTTGACCATGAAGATGTACCATGCCAGGACCGAGATAATGACAAGCAGGATCACGGCCAGCACTATCAGCCCGATCATCCACGACTCCAGGCCGTCACAGTTGGGCTTGTTTTCCGGACATGCGCAGAAGTATCTGTTGACATCGTTGTAGCAGGTGTACGGCCAACTGCATGGGCCGCTGCTGCACTCGTTCACATCCAGCTCACATCGACTACCAGTCCAGCCAGGTGCACATGCACAGGTGTAGAAGCGGTCAAAGTTTTCGGCCCTTCGTTGGTCAGTGCATGTGTACAGGCTCTCGTTTCTGCCTGAAGTCAGATGATAAAGAGTGTTAATGAATCGTCACATCACTTTTAAAATGTTGGGGTAAAGAAAATAATAGTCTTGGTTGTCAGGCGCCCCCCGCATCATTATAAAGTACTCAGCACTTTTCGTTTTTATTTCCATTTTTGAAAAAAACATTTTATAAAAACTAATACTTATAAACAATGCAATCCAATGTAGCATGCAGTTACTTCCCTTTACATGTGCACTGCTTTACTGCGTTATGGTCATGGTGGCAATAGGTGAGATGAGGTGAAATGGGGTTTAACGTTGCGTCCAAGATTATTGCACTTATATAGCGACGTGCATGTACGTGTATGTATTTGTGTGGCTGCTTGTACTAGTCCAGACTGATGCCGATTTATAGTGCTAGCTCACTGAGATACCATGCCGCAGTTTAACATGAATACCCCACTCAGACACTCCAAGCCGACCAGTCCTTGTTTTAGCATTTTTTAACGTCTTTTGGTATGACGCGGCAGGGGATCGAACTCCGGACCTTCCGCTCTCTGGGCGGACGCTCTACCACAAGGCCACGGAGGCGGTCTGGCGGCAATAGGAGTTTGTATGCTTGTGAATGTAGGGAGGTCCTTTCCCAGGTTGATGGTACACAACTGTTTATTTGGTTACATACAAGTTTGAACAAGAAAAAGAAAACACCGCCCGTACTATATTTTAAAAAATCAATGCCCGAGAACCAATTCTTTTATTTTTTAAGCCTTATAGGTCACCTGATTTTTTCATGTGTAGTTTATCTGTCATGCCAACATAAATTGAAACCTCACTTATCCAGATGGTGCTTTTCCTTGGAAAACATCCAGGTTAACTGAACCTGATCGCAATTTTTACCTATATTTCCACACCGGCATATCTAAGTCTCAAGGGTATCTTCAAAGCGGAAACAAGACTCAACATGCAAACTCAATTCTGGCAAGGTGGGCTTACTGAGAATGTTCTGTTGTTCTGGCAAGGTGGGCTTACTGAGAATGTTCTGTTGTTCTTGCAAGGTGGGCTTACTGAGAATGTTCTGTTGTTCTTGCAAGGTGGGCTTACTGAGAATGTTCTGTTGTTCTTGCAAGGTGGGCTTACTGAGAATGTTCTGTTGTTCTTGCAAGGTGGGCTTACTGAGAATGTTCTGTTGTTCTGGAAAGGTGGGCTTACTGAGAATGTTCTGGAAAGGTGGACTTACTGAGAATGTTCTGTTCTGGAAAGCTGGACTTACTGAGAATGTTCTGTTGTTCTGGCAAAGTTGACTTACTGAGAATGTTCCATCATTCTGGCAAGGTGGACTAACTGAGAATGTTCTGTTGTTCTGGCAAGGTGGACTTACTGAGAATGTTCTGTTGTTCTGGCAAGGTCGACTTACTGAGAATGTTCTGTTGTTCTGGCAAGTTGGACTTACTGAGAATGTTCTGTTGTTCTTGCAAGGTGGGCTTACTGAGAATGTTCTGTTGTTCTGGCAAGGTGGACTTACTTGAGCATGTTCCATCATTCTGGCAAGGCCTCGCCATGACGGCAAATTTGACTGTGACGACATCGGAGTAGACCCCTCCCTTGTCCTGAGTGTACATCCGGACCTCGTCGTAACCAGTGTAGCCTGTCTCTGGGATGTACTGGAACGTTCTGTAGATCCAGTTGATGGCGTCGGGGGCGTGAGGGAGAGACAAGTTGGAACAAAGGATGCCAGCCTGGAAGAAATGTTGTGGCATGGAATATTGATGGTCACATAAGCAAAACAGTCCTCTTATCTAAACAATGTATAGGTGAGGGGAGATTAGTGAAATGGCGTTTAATGTTGAGTTCGAGATGTTTGCACTTATACTGCGATGTGCATGCATGTGTGTGTCTGTGTGTGCATGTGTGTGTCTGTGTGTGGATGCTTGTACTAGTCCAGACTTATGATAGTTTTATAATGCCAACCCACTGAGATACCATGCCACAGGTAACATGAGAGACAGTACACACACCGAGGCGTCAAATTCTTGTTTTATCCCCTTAATGCCAAGCAACGGGCAGGGAAACGACAAGTACCATCTTTTAACATGTTCTGTTATGATGCTGCCACAAGATCGGACCACCAACCTTCCACTCTCCAGGCAGAAATTCCATCCACTAGAGGTGAGGTGAGGTGAAATTGGGTTTAACGTCGCGTCAAAGATTATTGCACTTATATAGCGATGTGCATGTACGTGTATGTGTTTATGTGGCTGCTTGTACTAGTCCGGACTGATGCCGATTTATAGTACTAGCACACTGAGATACGATGCCGCAGTTTAACATGAATACCCCACTCAGACACAGTATACTGACTCCAAGCCGACCAGTCCTTGTTTTAAAAAGCCCCTTAATGCCGAGCGCCAGGCAGGGTAAGAACAAGTACCATCTTTTAACGTCTTTTGGTATGACGCGGCTGGGGATCAAACCCCGGACCTTCCGCTGTCGGACGCTCTACCACTAGACCACGGAGGCGGTCCCCATCCACTAGACCATGGAGGGGGTCCCCATCCACTAGACCACGGAGGCGGTCCCCATCCACTAGACCACGGAGGCGGTCCCCATCCACTAGACCGCGGAGGCGGTCTCCTAGCACTAGACCACGGAGGCTGTCTCCATCCACTCGACCACGGAGGGGGTCAACAACATATTGTGTTTCCATATGTATCATAGAATATAATAATTGAATATGTGAGCATAATACATGTTCTTTCCTTGCTGTGATTCAAATAAAACATTTTCCATTCGTGATACTTTATATAATATATACAATACAGATATACAAAAGGGCAATTATTTCCTTATCATTGTGATTCTGTAAATGAAAATGGCTGCAAGACATTAGGCATGGAAGCATGAATGGAGTGGTTCCCTGAAGTGAGATGCTAGCGATGTATTCAGTTTCTAAAGATATTCAGTTATTCAATAATTTGTTAAACGATCTCTACAATGGCCCATAAGGGACATGGAGTCTGTTTTTCCATATTTTGATATCGTGGCTGTACATAACCAAGCCTTGGCCAGGCAATCCAGTCGTTTCCTACACGAACCAACATCCAGATCTGACACTGTAACCACCCGATCCTCACTGCACGATTTAAGCCTATTCCATGGTGGAATCCCGCAGCGGCCAACCATCTGCATATCAATGTCCTTACCGTCTTTGCGGAGCAGTTTGGCACCAGTGCTGACACCTCATCAAACACAAGGGTCCCATTGCCAGGTTGGGTGAAGTACAGGGTCAAATTCTCAGCGGGGTCCACATCGTAAGCTCCGAACACCCACTTGTAGGTGATGGAGCTGTCGTTGACTAGGTTCTGTTCAATTAGCGTCTGAAAATAGGAAGACGTACATAGCATTTTTTCTCTGATTGTATTAGTTGAAAGATATTAACAATCATGACATAATTACAGATAGCAATACTATATCACACAATATATGAACAGATAGCCAGTAAAGAAATTAAAATAATTACCGTGATAAACTGAAATGCAAATGTTTGATTTGTTTCTTGTTTGAAAGCTAGACTCAGAAATATTCCAGCTATATGACAGCGGCCTGTGTGCGTGTGCGTGTGCGTGTGCGTGTGCTTGTTATCGTCCAGACTGATGCCGATTTATAGTGCTAGCCCACTGAGATACCATGCTGCAGTTTAACATGAATACCCCACTCAGACACAGTATAATGACTCCGAGCCAACCAGTCCTTGTTTTAGCCCCTTAATGCTGAGCGCCAGACAGGGTTACAAAAAGTACCATCTTTTAATGTCTTTTGGTTTAATGTGTCCGGGGGTCAAACCCCGGACCTACCGCTCTCCGGGCGGACGCTCTACCACAAGACCACAGAGGAGGTTCTTCGGGTCAGTATAACTTACGATCAACTAAGTCACCGAACCAGACGATGCGATCCATTACAACCTCGTACCACAAGCATAGCTTCCTGTGGACCACTTCTAACCCAGAATCCCCCACACATTGTAAACATCCAATCCACATGATCATAACCCAGCTCTTACGACAAGCGTAAGTCGCGGGGACCTAGAATCCCCGAAAGGTGGTGGGTAGGCATCTCGTGTACACCGTGACGCGCTCTACAATCCCCACGGGCCACACATTGTAATTATCCAATCCACATGATCATAACCCAGTTCTTACGACAAGCGTAAGTCGCGCGGACCTAGAATCCCGAAAGGTGGTGGGTAGGCATCTCGTGTACACCGTGACTCGCTCTACAATCCCCACGGGGCCACACATTGTAATTATCCAATCCACATGATCATAACCCAGCTCTTACGACAAGCGTAAGTCGCGGGGACCTAGAATCCCCGAAAGGTGGTGGGTGGGCATCTCGTGTACACCGTGACTCGCTCTACATTCACCCACCATGATAGGCGCTGTTGGGTCAGCAGGAACAAGGCTAACTCCTCCACTGAAGGCAAACACACTGGGAGCGTCATTGTCTGCTGTGACCTGGATGGTGATGATGGCGTTGGTGGAGGCGGGAGAGATGTCCACGACGTCCACCTCGTAAAGAATGACCGGAACATCAAAGGTTCCATAGTAGTTCAAGGCCGGGGTGAAGGTCAAGCTGGAAGGTACAGTGAGATATTACTATTCGACTCATCAGATACATGTCAGCTATTCACACAACAAATGAATAATTCCATGATTCCAAGGACTTTAATTGGCTAACAAAGCAATTGTTTTTGCATCTGTTTCCATCAACCAAAAAAGGTTAGGCCACACCCACTTATGGACTACCGTTTCCTGATTGGCCGATAATAGAATGTTCAGGGCTTGGATTGCTATGAGCGAATGCTTTAACCACTAAGCTACCCAACTGCCCCCACTAGCTTAAGCTAAACTGTAGAGATTCGGAGTACTTAAAATCGGTTTGTGCACTTTACATAAAACTGTTTTGCGGATTTACGAAGTAAATTCCTAAAAAAACTACATACTATCATCATCTTTCATCAGAAATATTTGGAACTGAAAACTGCTTCATTTACAACACCACCATCCCCCTACTCACAATCCATTGGGTGTCAGGGTCAGGTCCCTGGTGCTGGCCACATCTGATGATGGGTTGATCTTGAACTTCACCGTGTCCCCATCAGGATCGACGGCAGACAGCTGGTAGATCAGGGTGCCTAGAATAGAAGGTCATAAATCTTGTCAATATTTTCATATCTAAAGATACACAAATTTGTTTAGGACTATCAAACTGTTATTGGTACCTTTACATGATAACAAATGAATATTTACAACACGCCAAATCTATACTCTTGAAGCAGACTTAAAACGTCAGATCATTACCCTGGTCAATGGATCCAGGGGTAGATTTAACAACAAATTTGGATGCAGCCAGCAGGGCTTGCTCCTTTTAAAAGTTACTGGCCCTTCTCCAAACTAACTGGCCTACAACCAAATGGCGGAGGCCGCAAAGTGCAACCCTGAGGTCGGGTAGCCACCTAGCAGAGCTCTGAAAATTTTAGAACTGCTCACGCCCTAAAATGTTTTTTCCTGCACTCTGAGATTAAATCTTTATGAGCAAATAAAGAAGTTGTTGTACACAACATTGCGAAATGGCAGCTGGTTGTCATTCTCCCGAGACGATCCAATTTTAAAGATTCAACATACACAGGAAGTGGTGAAATTTTGACTAGACAGACAGGCCATCTACTAAACTCTTCAGCAAACCTTTGTGATTCTCCCTGGCCACGGGCCAATGGGCCACTGGGGATCACACAAATTTCATTTTCAGCTCCCTAGGTAGTACAGAACCCAAGCCTTACATGGCGCTAGTAGGTCAACAGTCACATTACTAATCCTACCGGGTACCCATTCTTAGCTGGGTGAACAGAGGCATTGTCCCTGCAATATTCATCAATTCAGATAATCACTTCAGTAACACCTCTGTCATATAACTGTTTGGTTGAGATGAGTTATACCCCTTGTTTTTAGCAATACCATGCACAATTCTCATTTCTTTCCAAATATTCATTTATTTGTCGTTAATTAAAATAATTAGTCAAGTCAATAGAAGGAGGATGTCTCTCATTTTTGATTTAAGAATTGACCATATGTTTCCAGTAAAACTTTCCTTAAACCGTGTCAGCATGAAGATTTCCTTGAACAAAAAGCATACCAGAATCTTCCTCCATTGACACCAAGGTTGTGGAGGTCAGTTGCGGTGGGTCGTTAGGTATGGACGCACGGACATTGGTCACTACGAAGTGTGTTTCATGACTGAAGAAAGTGTCACCAGATGACACAGACCGGCGGCGCCTGGCGCTGCTGGTGGATTTGGTTGTTCGAGTATTGCAAACCTGAACAAAAAATTGAAAGATTTAGAAATAGTCAAACCGGCACTGTAGCTTACCTGGTTGTGTTGTCAACAGTTAAACTGTCAACAAAGACAGACACTCAAACAAGTTACGTCAGCATTCATATTAGAAAAACCTTCTGCATAAATACTGAGACAAATAAAGAATGTAATGATTTGAGTGAGTGTGTTGTGTTTAACATCACTTTGAACATTATCATATTCAACGTGATAAGCGCCCAGGGCGCTCTCGAAATAAGAAATAGGTGGCTCTTAATCGAATATTATTATGGTGAAAAAAACAGAGTTGAAAGATAAATTTCGTGGTTTATACTGACAGCCTGAAGTGTTTATATACGACAGATATACTTTTCCAGAATTTAATTGCCCATAATTAAGGGTGCATAAAACACACGGGTGCGTATTATACGCGAATAATTAAGTCTTGTGTACATTGATCAATCAGAAGGGGTGCTAATTGGGATCGTTCACTAGCCAATATATTAGCAAAAGTCGCCGTGGGCACTTATTAGAGCGGGGCACTTATTACGTCGAATACGGTATTCCAGTTATATCAGTGTGTCAGCTTGATGTGGGAGGAAATCCCGAAGTGAGGCAAGCTTGAGATGTTCACCACTTTGGTGAAACCCACGAGTAGGGGAATTGTGCTGACAAACCTAGAAACATAATTAGGGTGAAGCATGAATAGAACCCACCATCATAGGTTTCTGGCATGGCCAAGGGACACAACTCTGCAAAGCGTACTGAGGCGCCTAATGATTTGAACAAAATTTGTACACTGGCCTTTGGTCTTGCACCGTATGAAGCACGATATGGGTAACTCAGGTACTCAGATCGAGTGGGTCTTGAGTAGGCACAAGCTACCCACAGAACGACCCTGACCTGTGGTTAGTCACGTGATATATTGTGATATATATAACAATAACACTCCATGGTAGTTTTACATGCTTATCTAAACAGTTTTTGTCAGGGCTCAGGTAAAGCTATTCCCAATTTTGTACACAACTCTTGAGAACTACAGTTGTTTCCCAGGTAGTAAATTTGGACTCGTCCCAGCCCCAGGGCACAATTTTTTTATGTTTATTGACACATTTAATGTCCGATCAGGACAAGCATTGAATCAGCGAGTCATGATTTACCTTCACTGTTATCTGAGAAGTGGCTGAATCGCGGACTTCAGTGTCGGACTCAAACCTGCATGTGGTGTTGCTTTGAAACCATTTCTGTTGGGCTAAAATGAAAATTGTAATGTAAATATACACTGTTCATTGAAGGTCACTCATCCTGAAATAACACTCATTTAATAAAACTGGTATTACACGGTTTAGTATTTTTTATGTATAGCAGATGGGACCCTTCATGTAACAAAATCTGCAGAATTTCTGTGGAAAATTTTCGTCTCTGTATGATCCTGCCTTAAGTTTGTGATCAAGGTACATTCAAATATAATCTTAAACAGGTAGCAGTCCCTTGTTCCAAAATCAGTCAATAAAATAATACAAAACATCTGTGGTATGTTTATTTCTCATCACTTGTGTGTTCAGACTGCTTTAAAAATGCCTGATTTAGATGTATTTGTCCAAAAGATATGGGAACATTTGTTACGATATGTTCTTGCTGCAATTTGTTTGTTTAGGGCAATGATAGACCTTAGTTAGGTTTTCTCATGAGTCAGTATGGTTTTACGCCGCTTTTAGCAATATTCCAGGAATATCACGGCGGGGGGACACCAGAATTAGGCAACACACATTGAACCCATGTCGGGAATCGTAACCCGGGTCTTTTGCGTGAAGAGCTAACGCTTTTACCACAAGGCTACCTGACCGTCCCTTGCTCATGATAAAATAATAGAATCTTAAATTGACAAAAGACTAAATCAGGACAATGACAGCTGATCATATTGGACCTACATGGGCGATACCTTTTCTCAAGATTTTTCAGTAACTCGTACCAGTTTTTGAAAAGAGAGCATAACAATGTAGAAAACATACCTGGATCCCAGTGCAACAACATGGCGACATCATCCTGGTTATCAGGGTCGAAGGGGAAGGTCACAGACAGCGGACCAGGCATTGCAAGACCACCGACACTGGTGACAGAGAAGGAGATATCGGTGTCACTGTAGTTGACCCTTTGTCTGAGGACCCTGTCCAGGAAGGCGGGGTCAGGCATGGACGTGGCGGGGTTGGTGATGTACGGGACGTACTCCGTCGATGCATCAGACCTGTATTCCTTTTCTAGATCCTCCTTCGTCAACTGCGTCAAAACAATACTCTGTCCGGGCAGCAGCCCTGTAAACGAGCAATGGACGTTCATTTAAAGGCAGCATTAGAAATTGGCACTAGTCTTGTTGTCCTTGCCAAACTTCCCAACAGTTAAAGTATCATAAGAACTGGTAGAAATTTGCCATTTTTAACGGTTTTGCTATATGTTATCATTATAAGGACTAGTGGACCAAAAATGTTAGTTTCTACCGCTGAAAGGGAGTCTATGTTTGGACAATCGGCATTCAAGGCTCGTCTGATCAACTCAACTGTACAACAAAAAAGTTAACGATAAGTCATCAACGTCTAGAGTGAGTGAGTGAGCGAGTATGGTTTTACGCTGCTTTTAGCAATATTCAAGCAATATCACAGCGGGGGACACCAGAAATGGGCTTCACACATTGTACCCATATCGGGAATAGATCCCGAATCTTCGACGTGACGAGCGAACGCTTTAACCTCTAGGCTACCCGACCGCCCCATCAACGTCTAGAACTGGACTACAACTGGCTTAGACCATTGACAAAGACTCCTTTTAAGATAATATTATAACCTTGCGTGACCTACTTACCATCGGGTGTCTGCACAGTGACATCCCCTGTCGCCCTCTTCTTCCGGGTGCTTCCAGATCCTCCAACAGAAGCCGTAATGGATGACCCATTTGTCGACGTCGCCAACGTGGACTTGTCGGTCTCGACTACCGAGGACCCGAGTAGCTTCTTGGTGCACAACTCTGCTTCGTTGCACAGCTTCATGAAAATAAACATCTCCGTCCCCGGCGGCATCGTGAAGGCAGTGCTGTCGGTGTGGTTCACGGTGTCGTTGTAGTCGGGTCTGTATTCACTTAACTTCCTTACAATGATGTCATCTACTTTCAAAAAGCCGTCCTTGACAGTGACTGTCCCAGACATGTTGTAGCCGACCCACGTGCAGGGGAAGATGTTGTCGATGGAGGTCTCAGAGCTTCCCACGCAGAAATCTGTTCACAAAACATTTATTGTTACCGTGATTCATGAAAACAAAGTATTTTCTGTGTATTGGGGTAAATGGTTTGTTTGTTTCTTTGTTGTTGAATGCCGCACTCAGCAACTTTCCAGTTATCAAAGAAATAAACAATTTGTGGTTGTTGTTTATCATACAATAAAACATGGCAGGGAGAATTAACAGTGAGGGACGGAAGCCATATATCGTTGATTTCTTATATGAGATATCAACATTCTGTAATCCTCTTGAAGAATGTTGATAAAATGTACAAGCTTTAAAAACATTTACCCAAATTTTAAAAGTGATGACTCCCTGAATAGAATCTGACATCGGAAATGTCGGACAAGTACATTTTACGAACAGGTGGGTTAAGTTTGGTATTTCCCGCATATTTTCACAATTCTAACATTGATTATCTACACCTTTTCTCCTAATACTGACTGTCACATCTCCCACTTTTGGATGCTTTGAACAGTATTCCAGTTTTATCACGGCCTGTCAGATTAACATGGGAGGAAAGCCCGAAGAGATGGTCTTAGACGTTTACTTGTTTCTTGCTTGTTTGTTGTCTAACGCTGCACTCAAAAGTATTCAAGCTATATGATGGCGGTCTGTAAATAATCGATTCTGGACCAGATAATCCAGTGATTGACATGATAAGCATCGATCCAAGCTATTGGGATACGATGACATGCATCAACCAAGTCAGCGAGCCTGACCACCCAATCCCGTTAGTCACCTCTTACGACAAGCATTGTCGCCTTTTATGTCAAGAATGGGTCAAAGTAATCAGACAGTGTAGAAAGGTATGACAGGAAAAATCCTTTTAAAAGTTAGGTAATATATGCCTCTCACCATATCGTCTAACAGATTCGTCCGGACTGACGGTCCACGATGCACTGACAGAGTTCTGGTCCATGGTTTTCATAGAGTTAGGTGGCACCACGGTCTCTCCGAGGGGCTCAGCACCCTCTATCGTCGTGTTGACATCTTCACTGAGAGGAGGCTCCAGAAGGACTGTCACACCTTCAGGTAACATAGCATGGTCAGTGGTACACGTTCCGATGTCATTTGTCATCAGGTCATAGACATTTACCACCTTACCCATGGTGCTAACCAACCAAGAAACATTCAGGAGAACCAAGACCTAAAACTAAGGTATGCCTAAGTGCCACAATGTTGCACATTGGATTCCAGTGCTTTTGCCAGGGTGAGCGAGTGAGTTGGGTTTTTACACCACTCTTAGCAATATTCCAGAAATATCACAATCTCATTAAAATCAGATCTTAGTTCTCGCTGCCGCTAACAAAGACATGAGGACATCCCATTACGGGTCACGACAGACCGACCTTTCGCAAACTCTGACCAACCAATGGAATTACTGACAAGAAGTCGATATTAGCCAATCTCGTGCTTTCTCGTGTCTTACGGCACTAATTTCAAATTGGCGACTACGCTTCGAAACATATTTTGACGAATTCTCGCTTAAAAATTTGAAACCTGAACAAAAGAACATTCTCGAATGGCTAATATATGGTCTAGATTGTATAGATTCAGTCGTTAAGCCTGTACCTATCGTTCGGAATACCCCGTTTTGAGGTTTTAGAGGCTGCATGATTAGAAATCACATTCCGACTGTCACTTTCATGATCTGGTAAGCGACGCTCTGATTAGTCGGACGAAAGGTCGCTCTGACGTGACCCTTACTGGGATGTCCTCAGATCTTTGTTTAGCTGTAGTGAGATCTAAGATCTGATTTTAATGAGATTGGAAATATTATTGCAGAGGGACACAAAAAATGGGCTTCACACGCACCCATGTGGGGAATCGATCCTGGGCCATTGTCATGATGAGCAAAAGTTTTAACCCCTAGGCAAACCCAACGCCCAAATTTTGTTTCTGCTTTTCAATTCGACGAGGGGTGTGTATTGACAGCAGTTTTGCTACTGCAATAGTCAACACCCAACCAGTCAAGTTACGCAATGCAGCCACCTAATCGTCATTAGTCAGCTCTTATGATAAGCAAGGGTTACTTGGGTCATATTCTGCTGTCTAATACCCATGGTTGTTTGTTGGTTGTTTAACGCCGCACTCAGCTAGAACAGACAATCTAGTGATTGACATCATGAGCATCAATCCACACAATTGGGATATGATGACATGCATCAACGAAGTCAGCGAGCCTGACCACCCAATACCGTTACTCGCTTCTTACAACAAGCATAGTCACCTTTTACAGCCAGTATGGCTTGCTGAAGACTTATTCTACCCCGGATCTTCACAGGTCTCCCCAGTTATCAACAGTTAAACACAACTATTATAATAAGAAAATAAAAAAACCATTACCTTTTGTGTCAACATAATTCGTCTTTAGTCCTCCCCCGTTGGTACAGTTGACCGAGATGTAGTATGTCGTGTTATGTTCAAGGGGGAGACCACTCTGGATGGCACCAGGGTTTTCTCCACTAGAGGTCCCTTCCATGATGTCCATTCCCCCGGGCGTCGTCCCGATAGACCAGCTGTAATCCTACAATAACACAGCCGGGTTAAAGTGTTTTTTTTAAAGTTAATGAAACATACTCTCCAGATAAAAGAATGACCCAGCGATAGAAATGGCCACTAGTCCCATTGTCCTTGCCAAACTGCCCAGTAGTTAAGGTATCAAGTAGAATTTTGCCATTTTTAAGGGTTTTGCTATATATACTCACCACCAAAAGAAACGCAAACCATAGAAACATACAGAGAAGTTGCAGGTTAAGAAAATATGTTTCCAGTGTGTACTAATTAATGATAAAACTAACAATCAGTCAAGCGTTACCACAGAATGTCTTTATTCTTATCACGATATGCTGCACGTGATTTCCAAACTTGACACGCTAATTCTGCACGAGACAAATGGTGCATATCATCATGGATCTATGATGTCACATGTGATGCATTCGTGACCGTCAGTTTACACAACATACCAGTATGTTCGTTTGTCATCAAACCAATCTAATATCTCTTGAATATGAATACTTCTTCATATATTAACCAACATGTATGGTATTTACGTTTTTTTTGGTGGTAAGTAAATATCATTTTAAGGACAAGCGGACTGAAAATGTTAGTATCTGGTGAGGATGACCTCATACCCAAATGATGTTCTACGTGCAATGTTTTGGGTGTGTTGAGGCGTTAGGTTTTGGTTCTGAAACGGTTCTGTCGTTTTTCAAAGCTGATCTTTGTTCTGACGACTGATATATATTTCATGATTCCCTGTTTTTTCTTGAGAGTATAGGTAAATCTAAACTTGGAGATATGAAGTATCATGCTCAAAGTTTATTGCACAAAGCCATCCTACAAAGACTAGCTACCGCATACTGTAAATCTTGAAATTAACGCGAGCGTGAATTAAATGTGTAAAAATGCGAGTGGTCTTTGTTTGCAATATAAACTGTGTTATTTTTAGGAAAACACTTGTTTATTGTTATTACAGAAGTGTTTTACTCAGTGCTAATAAGCGGTGCTATTTGCTGTTTGATTGGATTAAGGTAAGGATGTGTATCATTCCACTGGGGACTGCGTGGGGGATTCTCATTTTTGGCTAGGGGTCAGCAGTCATATTAATTTGGAGATGCATTAATTTCAAGATTTACAGTATGTCATAGCTAACCACACACAAGTTTTGGATAAACCTAAATACTGTTTTTTCTCGGTCTAAGAATATGTTTCAATTTGTTTCTTCAACCAAAGGATCCGAACAATACTGAATACAATACCAAGAAAGCCTCAATAGCAAGTTAATTCCAAAGATGATTACACCACTAAAGGATAACGCACTCATATTCATCCCATTACAAGTAGAAAGTAAGTAAGTATGGTTTTTAACGCCACTTTTAGCAATATTCCAGCAATATCACGGCGGGGGACACCACAAATGGGCTTCACACATTGTACCCATGACAGAAATCGAATCCGGATCTTCGGCATGACGAGTGAACGCTTTAACCACTAGGCTACCCGACCACCCCCCATTACAACGAAAAAAAATAATATGGCAAGTCATGATGAGAAGACGAAAGCTTACCACGACTTCGCTCTCATTGTCATTACACTTCCACACGGCTTTGATTGTGTCATTGGACCCCTGGTATTTCACGGGGGTGAACTCGCCCTGAGATACGTCAAAGTACAAGAGGACATCCTCATCAAAGTCCGGCGGCGTTGTGTCAACATAGAATCCATCAGAGGAGGCGATGGCGGACGCTCCGGAACCCAACACTGCCTTCACTGCAAAAATAGGATGCTGTCTTTTTAAAAAAAGGGAATATAAAAAAAATGGACAGTATCTTTTATCTTTTTTTTAAAATATCAAAAACAAGACAAGAGAAAATTATTCTATTATTAAAAGAAGAACAAGGCAAAAAGCGAGCATTTCTTAGTTTAAAACATGAAATAGCAATAGTTTCTCAGAAAACCCACTTATCGAAATCAAACTTTGAACAGCACCTTTCCTATTGGTATAAAACTGTAATCCCAATTGGAAAAGAATCCATGAAGTAGTTTTCAAGTTATAGGTTGCACAAATGTTGAAGCAAACAAATAAAGTTCAAAACACGAAAAAAACCATATGTTTTCAGAAAATACACATATCAAAATAAAACTCTACACTGCACCTCTTCTATTAGTAGGAAACTGTTCCCTCAATTTGAACAATCTGGTCCAGTGGGATTGGTCTTAGGGCTGTATTATATTTTGCTGACACGCCAACCCACCCCTTTTTATATACCTGTAACATTTTTTTCATTTCAGAACTCGGGTCACTTGACAAAAAATAAAACAAAATATCTCATACCAGTCAGGTAGTGAATGACTGGTTTGAATTCGTTATTAACAAGGGATGTTTCTGGGAGACTGAGGTTGGTGAGGGTGATGACCACTTGGTTGGTGGTGGAGCTGTCACAGACGGTGTCACAGGTGTAGACGTCACACGGCTTCAGGCATGGGATGCAAGGAGTGTGTACCTGAAGTAAACATGTCATGCATTGACCTGAAGTAAACATACGTCACGCATTGACCTGAAGTAAACACACGTCATGCATTGACCTGAAGTAAACATACGTCACACATTGACCTAAAGTAAACATATGTCACGCATTGACCAGAAGTAAACATATGCCACGCATTGACTTGAAAAAAACATATGTCACGCATTGACCTGAAGTAAACATATGTCACGCATTGACCTGAAGTAAACATATGTCACGCTTTGACCTGAAGTAACGTACGCACGTATTGAACTGAAGTAAACATAGGCCACACATTGAACTGAAGTAAACATACGTCACGCATTGACCTGAAGTAAACATATGTCACGCAATGACCTGAAGTAAACATACGTCATGCATTGACTTGAAGTAAACATACGTCACGCATTGACCTGAAGTAAACATACATCACGCATTGATCTGAAGTAAACATACGTCACGCATTGACCTGAAGTAAACATACATCACGCATTGATCTGAAGTAAACATACGTCACGCATTGACCTGAAGTAAACATACGTCACGCACTGACATGAAGTTAACATACATCACGCATTGACCAGAAGTAAACATACGTCACGCACTGACATGAAGTAAACATACGTCACGCATTGACCTGAAGTTAACATATGTCACGCATTGACCTGAAGTAAACATACGTCACGCATTGACCTGAAGTAAACATACGTCACGCACTGACATGAAGTTAACATACATCACACATTGACCTGAAGTAAACATACGTCACGCACTGACATGAAGTAAACATACATCACGCATTGACCTGAAGTTAACATATGTCACGCATTGACCTGAAATTAACATACGTCACGCATTGACCTGAAGTAAACATACGTCACGCATTGACCTGAAGTAAACATACATCATGCATTGACCTGAAGTAAACATACGTCACGCATTGACCTGAAGTAAACATACGTCACGCATTGACCTGAAGTCAACATACGTCACGCATTGACCTGAAGTAAACATACGTCACGCATTGACCTGAAGTAAACATACGTCACGCATTGACCTGAAGTAAACATACGTCACGCATTGACCTGAAGTAAACATACGTCACGCATTGACCTGAAGTCAACATACGTCACGCATTGACCTGAAGTCAACATACGTCACGCATTGACCTGAAGTCAACATACGTCACGCATTGACCTGAAGTAAACATATGTCATGCTTTGACCTGAAGTAAACATACGTCATACATTGACCTGAAGTAAACATACGTCACACATTGACCTGAAGTAAACATAGTCACACATTGACCTGAAGTAAACATACGTCACGCATTGACCAGAAGTAAACATACGTCACGCATTGACCTGAAGTAAACATATGTCATGCTTTGACCTGAAGTAAACATACGTCATACATTGACCTGAAGTAAACATACGTCACACATTGACCTGAAGTAAACATAGTCACACATTGACCTGAAGTAAACATATGTCACGCATTGACCAGAAGTAAACATACGTCATGCATTGACCTGAAGTAAACATATGTCACGCATTGACCTGAAGTAAACATACATCACACATTGACCTGAAGTAAACATATGTCATGCTTTGACCTGAAGTAAACATACGTCACACATTGACCTGAAGTAAACATAGTCACACATTGACCTGAAGTAAACATATGTCACGCATTGACCAGAAGTAAACATACGTCATGCATTGACCTGAAGTAAACATATGTCACGCATTGACCTGAAGTAAACATACATCACACATTGACCTGAAGTAAACATATGTCATGCTTTGACCTGAAGTAAACATACGTCACACATTGACCTGAAGTAAACATACGTCACACATTGACCTGAGGTAAACATACGTCACACATTGACCTGAAGTCAACATATGTCATGCTTTGACCTGAAGTAAACATACGTCACACATTGACCTGAAGTAAACATACGTCACGCATTGACCTGAAGTAAACATACGTCACGCATTGACCTGAAGTAAACATATATCATGCTTTGACCTGAAGTAAACATACGTCACGCATTGACCTGAAGTAAACATACGTCACGCATTGACCTGAAGTAAACATATATCATGCTTTGACCTGAAGTAAACATACGTCATGCATTGACCTGAAGTAAACATACGTCACACATTGACCTGAAGTAAACATACGTCACACATTGACCTGAAGTCAACATATGTCATGCTTTGACCTGAAGTAAACATACGTCACACATTGACCTGAAGTAAACATACGTCAAGCATTGACCTGAAGTAAACATATGTCACGTATTGACTTGAAGTAAACATACGTCACGCATTGACCTGAAGTAAACATACGTCACGCATTGACCTGAAGTAAACATACGTCACGCACTGACCTGAAGTAAACATACGTCACGCATGTGACAGGATTTCATGTTGCTTCACTGATGTAAGAAATGGACAAACAGTAGGAGCTTTTAGTTTATTACAAGGTGCCCAGCACATTATTAAGATGTCTCTAATTTCAACGGTTATTTGTCCTTTGCTACATTAATGAGAGGCAGACATTTTGTTTTCGTAGACCTGTGCTCAGATTGCTGTACACTACACAGCACATGGGTGCACTTAATATTCTTTCACTTGGCGTTTGAAACAATATTCTACATTTGAAACACAAACATTGTCCTTAAAACATACATTGATCTGCTTATTTTTCTAGTAGATGTAATGCAAAATATTCAAATATTAAAGCTCTTTATTTGAATTTTTTTATGTTTCGTTGTGCGAAAAAGTGGTGATTTCAATACTTAAAATTTACATGACATCAAAAGTACAGCTTGAAACGCTGTTATTGATAGCAAAATCATAACACATTACGTTGAAGTTAATGTCACTTCACAACTGTTATTACCATGGTTACGAGTGTGAAATCGTTACAACATGCATGCTAACCTTATATCATGTGGATGCCAAGTTACGTGTAAGAATGGATGTGATCTTAAATATGTATTTTTTAGAGTAAAAATATCATTTATACTTATCCTGACTCATACTTATTGCTTATCTCTCTCTCTTCCGAACAGGTAGTGGAAACTTCCTGTGCTGTTACCAAAGAACAGAGAAAACAGCTCACCCAAACGCACCCTTATTCTGCGCATGCGCACCGGAACCAGGTGACCAAGCCCAGTAACTCATCACTCTCTCTATTTCCTACTTAATGGTCGGAACACATCAGTGGAAAGAGGGGAAGGCCGGGAGGGTACTCATTTGTATGGGTCAGGATAAGTATAAATGATATTCATTTGGGGTATTTCAGTGCGGAAAGCAACCAAGATAAGCCCCATTAACGCTGATCCACAACTACAACAAATAGAATTAGGGCTCACTAGTTTGTGCCAGAATATTTTTCAAATCTTACCGGTTGAAAGTCCACCATGTCAGACAACCCAGTGGCGGATCCAATGGCAGCCTCATACCGAATGATGGCGTTATTACCTCCCTTGAAAGGGTCACCATAGCGACACAGCTTGTCTTTCTCGGGCGGCATGACGAGACCTCGGAAAGAAGCCTCGGTGCTCCACACCTGAATCTTTCCTTCCGCGTCTCTGCCAGTCTCAGGAATGTAGTTCTTGTGGTTCCACACGCCCATGTAGAGTTTGGTTTGCGGGGAAAGATGAGGGATGCCACATTGCTCCGATATTAACTCCCCATCCATGTGGACGGTCATACACCACGTCAGCTGTTAAATACAAGTGGAGGGAATTTGTAATTGTATAAAGTCTCTTTTATAATAATAATGTTAGTTGGTTGGTTGGTTGGTTGGATTTGTTGTTTAACGCTGCACTCAGCAATAATCGAGTCTAGACCAGACAATCCAGTGATTGATATTATGAGCATCGATCCACGCAATTGGGATCAATGACATGCATCAACCAAGTCAGCAAGCCTGACCACCCGATTCCGTTAGTCTCCTTTTACGACAAGCATAGTCGCCTTTTACGGCAAGCATGGGTGGCTGAAGACCTATTCTACCCCGGATCTTCACGGGCCAATATTGTTAGTTACACCATGGTGTCATCCAAATAGTGAAGGAAAGCCTAAACTTTAACAAGCATGAAAACTCATATCCATCGCCAATATGACATGTCTGGTTGTGTGCAAGGCATTTGCCCTCTGGAAACGAGAACATCCACCATTTTCAGTCTAAGTCAAAGTCGTTGCTACAGAAACACGAAAAATAATTTTTTAAAGAATCCCTTACTATCGAAAGGCGCCAGTTCACCACAAGACCTCTCTATATGCCATGGTTATCTCTCACGGTTCACGAAATGTGATGGACGGACGGACAGACAGACAGAAGGACGGACAGCACCCATTCCTATATCCCCCCTCCTCTACGTGGTGGGGATAATTACACCTGTATAACTGTATAATTACACCTGTATAACTGTATAATTACACCTGTGTAACTGTATAATTACACCTGTATAACTGTATAATTACACCTGTGTAACTGTATAATTACACCTGTATAACTATATAATTACACCTGTATAACTGTATAATTACACCTGTATAACTGTATAATTACACATGTATAACTGTGTAATTACACCTGTATAACTGTATAATTACACCTGTATAACTGTATAATTATACCTGTATAACTGTATAATTACACCTGTATAACTGTATAATTACACCTGTATAACTGTATAATTACACCTGTATAACTGTATAATTACACCTGTATAACTGTATAATTACACCTGTGAAACCGATGAGTTCTGGAACAATGCTGACAAATCAAGAATCATGATCGAGACGAATTTGAACCCAGAACAGCAGATCCTTGTACGATTAGGTGAACATCCTTTAAGCCCCTCGGTCACCCCATTAACCCCAATAAAATGACAAACAGTCCTATCAAACAGCCTTTCAGTTGTCCAACCGCTTGTCAGCTTAACACTTAGCATGTCAGGAAGCCTGCAGTGATGCAATCTTAGCTTGGTGAAACACAGGAACATGGGTATTGTGCTGACAATCCAACAATCATAATTGCAGTAAATTTGATATACCGTATTCGACGTAATAAGCGCCCATGGCAATATTTGCTGATATATTGGCTAGTTAACAGTCCCAATTAGCACTCCTTCTGATTGATTTGTTTCTAATACGCACTCGTGTGTTATATGCACCCCATATTATTGGAAATTAAATTCTTGAAAAATATATCTGTCGTGGATAATACGCACATACTTTTCTTTTGTATCATTTCAGGCTGTCAGCATAAACCACGAAATTTATGATCTTTCAGCTCTGTTTTTTTTCACCAATATTTCATTTTAATAAGAGTCCCCTATTTCTAATTCCTAGAGCGCCCTGGGCGCTTATTACGCCAAATACGGTATGAGTGAGTGAGTGAGTAAAGTTTTAGCAATATTCCAGCAATATCACGGCGGGGGACACCAGAAATGGGCTTCACACATTGTACCCATGTCGGGAATCGAAACCCGGGTCTTCGGCGTGACGAGCGAATGCTTTAACCACTAGGCTACCCGACCGCCCCCAAATACGGTATGGACAATAGGGATGCTGCTCTGCTCAATGAACTGTGGCATCTGAGCCTCATCATCAAGCTTATTATGAAGTTATGATATTGGTTACCTCGGAGTCCCTTGCTTCTGGCCTCTGTATGAAGAAGTTGACATTATAGTCATGGTAGGAGATGGATGGGTCTACACTGAGATCTCGCGTGTCCACCATTGCCTCATTCAGGAGATCAGCAAACTTGCACCATGCCACAAGTCTTCCTGGCTTATCTCCACCTTTGGGAAAAGAACATAGAATGAAACAGTCAAATCACATTATCATATCAAAGACACACTCACTGCAAGGGATACTGTTTTCCTCAACACATACTTTCTAATACATTCCATGAAATGTTACAAAATAAAATTTCAAAAATTTCAAAATAGCATCAGGCACCAGTTAAGCAGATGAGCAAGGGATATGTTTCTCTGAAAAAAATTGAACAGATTTCAAGTTATGATGTGAATGCCAAACCAACTTATTTTGTTGACGTGAAGCATTTGTACTGGTTTCTTTCACAGTTGACAGCCATTTTCATTATGAAGTCTTGTTTGTTTGTTTATTTGTTGTTTAACGCCGCACTCAGCAATATTCCAGCTATATGATGGCAGGCTATAAATAATCAAGTCTGGACCAGACAATCCCGTGATTAATATAATGAGCATTGATAAACGCCATTGGGACCGATGACATGCATCAACCAAGTCAGCGAGCCTGACCACCCAATCCCGTAAGTCGCCTCCTCCAACAAGCATAGTCACCTTTTACGGCAAGCATGGGTTGCTGAAGACCTATTCTACCCCGGATCTTCACGGGTCTGATAATGAAGTAAATCAGACTCGTGGTATCCATTATTTTGTCTCTACTACTGACTCACCTGCGAATATCTGGAGTCCGCAGGAACTCCGCGGTTCCCTTTTTATGTGAGCTACTTCAGCACCATCTGTGATGGAGTCGGTCTTCTTCAAAGCTTCCTTCTCCTCCTTCGTCAGCTTCACCACTTCATACTCTGCAGCAGGGTCGTCACCGTCAACTGACCGCTTGGACAGACTCTTGTAGAAGTCTTTGGCTTCTATGTACTTGGTACAGTTGCACTTGCAACTCTGGCGGAGAGAACCGACAATAATCAATTAATAATCCTGAAGTAACATAAAAAGACAAGAAGATGAAACAAACCATCCAGAACCCCCTCCAAACTTTAGACTCCGATTAAGAATTTATGATCAATGTAAAATGCAGTTCCTGCCATGAAACGGCAGCATGTAAACCAACCAGACAAGGAAATGATAGGCCAGAAATCCAGTGACACGATAGCGCATTTACTGAACAAAAAAGAAATGAACACTTGATTCTGTAACGTTGGCTACTCATCATTACCCCAATTGTAGGAAGTTACTTTGAGTTATTCTGTGTTTAAAAAGGACTGTTCTTTTAATGACAAGAGTGTCTTACAGTTGGAACTGGGTCGACATAGCAGCAGCCACAGTTGCTATCCTCCCACGCCGGCGTTGGGGTGTAGTCGTAGTCGAGGATGTAGTCCTCAGGCCCGTCCCAGAAAAGAACGCTGGTCACAACCTTGCCGTCACCTTTGGCCGACTTGATGGAAAACTGCAAGAAATGTCAATTTCTTTATTACCATTTCCATCATAGATATAAACAGATATATTTTTCCAGAATTTAATATCCCATAATTAACAAGCACCCTGTTCTAATAAGCGCCCACGGCGATATTTGCTAATATATTGGCTAGTAAACAATCCCAATTAGCACCCCTTCCGATTGATCAATGTTCACAAGACTTATTAATTCGCGTACAATAAGCACTTGTGTGTTATATGCACCCTTAATTATGGGATATAAAATTCTGGAAAAATATATCTGTCGTACATAAACATTTCAGGCTGTCAGCATAAACCACGAAATTTATCTTTCAACTCTGTTTTTTCACCAAAATATTATTCTAATAAGAGCCCACTGTCTCTAATTTTGAGAGGGCCCTGGGCGCTTATTACGTCGAATACGGTAATATGCATTGTAGGTTTTTATGGAAGTAAGAAGTTTATATCTATGATGGAAATGGTAATAATGGGCGCTTATTACGTCGATTACGGTAATTACTCTTGACGTTGCGGCTCGGTCCCGTCCAATCACCTCAGGGTCATTGTTTTCGTATATTGACCTTATCAAGAAAAATCCCCTTGAAGCTTATGGAGCCTTTAAACTGTCTTTTTTTTCAGTGAAATCCTGCTTCCAGATGCCACGTTCTTTCGTACCAGACGAGTCAATATTCATCATGTGACAGGTCAATTCTGATCATGTGACGAGTCAGTTTTTGAGGTCAGTGTCAGTCACATATTTAAGGGTCTAAACTGAAATGTATCGTTTTGTCACATGGTACCAATGAAACAACAAGATTCTTTCAAGAGGTAAAACAATTAGTTTTAACATGTGGTATTGGAAAAAAGGTGGCTGACAAAGAAAATGTTGCGTCAACTGAATACGAGTGGTATGAACGATGTACCTCATATATTCCTCCATTGACGAGGTCAGCATCTCTGAAATAGGAGCCGGACATCATGGCGTCCTTCTTGGTGTCTCTGGTCAGTTTAATGTCCATGGAGTCGCCACTGTCCGTGCGATGGACATAGGCAGCGCCATAGGTTAAGCTCAAACTGGTGTTACGGCTGTCGAAGTTCCGGTTCGACTCAAAGAATTTCCATCCTGCATCGTTGAATTTGATTGGTCGGACTGGACAAGCAGATATGTCAGGCACTGGATGGTGCAGGAAGGTACCTGAAAAAATGAACAAAGTACATGTATGTTCCATAGGAGCCGATTTGTTTGAATGTATAAACACTTTATGTACTTCATGAGTCTTGCTGGCATGAGTGAGTGAGTGAGTGAGTGAGTGAGTGAGTGAGTGAGTGAGTGAGTGAGTGAGTGAGTGAGTGAGTGAGTGAGTGAGTGAGTGAGTGAGTGAGTATAGTTTTACACCGCTTTGAGCAATATTCCAGGAATATCACAGCGGGGGACGCCAGAAATGGAATCAAACCCGGGTCTTCGGCGTGACGAGCGAATGCTTTAACCACTACCCGACCGCTCCTGGGCATGGGCGAGCTTAACTAAAGCAGGACAGTTGGTTTGTATATCACGGAGGTTGACAATACAAATAGTAGATGATGTACTGTATTCTTCATTTCAAAGGCACTAAATTGGGTCATTGTTTTTGGCAGAATTGTAACAGCAAGGTATGGTCGCCTATTTCGTGAATGACTGGGGTTATTGTAGCCGAAGTGTGACATTGAGACACGATTGTGATGACCTCTATGTTCATAATTTAACTCAAAATAATTTTTGAAAGAAAAGTACCACTACACTGTTAAATATCACCCACCTGGATGTAATTTATTAATGCATGATGCCATTAAAACAACATGCCTTTTTCATCGTGTTTTTTTTTCACTGACCTTTAACCTCACTAGAAGTTCCGATCCAGCTGATATCCTTGGTGAAGTTCACTCCATCCACGATTCTCCCTGGGGTGGGGACTGAGTTGTCATACAGGGCAGGTGGGGAGTCCGTTATACTCCTCAGTCGCGCGTTATTCTCGGTCATAAGTCGGACAATGTAGGGCGTGTCCCTCTGTTTGACAATACAGGACAGATACATGAACCCTAATATGATGAATACATTGTTTATCTTGCTTTTGTTACCCCTTTTATAACAAGAGCCTGAGGTGAGTGTTTATACAACTTAACCTGGTCATTTTGAACAATAATTCCTTTGTCGCATTGCGTGTCAGCTTGATTTGGTTTGTTTGTTTGTTTGTTGTTTAACGCCGCACTCAGCAATATTCCAGCTATATGACGGCGGTCTGTAAATAATCAAGTCTAGACCAGACAATCCAGTGATATATATCGTGAGCATCGATCCAAGCAATTGGGATTGATGACATGCATCAACCAAGTCAGCGAGCCTGACCACCCGATCCTGTTAGTCGCCTTTTACGACAAGCATAGTCACCTTTTACGCAAGCATGGATTGCTGAAGACCTATTCTACCCCGGATCTACACGGGTCCGTGTCAGCTTGAAGTAGGAAGGCAACTATTATTGAGGGTCTTGTTACAGGAACTGACCAAATTAAAGGAGCTGACACACCATGGAAAACAGGATAATACAGGATAAGAATCCCAAAATATAAAGAGTCTGATGTTGGCCTTCACTGCAAGACCATAGGTGTCTTGGCCAGCCATGTTTTCTGCACTGAATGTGAAAGTTAGGAGTGAGTGAGTTGAGCCTAACGCCGCTTTTAACAGTATTCCAGTTATATCACGGCGTGTCAGCTTAATGTGGGAGGAAAGCCCGAAGTGATGCAGGTCTCAGACTTTTAACACTTCGGTGAAACCCACGAGCACGGGTATGGTGCTGACAAACCTAGAAACATAATTGGGCCGAACCGGGATTCGAACCCACAATCATAGGTTTCTGGCGTGCCCAAGGGACACAACTCTGCACAGCGAATCACGGCGCCTTAGACGACTGGGCCACCCGTGCCCCCGTGAAAGTTAGGATGTTCATCAGTCTCATTATAATCAGATCTTAGTGCTTGCTACCACCATACAAAAGTCTGAAAACACCCCATTACAGTCATGTCAGAACTACCTGTTTTTTCTCTTCGAGGCTTCATGAAAAAACATTCCGACTGTCACTTTCCCCAATCTGGTGAGCAACTCTCTGATTGGTTGGATGAAAGGTCATTCTGACATGACCCTTTATGGGGTGTCCTCAGATCTTTGTTTAGGGAAAGCGCGAAAATAAGATCTCATTTTAATGACTTTAAAAAAAATATAACATATGATCTTGCATTGCAAAACTGTCATGGTCACAAACATGTACGAATCAGCACGGACCTCCATGCTGATGTCCATGAATTTGTAGGAGTGGTACTCTGCTTCTATCTCAATGCTTGGCACCACCACCTCCTCCACTGCCCCATCTTGACAGGTCGCCCGTTTCACCAGCGACACATGGTAGCATCTCAGTCCGGACTCCTCATCACTGTAGTCCTTCCAGTAGGCATGGAGACTTCGGCTGCTAGACGCATAACTGGCCACCTGCAAAGAAAGTGAGTGAGAGAGTGAGAGAGTGAGAGAGTGAGAGAGGTTTTATGCTGTTTTTAGAAATATTCCAGAAATATCATGGTGGGGACACCAGAAATGGCGGGAAGGAAGCCAGGCTTTTGGCTGGATGTGCAAATGCTCATCTTTCCGAAGCCAGGGAGTTAAATGATTAAAAATTTCGGATGGAATTATGGAGTTCTATTTTGGATGGACTAATGAGTCTATGTACAGTCCAATCAAAATCATGCAATGAAATTGACATCTGGTTCGTAAACTGCAGTGCAAATTTCGGTCGATTGCAGGATTTGTAAAGCATGAGTACCGCACCACATATTTACATTCGTCGCATTATTTACAAATAGGACCATTTACAAATTTACAAACAATCCAGTGATTGATATCATGAGCATCGATCAACACATTTGGGATATGATGACATGCATCAACCAACTAAGCAAGTCTGACCACCCGATCCCCTTAGTCGCTTCTTAGAACACGCATGGGTTGCTGAAGACCTATTCCACCCCAGATCTTCCCAGGTTAATAATTCTTTCATTAGCACCCACCCTGAACATTGGCACAGAAAGACACAGCTGCCTGCATACACCAATATTTACCAAAGGTGATGTCGACCATAGCCAGAGAATGCAACAATTCCTAACACCAAACTCGAGGGCACTGTCAATGTTATACCAGTATGGCCGACCGCCTCCGTGGTCTAATGGTAGAGCGTCCGCCCGGAGAGTTAAAAGATGGTACTTGTTGTTACCCTGTCTGGTGCTCGGCATTAAGGGGCTAAAACAAGGACTGGTCGGCTCGGAGGCAGTATACTGTGTCTGAGTGGGGTATTCATGTTAAACTGCAGCATGGTATCTCAGTGTACTAGCACCATAAATCGGCATCAGTCCGGACTAGTACAAGCAGCCACACACACAAACACACACATACACGTGCATGCACGTCGCTATAGTGCAATAATCTTGGACGCCTCTTCACCTCACCTATACCAGTATAACAACATAAATGTTTGGTCTACTTCATTGACCAAACGAACAATACAATACCTTGTCCAATATTTCTGATACCTGAGGTATTATACCTGCAGTCAAACATTTTGAGAACAATTTTATGATGCTGGTTGTTTGTTTGTTTGTTTGTTTGTTTGCATGCAGTAATATTCCAGGTAAATGACGGCGGTCTGTAAAATAATCGAGTCTGGACCAGACAATCCAGTGATTGACATCATGAGCATCGATCCACACAATTGGGATCGATGACATGTATCAACCAACCCGATCCCGACAAGCATAGACGCCTTTTACGGCAAGCATGGGTTGCTGAAGAACTATTCTACCTTGGATCTTCACGGGTTGCTGGTCAACTGTATTTGCCATGAACATATACCACACAGAACAAGTACCGTATATCGCCATCTATAAAGCGACCCCACGTATTAGACGACCCCCCTGTACAAGCCTTTAAAATCGATGCTAATTTATATACCCCGTCTATAAAGCGAATCGGAATGAAGCACGTCACCAGCGCATAGACAATCCGTACATTTGCAATAAAAACATGTTTGTCTTCCGCAGAAAAAAATACATCATTTCCCTTCAGCGAATTCAGGGAAACGAACAGATCAGAACAATTAAACTTGGTCAAGCAAATTTAAAAGTTGAGATAAAAAAACAAAAGACCGATTTTACGATTTAAATTGTATTTCCTGTTCTGATAGGCATTGTTTTATATGCAGAGATTAAGATTACCATGTGTATTTTCTCGTAAACTAAACTGTAAGTAGCAATCAGCTGTGCACAGGTGTCTCGGAATCCACCGGTGATTTGGTTAATAAATACCCAATAATATAACTTTAAAGAATTTTGATACAATAATCAAAAGAATTGAATCTGAAACTATTATTTTTTAGGAATAATTTATTCCAATATCATGTTATTTCAGCAGTATTTTACTATATATATATACCGTATATAATACACGGTAAGACACCACCTGATTTGTTCATATAACAGAGCTAATCTGTCATGGCTGGTGGGTGTTCTTTACCTTGTTTAGAGTAGGACCTGTACATAAATATATTTATTACTTGCCCGTGAAGAGATCAACCGTTTAATTAACATACAGCTGTATTACACATTGTGTAATACCAAAACGTGTGCTAATGTACTCTCGGAACAAGTTTCACGAACAAATATTGAAAGCTCTCAACATCTCTTGGTTTATTCAACATGTAGGTGTCAGCCTATTCATACTCAACAGTATAATTCAAAAAACGTTATAAATGGCAAGTAATAAATAAAATACTAAACTCACTCACGTGTAAAACCAATTTCATGAAACTCATGAATAGTTGTGCATCTGACGAGCTTTCGCTCGTCAGATACCACAACTATTCACTCGTTTCATAAAATTGGTAATTTGGTATTACATGGGAGCTCGTTTAGTATTCTATATATAACACTCTCACGCTCACCAGATCATAGTAGGGCCCCGTTCTGATCTTGCCTTGTGTTGGTGGTGTAATGTCCACCCTGAATCTCTGGTACGTCATGTTGCACTCTCCAGCCTTGTCAGCACCTAGAGTGAGTGAGTGAGTGAGTTCAGTTATACCACAGCGTATAAGGTTACTGTAGGGGAAAAGAGCAAAATCTCTGCAGGAGGATTACTACTTTGATAAAACCTACAAGCACAATCTCATTAAAATCAGGTCTTAGTTCTCGCTACCGCTAAACAAAGGTCTAAGGACATACCAGAATGACCTTTCACTTGACCAATCAGAGTGTCGCTTACCAGATCATGAAAGTGACAGTTGGAATGTGATTTCTGATCATGCAACCTCGACAGATTTAACACGGGGTATTCCGAACGACAGTTACAGGCTTTATGACTGAATCCATACAATCTTCCCATGTATTAGCCATTCCAGAATGTTCATTTGCTCCATTGACCACCCGATCCCTTTAGTCGCCTCTTACGACAAGCATGGGTTGCTGGAGACCAGTTCTAACCCATATTTTCACGGTAGCGCATTTTAGTCAAAGTAGCCTGCTTCAAATATTTATTATTAACAGAAGCAAGTTTGATAAAACTGCAGTTTTGAAGGGTAGGTTTCATGAAACAAATATAAAAAAGTATTCAAAAATAAGCGAGACTTACCAATGACCCATGCATAATATTCGCCATTCTGGGCCAGAGTCAAATTGTCGAATTTCTTGTAGGTATCTGTGCCAACGTTTTGGATGTCGATTACATTGAACAGAGATGACAATGTTTCATCAGTCAGAGATCCACGCTCCGTCTGCATCAAAACACAAATGTAGATTATTCAAAATGTTCTGTTTGAAAAAGAAAGAATTAATATGGAAGTTGAAGAACCGTCAGCGATGTATCAGCTTCATCACATTGGCCTGAAAGTAATCAAATCCTGACCAGGCAAACCAGTGGTTGATAGCATGAGCAGAGCTCCAAGCAGAAACAACCAATTCACATTAGTTGCTTCTTACCACTAGCATTGGGAACTGGGGAACTATTCATCCCTTGATTATCCACAGAGCGCCAGACAGGGTAACAACAAGTACCATCTTTTGGTATGACGGATCTCCAGGCATTCTTTGGTATTGTTATTGTTATTGTATTGTTATTATTGGTATTGTGCAGAGTTTAAAAGTATCATGTGTATTTGTCTCTGAACCTAAGCAGGGAGTAACAATCAGCTGTACACATGTTTTCCCCCAGATCTACTGGTGATTAAGGTTAAAAATACTCAATACAACTTAAGGATAATAAAAATAATAGTCTTGGTTCTCAGGCACCGCCTGCATAATCATAAAGTTCGCCACAATTTCCGTTTTTATTTACATTTGAAAAAAAACAACAACCCCAAATCCTTAAATATTCCAAGTAGCAGTAATATAACAGTAGTCAAATACTGTATTCCAGTATTTTACTCATCAAGGAATACATTTATGTAGGGAGGCCTTGTCCCAGGTTGTCTACAATTGTTTAATGATTACACAACTGTTTATTGGTTACATACTAGTTTAAAAAAGAAGAAAAAAAAGACACCGCCCGCTCACACTAAATTTTAAAAAAACATTGCCTGAGAACCAATTCTTTATGTCTTTAAGTCTAAAATAATTTTACGGTAACTTTACCTTGAGATAATCCATGCTGGGCCCCGTTCCACAAAGAGATCTTAGCGCTAAGATGATCGTAACTCCCATACTTTAATATAGGCTAACAACACTCATAGCGCTAAGATCGCTTTGTGGAACGGGCCCCTGGACAATATAACTAACGAGTAGTGTTAATTGGGATAAAACTGTGACTTCTTATAACATATATAATTTCACGAAATAAAAGTGACATCACCACTCACAAATTGTCCACACTTGTATTCCAAGGCGTCTGTATTGTTGGACAGAGCCACATAGTACATCATCATTCCGATCTTGGATTCAAACCCGTCCCATGGCACCTCCAGCACAGTGTTGGTGTTAATGAAGTCTTTCATCTCTATAGTCCCAGCTGGAGAAAAACAAGTAAATGGATGTCAGTTATACCAATACTCTCACAGTCGGGCACCTATGTCTCCCATGGGTTAGTGAGTGAGTTGGTTCAGTATCTGAACCAGTTATGTCAAGGGGTGTCAGCTTAATGGCGACTGTCATGGGTGGTTTGAATGTTTGTTTGTTGTTTAACGCCGCACTCAGCAATATTCCAGCTATATGACGGCGGTCTGTAAATAATCGAGTCTGGACCAGACAATCCAGTGATTAATATCATGAGCATCGATCCACACAGCTGGGATCGATGACATGCATCAACCAAATCAGCGAGCCTGACCACCCGATCCCGTTAGTCGCCTTTTACGACAAGCAGAGTCACCTTTTACGGCAAGCATGGGTTGCTGAAGACCTATTCTACCCCGGAATCTTCACGGGTCGGTTTGAATGTAGTAAAACTAACAGACATTGGAACGGTGCTGAAACGCCATGAGTCATAATGGGTGTTAATATTGGATTCAAATCCAGGACTAGCAGTTTCGGAAACGGTAAAGGGATGTAACCACGTAGCGAGTTAAGGCATTCAATCCAGTGAATCAATCTCATTAAAATCAGATCTAAGTTCTTGCTGCCTCTAAACAAGGATCCTAGGACATCCAATTACGGGTTATGTCAGAACGACCTTTTGCAAACTTTGACCGACCACTGAAACGACCAACAAGAAGTCGACATCAGCCAATTAGAAAGCACCTTTCTCAAGCTTTACGGCACTCGTTTCAAACTGGCGATTTTCATTTCAGACTACACTTGAAAAATATGTTGATACAGTTCTGGGTTAAAATTTTGAAAACTGAACAAACGAACATTCTGGAATGTCTAATATATGGTTGCGATTGTATGGCAGTGCTTCCCATGTCCTGTGCAACGCCTCCTCTGTTCAAATGTTTATCCCTTGGAAGCAAGAGATAGACGATAATTTTGACGGAATCAGTCGTACGGGCTGTTACTGTCGTTCAGAATACCCCGTGTTAACAATTTCGAGGTTGCATGATCAGAAAACACATTCTGAGTGTCACTTTCATGTTCTGGTAGGCGACGCTTTGATTGGTAGGATGAAAGGTCGTTCTGACCTGACCCGTAATGGGATGTCCTCAGATCTTTGTTTAGCGATAGCATGAACTAAGATCTGATTTTAATGAGATTGTCCAGTGAATGAATGTTGTTGAAGGTCATAATGAGCAATATTCAAAGCATGCCACATCTCACCACTATTCAAGCTATATCGTGGCATGTATACAATGAAAGAGGGATCGAACCAACCAGTGACTGACAGCATGAGCAACGATCACTGTCATCAGGTCACGATGGCACACAAGCAACCTTTTGTCAAGCCTTACCACCTAATGCTTTTTAGTAGGCTCACATAGTTCGGACCTATTCTTCCCAGAATCTTAACCATGAAGGTTCAGATAAGGTTGCGAAAATGATATGATAACAGATGTCACATTCTACAGCCTCTTATTTCACGTCAAACTTAGTATTAATTTACCTGTAACTAGGGGTGGTGGAGTAGCTGAGTGTATGCTTGTCACACCGAAGGCCCGGTGTAAGGTGCCAAAATCTACCCTCCTTCAGAGTATACCCGGGTAGATTCGTTTCCCACATAGATAAATTTACTTAAGTTGGTTGGGTAGCTTGGTGGTTAAACCGTTTGCTTGACACGCCGAAGGGTTCAATTCCCGACATGGGTACAATGTGTGAAGCCCATTTCTGGTGTCCCCTGCCGTGATATTGCTGGAATATTGCGTGAAGCGGCGTAAAACCATACACACTCACACTCACAAATGTTCCCATTTCTTTATAAGTAAGGTATCTTTGTTGAAATTCAGCATGGTATCTCAGTGGAATGACTTGAAATAAACCTACTTGACTGCCTGTCAATTCTGATGAAGATATATTTGTGAGATTTAGCTAGAAGGTATAATTGCGTTTGGTCTCAGGGGCAGTCGGGTAGCCTAGTGGTTAAAGCATTCGCTCGTCATGCCGAAGACCCGGGTTCAAATCCCGACATGGGTACAATGTGTGAAGCCCATTTCTGGTGTCCCCCGCCGTGATATTGCTGGAATATTGCGTGAAGCGGCGTAAAAATCCAACTCATTCACTCTCACTTTACCTGTAACTCCTCCATCAAAACCAACAGAGAAGCCATTGGAGGTGACCTCTGCCTTTGACCCCGAACTACTGTGTGCTCTGACAGTGAAGTAATAGAAGGCAGTCACTGGAGTCAGGTCAAGGTCAAAGAAAGTTGCGGTCTTGTTGAGGCCAACGTTAGTAAAGGGCACGATGTTGTCACGTGTTTTGGGAAAGCGGCGGTCAGTCCCTACTGCAACCTCGTAGTAAACCACTTCCTGACTTGACGACTTTCTGGCATTGTCCCGAGGAACGACATTCTCTGAAATATGAAAAAAAACAATAAGCCCAACACAATTATACAAAGGGTATTGTTTTGTGTTCTTTGCATAGTAGACACAAATTATTTGGCGCTCACATGCACTATACATATGACAATACTCAAATTTACCACAGCCTTATGAAAAAAACATATTTTAAAATTTAACCATTTCCAATGAGCAACATTCATCGCCGTAAGGGAATAACGACTCAATGAAACAGGTCTCCCTTTTGACCATCCGACACTCATTTGAAATCATACAACATACATTGGTTGTCAAGGACTTTTTCAGCCGCCTCGGGGTGAGCTAGCCAATGAGACCTGAATGATACCTTTGATAAAGTCTTTGAAAGGCATTTAGGAGTGAGGTGATGTGTGGTGAAATTGGGTTTAACGTCGCGTCCAAGATTATTGCACTTATATAGCGACGTGCATGCACGTGTGTGTCTGTGGCTACTTGTACTAGTCCTGACTGATGCCGATTTATAGTGCTAGCTCACTGAGATACCATGCCGCAGTTTAACATGAATACCCCACTCAGACACAGTATACTGACTCTGAGCCGACCAGTCCTTGTTTTAGCCCCTTAATGTCGAGCGCCAGACAGGGTAACAACAAGTACCATCTTTTAACGTCTTTTGGTATGACGCGGCCGGGGATCGAACCCCGGACCTTCCGCTCTCCGGGCGGACGCTCTACCACAAGACCACGGAGGCGGCCATTTAGGAGTGATACACATAAGGAAGTGAATCTTTGGATGTCAACTTCTTTATTATCTGGAACACAACGCTTCGAAGTATATACTTATATACTTACATATATAGATTGCTAATCACCTATCAGCGCCAATTATTTAAGTATATACTCCGAAACATATTTCTCATAATAAAGAAGTTGACATCCATTTGTCAATTGCTAATCACCTATCAGTACCAATTATCGGTTGGCTTCCCTTGTTAATGTTAACTATCTTTTTACTTTTGTTGTTCTTACAGGTACATAAATATGTTCTCTGCCTCATAGCATTCATTCACCTGATGAAGGAGTAAGTATATACTCCGAAACATAGTGTTCCTCATAATAAAGAAATTGACATTCCAAAATTCTCTTCCTTTGATGTAAGTCATGTGAAGATGCTATTATCCCAAAGACTAACCAGAACAGGAATAGACACACTCACTAGTCTCAAAATCTAGTTTTTTTGTACAATCCACTACTGTCTATCCCTCCGAAGGAATTTTAAATATCGATCCAAATTTGTGAAACTGGTGGCATATCCAGTCATGATAACCCCTTCATACCTGCAATGATGGCACCGACAGCAGTGTCGCTGCCAAAGTTGTTCCAGTTGGCGCTGATCTTTGTCTTGGTTCTGAAGAACTCGAGGTCGAAGCCGACAACATCGCCATCGTTGACCTGCCCGGGGAGGAGAGGGTCCTCCTCGATGGTGATACCATTGGACCTGAGCATGTAGGTGTAGTTGAGGGCATTGGTCACTCTCAGAAGCTGGTAGTACCGCTCTTTATTCTTCATCTCCAGCTCATCATTGGTGCCGTAGGTGCGACCTAAGAAAGTTTGGTTGGTCAGATAGACATTTGGACTCCCAAAACCAAGGCGTATCTTTTCCATTTAACATATTCGGTTTAAGCAGAAAAACAAGTTGCTGCAAGTCATACCTCATACTTTTGCCAATTCGTTAAAACCCAGAGGAATGGAGTTGACACATCGAGGACCATGATTCGGTGAGGTGGAAGGGGATTTAATGTTGTGTTCAAGATTATTGCACTTCTATAGCGACGTGCATGCATGCGTGTGTGTGCCTGCGTGCGTGCGTGCGTGCGTGCGTGCGTGTCTGTGTGTTTTTGTGTTTGTGCTTGTGTGTGTCTGCTTGTACTTGTCTGGACTGATGCCAATTTATAGTGATAGCCCATGAGATATCATGATACAGTATACTGACTCCGAGCTGACCAGTCCTTATCTTAGCCCTCTAATGCCGAGCACCAGACAGTCTAACAACGAATGCCATCTTTTAACATCTTTTTTGTTGTTGTATGATGTGGCCAGGGATCGAACCCCAGACAGCCTGCTCTCTGGGCGGACGCTCTATCCACTAGACCATGGGGGCGGTCTCCATGATTCAGAGTGAACTGGCATGAAACAGACTAATTCTACCATAGCTAATATCTCTGTAGAACCTTGGACATCTTGATTATTGAAAAACAAATAACTTGCATTACAAATATTAATGTAGTGAAACTAGAGAAACACTTCTGTCTGCTGAAAACGTCTATTGCATAACTAAAGGGAGATAACTACAGAGACTATGTCCATTGCTTCGAAAACTCAGACAATTTTACTAGGACAGCCACCATCTGGATTAACGGAGTCTCATGCCAACTTACCTTCCGTGTCCACAAACGCCTGGACGATATGTCCATCTGCCCGCTGTATCGCCCACTCGTACTTCCTCACTGGACATGGGTCACCCGAAACATCCCACTGGGCACTCATACTGGACAGACTAGCTTGGAAGTCACTGTCATGTAAAACAATCGTACGTGATTCCCTGGCATTTAATTGGCTAACCAAGCAATGGATTTGGTGTTTATGTTTCCATAAACTGACGAAAACATAGGCCCACTAAATGACCACCATTTCCTGATTCACTGGTTATAGAATGGCTGAGGCTCGTGCTGTCGTTATTCAGCTGAACAATAGCCCTGATTTCATATTGTTGTCTACAGTTCCTTACAAAGTTAAGTGTTCTGCTAGACGTATGACATATGATTATCATCCATGTTGTACTTACAGATCCCCGTCGCTGGTGCCGCCGTCCAAGACGCCCAAGTGAGTGATGGGATCCTGTCCCTGACTGAGGTAAGACACGTATATACCATTGGAAGTGGACACTGTGCTGAGACCAGCGCCGTTGGTGGCTTTCACAGTCACAAATATCTGTAGTATAAACAGAAGATGTTAAAAACATCAGTAGTCACCGGGGTGGTCGGGTAGCGAAGTGGGAAAAGTGTTGGTTTGTCACGGCAAAGATGGGGTTTGATTCCCCACATCGGTATATTGTGTGAAACCTATTTCTGGTGTCCCCCTCCATGATATTGCTGGAACATTTGCTAAAAGTGTATTAATACTTACTCACTCACTCATTTACACGCCATAGAAACATTTTGAAATAAGGCCATATACCCTTGTCGTGAGTGAGTGAGCGAGTTGAGCATATAAATGACAGGGGGCACCAGAAATGGGCTTCACACATCGTACCTATATTGTGAATTGAAATATAGTAGTGACCCTTGCACAAATGCAATCAAATCTAACTTGTGAAACTCCTGACCCATTTTCTTGAGGCAAGGGAGTTAACTGACTTTAAAAGTCCAGTTTCCACCCTTGCCGAACTAGGCTGGAATTACTGGGCTCGATCGTAGCCCCACCAGTGGATATTATGAGTTATGTCCCTTCTATGCCTCTCCCTATTGACCAATCAGATTCCACCTCTCGCATCACTTGCATTTGCTTCAAACAAAACGGTGGCTCCCAGTCGAGACGATCTGATCGATAATCAAGATATATATTGTGATAACACGTGTCTTACATCGCGAAGTGCATCAAATCACGTGAGCACCTTGATTAAAAACATAAAAAGATTTAGAAAATATCTGTTGACAACGAGTTGGCAGTGTAAATGCTTTGCAAATCCTGCAATCGACCGAAGTCTCCATGACAGTTTACGAACCGGATTTCGATTTCGTTGTGCGATTTTGATTGGACTATGTATAGACTCGTTAGTCCAGCCAAAATATAACTCCATAATACCAGCCCAGTTCGGCAAGGGTGGAAACTGGACTTTTACAGTCTGTTAACTCTCTTGCCTTGGGAAGATGCTCCTGACCAGGCAGCTCAACATTAGACAGAAAATCATCACTTTTCAGTTCAATCTCATTAAAATCAGACCTTAGTTTTCGCTACCGCTGAAACAAAGATCTGAAGACATCCCATTCGAGGTCACTTCAGAACGACCTTTCATCTGACCAATCAGAGCGTCGCTTACTAGATTATGAACGTGACAGTCGGAATGTGATTTCTAATTATGCAACCTTGAAAACTTTAACATGGGGTATTCCAAATGATAGTTACGGGTTTAACAACTGAATCCTTACAATCTAGACCATCTATTAGCATTCCAGAATGTTTTTGTTTGTTCAGGTTTCAAATTTGTAATCGAGAATATCAAAATATGTTTCGAAGTGTAGTCGCCAATTTGAAATAAGTGCCGTAAAGCACGAGAAAGCTGCCTTCTAATTGGTTATTCCATTGGTCGGTAAACGTGACCTGTAATGGGATGTCCTCAGATCTTTGTTTAGCGAGAAGCGAGAACTAAGATCTGATTTTAATGAGATTGTTTTCAGTTAAGATGGTGTTGTGAGAAAAATCAGACTTGTTAAAAACTACAGTTGGCTTAACATTGTGCTTACCTGTCTTTGTCCTTTCAGTGCCAGTCCCGTGACTGACATGTACTTTTTTGTCATGTCAGCAACTTCAAAGAACGGCCTGAGTTGGCCTCCGCCAGGTGTGTTACCAACAGCAATCTCATACCTGAACATACAGTACAGTAAACATGCACACAGACACACTTCAATAATCAAGACATTGGAACAAAATTAACTAAAAATCATTTCTAGTTTATTGGATGGCAAAATGAATTCACTTTACAGAGTTGTCTCCCATGGCTAGAGTTGTCTCCCTTGGTAACCATGACTGGCTAGTTATAGAGCAATTCATACTGATCATGTATTACATCACGAAAACAATGCTTGTAAGTGGTAAACCTGGTCCTATTTGGACTTTTCTACTTCACAAGCTACAATTGAATACAATTGTATACACAATTGAAAGCGGAAAGAAGACACTTTTAACATCCAATTCCTGACAAGGTTACCTGACGATCCCTGTCTCCTCATCTGTGAAGCCCGCCCAGGCAACAAGTACCGTTGACAGAGACTCTTGACAGGTGGCATCAATTCTCATGCACTCTGTAAAAAACCCAAAAGGTTAAGTATAGGTCAGACCACAGACCCAATGTTTAATCATTAAAGTTGTCACTTAAATCCCAGGGTGCGTAGTGAAACATTTTTTTCACAAAAGCAAATGACAGGGAAAAAGGTTTGGTGTACATTATTAACATGTCTATATAGTTTTCCTGTATTCATCAAATAAATAATAGTGACATCGCTGTACTGGTTTTCTCAAGTTTTAAAATGCTGGTATCGGTGAGAGTTTTCTGGCTTGGACACAATATACGTTAATATACCAACGTTCCTGACGTACCTTCCCCTGAGTCACAACTGTAGGGGTTCATTCTCTCCGTCATGATAGCGTCAGTGACGTTGATGACGTAGGCTGACCCCAGCTCTACTACTGTCCCCTGTGTTGGATGTGTGTTGTCGACGTTGATGCCGTTAGAGATGGCGGACACGGTCATCCCGACAATGTTAGTGGCCGTCACCTTGGCGTAGTACGTCTGACCATGGGTCGCCTTTTGTGATAGACCTTGAAGCAATGCAAAAATAATTAGAACTTGTGACAAAATTGTTTCAAGTCTTATTGGTTTAGTGAGTTTCAATTTTCGTCACGTTTAACATCATTCCAGACTTATTAGGTGTTTGTTTGTTGTTTAAAGCCGCACTCAGCAATATTCCAGCTATATGACGGCGGTGTGTAAATAATCGAGTCTGGACTAGACAATCCAGGTGATTGACATCATGAGCATTGATCCACGCAACTGGGATACCATGACATGTATCTACCACTTGAGTGAGCCTGATCACCCGATCTCGTAGTCGCCTTTTACGTCAAGTATGCCAAGAGAATGAAGTCTGAAGTGTTTGGAATGAAACAAAGATGCTATTCCTATCTACCGTATGTGAGATACTTGTTCACGTGGCCAGCCAGCTTGACGGGTGCGAGGACGTCTTCCAGACCTTCGTGGGATCCCACGGTGAAGGTGAAGTCTCGCACCTTGCTCTGTGTGTCGTAGAAGCCTTCCCACGTGCACTCCAGAGCAGATAGCGGCTGTAAGCAATAGATACATTCATGAAGACATGTGCCATGTGTTATCAACAGGAGAGATCTCACACACGCACGCACATTAAAATATATATATATCATGCTTGAATGAAAACATTCAAATCATTAAAAAACAAGAAGAAAAAGTGAGCATGGCTCTCTAATACCCCCGATCCACCTAGTGTGTCAGTAGTTTCAAATTAAATAGCTAGGATAGGGTAAGGGTTTGAAAAATTCATTAAAAAAATGGAAATGAATAAAAAAATTAATTCTTTTGACTGCACCCCTCCATATGACACAGATTATATGTACTAAGTTTGAGATAAATCCACAGAATAGTTAAAGAGAAATTGCACGAACAAAGTCTTTGGACGGACGTTAGGGTTTGAAAAATTCATAAAGAAAATGGAAAATTAATAAAAACAATTTCTTCTTTTGACTGCACCCCTCCATATGACACAGATTATATGTACTAAGTTTGAGATGAATCCACTGAATAGTTTAAGAGAAATCGTGCGGACAAAGTTTTCGGATGGACGGACAGCTGACCTTGGTATAAACATGGATATCTGAATTTTGTACAAAGATGTTACAAGGGTGTAACTGTGTTATTTCAGTTGCCTTTGTACCATGGCTTAGGTAGTAATGTATTCATTATCAGATCCCCACCTTACAACCCAACACCCCAAGTCACATCATTATGTTTGTTGTTTAACGCCGCACTCAGCAATATTCCAGCTATATGATGGCGGTCTGTAAATAATCGAGTCTGGACCAGACAATCCAGTGATTAACATCATGAGCATCGATCCCCACAACTGGGATATGATGACATGCATCAACCAAGTCAGCGAGCCTGACCACCCGATCCCGTTAGTTGCCTCTTACAACGAGCACAGCCGCCTCTTACTGCAAGCATGGGTTTCAGCTGCTAAAGACCTATTCCACCCCCGATCTCCACGGGTAAATCATTATTTTATCGAAGTACCTTCACAAAACTACAATCTACACGTGTGTTGTCTAGTTTCTTTAATTGATGAAATACACCAAATGAATAATTGTATCAATCTGAAATATAAAGTTAATCAACACTCATCAATAGTTATTGAGAGATTCCTTAAATGGTGTTTTTTAAATATAAATAAAATATAGAAAATAAAATGCCTCCTGCCTCACATATAATTTTCTTCTAAAATGTGAGGCTGGAGGCATTTTTTAATAATAGATGAAAATCTAATAATTTATTCTGGCCTTATTTTAATATACCAGGACTTGTCTGATAATCGCTTTGTTTCTTACTTAGAACAACACATGAGGACATTCAACATTAACATTATGTGCAAAACCCTGAGTGAGTGAGTATGGTTTTACGCCGGTTTTAGAAATATTCCAGCAATATCACGGCGGGGGACACCAGAAATGGGCTTCAAACATTGTACCCATGTCAGGAATCAAGCCCGGGTCTTTGGCGTGACGAGCGAACGCTTTAACCACTAGGCTACCCGACCGCCCCGCAAAACCCTGAAGCAAGATAACATTAGTATTCATGAGAATCTATTTTGATCAAAGTAATGAGTCAAATAAACAAGAATGAAAGATGGCATGAGGAACAGAAATATCAATTGAGGCACACCTGTATGAAACCAGGACACTTCAGCACGCCCTCTGTTGGTGGAGTGGTATCAATCACCAACGAAGGGGAGACAACACTGGATGTTAGCCCGAGCTCATTCTCAGCAATCAGAGTCACAATGTTGGATTTGCCTGGGTGAAACAGAATGGAAGGATTTGATTGTTTTGTCACCAAGAAATAATATTAATCATACAGATTGCTGTTCTGTATACTGGAAAACGTGAAATTAATGAGTCTCCTAAAGAATGCGACCGCTGGCCCCTAGCCAAAAATGCGACACCCCCTCCTCTCAAGCATCAGTGGATTTATATCTAAACAAAATGTCCTCTGTCGGGTGAGGAGAATCCTCACCTTAATCCAACCTTACATTAATCCAATCACACACCAAATAGCGCCGCTTATTAGCGCTGAGTAGAGTACTTCAGCTAAAACAATACGTGGGCACTGGCTCGTGTTCGGTGGCGTCTGTCTGAACTTGCAGGTGTGATCAGTGATGACATGAGTGAGTAGAACGCTTGTCTTGACCCCAGCAGTGACAATTCACAGGATGTAATTAGTGTTTGAATGACTTGTAACAAGTGCTGCTCAATAAACAGTGATGTGGAATACATAGTTGTTTGTTTTCAGCGTATGTCTAAGTTGTTTTTTCTGCTATCCAAAATGTCTTATTGTTGATATAAATGTGATGTTTAATAATGCGAGCAAAGACCACTCGCATTTTTCGCATTTAATTCATGCTCGCGTTAATATCAAGATTTATAGTATATTAAACCAGTCAAGCGTAGCAATCATCAATCAAACTATGGTCGGACTCCTTGTCCACATGACCAAAGTGGTGAACCCAGTCAGCAAGGTGATAAGGTAAGTATGTCATCCATGGGAGGATTCCACACCCTGCTACACAAGCATCATATAACATGCTTTTATCGAAAAAAAACAACACCTGCACATTTCATCAATAAATTTACATGAGACCAATCGTGAGTGAGTGAGTGAGCGAGTATGGTTTTACGCCGCTTTTAGCAATATTCCAGCAATATCACGGCGGGGGACACCAGAAATGGGCTTCACACATTGTACCCATGTCGGGAATCGAACCCGGGTCTTCGGCATGACGAGCGAATGCTTTAGCCACTAGGCTACCCGACCGCCCCTGAGACCAATCGCAATTGGTAAATCTCACAAATATATCTTTATCAGAATCGTCAGGCAGTCAAGCAGGTTTATTTCAAGTCATTCCACTGAGATACCATGCTGAATTTCAACAATGATACCTTACTCAGACACATAAAACTGACTCCGGGCGGACCGGTCCTTGTTTTATCCCCTTATTGCCAACCACCAGGCAGGGTAACAACAAGTACCATCTTTTAGCTTTTTTGGTTTGATGCACCTAGGAATCCAACCCCCGACCTTCTGCTCTCTGGGCAGACGCTCTATCCACCAGGCCATGGAGGCGGTCCAACCATGCAGGATTTGGTGTATGCCCCTAACAAAGGCACTATTAACAACATTTTCACCTAAAGTCTGGAAGGTAATTTAAGGTACCGACCTTTACTACAATATCTGAAAAACTATTGGACCTACTCCAGTCAAAGTTGGTATGAGTCATACATAAGTGGATATTACATTTAAAGACAATCGGTGCATGAATAAAAAATCTGTCTATTTAGCTATCACTATATTTCATCAACAACCAGACCTGTTCGTCACGGGTGGAACGAGCATTCATTGAAACAGCCATCTGCATAATGCTACCCCTGCGTCACAGGGCCATTGAAACAGTTGAACCAATCAACTCAACTCGAAAGGGTGCACGGGAATCATGCACGTTGAGATGCCAAACGCTAACACCGTATTCGTAAATGTCGGTACCTTAAATTACCTTCCAGACTATAGACTGGGCTCCATGCCATGGACCCGAGTTCCTCTCAAGCACTAAGATTCTAGGTACACAACTGAACTGTCTAGAGCTTACCTTCAGCATTGGGGCTGACACCCGTGGGCAGAGCCCCGTCCCCTGAGGGTCGGAGGTCCACCTCCGTCCGGGCCTGCACATCTTGACCATGGGGGTAGGTCCCCACAGAGAAGAACATCTTCTTGACCGGACTCTCGCTGTCTGCCACTCTCCACGAGGTTGCCATGGAGTCCACCTCCGTCTGGTACAGCAGGGTGCTTGGCATCAGCAGGGACTTGTTACTCTCGGACCCAAAACTTTGTTAAGAAAAATCAGTTTTAACACAAATATATGTTTTACTGTTTCATTTTTCCCTAGCTAACGAAACTATGTTTTAAATTGAAAATATGATATTCATTATTTAAAGAATGGAATAAAGTTACTTTGCAACAAAGTCTCCTTCTTGGTTTGTCTGACAAGTACGTAGGTCCTTAAATGTTTTCTGTCGATGGTCTTTTAGTGAGTGTGAGTGAGAGTGTGATAAAGTTTGTCCTTGAAATTTCAACCGAGGTATCCTGGTGGCAAAGGGGTGCAACTCTGCTTATAGACCTCCGGTGACGTCATCCTATTGTTCTCTGGTTGGGTTAAATCTCATAAACAGAGACGTTGTAATATCCCCGGGATTTTATAGGATATTCAAGTCATATTTGCTATATAATGTGTTATAATATCCCAGGAATTTTATATAATGTCCTGGGTATTTTATTAATATAACTTCCGTTCAGATTGTAACATGTAATGAAATGTAAAATCAAAAGACAAATGTTTTCTTTATATTCCCGAGGATTGAACTCCCATCCTTCATATCTGTAGCCCAGTGAGTGTACCACAAGGCTACAGAGGTGTTGATAAGCCTCACTGCTTTTTAGAATGACCTTTTCAAGATCCGTACGCCAGCAACAGATATTTTACGCCCGTTTCCTAAGGTTCATGGGAAGTATGTTCGAAACATAAAATGTTGATAAATGTTGTTTTAAGGTTCAAAATCGGTTTATAAGTAAGATAAAACACTTTCCCTCGGGTTGTTATGATATTTAAAACCCTTTCCTCGGAAAATCCCTCGGGATGCGGGTTTAAATATCATAACAACCTGAGGGAAAGTGTTTTATCCTATACATAGCAACTGCCACCTGGCCAACCGTGGACCTGATCTATCAGCCCTACTACTGTTCATCCTGTTTTTGACCCTTTAAAGATTGACAGATGAATTTTTTCGGCAATTGGTAAGCATCCTATTTTTATCAACAGTTTCATTTAATCCACTCATCTGTATTATTTTGGATAATTAACTTTCTGTTACGACAAATCGGAGTGGAATACTTGACATACACCAACCTTTCAAAGTTAATGGCTGGAGGTGTCTGATCTACAACGATTCCATCCGATGTTGACTCGAGGATGTTCCCGGCATTTGTGATGCCTCTGATGGTGGTGTAGTAGCTGATGCCGGGGACGAGGGGCAGCACAGCCTGCCCGAACCCGTGACTCAGAGAACCTGAAATGGATAGGGACGATATGGTAAACATCCTATCTGTGGGAGGAGCTTGACAGTGTTGTCAGCAGAATATCACCTTGGTAGGGGCGATATGGTAAACATCCTATCTGTGGGAGGAGCTTGACAGTGTTGTCAGCAGAATATCGCCCAATATAATGTGGAAGATACTGAGGTGCTAAATCCACAAGATCATAATCAGGGCAAATCAGGGATTTAAACCTACAATCTGTTTGTTTGTTGTTTAATGATGCACTCAGCAGTATTCCAGCTTTATGATGTCAGTCTGTAAGTAGTCCATTATGACACCTGATCCCATAAGTCGCCTCTTATGACCAGCATGGGTTGCTGAAGAACAATAATAAACCTGGATCTTCATGGGAAGAGCCCTACAATTCATTGGAATCAGGCACGCCAATTAAGACCATTTTAAACATGTATTGTTCGTGATCATTAATGCATTTCTTATGGGCTCTGCTTTTACTCCAGATAACTAAGGAAACGGTTTTGCTGCTTTTATTTTAGTAATGAAAGCCTGAGAAACAGGATTGGGTGATCAGACTCGCTGACATGGTTGATGCATGTCTTCCCATCCCAGTTGCGTAGATCGATGCTTATAATGTCAATCACAGGATTGTCTGATCTAGAATCAATCATTTTAAAACCACAGTCATATGAATGGACTATTGCCCAGTGTAGCAGTTAAACAATGAACAAACAAACAAACAAACAAACAAACAAACAAACAAACAAAAAGTAGAAAATCATTGGTCAGTTTGTTGCTGTGTATATGTAAGCAAGGATTATATCCTACCTAAATATTATCCCGGGGGAAGTTTTACTCTACAGTATAGAATCCTACCTGAGTGCCACACTGGTATGGGTTCAAATTCACCAGGGACAATCATCCCGACACTAGAGAATTTCATTCCCGGGATAAAAAATAGGGTAGGATAATATTCACTCTCACATAATGTCATATGAATTACCAGGGACATTGGACTGCTTCTCCTCATGAACAAGACCAGCCTTAATAAACGGCTGTACTTCCTCGCCACCAGGTGTCGTCCCGACAGCCCAGTCGTAATATGTCACGCCATGCTCCTGACTCTCAAAACCGGCAAACTGAACTGTCATAACTCCCACGTCTTTCTGGTAGTCGATGTCGACACCGATGCCCTGTGATGCTGTTTCTGTGGAGTCAGCGCCGTCGATGGCGACACCTGTACGCAGAATATACATTATAACATGTTTTAAGTAAAAGGTATAGATACAAATATCAGGCATTTGTGATGCCCTGTGATGCTGTTTCTTAGGAGTCAGCACCGTCGATGACGACACCTGTATGCAGAAAACATATTGTAACATGTTTTAAGCAAAAGTTATAGATACAAATATCAGGCATTTGTACATAATAATGGGTTATCAGTTATCACTATTCTGTTAAACATATCATTTAGATATGAAAAACTACACAGTTAAGATCTATTCTGTAAACAAATTACCCGTGTCTCTACATTAGGGCTGTGACGAGTCAAAATTTACTACCCGGGTACCCACCACCCTATTACCCAACCCTACCAGGGTACCCGTTGTAGATATATAGATAGGTACAAACTGTCCGATTTGGAAACGTTTGACCGTCGCCCTGGCAAAATGTATTAAGATACACGTGGAAAACGATCTGGTCATGCATACACTGAAGTTAACTGCATGAAGTTTTATCTTTTTTCAAACATATAAAAATCAGAAGGAATGGGTGCATTGTCGAAAAGAAATGGGAACATTAGTGACTTGTAGTGTAACCATAGAGTTCTAGATAATTTTTGTCATTAAACAATATATCATGTGACCTTTTTGAGAACACCTGTTATCATCACAATCTGATAAACACATAATTATGATATAGTCAGGATCGTACAATGGAGATTTCTTATGATCAAGGAACTGTTTGTTGTCACTTTTTATATTGCAAATAAAAGCGCAACATAATAACACGGATCTTTGTATCCTGTACCTGGTTTATCTTCCTCAACTACCCGGATAGGATTTGAGGTGATGACGTCACTGGTCTGCCCAGCGCCATTGGTGGCCTTGACAGTGACATAGTACAGAGGGGTCATCTTCCCAGGGTCAGTCACAGTCAAGGTCAGACCACTGAGATACTTGTCCTTCTCTGCGCCAACATCCATCCAGTTCAGCACATCAGTTCCCCCTGGAAATGAGGGACATTACCTCATAAATACACTGCAAGTGATTCCGTGGGATGGGATTGTTGGCATACAAACCAGTGCTTGCGTATATACACTCTGCAGATCTAGGATTTGGATTTTATCTTTATACCTCCAAAGCGTTCGCTCGTCACGCAGAAGACCCGGGTTCGATTCCCGACATGGGTACAATGTGTGAAGCCCATTTCTGGTGTCCCCCGCCATAATATTGATGGAATATTGCTAAAAGCAGCGTAAAACCATACTCACTCACTCACTCACTCAATCACTCACTCACTCACTCACTCATACCTCCAAATCTTTGACAGAATACCCGTAAACACTATTTATAAAATTCAACATCAATTATAACCATGTTAGTTTTTTTTAACCATCTGGTTTCTTCAACTACCTGATTGCTGTCGACAATAAAATCATCTCTCCGATCAGGCTGATTTTAGACTGAAGAACTGTTTACCAAAGTGATCTTAAAGATGCCACCGTGGCTCTCATCCCTACAATGTCATACTTATTACTAAATAGAGGAAAATGTAAATACTGACTTGTGACAGTGAGTGAGTTGGGTTTAACACCGATTTCAACAGTATTCCAGTTATTTCACGGCGTGTCAGCTTAATGTTGGAGGAAAGCCCGAAGAGATGCAGGACGTTTACCACTTCGGAGAAACCCACGAGCAGGGGTATGGTGCTGACAAACCTAGAAACATAATCGGGGCGAACTGGGATTCGAACCCACAATCATAGGTTTCTGGCGTGCCCAAGGGAAGCAGCTCTGCACAGCGAATCGCGGGGCCTTAGACAACTGGATCACCCATGCCCCCCTGACTTGGGAGTAACAGGTGACAATGAAAATCATGTACAGAGGGAGTAGTAAAACAATTCTCACAAATTATTCAGATAGTAATATAACACATGCTTGTGATGTTGCTGGAATCATACCATGGACAGCTCTTAGCAGACATTTCTTATGATTATGGAGAGGGAATTGCCGCTTTTATTTACTTGACTCGTGGAACAAATTACATTTTGGACAAAACAATTTATGTTACAAAAAAACGAAAAATGTTTTTTTCGCCTCTATATGAATAAATATTTAGATGGCTGGACATGTTTCAGTACATAATAGATACTAACAATGTTTTCTGTTGTTGTTTTTTTACACTTCAGTGAAACTTTGTTGACAAATATCTAACACTTTTTACTGTCAGTCAATATACTGGTGGACACAATGTCGCTCCAAGATCAGGGCATATTCCATTTGGTCACTAAATCTGATCATTGGCGCACCGCATGTCTCGAACAACAGAATGCTTGTGTTTTCAGTGGTCCCTAGAGCAAGTTGTGGCAGTATCAGAAGGGGTACCCGGTATATCTGCTTTTATGCCTCCAGCATTGAGTACCTTACAAGGGACACATAAATCCCCATGTACCCTGAGTGATATGGCCACTTTCGAATTTATCTTTCTGACATGTTTAAATCAGCCATTGTAAAAGAATTAAAACAAATTGCAAATTGACAGAAAACACTTGTTCGAATGAGTTGAGGTTATCTTGGTGCTGTGTCACGAAACTTTCATTCACTTGTCACAACGTGCAGCTTTTTAGCTTTGTGGCAGGGTATAGGAGATTTATTCTCCTGCTTAGAAATCCACAAACAGTCTGTTTTCTTTGTGGCGGGGTATAAGCGACTTATTCACCCACTAAGTTTATTTCCCATGGTATTTTATCAAGATCATGGGAACCAATCAGATCTCTACATTCTGACCAATGAAGATCCGGGGTAGAATAGGTCTTCAGCAACCCATGCTTGCAATAAAAGGTGACTATGCTTGTCGTAAGAGGCGACTAACGGGATCGGGTGGTCAGGCTTGCTGATTTGGTTGATGCATGTCATCGATCCAAATTGTGTGGATCGATGTTCATGGTGTCAATCACTGGATTGTCTGGTCCAGACTTGATTATTTACAGACCGCCGTCATATAGCTGGAATATTGCTGAGTGTGGCATTAAACAACAATCAACAAACAAACAAAACAAACAAACATTCTGAGGTAAGATAATGGGGTTTAACTAAACATGGGTCAAGGTGACTAACTGACCTTCAGTTGTGCCGACAGCAATGGCGTATGAGCTGATGCCACTCTCGTGATCTGTGGCGAACCACGTGGCCATGATGCCGCTGTTGTCGGACTGGATGACATATCCATTGATCAACTCCTCGCTGCTGCCGGAGAAGATGCCAACATACACCCACTTCATCTGCAACCGTATCAAATATCAGGCTAAACACTGCAGCGACATATACAGACCTCTCCTGCATTACGCAGGACATGTATTCACTTGGTTTTCATTCATTCTGCAAACCGATGCCCGTGTAGCAGGCGTTGTGGTTAGAGTCAGGTTGACCTAACCAGTGATTGTCGGACTCACCTTGTCACACCCAACGCGAATCATCCATTTGTACATTTGTACAAACATTTCACTTACGGACGTCATATTTGATTGAGTGTGAGCGTTTTATCCCTTTTCTGCAATATTCCAGCAATGGGCTTCACACATTCTACCCTTGTAGGAATTCAACTCAGGCTATTGGTGTGTTAGACAACGTTTCAACTACGGGGCAACCCCACTGTCCAGTCTGGTTTCCAGGCACAAGGAAAAAATTTCATTTTGAAACCAAATTTGTACAATTTTTACAAGACAAGAATTTCAGTTTCATCATGGCAACTTAAAGTGCACGTTAGATGCTGACATTATTATTTGTAGACAAAAATGGGATTCAAACTCAAAGTTTACAGATTTGGGACACAGATTGTACCTGAGACTACTCAGCCACTTGAGTCCCCACGTGTGTTAGCACTCTTAAGTTTCAGAAACTAACAGGTATGTCTCTTAAGTTATATTTTGAAGAACTGTTATAGGGATGAGCAGATCCTGGCATGACTAAGGGACACAACTTTGCACAACAAATGTGCCAAAGTAGATAGGTGTCATAATTCACTTGTTCACATGTTCCAGTGTTTGTTCAGGCAAATACTTGACTTGCCTTTGCATGTGTTTATGACAAGTGCCACAGGATGGGCAGGATACACTCACTTTTACGGGAACACCAGGTTTCCTCACAAACTGATAGTGTTTCATGAACACATGCTTATGATATAGTCGGAATTGTACGATCTATGATAAGGAAACACTTTTGTCGCTTTTATTCACCTAGGTCACAGTGACATGGTTGGTGTCAGGCCATGGTTTGGTACTTTACTCACTTCAGGTTTTGAGTTGTCCAAAAGGACACCATTAGTGTCATATGTTGCCACAGCTCCAGCTTTGTTCACAGCGCCTACCCTGATGCTGTAGAGAGCTCCAGGCTTCAGGTCAAGCCCTGAGTGACTGACACTGGTGCTGAGCGGGTCTGTGACGGTGTTCCACCCGGTTTCTGAAACAGCAGTATAGGTTATTATACACATGCGACAGATATATTCAGACTTATAAACCCCCAGTGACGTCATCCTATTGTTCTCTGGTCGGGTTAAATCTCATAAACAGGGACCCTGTAATGTCCCTAGGATTTTATATAATATCCCCGAGATTTTATAGGATATTCAAGTCATATTTGCTATATAATGTGTTATTATATCCGATGGATTTTATATAATGTCCTGGGTATTTTATTTATACAACTTCGGTTCAAATTGTAACATGTAATGAAATGTCAAATCAAATGACAAATATTTTCTTTATATTCCCGAGAAACGAACACGCAACCTTCGTATCTGTAACCCAGTGAGTGTACCACAAGGCTACAGAGGCGCTGATAAATCACAATGTTTTTAGGATGTCCTTTTCAAGATCCGTATGCAAGCAACAGATATTTTACGCCCGTTTCCTAATGTTCATGGGAAGTATGTTCGAAACATAAAAATGATAAATGTTGTTTTAAGTTTCTTTTTTCGGTTCGTAAGTTAGATAAAACACTTCCCCTCGGGTTGTTAGTGATATTTAAAACCCTTTCCCTCGGAAAAATGCGGGTTTTAAATATCATAACAACCTTCGGACGTGTTTTATCCTATACATACAAACCTTCATATAAATTATTATCCTTAAACACTACGGGTATCTGGTTGACAACATTTTCCAAGGAATCTACTGCATGGTGTGAGAGGAGATAATAATAATAATAATAATAGGCCATTTATAATGCGTATGTTTCCACACCACACAAGGGCATGCTCAAAGCGCTATTACCCTGGTCCCTAGATCAGTTTGCACTGAACAATCATTCTCAACTCCCTGGGGAGTATACAACCTAATATATTAAGCTGCCTGTGAGGTGCTAGAATGTTAACAACCACATTGACATCTCATCCTTCCGGGTACCCATCCACTGCTGGGTGAACTGAACCACATTTCGAACAAAGTCACTTGCCTAAGGAGACACCACGTGTGGTACATGTGCTTCAGTGTGGGGCAGGACCGAAGCCCTAGAAACTCTCAGGAGTCAAGCTGCTGAAATGCAGTCACCCATCCAAGGACTCTCTGCGACTGACGTTGCCTACTTCACCTGACCTGTGACCTGTGACCTGTGACCTGTGACCTGTGCACAGGACCACGTGCCACCTCACGTTGGATCACGCGGTCAGGTTTGGTGACTTGCCTGTGATCATACCTCAAAGGTATGGGATTTGTTAGTTTGTTTGTTGTTTAACGCCGCACTCAGCAATATTCCAGCTATATGACAGTGGTCTGTAAAATAATCGAGTCTGGACCAGACAATCCAGTTATTAATATTAACAGCATTGATCCACGCAATTGGGATCGATGACATGTATCAACCAAGTCAGCGAGCCTGACCACCCGATCCCGTTAGTCGCCTCTTACGACAGGCATAGTCGCCTTTTACGGCATGCATGGGTTGCTGAAGACCTATTCTACCCCGGATCTTCACGGGTCTCAAAGGTATGGGACATTGCTCCCAATATCAACCATTGGTATCAGTGGCCCAACCTCGATCTGTTTATCAAATTTACACAATCTGATTGTGATTTGAATGGAATTAATTATTTGTGTGCAATCAATTGACCCACATAATACATTAAACATTTATTATAAAGTTTACACACTTACCCGGGTGGATCTGATGTTTGTTTCCATGGTATCTCTGATACACCTGATATTTGAAGTGGTCAATACCAGATTCATCATCATAAAATCGGAAGTTGGCCTCCACAGTTGAAGCAGAGAACTGGAATTCAGAAAATAACACCGGTTGATATAATGCCACTGTTATGAGAAACACTTTGACAATATAATGTTATACAGCTGTACTTGTTTTGAGACCCATGGAATCTGGGTTAGAATTGGTCTCCAGCCACCTCTATACATGCTGGTTGTAGGTTTGTTTGTTTGTTTGATGTTTAACACCACACTCAGCAATATTCCAGCTATTTGACGTCGGTCTATAAATAATCGAGTCGATCCACCCAATTGGGATACGAAGACATGTATCATCCAAGTCAGCGAGCCTGACCACCCGATCCCGTTAGTCTCCTCTTACGCCAAACATAATCACCTTTTACGGCAAGCATGACCTATTCTAACCAGGATGCTTGTCGTAAGAGGCAACTTACTGGATCAAATGGATAACTCAATGATTTTGTTGCCTTGGACACTGTTCATAAAATCTATCACTGGTTTGTCTGGTCCAGATTTACAGACAGTGTCGTAGCTGGAATATTGCCGAGTGCTGCATCGATAAACAATCTTTCACCACTGTGTTATAATCATGATTCTAATCATAGTTATAGGGTAGGCTAGTGGTTTCAGTGTCCACATGTCACAGCGAAGACCCAGGATCGATCCCCAATATTAAACACCAAACAATCAAAAGATGCCCTGAAGATATCCTCTCACCTGGAAATCTGCATCCCTTCCTGCATCGCTTCCATCCCCCAGGAATGCCATCCTTGGTGGAGTCAGGTCCACAACAAAGCCATTGGTGGAGTCCTCAATGCTGCCCAGGGCGTTGTTGACAGCCTGCAGCTTTGTCTTGACAACATCACGATGACTGAGACGGAAGTTGTGCCACTCGACCTCACTCGTGTCCTTGGAGAGTGTTCTCCAACTCCTCAACACCTCAAAGTCGGAGGACAGGTTCCTGGAGGAGAACAACATCATCATCATAGAGGTGAGGTGAGGTAGGGGTGAGGTGAGGTGAGGTGAGGTGAGGTGAGGTGAGGTGAGTTGAGGTGAGGTGAGTTTAGATGAGGTTTAATGTCGTGTCCAAGATTATTGCATTTGTTTGTATAGCGACGTGCATGCACGTGTATGTGGCTGCTTGTACTAGTCCGGACTGATGCCCATTTAATCAGAATCGCAATGTAAACTCTTTACATCCATGTATGCACATTGTATGCAATACTCGACGTTGGATAAAACCCTGTTGAATATTTCAAGGTCGGTCTCTTAACACATACCTTGTTCTGAGGTCGTCCCCTTAACATGTACCTTGCTCTGAAATCAGTCTCTTAACACGTACCTTGCTCTGAAATCAGTCTCTTTACACGCACCTTGCTCTGAGGTCGGGCCCTAACACGCACCTTGCTCTGAGGTCGGGCCCTAACATGTACCTTGCTCTGAGGTCGGGCCCTAACACGTACCTTGCTCTGAGGTCGGGCCCTAACACGCACCTTGCTCTGAGGTCGGGCCCTAACACGTACCTTGCTCTGAGGTCGGGCCCTAACACGTACCTTGCTCTGAGGTCGGGCCCTAACACGTACCTTGCTCTGAGGTCGGGCCCTAACACGTACCTTGCTCTGAGGTCGGGCCCTAACACGTAACTTGCTCTGAGGTCGGGCCCTAACATGTACCTTGCTCTGAGGTCGGGCCCTAACACGTACCTTGCTCTGAGGTCGGGCCCTAACACGTACCTTGCTCTGAGGTCGGGCCCTGACACGTAACTTGCTCTAGGGTCGGGCCCTAACACGTAACTTGCTCTGAGGTCGGGCCCTAACACGTAACTTGCTCTGAGGTCGGGCTCTAACACACACCTTGCTCTGAGGTTGGGCCCTAACACGCACCTTGCTCTGAGGTCAGGCCCTAACATGTACCTTGCTCTGAGGTCGGGCCCTAACACGTACCTTGCTCTGAGGTCGGCCCTAACACGCATCTTGCTCTGAGGTTGGGCCCTAACACGTACCTTGCTCTGAGGTCAGGCCCTAACACGTACCTTGCTCTGAGGTCGTCCCTAACACGCACCTTGCTCTGAGGTTGGGCCCTAACACGTACCTTGCTCTGAGGTCGGCCCTAACACGTACCTTGCTCTGAGGTCGGGCTATAACACCCACCTTGCTCTGAGGTTGGGCCTTAACACGTACCTTGCTCTGAGGTCGGGCCCTAACACGTACCTTGCTCTGAGGTCTGCCCTAACACGTACCTTGCTCTGAGGTCGGCCCTAACACGTACCTTGCTCTGAGGTCGGGCCCTAACACGTACCTTGCTCTGAGATCGGGCCCTAACACGCACCTTGTTCTGAGGTCGGCCCTAACACGTACCTTGCTCTGAGGACTTCCACAGCATATTCTCTGATGTTGGACTCCGGGTCAGTATAGCCCCTCCACTGGGTAGCCACTGTGGCCACGTGCAGGCTGAACGCTGTGTCAGTGAAGTTGGCACTTCGTCCGTCCACCACCTCGCCAGCCACGGGAGGGGTCAGGTCAACAATCACTGAAAGGGAATTACTAATGTGTGAGTTGTCTGTTTTTCACCATACTTCAAGCCATATTCCAACCACCTGGTACATCATATTGGTCGGTAAGTAATGAAGTAAACCAGGTAGATGAGTCATCAACAATGAACGAAGCATCACTAACCAATCCATGTTGCACCCTGTACAACAGGCATAAGTTGCTGGGGCCCTTAATTCTAACCCAGAATGTCCACTGGATGGACTAATAAGTGAGCTGGACTTAGTGACGCTCTAAACAGTATTTCAGTTATCTCTGACATGTCAGCTTTGGAGTTACATACAAATATACAGGCGCAATGTCACATCTAATTCTTGGTTGAGAAGGTTTATAGATGTCTCTAGCACCAGCATTAAAACGTTTCAAACATACTGTTTCCTAAGCAGCTATTTACTTCAGCTTTGTTTCTGATTTTTTAGATAAACTGTCAAATCTCATATCTTACTGGGGACTAGCCATGAGGATACGGGTTAGAATAGGTCTTCAGCAACCCATGCTTGCCATATGATGGATGTCTTCTATCCCAATTGTGTGGATCGATGATATGATGTCAATCACTGGATTTTCTGGTCCAGATTCGGTTATTTACAGACCGACGTCAAATAGCTGGAATACTGCTGAGTGCGGTGTTAAACATCAAACAAACAAACAAAAACAAACAAATCTTACTGGGGGCACAGATGGCCCAGTCATTTGAGGAGCCACAGTTTGCTGTGCAGAGTTGCATCCCTTGGGCACGCCAGAAACATGATTGTGGGTTCGAATCCCGGTTCAGCCTGATTATGTTTGTTAGTTTGTCAGCCCCATACCTACGCCCGTGGGCTTGACTAAAGATGGTGACACCTGCATCACTTCAGGATTTCCTCCCACATTATGCTGAGACCTCGTGATATAACTGGAATACTGTCCAACCAAATTCACTCTCTCACATGTCCACCTCATCACACAAAATACACAAAAAAAAATTCACAAGAATAACGTTTGTGGCCCTTAATCCAACACACCTCCGTCTGATGTTGACGTCACGTTCAGTTGTTTATGTCCAGCGTTGAAGGCTGTCACGCTGACCGTGTATCGCTTGCTGTGTTCCAGCAGCTGGTCAGTGGGCATGTCCACGCATGTCTCGTGGACCTTGTGGTCAACATCGAATGGCTGGGAAATGGCGATGCCGCTGTCGCTTAAGACGATCACCTCGTAGTGGGATATGCCGGATTCAGGGTCGTAGAAGTTGAACCAGTTTGCGCAGATCTGATGAAATACAAGATTTTTTAGCAAAAGCACAGGCAACAAGGGTCTTGTACATGCACTTATTAGAGAAAACCCCTTTAAACCCCTTTCAATTACATCATTTTTGTCGTGTTTTTTTGTTGTCTAATGCCACACTAAGCAACAGTCCAGCTATATGACAGCAGTCTGTAAATAATCGAGAACAGACAATCCAGTGATTGACATCATGAGCATCGATCCACGCAGCAATATTCCAGCTTGCCTGACCAAACGATCCTGTCAGTTGCCTCTTACAAGCAAGGCCCGGGTTACTGAAGACCAATTCTAACCTGGATCTTCATGAGAATCTATTATATCAAGGCGTGTTAGTTTCATGGGTAAAAAGTCTAAATTGATGCAGGTCTTTGGCGTTTACCATATATGGAAACATGAGAATGGATATGGTAGTGAAACACCAAGGATCATAATCAGGGCAAATCTGGGATTCAAACCCATATTGAGCGGATCCTGGCATGGCTGACGATCACAACTGTACATGGCAAATGGGGCTACCTGTATTCTCTTTAAAAATAACTATGTACATGGAAGTACATGTATGAAATATAAATTAACATTTTACAGCTTGGATTCTAACAGTAAAACACAATTGTAATCTCATAGTGTATATTGTAAAAATGAACAGACGATTCTGTTGTCACCTCTTGTTAAAAGACCATGATGTATTGTTCTATATATACCTTGTCAGCATCCTTTGTGAAGTTGAGGTCGTGTTTATACACAGGGCCATCATACACGGTGCCTGCTATAGGAGGTGAAGTGTCGATGACAATAGGATGGTCGGCCACGCCCACTCGCATCAGATCAACTGAAGACAACATAATTTTTGGGGCTAATGTTAAAAAATACATTCCATAATTATATTTTTAAAAAGGGTAAGGATTGCTTCTCAATTTATATTGCTGGTCACTATGAAAATCATTTTTTTTTAATGCAAATAATATTTTTAGATTGATCTAGTGGATGAAACAAAAACACAAAGCAACATCAAGCATGGTTTGTTTTTTAAATTGAGATTTAATTAAATGGTTTCCACATGGATCTGTATTGGAATATGATGTTCTGAAATTTATTCACAGACATGATGGAAATATTTTTCTATTTTGATTCTCAACTTACGAGTTTTTATTTGTTGAATCCATAAACTATATATATATATATAAATCTCAAAAGATGCATGATCAATATTCACATATGATGGCATTTATTTTCTTAAACATTTAATATTTGTAAAGATGTTGAACTATAGACACAAGTATATGGTTCTGTACCGTGGTTAATCGCTCTGACTTTGACCCACACTGGGATGCCTCCCGGAATCTGGAATGTCCTCGTTATACCATGATCACTGTGGTTGGATCTCTGCCATTCAAGATGGTAGCAGTCACGTGTTGTCTGACCCAGACAAAGGTCAACCTCTCGGATGTCCGATTCAGGATCGCTACAATTATATTTCATAACGATGTCAATGCTGAAACATTATGGATCAGTCGCATACCTGATTAACATTATGTTGCTATTTATAGAAGTACAGTTGAACTAGAGGCACCTGAGAAAAAATTCAACGCCATTCCCCAAAACAAACTGATATGGCGTGGTCAATCAGTTCAACACAAAAGTGAAGGAGACGCATCAGAGTTCGACACAACGGTGTTTTAGTGTACCGTATTCGACGTAATAAGCGCCCCGCTCTAATAAACGCCCACGGCGGTATTTGCTAATATATTGGCTAGTGAACAATCCCAATTAGCACCCTTTCCGATTGATCAATGTACACAAGACTTATTTATTTGCTTACAATACGCACTCGTGTGTTATATGCACCCTTAATTATGGGCAATTAAATTCTAGAAAAATATATCTGTCGTACATAAACATTTCAGGCTGTCAGCATAAACCACAAAATTTATCTTTCAACTCTGTTTTTTTCACCAAAATAATATTCTAATAAGAGCTCCCTATTTCTAATTTTGAGAGCGCCCTGAGCGCTTATTACGTCAAATACGGTATATATAAAACAGGTTAGTAATACAACCATAACTTACACATGATTATGTCAGTCGTCAGAATTTAATCAGATATCAGGATTTTATTTTGGAAATATTAATGTATTAATTAGGGGTATCTGGACAAGTCAAATTCAGATTGTAATCAATTCCAGTGTATTCTGTCATGAATTAAAACAATCGGAAGTCTTGACAGGGCTTTACAAGATGGTTCACTGCTAGCCACGAAGCATACCTTGCGTTGTATTTCGCTGTGATGACGTACGTATCCTCGTCATACTCTACGTCATACACTTCGTGCACAAAGGGCTGTGTGTTGTCGATGCCTAGGGGTGTCGTGTGGCAGATAGTTGTCACCAACGGCCCTCCGTACTCCACGTTGTTCAAGGCTCGCAGAGTGATGTAATATTTACCATCTGCAACATGATGAAGATGTTACAAAAGGTTGTTGGAGAGTGTGAAACTTTTAAAATTGCCATCTTACCGGCTCTCCCAATCTCATTAAAATCAGACCTTAGTTCTCGCTACAGCTAAACAAAGATCTGAGGACATCCCATTACGGGTCACGTCAGATCGACCTCGCGCGAACTTTGACCGACCAATAGAATGACCAATCAGAAGGCAGCTTTCTCGTGCTTTACGGCACTAGTTTCAAATTGGCGACTACACTTCGAAACATATTTTGACAAATTCTCGATTACAAATTTGAAACCTAAACGAAAGAACGTTTTGGAATGGCTAATAGATGGTCTAGATTGTATGGTAGTCGTTAAACCTGTGACTATCGTTCGGAATACAACATGTTAAAGTTTTCGAGGCTGCATGATTAGGAATCACATTCCGACTGTCACTTTCATAATCTGGTAAGCGATGCTCTGATTGGTTGGATGAAAGGTCGTTCTGACGTGACCCCTAATGGGATGTCCTCAGATCTTTGATTAGCGGAAGCGAGAACTGAGGTCTGATTTTAATGAGATTGCTTAAGACAAGGTTTGAATTTAAGGAATTTCTAAAGCATCTGAGGGAAGGTTTCAGTGTACCTGGAAGAGGGTTCATCGCATCAGGTAAAGCCGTGATGAGTCCACTGTTGGTCCACTCCGACTGGTCAAACAGGTGCCTGTGAGGGTCATGGTGGGGGTGGATGAGCTCCTCACAGACCTGTCTCCCCACCGTCCACGAGTAACCAAGGATACCGGACTCTTTGTCCATGATGCCATCCCAGTTCGCTGCAACAATGCATATTAAGGTTATTCTCTCCTTTATAAACCTACTGGCTGTTTGTGTAACTCAATATGGAGTTTTTGAAATTGTGGTAACACCTCGGAGGAGGTATTACAACGATTGTAACACCTCGCAGGAGGGCTTACAATCATTGTAAACCCTTGATAGAACAAAAACTACGAACAGCCTACGAGACGCACGTGCAGATTTCGTGCCATTGCAAGACGCATGGCAGATTTCGCACCGTTGCGAAACCCACGTGCTGAGGTCACCGGTTTCATTGAACCGAGTTCACGACTGCATGCAGTATTTCATCTCCGATACAGGTTATACATTTGAGAGTTTTTATTACAGTTACTTAATTAAAAATGTTGTCTATGCGAAGAGTCGGTTTATAAGTTGGACACCATGTCTCCTCGAGATTACTAGAGATTGTAAACCCTCACATTCGGGAACGTCCCTCATGTGAGGGTTTACAATCTCTAGTAATCCCTCGGAGACATGGTTTCTCCTACACATAGCCAAGGCAAACCAATGTACTAGATCTCTATTTCATCATCATAAATACCCCGGTCCTTTGAATCACCACAGTTTAGTGATGTCACTCTTTCACTGGTGTTTTAAGCAGCCTACTCTTTACGTATTTGGCTCAAAACAAAGCAATTGTAGCGGACTGTTCTGGGTTATTTGTCATAATAGAATAGATGTATAACACACTGGAATATCGAGGATGTCTCTTTTTGTAGATTCGAGGCAACACAAATTGTTCCTTTTCTTTAACATGATACATAAAATCAGAGATATATAGCAACTTAAAGGCTACGATGCTATAGCAAATTGGCAATTCCAGTAAGTCTGACTCTGATCGTTAAAAACACCAAAGGTTTAGATATCCTAAAAAATTACACCATTCACACATAGTGAAAGAGCATTCAGCAACAGAAGCTGGCAGTGTAAGTCCTAATGATGAACATACAGCGAAACCCTTCAAAATGACAAATTCTTGCTTGTCTTTTAGATACCTTAACTGCAGGGCAGTTTGACAAGGTCTATAGGACTAATGCCAATATTTATCGCTGCCATTAATCCTGAAGCCCCACAATATGGTGATCACTGATGGAGGCGTCAATTCACATTTGCAAATAACCATATTTTTCTATCAGGATAATTTCATGAAGGTACTTAATGTTGTCCCTCTAACTGAATTTCAGAAGGCAAAAATACCCGACGTGTGTGATATGACGTGAGAAACAAAAGACCTCTTTCTTTGTCCAAAACCTCCACATATCATTAAAAATTATATGCTAAATAAAATATCAACTTGCTTAAGAACTGAACAAAGAATTGTTTTTGCCAATTATCTCAATCACTCGTTCCTTTTGATATTTGCCAACTTGTTGCAATCACTCCATGTTATTATATTGGGATGAGGCTGATCTTATGACATGTGAATATTTTACATACACGCCACATATCTGTTGGCTCTGGTATAGAGCAGATCCGTCAAGGGTTCATCACCATTAAAGAGGGTCATTGAACCTGGGCCGTCATGAAGAGTTCTGAAAAAAATGTGGATACTGAGTGAATCAAGTTCAGTGGATACTGGCACGGTTAAGGGACACAACTCTGCACAGTACATCCAGCGTGGGGTCCAGTTGTCAGGCTCTATGATCCATTCGCTGCATGTTATCTTATCCAATGACACGGATCATGCCTCATGCTTTCATTTCCTGGCCTTCAGGCTGCCATGATAGAGCCTGAACGTTGACAACTGTGACTCTAAACAATATTCACTCACGTCTTTACTCTGCAGTGTTTAGTTCTTATGACTTTGTTGTTTAACAATGCACTAAGCAATCTTCTAGCCATGACTTGGTTTGTAAATATTTAAGTGAGTAGGGAGCTGAGAGAACAATTGAAACAAGCTGAATGACATTGAGGCTCTTGTTGTTAATATAGATAAACAAAATGACGTCACATCCATAGTACTGAGCATGCTCTGTAGAAAAAATATTGCATTCTGGGATAGAAAATTGTAACTCGATACAGAGAAGAAATGTGATCGTTCACGGACGATTCTGAATGATTAATGACAACTGGAAATAAAGGGAAAAACCTTACGTAGGTGACAAATATATACATCTGTTGTGTAGACATCAATGTAAATAATAGGTGAAAGGCTATGTTGATCACTGCTCAAACAAAAATATAAAATTAATATTGAGTAAGTGAGTATGGTTTTACGCCGCTTTTAGCAATATTCCAGCAATATCATGGTAGGGGACACCAGAAATGGGCTTCACATATTGTACCCATGGGGGAATTGAACTTGGTAAAGAATTGAATCTGGACCAGACAATCCAGTGATTGACATCTAAAGCATCCATCTATGCAGTTGGGACACAGTGACGTGCAGCAAAGCACCTGACCACCTGATTCTATTAGACGCCTCTCACTTTGTTCATTTGAAAGAAAACACAATATTGAACGCAGATGTAAATTTCTTATCCAATATACTTTAGTGTTCCCTTACTTTTTCCCATCAGTATACACATGTATTTCTTCATTGAAACTACATTGTGTTTACGAGGACATCAACTTGTTGTACCTGTGGTTTTTTACATCTCCATCGATGCCTCTGCACCTTTCCTCCCAGTCCGGGCGGTCGTCAGGGACGACACTTTTACAAAGAGTCACCTCCAGCATATCAACAGTGACATTAGCAACAGGGCCTGCAAGTACACACACAGTATTTTTTTAATAAGCCAACAAGGTGAATACATAACGCTTTACCTTATTTTTTCTGCATGACCATATTTCTGTTGCCTTTCAATTTAGAATTCACATCAAAACAATGAAACACAGAAGTGGGAGGTATATCCGGAGACCTCTTATACCAGTTGAAGTCAAACCATCCATAGACTGATTCAGATAAAAACAAGCTCCGGTTGTGTTCCGGTCGGTGTTGGATGCAGTCGAGATAAGATGGTGATTGAGGAGACATTAGTTTTGAAGTATTGCGGCCACCTACAGTCGTATCACTAAGGCTGAAAAAAATAATAGTCTTGGATCTCAGGAATTTTGACTGGTGGCAGCGATAGTATAGAGCTCCAGAAACGGGATATCGCTATGAGATTCTTTACTGTGCATCTCGTTTTATGGTCAAGGTGACAATAGGAGTTTGTCTGCTTGTTTTGACAATTGCAAATTTGGTCAATGAAAACATGAAATTTACGATAAAACATCACAAGACATGAAGATTTACAAATTCAACAGTAGTTTTACCAAACAAAACCCAAAACACCGCCCATCCACACTATATTTTCTAAAGCCATTGCCTGAGAACCAATTCTTTTCTTTTTTAAGCCTAAATAACATGTCACTAGTCCATTGTGTAGTTACTGTAACAGATGACCTTGAAATGAAACGAAAACAGACCAAAACAATCCGTTACACGATACCTGGTTCGGGTGGGGTGAGATCCACCACGATGCCCCGACTGTGTAAGATGTTCTCGAACATGAGGGAGTTGATGATGTGGAGGTTGAAGAAGTACATGGCTTGGTGACGGAGGGACAGGTCCTTGTAGATAAACTCGTAGGCAAGCCCAACCCCAAGGCGCTCATAGTGGGTGTACCGGCCAGACTACAACATAAACAACCCAAATGAGTTCGGTTTTATACCGCTTTTAGCAATATTCCAGCAATATTACGGCTGGGGGACACCAGAAATGGGCTTCACACAATGTACCCATGTTGGGAATGGAACCCGGGTCTTCGACGTGACGAGCGAACGCTTTAACCACTAGGCTACCCGACCGCCCCCGTACTTCAAGACAAGTGTTACTTTGAGGTCATTGCACTGATATGGACTCTGATGGAACCATAATGTGTTATATGACCTGAACAATATATCAAAAGAAATGAGTTTGGTATCGTGGTTTGACGGTGTGTGCAACTCACGCTAGAGATCCTGTAGTCGTGTCCTTCAATGGCTTCCAGCAGTTCACACTCGCCACTCACGCCATAGTCGTAGTTGAAGCTGAGACACTTGGTCTCCAGGTACTTCATGCATTCCTTGGCACATTTCCCTGCGTGGTTCATTCCAGTAAAGGTTGCAATGACTGGCCCGGTCAAGCGGCCATCCTTCAGACCCGTGAAGCGTTCCAGAGCCACGTGACCCACTGGGTCGGTTGAGGCTGAAAATTAAATTATAACAGTAAGTGAATGAGTGAGTATGGTTTTACGCCGCTTTTAGAAATATTCAAGGAATTTCACGGTGGGGGACACCAGAAATGGGCTTCACATATTGTACCCATGGGGGAATTGAACTCGGTAAAGAATTGAATCTGGACAAAACACGTGTACAGCCAACTCGACGTCAACAAATATTTTCCAATCATTTTTAAGTTTTTAATCAGGGTGCTCACATGATTTGATGCATTTCGCGAAGTAAGACCCATTTGACTACAAAATAGATTATTGATCAGATCGTCTTCACTGGGCAACACCATTTTATTTGAAGTGCAAGTTTGTTTGTTTGTTGTTTTATGCCGCACTCAGCAATATTCCAGCTATATGATGGCGGTCTGTAAATAATCGAGTCTGGACCAGACAATCCAGGGATTAACATCATGAGCATCGATCCATGCCATTGGGATCGATGACATACATCAACCAAGTCAGTGAGCCTGACCACCTGATCCTACAGGTCTTGAAGTGCAAGTTATATGAGCGGTGGAATCTGATTGGTCAAGGGGCATAACTTGTAATAGCTACTGGTGGTGCTACGACCGAGCCCAGAAATTCCAGTCTCGTTCCGCAAGGGTGGAAACTGGACTTTTACATTCAGTTAACTCCCTTGCCTGGGGAAGATGGGCTGGGAAAAATAATGTTCCATCTATCAACGTCTTTTGCATGATGTGGCATAAGTGAATTTGTCCTTGTACTAGTCTGCCATATGCTGATTTTATAGTGCCATCGAGATACCATGCCACAGATTACCATGGATACAGTAAAATAACTTCGATCAAACAAGTGCCAGGCAGGGTAACAACAAGTGTTATCATTAACTGTCTTTTATTTGCTGCTAGGGGATCGAACCACTGACGGGGCGGTCGGGTAGCCTAGTGGTTAAAGCGTTCGATTCCCGACATGGGCACAATGTGTGAAGCCCATTTCTGGTGTCCCTCGTCGTGATATTGCTGGAATATTGCTAAAAGCGGTGTAAAACCATACCCACTCACTCGGACCACCAACTTCCATTCTCTGGCAGATGCTCTATCCACAACACCATGGGGTGGTGCCTAACGTTATGGCCAGCAAAACAATTAAGAAGTATCCACTTTTCTTGTTTACTTACCATCATAAGCTTTGTTGTTCCTCGTCTTAAGATCGATGGCGTTGAACGCAATGACCTCATCTCCATAGATTCCTCGGCCCAGACCGACGCCGACATTGGATACTGTGAGATCCGAATCTTCATACACCACGACGGAAGCTCGAAGTTCTGATGGACTGCTGGTAGATTTGAAGTCGGCTGTCAGTCGACCACCGGGAAGTGTCACGTCATATGTCGGAATGTTACATGTCACCTCTGACCTCACACCCGCGCTGTTCTCGCCAAAAACGGTGAAATACATCGGGACTCCATGTTTAGAGAATCTCTGGGAAATAGATCAAACAGGGTATGACACATCACCACAATTATGTTATATTTCAAAATTATTTCACACAAATTTTAACGCTGCCTTGAACATTATTTCAGGAATATCATCAGGTGTCAGCATGAGTGAGTGAGTGAATATTTATAGTCACATCGGCAATATTTCAGCCATATCGTGACAAAGGTGTCCTCATGAAAGACATAGACGCTTACCACTTTGATGAAACCTAAGAGCACATCCAATAATGGTATTTGTGGAGAATCCTTGGATTCAACCCACGGTCACTGGAACCTGGCATAACTAAGGTACATAACTCTTCACAGAAAATTGAGATGCATCAGACCACCCCGCTCATGTATCATGAGTCACAAAAGTCACATGACACATGTTTTTATTCTCTGCCAAACTTCAGAACTAATATAACAGTAATATGCAACAGTTGGCCCTTTATAATACACTATTTCATAACGTGTATTTATTACCTATAGGGTTAGAAATATCCGAGTTCATAAAAATCTTATGTGCAGTAGTGCAAATATCACTTCTCGCGCACCATGTTATTGTGTTCGTCATCTGGACGGCATTGTTGACGTCATTCAAATCTTATTGTGACGTAAGGTAGGAATGACATCACACCAGAAATGACGTCATCGTTGAAGACTGTTGACGTCATTCGACAAATTGTGGTTTTCTAGGTCATACTGAAGAACTCATGTATTACCCTTTCTTTTGCTCATATAAACGTAAAATCAGTATGACACACATAATCGTGTAAAAATCTCTATTTTCAGACTGCCTCCGTGGTCTAGTGGTATAGCGTCTGCCCGGAGAGCGGAAGGTCCGGGGTTCGATCCCAGGCCGCGTCATACCAAAAGACGCTAAAAGATGGTACTTGTTGTTACCCTGTCTGGCGCTCGGCATTAAGGGGCTAAAACAAGGACTGGTCGGCTCGGAGTCAGTATACTGTGTCTGAGTGGGGTATTCATGTTAAACTGCGGCATGGTATCCCAGTGGGCTAGCACTATAAATCGGCATCAGTCCGGACTAGTACAAGCAGCCACACACACACACGTGCATGCACGTCGCTATATAAGTGCAATAATCTTGGACGCGACGTTAAACCCAATTTCACCTCACCTCACCTCTATTTTAAGTATCACTTCACCTGTGTAATGATGGTAGATGGGCCCCCGAGTCCAGCCTTCTTGAGGACATCGCTGAGACCGGGTTTGGTTCCTGCGTCCAGGAAGAGTTCCACCTGACTTCGGTCGTCCTGAGCCTGCACAGCTATCTCTATAGCCGGCTGAGTGTAGTCTCGCTCGGGCAGCTGCCGCACGGAACACTGGGTCGTACTGGCGGCTCGCTTGGAGCGGGAGTTGCCCTGGAACAACAAGTCAAGGGTTTGTGATGCTGTTATACAACAATTAATGATATCGTATTCGATGTAATAAGAGCCCCGCTCTAATAAGCACCCACTGCGATATTTGCTAATATATTGGCTAGTGAACAATCCCAATTAGCACCCCTTCCAATTGATCAATGTACACAACACTTATTCATTCGCGTATAATACGCACTCGTGTGTTTTTTGCACCCTTAATTATGAGCAATTAAATTCTGGAAAAATGTATCTCTCGTATATAACATTTCAGGCTGTCAGCATAAACCAGAAAATATATCTTTCAACCCTGCTTTTTTTCCACCAAAATAATATTCTAATAGAGCCCCGTATTTCTAATTTTGAGAGCGCCCTGGGCGCTTATTACGTCAAAATACGGTAATAATCTGGAATAAATAAATTGCCTGTGATTCCTTTTCATTTGCTTAGCTAACCAAGGAATTTATTGAGCGTTTATGTTTCCATAAACTGAGAAAAAAATAGGCCACGCCTGACAATGGACTGCTGTTCCCTGATTGGCTGATAAAAGAATGGGCAGGGCTTTTGTTGCATCATTGTGCTGAAAGATGTTACTGATTTTGTATCGTCTACATTTGTTTTTGCATTAATCATTAAACAAGCAGTCTGTGAAGTTATTGTTGACACATTAATCTATAAAAATTGACTTTTTGTGCTTATTGAGAGTTATAAGTCAAGATGGCCATCAGTACAATGTTTTACATACTGTTTTGTCCACATATTGCAGGAACTGGGGCGGAGACTCATCCTTTTCTTTCTTCCCCACATCAATCATCTTCTTTCTGATGGTGGGCGTGGCATATCGCCACAGTTTCTTTGAGAACAATGTCTTCTTGATTCGCCCGATGAATGGAATCTTTATTTCCAGGGTAACCAAAGCTCGGAGAACCAGTTCAATTGGTGTCAGTTCCAGGTCCATGGTAAGGCTGAAAGAGCGGAATCATACATTTAAGGATTGACTGTGGATTGTTTTCGGTTCATTGAGGTTAGAATCGAAAAACCAATGTGCAAACTATCCGTGTAGCCTGCATGTTTGCCGTTTCAATCCTTCTTGGCCTTCGGTCTCAAAGGGTAGTTTGGACAATGAATATGCATGAATTTCAATCAATGTCCTGTGCATGACGGTACACAGGAGCGGAAAGGTAATTCCCTCGCCTGTAATATTAGGATTCCCCGACATTCCTTTGCAATTAAAGTAGTCTGCTTCGGTGGGCGTGGCTTTAGTTTTTACATTCATTGGAAAATGAATGCAATAACATGTGACCAATTCAACTAATCAGAATGCAGGAATTACAATGAACACAATGGAAATGTAATTATTGTATATTGTACTAACACTGAATGTTCTTACTTGGGTAGAAAAAAACAATTCTGATATTTTTTTCTCATGGTAGATTCTGTCCAGGAATCATTTAGTAATTCAGAAGAATGCTATAGGAAGGATAGTGGTTTCTTCAAGGAGGAAATGGCTCAAGGTGCGTCTTGCTACGATAATGACATCTTCTGGTGTGACTCACTGGGTCAGTAACATTTTTGGGTGCGTATCGCTAGGACAATGTCATCCAAGGTGAGTCTCACTAGGACAATATCATCCAAGGTGTTACACAAGGACAATGATATCTGAGGTGTCTCACCACAACAATGTCATCCAAGGTGTCATACCACAACAATGCCATCCAAGGTGTCTCACTTGGACAATGTCATCCAAGGTGCTTCACCAGGACAATGTCATCCAAGGTGTCTCACAAGGACAATGTCATTGAAGGTGTCTCCCCAGGTGTCTCATTAGGACAATGTCTTCCCAGGTGTCTCATTAGGACAATGTCATCCCAGGTGTCTCATTAGGACAATGTCATCCAAGGTGTCTCACAAGGACAATGTCTTCAATGGTGTCTCACAAGGACAATGACATCCAAGGTGTCTCACAAGGACAATGTCATCCAAGGTGTCTCACAATGACAATGACATCCAAGGTGTCTCACCAGGACAATGCCAACCAAGGTGTCTCACCACAACAATGTCATCCAAGGTGTCATACCACAACAATGCCATCCAAGGTGTCTCACTTGGACAATGTCATCCAAGGTGTCTCACAAGGACAATGTCATTGAAGGTGTCTCACAAGGACAATGTCTTCCTAGGTGTCTCATAAGGACAATGTCATCCCAGGTGTCTCATTAGGACAATGTCATCCAAGGTGTCTCACAAGGACAATGTCTTCAATGGTGTCTCACAAGGACAATGACATCCAAGGTGTCTCACAAGGACAATGTCATCCAAGGTGTCTCACCAGGACAATGCCATCCAAGGTGTCTCACTTGGACAATGTCTTCCATGGTGTCTCACTTGGACAATGACCTCCAAGGTGTCTCACAAGGACAATGCCATCCAAGGTGTCTCACTTGGACAATGTCTTCCATGGTGTCTCACTTGGACAATGACATCCAAGGTGTCTCACAAGGACAATGTCATCCAAGGTGTCTCACCAGGACAATGTCATCTAAGGTGTCTCACAAGGACAATGTCATTGAAGATGTCTCACAAGGACAATGTCATCCCAGGTGTCTCATTAGGACAATGTCATCCCAGGTGTCTCATTAGGACAATGTCATCCAAAGTGTCTCATTAGGACAATGTCATCCCAGGTGTCTCACCAGGACAAGGACATCCAAGGTGTCTCACTATGACAATGCCACCCAAAGTGTCTCACTTGGACAATGTCATTCAAGGTGTCTCACTTGGACAATGAGAACCAAGGTGTCTCACTTGGACAATGTCATCCAAGGTGTCTCACTTAGACAATGTCATCCAAGGTGTCTCACAAGGACAATGACATCCAAGGTGTCTCACCAGGACAATGCCACCCAAAGGGTCTCACTTGGACAATGTCATTCAAGGTGTCTCACTTGGACAATGAGAACCAAGGTGTGACACTTGGACAATGACATCCAAGGTGTCTCACTTGGACAATGACATTCTAGGTCTGTCTCACAATGACATCCAAAGGTGTCTCACTTGGACAATGACATTCCAGGTCTGTCTCATAGGACAAGGATTATCAGCCACACATTCTATTATTTGGTCAGCTCCTCTGACAGCCAGTGGGGACTGGTAAACTTTTAAATGTATGCAAAGCAAGCTAGATACTCACGCTAGGTCCAGTGGGAACTTAGAGAAGCCAATCTCAGCAGTGGATGGAAAGGCAACAGTCATGATGTAGCCATCAAGTCGCAGTTTACCGTACAGGACGGCCCCTATTCCGATCTCGCCGTACACATGCGCATTAGCGTAGGGGATGACCGTACCAAACGCTGTCATGCCGAGAATCTTGGCACCAACAACGATATCCATTCCATATGAAGCACCAGCGCCCCATCCTGTGAATAACAAACATGTTTACCATTGAATTTCTGATATTTTTCTGTTACTTCATAATCCTGTAAGTCCTGTGGGGATTCTGGTTTAGAATTCCTCTTCAGCAACCCTTGCTCATTGTAAGAGGTAACTTCCAGGATCGGGTGATCAGACTCACTGACATTGTTGATGCATGCTATCATGTTTTCATATCCCAACTGCGAAGATGGATGCTCATGATGCGAATCCCTAGACTGTCTGGTCCAGACTCAATTATTGACAGACTGTCGTCACATGGCTGGAGTATTGCTGAGTGCGTCAGTAAACAACAAACACATACATACATACAAACATACATGGAATAATATGTCAACATATTAGACTTGTCTATACAGTATCAATCTTGTTGGTATTGACCTTAGGGGAGGACCGTTTCTTTAAATTTAACAAAACAGTGACAAAATAATGGCAAGGTCTAGGGAAGGATGTAATACTAATTAAATGATTGTATACATTTTGGGTGATGGGGTAGGCTAGTGGTTAAAGTGTTGCTCATCACGCCAGAACCTGGGTTCGATTCCCCAAATGGATAAAATGTGTGAAGCCCATTTCTGGTGTCCCCTGCCATGATATGGCTGGATTATATTGATAAAGGCGGCGAAAAGCCATTCTCACTTACTCATTACACATTTGGAAGAGAGAGCAATAGGTCGATCGATCCACTGACCACGTCATACTTAACGACGTTAAAAGATGGTATTTGTTGTTACCCTGCCTGGCACTCAGTACAAACGGTGTGTCAGCCTAATGTGGGAGTAAAGTCCGAAGTGATGCAGGTCTCAGACGTTTACCACTTCGGTGAAATCCACGAGCACGGGTATGGTGCTGACAAACCTAACAACATAATCGGGGCGAACCGGGATTCCAACCCACAATCATAGATTTCTGGTGTGCCCAAGGGACGCAACTCTGCACAGCGAATCGCGGCGCCTTAGACGACTGGGCCACCCTTGCCTCCCGTCAGTTAAGTAGACTACCACTATGAAACCAGCTAAAGTCCGGACTAGCACAACCAGGTAGCCAGCACACACACCCCTCAACACACACACATGCATGTCGCTAAATAAGTTGATGGTAAATTTATTTCGGGAGTGCAAAGTGGGAAAACAGAACTATTTCCCAGGGATTTATAAACAACAGAATTTCTGCAAATATTCACAACTTACCAAACGTCATCGGCACCAGACCACCAACTAAGAAGAATTGTTCATATTCAAAGAACATGACGCTGATCCTGGGGAAGCCGAAGCTGCCCTGGAGAGTTAGGTCAAAGGATTTGAAGGCTTCGCCCGCTTCACCGTTAATAATTGCATTCAGAATTTCCGAATACTGCAATAAAACATTGCTCAAATGAATGAATGAATGAATGAATGAATGAATGAATGAGGTTTGCAAAGAGGTGAGCATATCCTGCCACTCCGATAGCACCTGTCACAAACACATGCAAAGGCAAGTCAATTGTTCAACTGAAATCCAAGCATCATGTTGAACCAGTGAGAGTAAAAGTTAATATTCATTACCAATATGACCCAAAATAATTTACACCAATCAAACAACTGCTCATTGTTTGCAATAATAAAGAAATAATGGCAAGTGGTTGGCAAATATATTGATAACAAGTCTTATAAACACTAAGCGGCGTATTCCTTATCTTGTTAAGGCTTAAAAAAAAAAGAATTGGTTCTCAGGCAATGTTTTTTGAAAATATAGCGCGGGCGGGCTGTGCCTTTTCTTTTTTTTTGGTTGTTCAAACTAGTATGTAACTAATAAACAGTTGTGTAATCAATAAACAATTGTGTACAATCAACCTGGGAAAGGGCCTCCCTACATAAATGTATTCAGTGATGGGTAAAATACTGGAATACAGTATTTGACTACCGTTGGAATATTTAAGGGCTTTTGGGTTTTGGTTTTAAAAATGGAAATAAAAACGAAATGTGCGGCAAACCTTATGATGATGCGGGCGGTGCCTGAGAACCAAGACTATTATTTTTATTAGCCTAAATGGTATATTATTTGTACATTTACAAGATTATTAAAAATTGATTACTGTTGAATCTTACCAGTGCTAGTGCCAAGTCTCTGAGTTTTCTGGTCAGCTGAAGGGCCTGTTCAGGGTCGATATTCTTCGTGTCAAACATTGCAATGACCTGACCAATGGTCATATTGGCCAGTTTAGCACCCAGTAGCTTGACCCCTGATCCAGTGAGACCTTTCCCTACTGTGAAGGCCTGTCCTACTCTACCTGCTATGTCCTTTGCATTGCCAAGAATCTGCATTATCTTCTCGCCTGTAATACAACATTATTCATTATCTTTATTGGTTTCATGTTTTAGTTATCGAAGCAGTTAATCTAAATCTAAACAGACAATTTTTTGCCAAGCAGAATAATAGATAGAATTAAAGGAAATCAAGGAAATCAAAAGAAGTGATGATGCTGGTAAAATAATTTGCTTTTGACTTGCTACATAAAGGGCAAGTAAGGCGAAAAAGATTACTGTGATTTTGGACCGAATGTCATTTTCCCCGGATACATTTAGTCAATTTCCGACAGAGAAACATTCATAATATTTGTAGAAAGTATTTAAATGTCCAAGTGAATGATAAAATCACACACTCAGTAATTGGCTTCAAAACCAAACCTATTTGGGGGCATGGCCTAAACCTAAAGGCACAGCGGTGACAACTATTTTCATTGGCTGATATGTTTGTCGCTTTTATCTATCTTGTGAAGCTTAGCCGTTATACATATACTGTTTCTGCTATTTCTGCTAATCCTACAAAAAAAGCAAAACATTGCATACATTGTTGAATGTGTGAAGCGACCTTTTATCTTGACACTGTGAATAATTAAAATAACAACTAACAATTGGTAACTAGCATTTTATCATTAACATCCTGTTCGGGTAATAAAACACCCTCTGCTCTCGGCCCTATTCCACACAACAAATGCCTGTCAGGGGTTAGTCGTCTGAGGAAACAACTGAAGGCATCTTCAGTGTTGTTACTGAGGTGACATAAGTTGTGGACATGGTAATCAAATGGATGAGCTGACAGAAAAATGTATTAAATAATCCAAGGCAGAAGCAGGCAGACTGAGGATTCCTTGAAATTGACCATCGTGTCAAACACGGGGTACCCGTTTTAACCCCAGTTAGGGGAATCCCCTCACTGGCAGAAATTTTGTTTGGTGATGATTTTTTTTTTTTTTATCATCTGTTTTACACACCTTCCATTTTTAATTTTGGTCAAGCATTTGTAATTACAAAAACACCAAAGAATTAAAATCTGCAAAGTTGTATTGTATTACCTGCCCTTTAAACTTAAATCAAAATATATTAAGGAACAAATCATCTTTCAGATCTTAAATTCTACCCCAACGTCCTGACTGGCCCCTAGCTGTTTGGCGAGATACAAATTGATTACATCTTTGGACATGTCAATTTAATCAGATGTGGCTTTTAGTAAAAAGGGAACCTGGGGGTCTTTTGTTTTAGAATAAACAATTAATACTGGAAGAAGATGAAGATTTTACCTCCTTCCATGTTGACAGTGACATCGCCGTTGGCAACCTCCCCAGAGTACAGCAGAGTGCCTGGGTTAGAGGAACCCATCTCTTTCAGCGCGGTCTTGGTGTTGGTGGCGGCACCATCCGTGTCTTGGTACTGGAGGTTCATGGAGGTGTCAGCTTCCTGTAGATCAAGGTTGTATTAGAGACTGGACCAGACAATCCAGTGATTTATATCATGAGCATCGATCCACCCAATTGGGATCGATGACATGCATCAACCAAGTCAGTGAGCCTGACCACCCGATCCTGTGAGTCGCCTCTTACGACAAGCATTGTCGCCTTTTACAGCAAGCATGGGTTGCTGAAGACCTATTCTACCCCGGATCTTCACGGGCCGGCATAATCAGAGGCTGAGGTCATCTGTGTAGCTGATCATTATCAAAAGTCATTGCTGCCTCTGTTGAGGCAAGATATTTTGTACTCATTGTGTTTCATGATACCAGTTTTCAATCCAGTATTACTTCACACAAATAATGATAAATAAGACATATGGCTCTATCATGAGTGTGTAGGATTTTACATAGCTTTAGTAATAGTCAGCCACATCATGATGGGGGGGACCCGAAATAGGCTTCACACATTGTACCCATTAGGAATCGAACCCGGGTTTTTCAGCATGGCATGATAATGACAGACTAGGTAAACCCTTCACCCAATGATTCAACATACATACTATATATATAGAATTATTTATAATGAACAAAAAAAGTTAGGGATCAGGATTATTTTGGGGATATTTTTATAAAAAATTGTATGCTCAGTCTTCACTTATTCATGATCCCTAACTTTTTTTGTTCAGGGTGAAGGACATCAAGGTAGCCCCATGATATCAAACACTAATAAACACTGTCGCTTTTATGTATGGGGATGATGATGATGATGATGATGATGCTGATGTTGTTGATGCTGATGATGGTGATGATGGTGATGCTGCTGCTGCTGCTGCTGCTGATGATGATGATGATTACCTCGAGTTGCTGCAGCTCATCGAAAAGGGCGTAAAGGTCCTCATTGGTTGCATTCCTGTCCAGGGCTTTGTTGAGAAGCTCCCGGGGATCCCGGGAATCTGTTCTGTAGTGGCAAGGTAAGTAATAATTAAGTCAAAACATAATAACGATTCTCTGAACAAAGATCTGAGGACATCCCATATTATGGGTCACGTCAGAATGACCTAATTTATTCATTGGACCAATCAAAGCGTCGCTTACCAGATCTTGAAAGTGACAGTCGGAATGCGTTTTCTAATCATGCAACCTAGAAAACGTTAAAACGGGGTATTCCGAAAGACAGTTACAACCCCTACAATTGATTCCATCAAAATTATCGTCTATCTCTTGCTTCTCTGGGATAAACATTTGAACGGAGGAAGTGTTGCGCTGAACCTGGGAAGCACTGTCATACAATCTTTACATTAGACATTCCGTAATGTTCATTTGTTCAGCATAATTTTCAAGCATAGTCTGAAATGGAAGTCGCCAGGTTGAAACGAGTGCAGTGAGGCTCAAGAAAGCTGCTTTCTAATTGTCGACTTCTTGTTAGTCATTTCAGTTGTCGGTCAATGTTCGCGAAAAGTTGTTCTGACGTAACCCGTAAAGTGGTAGAGTAAAGAAAGTGGTAGAGGGAACAAAGTGGAAGATTAAAGAAAGTGGTAGAGTAGAGAAAGTGGTAGAGTAAACAAAGTGGTAGAGTAGAGAAAGTGGTAGAGGAAACAAAGTGGTAGAGGAAACAAAGTGGTAGAGGAAACAAAGTGGTAGAGTAAAGAAAGTGGAAGAGTAGAGAAAGTGGAAGAGTAGAGAAAGTGGTAGAGGAAACAAAGTGGTAGAGGAAACAAAGTGGAAGAGGAAACAAAGTGGAAGAGGAAACAAAGTGGTAGAGTAAAGAAAGTGGAAGAGGGAACAAAGTGGAAGATTAAAGAAAGTGGTAGAGGAAACAAAGTGGTAGAGTAGAGAAAGTGGTAGAGTAAACAAAGTGGTAGAGTAGAGAAAGTGGTAGAGGAAACAAAGTGGAAGATTAAAGAAAGTGGTAGAGGAAACAAAGTGGAAGAGGAAACAAAGTGGTAGAGTAAAGAAAGTGGAAGAGTAAACAAAGTGGTAGAGTAGAGAAAGTGGTAGAGGAAATAAAGTGGTAGAGGAAACAAAGTGGTTGAGTAAAGAAAGTTGGAGAACAGCTTTACATGATGGTGACATCGGAACCTTGACATCTGATAGGAGTTGATGGTTGAGTGGCTGACAGAACAATGAAAGCTGCTGGTATCTCTAAGGCTTCTGATCACTGGAAGTGTTCTATAACTAGATAATACTAAATCTCAAACTTACATAGCAATCACACTTCTCTTTCTCCTGCTGAGGGGTGCACAGGACGGCATCGGGAATGTCACCTTGTCCATCAGCGTGTAGTAGAAGCAAGTGTCAGTCAACTCATAACCATTGAGGGCGCAGATCTTGACATGGAGGCTCAGCTGGTAAGACGATGGCGTCTTGCTGACCAGGTAGCTGATTGCGATGGCGTTGCCGATTGGTTCTGTGAAGTTCTTGTCTGTGGGGAGGGAGCAGAAGTTGAGTGAGCGAGTTAGATTTGAGTGAGTGAGTGAGTGAGTATGGTTTTTACGCCGCTTTTAGCAATATTCCAGCAATATTACGGCAGGGGACACCAGAAATGGGCTTCACACATTGTGCCCTTGTCAGGAATCGAACCCGGGTCTTTTGCGTGACGAACGAACGGTTTAACCACTAGGCTACCCGACCGCCCCTAAACTGATTGTATCAATTCTATTACTCTGTGTCACGGAGTTAGATTTGAATGATGCATTGTAAGTATTTATTTAATCAAGGTGTGTCACTTTAATAAAGATGGTTTGAAGTAACAGTCTTTTGGTGAAAAGTGAGCACGACAACATGAACACGCAAACCCTTCACAAATATGCAAATCAAACCCAGGATGAGTGGATCGTGAATAGTTGCGGGACAATGCACCAATGTATCTGTGGATCACGATTTTTGACTTCTCGATGCAAGTATCAATCACAGTCACACACTAAGTAAAAAATATTGATGCTTACCTCAAATGATTGCTTTAATAGCTGTAGCAAACACTACTAAATAGTTAAAATGAAAATATTTTCATCCATTGCGCCAGACTTGATACTGCCAACTGTAAAGTCAGTGTGCCAGGTATTTGTCTATCTTGTCTACGAAACAGATGTCTTACGCACCACAAATATGAACATATACAAGTATCATGATACGTATTTGATTGTGAGGAATGTGTCGTCATACGATCTGGATCCATCTTGTCTACGAAACAGATGTCTCATGCACCACAAATATGAACATATGCAAGTATCGTGATACGTATTGGATCATGAGCAATGTGTTCTGATACGATCAGGATCCATCTTGTCTACGAAACAGATGGCTTACGCACCACAAATATGAACACATGCAAGTATTGTGATACGTATCGGATCATGAGCAATGTATTCTGATGCGATCAGGATCCATCTTGTCTACAAAACAGATGGCTTACGCACCACAAATATGAACACATGCAAGTATTGTGATACGTATCGGATCATGAGCAATGTATTCTGATGCGATCAGGATCCATCTTGTCTACGAAACAGATGGCTTACGCACCACAAATATGAACACATGCAAGTATTGTGATACGTATCGGATCATGAGCAATGTATTCTGATGCGATTAGGATCCATCTTGTCTACGAAACAGATGGCTTACGCACCACAAATATGAACACATGCAAGTATTGTGATACGTATCGGATCATGAGCAATGTATTCTGATGCGATCAGGATCCATCTTGTCTATGAAACAGATAGCTTACGCACCACAAATATGAACACATGCAAGTATTGTGATACGTATCGGATCATGAGCAATGTATTCTGATGCGATCAGGATCCATCTTGTCTACGAAACAGATGGCTTACGCACCACAAATATGAACACATGCAAGTATCGTGATACGCATCTGATCGTGAGGAATATGTCGTGATATGAACCGGATCGCACCGTTGGTGTATCGCCCCACCCTATCCTGAAACAACTCAGTGACATAAGTCTGCACCGTTAACTTCAGCGTATTAAACAATGTGGGTACATCATAGACTTCTTTGTTCAAACCTATAATAAGGCAATAATGATGGACTGAAACGTTTAACCTACCGTATGTAATAGCATTGAGGTTCTTGGTGTACTGTTTATTCTCTATATGGTAGCGGAGCTGGTCACTGCAGTGGTCGGCCATGATGCCAGCTGAAACGGAGTAGATGCCGAGGTACTTGAGGTCGATGTCCACGCAACAGGTCACACCCATGCAGTTGTCCGTCAGCTGGCAGGTATTGGCGATGGATGCAGGCAGGTTGACACTGCAGCCTGCAAGACAAGTGTATGCTGCTGTTCAAAATACACGTGGAGAGATTCACAAAATAATTACACGACGTGAATTCTTCTTTTACATGTTTCAGCTTTATCTTTCTATATGTGCAACTGTACACTAGTGAATCTCACTGTTATACAGTGATATCTGTTTATGTGTTTGGAGATATTTTACCTGGGCCATTGTTTTAGTATTAACCCAATCTAAATCCAGTTTTTTTGAAATTCCACTTTTTATATATCCAAGGTGTCAGCCACCAAGTGGACACATGTGTTGATCCTGATGCAAGTGAACCAGATTTTGAGCCATGTGAATTGACTTTGTGAACCAGACCAGACTTGTTTCGACTGTTATTAAACGTACCAAAGAACCAAGCAACACTCACCATATATATCATTGCCTGATGTACAGGAAACTGAAAACTTATTTCAACTTGGAACGTTTTTTGGTTTCATGGTTAAAAACACTGGGTCTGATGTTTGTATGTTTGACATTTTTTCAATTCTGACACATCCCTTTTCCCAAAGCCCAGACCGCCTCCTTTGTCTACTGTATAGAGCAGCTGCAACAGAGCTCCAGATAATTTTTTGAGCAAGTACTAGTCCGGACTGATGCCGATTTATAGTGCTAGCACACTGAGATACCATGTCGCAGTTTAACTTGAATACCCCACTCAGACACAGTATACTGACTCTGAGCTGACCAGTCCTTGTTTTAGCCCCTTAATGCAGAGCACCAGACAGGGTAACAACAAGTACCATCTTTAAACGTCTTTTGGTATGACGCGGCCGGGATCGAAATCCGGACCTTCCGCTCTCCGGGCAGACGCTCTACCACTAGACCACGGAGGCGGACCCCATGTAAATGACCAATATTAAAAGGCGCCACCTACCTGCAGGAGCAGCTGGTCTGGTACAAGGTTCCGACTTCCAAAAGTCGAATGACACACCTGCAAGAAGATGTCCATCAACATTATACATGGACCTATGTGTGATGAGTGAGTTTATATAGGTTTGTGCCACGTTCAAATAAAGCTCTGTAAAAATGCAAAGATTTCGGATATATTATACAAACAGTATGATTATTTCGTTATTCAAAACATGACATATCTAATATTATTCAAACTCTTTATAAGTAAGTAATACAAGACAAAACATCAGTTATTTGTTGGCAATGGGAAACATACGAATGAATAAGATTTGACTGCTACCTTTGATGGCATACATGTTCCATGTTTCTTAAGAAAATGCTTGTAAGTCACTGTATGATATTTAGCGTTCCAATTACCGTATTCCACTTAATAAGCGCCCCGCTCTAATAAGCGCCCACGGCGGTTTTTGCTAATATATTGGCAAGTGAACAATCCCAATTAGCACCCCGATCGATCCGAATGATCAATGTTCACAAGACTTATTTATTCGCGTACAATACGCACACGTGTGTTATATGCACCCTTAATTATGGGCAATTAAATTGTAGAAAAATATATGTCGTACATACATATTTCAGGCTGTCAGCATAAACCACGAAATTTATCTTTCAACTCTGTGTTTTTTTCACCAAAATAATATTCCAATAAGTGCCCCCTATTTCTAATTTTGAGAGCGCCCTGGGCGCTTATTATGTCGAATACGGTATTCATTCAGCCATGGTATTTTTTCACCAAAATAATATTCTAATAAGAGATTTACTTCTAATTTTGAGAGCGCCCTGGGCGCTTATTACGTCGAATCCGGTATCCTGTATCTCATTTGACAGAGGGGCTAGGGTGGCCCAGTCGTCTAAGGTGCCGCAATTCGAATCCCGATTCGCCCCGATTATGTTTCTAGGTTTGTCAGCACCATACCCGTGCTCGTGGGTTTCACCGAAGTGGTAAACGTCTGAGACCTGCATCACTTGGGGCTTTCCTCACACATTAAGCTGACACGCCATGACAGGACTGGAATACTGTTAAAAGTGGCGTTAAACACAACTCACTGATTCACTCATTGGAAGAGAATTTTGACATTTTGTATTGTGGTACCAGGGTCCCAGCTTACCTTTGAAGGGGACAGGCAGACTTGGGTCACAAGGGGCGTACACGATCTCAGACTGGGAGAAGACGGGCACCTCCAGCAGACAGGAGTTGTCTTCAAAACACACCTTGATGCTCAGGTCAACCACCAGCTTCTTGGAGGCGGCAACATGGTCGATCTTGTAGCTAAAAAAACAAGCAACATGTTACATAAAAGCGTTCTACCTTAATCACGTCAATATAATTAAAAGACAGTAATTAATGGTGACAACAATTGTGAACTGATACCAGAAATCCTTCTAATTCCATTAATTCTTGAAGAATTTACTTCAATATTTTTGGCGTTTATGGAGGTATAAATGTAAAAACTGGTGTGCAAACTGTAAATCCGTGTGCGTGCCATTTTTTAAAGTTTTATGTCTCAATAAACACAAAAAATATTGAGGTCAATTCTTATAAATAAATATAGTCAACAATAATGACTTTCCAGGCTTAAAAATCAACATACTCTAAACTGTAGATAACAGTACGAAATCAGTGACATCGATCAGCGCAATTATCTGCCCTGCCCATACTATTATCAGCCAATCAAGAAACAGTTGTTTCTAATGTGGCATGGCTTAATTCTGGGGGGGTTTATGGAAATATAAACGCAAAAAATATTGCTTGGTTAGCCAATCAAATGCTATGGAATTGCTTGCAATTCATTTAAAACCAAATACACAATGGAGTGAGTGAAAGAGTATGGTTTTACGCCGCTTTTAGCAATATTCCAGCAATATCACGGCCGGGGACACCAGAAATGGGCTTCACATATTGTACCCATGTCAGGACGTGACGAGCGAACGCTTTAACCACCAGGCTACCCGACCGCCCCAACACACAATGGAGGATGTAGTGGTAAATATCCTATACGTAAAAGAGAGTTATGAATTTCTTTGAAACACGAACACTTTACACCTCCCTTAAACTGATCAGACAATACAGGACTTTCCATGAGTTGTTGTGATTTACAATGGCGATTTATAGGCAATGAATCCAACAATTCTTTTTTCATTTTCAGGAGTCAAGGGTTAATCCGTTCAGTTCGCAGAGTGAGTGTACGTAATTCATATAACTGCTCAGCACAAATAATTGAATCGTACTCACCTAATTCTTGTCATTGATCCGAGAATAAAGTCCCCAGCAACACCTGAGAAGTACAATATTACATTGAGACAAATGACAATAGGGTAATGCTCCAGTGTTAAACATGCACTCGGCTCAGGGTAATTCCCAAAATGACATGGATATTTCTAAAAGAAGTTCTCAATCAAATCTCTTCGTAAAAATGAACAATAAAAAATATTTATAATATTTGATGCACAAGTTTTGTTTGTTTGTTTGTTTGTTTGTTTGTTGTTTAACGCCGCACTCAGCAATATTCCAGCTACATGATGGCGGTCTGTAAAATAATCAAGTCTGGACCAGACAATCCATGCAATTGAGATCGATGACATGCATCAACCAAGTCAGTGGGCCTGACCACCCGATCCCGTTAGTCGCCTTTTACGACAAGCATAGATGCCTTTTACGGCAAGTATGGATTGCTGAAGACCTATTCTACCCCGGAATCTTCACAGGTCTACGCACAAGTACATATACGCACACATAGACCAATTTAAGTGAGTGAGTGTGCCGCTTTTAGCAATATTCCAGCAATATCATGGCGGGGGACACCAGAAATGGGCTTCACACAATGTACCCATGTCAGGAATTGAACCCTTCGCCATGTCAAGCAAACGCTTTAACCACTAGGCTACCCGACTGCCCCCCACCAACTTAAGTAAATTTACATCAAATTAATGTACACATATTTTCATCACAAAAACTACTGATCGACTCACCCCAGGTGTACTGCAACAGGGACAACTTGTAGGACAATTTCTCGATGCTCATCGTAATCTCCAGGGCACAGATATCCACATCAAACTTGGCCTGGATGGTTCTCTTTATAAGAGGGACATTCACACAACAGTCCAACGCCGAACAGCTGGCTGCCAGGTGGCACTTCACAGAGTTCGGCAGGGTGGGGACTGTCAGGCTGCTGCATGCTGGGATAACATTGACAGAGTGATCAAGAATTTCAAAGCTCCTCCACCCCATTAAAATCAGATCTTAGTTCTCGCTATTGCTAAACAAAGATCTGAGGACATCCCATTACGGGTCACGCCAGAACGACCTTTCATCCAACCAATCAGAGCGTCGCTTACCAAATCATGAAAGTGACAGTCGGAATGTGCTTTCTAACCATGCAACCACGATATATTTAACACGGGGTATTCCTAAACGACAGTTACGGGTTTTATGATTATATCCATAAAATCTAGACCATCTATAAGTCATTCCAGAATGTTCTTCTTATCAGTTTTAAAACTTTTAATCGAGAATACGTCAAAATATGTTTGGAAGCGTTGTCGCCAGTTTGAAACTAGTGTCGTAAAGCTCGAGAAAGCTGCCTTCTGATTGGCAAATGTTGATTACTTGTCAGTCATTTCATTGGTCGGACAAAATTCGCGAAAGGTCATTCTAACATGACCTGTAATGGGATGTCCTCAGATCTTTGTTTAGCGGTAGCGAAAACTAAGATCTGATTTAATGAGATTGAAGCTCCTCTTAATGGTATTAGCATGAAACATTAACACTACAGCACTGCCCTCAGTGAAGGAAGGAAGACAATATTCCAGCACTATAACGGTGGGGACACCAGAAACCAGGGCTTACCACAGAATAAATTCTATAATCTTAAGGCAATCTCACAGCCCCATCATGCCCTAAACTGTGTTATATTTATCAATAATATGATTATTAACTGGATATAATTAGGCTAAAAAAACAAAAAAGTCTTGTTTCTCAGGCACCGCCAGCATCATAAAGTTTGCGTCATGTTTCATTTTTTTTTAAAAACAAACCAAATCCTTAAATATTCCAAGAACAACTGTAGTCAAATACTGTATTTCAGTATTTTACTCATCAAGGAATATATTTAGGGAGGACCTTTCACAGGTTGATTGTACACAACTGTTTATTTGGAACAACAACCAGAAAATAAAAAATAAGCACTGCCCGCCTGCACTATATTTTCAAAAGCCATGCCTGGGAACCGATTCTTTTATTTTTTAAGCCTTATCTTTTCAATTTTTATTAATTTTTTTTGTTGGTATATTATGGAAGATGTAAATGATTTATTGTATGTGACTGTACTGTTCAGATGAGCCAAGAATATGGCAATCACAGAATTGTATCTATATGTATAAAAACTACTTTCATGTTTGTTACTAGGGCTGGGACGAGTCCAAATTTACTACCCGGGTACCCACCCCCCTTTTACCCGACCCTACCCAGGTACCCTCTGTGGGTCTCAGGAGATGTCTCAAAATGTCTGATTGGGAACATTTTTAGCATAGCCCTGGCAAAACGTATTTACATACAGGTATTAAACAATCTGTTCATTCATACAATGAAGTTGAATTAAGTTATATCTTTATTCAACCATATAAAAAATCAGAAGGAATGGGTGCATAGTTAGAAAGAAATGTGAACATTAGTGACTTGTAGTGTAACCATAGTTCTAGATAATTTTTGTCATTATAAAATATATCACGTGACTAACCACGGGTCCGGGTAGTCCTGTGGGTACCCAGGTCCTACTCAGTACCAACCCGACCCGGGCACCCGAGTTACCCGTCCCAGCCCTATTTGTTACATATACTATATTTTAGAACCTTAATTTCAGTCAGTATACCAATATGACCAGCATGAACATTTTTGTAGTCATGGTGTCTTTAATGATAAGTAAGTGAGTGAGTATGGTTTTATGCTGCTTTTACCAATATTCCAGCCATACCACAGAGGGGACACCAGAAACTTTAATAATTAATGGTTACAGTTATGGGTTAACTATAAATCCAAAATGAAATATTCAACAACATCTTAATAATAAAGATATTGTTGACATTATTTGATTAATAGTTATTGTGGAAATGAGAAATTTGGACCTACCCAATCTATAATTTTAGGTTCTCGATTAGAAATACTCCATCCTCGTTCTGCTTCATTATGAGGACTGTTAAAACTCTTGAGATGAAAATACATCATTGACAAATGACCAATCTTACCCTTGTTCCAGTTGTGGATGTTGGATGGAGAGTAAGGACTGGCCCCCTGGTCGCATGACGAGGCCAGGAAGTACTGGGACACGCCCAGGTCATCCAGGAGCTGGGACACCAGGCTGTCGGTCAGCGACGACACAGCCGAGGACAGGCCTTTACCCACTGACCACGACGACAGTGAAAACTCTGGAACACAGAGCCCTCCTTTCATTGAAGGACGAGTCATGTTAGGGGACTTTTACACCCCTTAAACCCACAATAAAAAATGAACAATCCTTTCAAAAAACGTTAAGAAATTTATCAGACGTGTTTCATTACATTCTTGCATGCTATGAAACCTTAAAACAACGGCAATTATGCTGTTAAGAATACTTTCTCTTATCTTACCGTGGCAAGGGAATTAACTGTCTGTAAAAGTGCAGTTTGCACCCTTGCCGAACTAGACTGAAATTGCTGAGTTCTGCGTAGTCCAATCAAAATCATGCAACAAACTTGACATCCGGTTCGTAAACAACATGGATTTCAACGTGCAAATTTTGATCGACTGCAGGATTTGCAAAGCAATACAGGGTGTCGACAGATACTTTCCAAGTCTTTTCATGTTTTTAATCAAGGTGCTCAAATGATCTGATGCACTTCACGAAGCAAGACACGTTTTAATACGATATATATCTTGATTTTTGATCCGATCGTCCCGACTGGGCTCTGCCATTTTGTTTGAAGCATATGCAAGTGACATGAGAGGTGGAATCTGGGACATAGAAGGGACGTAACTCGTAATAGCCACTGGTGACACTATGATCGAGTCACAAAATTCAAGTGTAGTTCGGCAAGGGTGGAAACTGGACTTTTGTAGTCAGTTAACACCCTCATGACTTTCTCTTTATCGGGGAGAAAAATTTTTCTAAGGCACCGGAGACAGTTGCATCCCAATGGCTGTGCTATTATTGGCAGGTTATGGGCTTAAATCTTGGTCCTTGATCTGCCAGCATCATACCCATTGTCTACACCGCCTCCAGGGTCTAGAGGTAGAGCATCCGCCCGGAGAGCGGAAGGTTTGGGGTTCGATCCCCGGCCGCGTCATACCAAAAGACGTTAAAAGATGGTACTTGGTGTAACCCTGTCTGGCACTCGGCATTAAGGGGCTAAAACAAGGACTGGTCAGTATACTGTGTCTGAGTGAGGTATTCATGTTAAACTGCGGCATGGTATCTCAGTGAGCTAGCACTATAAGTTGGCATCAGTCCGGACTAGTACAAGCAGCCACACATACACATGCATGCACGTTGCTATATAAGTGCAATAATCTTGCGACGTTTAACCCAATTTCACCTCACCTCACCAAGTCTACAGCCCAACCAACTAAAACACAATTAAACCCACTCACACACAAACATTCATGACAGACAAATGTGGACGACTCACTCCTCGCCTGCAGCATGCCCTTCCAGTCACACAGAGGCTGCGGAATTCTGGCCTTGTTGAGGAGCTGCTGTGTGAAGAGGCAGTCGCTCTCCTTCAGACAGACACTGGCAGTAGCGGACACCTCGAGTTTACGCTCAGCTGGCAGCTTGTTGATCGTGTAGCTGGAGAACAGAATCATTTATTGTCAGCATAGCATTTCTGCGTGTGTCTGTGACATTGTAAAACTAGGGAGTTTTGAAAATCAAATTAATAATTATTAAAATAAACAAGTAAATTATGCCCCGACTTACTCGATTCTGAAGACTCCCTTGATGTAAAAGTGATCTGGTGTACCTGTAAACACGAAAATAAAGAAGAGCTTTATCCTCATCACATACTTAAGGGACAGTTTTAATGCATATTCCTCTGAAACTGGTAATGCAGAAATGCTTATATCCTAAAAAAGTTCCCCTGATTCTGACGGTCAAATTTCCCAGAACATACGAGGTCAATTCTAGTTGGTTGGTTGGTTGGTTTGTTGTTTAACGCCGCATTCCTCAACATTCCAGCTATATGACAGCGGTCTGTAAATAATCAAGTCTGGACCAGACAATCAAGTGATTGATATCATGAGCATCCATCCACCCAATTGGGATTGATGACATGCATCAACCAAGTCAGCGAACCTGACCACCCGATCCCGTTAGTCGCCTTTTACGACAAGCATAGTCGCCTTTTACGGCAAGTATGGGTTGCTGAAGACCTATTCTACCCCGGCGTCTTCACGGGCCTATAAAGCGGATGGAGCCCATGTGGAACTATCAAGGGCAGAAACCACCATCAATCTCATAAAAATTAGGTCTTAGTTCTCGCTTCCGCTAAACAAAGATCTGAGGACATCCCATTATGGGTCACGTCAGAACGACCTTGCACGAACTTTGACCGATCAATAGAATGACTGACAAGACGTCGACATTAGCCAATCGGAAGGCAGCTTTCTAGTGCTTTACGGCACTAATTTCAAATTGGCGACTACACTTCGAAACAAATTCTCGATAAAAAATACGAAACAAAAGAACATTCTGGAATGGCTAATAGATGGTCTAGATTGTATGGATTCAGTCGTAAAGCCCGTAACTATCGTTTGGAATACCCCGTGTTTAGAAATCACATTCCGATCTGGTAAGCGACGCTCTGATTGGTCTGATGAAAGGCGTTCTAACGTGACCCCTAATGGCATGTCCTCAGATCTTTCTTTTGTGGTAGCGAGAACTAAGACCTGATTTTAATGAGATTGCAATAATCATAAACCTCCTATGAAATGAAATCAGAATTTCTATTGAGCAGCTAGTTGCCAGACTCCTATATGAAACGTTTATTCCTGGAGTAGTATAGGTAATGGGGGTTCTGCCGCAACATTTATTCCTGGTGTTATACATCAATGATTGTTCAAGTTACAGTCAGGTCAGGCCACAAAGTTTAAATTTTTACCAAGTAGCCATATGGCTACAAGTATTTTTTTCCAGGTAGCCAGTGGTAAAATCAAGAAGTCAAGCCAATATTGTATATAGCCAAAAGCATTTGAAATTATCTTTCATCAAATAACTATTATAATAGCACTAGTGTTGGAATTGTATATTAGTGGAAACTGTACTTGATTTTTGTTATTTGTGACTCAAACAATAATGCAATTTATGTTACTAGATTATTTAGGTATACTTTGCTTATCCAATAAGCACTATCAACTGAAATAAAATACAAATTACATTAATATTTATGTTTTTCTGTTCATTATCGACTATAGGAGGTATTATACGTGAGTACAATTATTAGCAGACATGTTTTCCACAATCAGCTGTTATTTATTTTTGTGTATTCAAGTGTGAAGCAATAGAATTTAGTCGCCACAAGATATTTTTCAATGTAGTCATTTGGCTAGCTCTGAATTTTAGACAGTAGACAAATTAAAATTGAGGTCGAATTGGCGACCATTTTAGTCGATACTTTGAGGCCTGTAGGTTAATATTTTTGGAAAGAGAATTTAAGATGTGAGTAATTTCCATACACCTTTCTTAAAACTATTTTTATGTCAGACACAATGAGATATGAACTACAATCTATGACATTCTCACATCTTGCATTTGACTGGTTAAATTTACAAGTGCCGAATGAAACATTTTGAATACTAGGTCACTGTCAAAGATAGACAGAGTATTATTATATTCATATATTTTCCTATAATTAGCATTACTGGAACAGTATTGCGGCAAGAGCTACCAAAAGGATGGACCAATTATTGAGATTCAAACCCGTGTATTCAGCATTCTTACCCCATGTGTAGTTAAACAACATTCGCTTGTAGACAAAGTTCTCCACGCCCACCGTCAGTTGATAGGTGCACATGTCCACTGTCAGGAAGATGTTGAAGGAACGTGACAGGAAGTCGATAGTGATGCAGCAGTCGATGGCGGTACAGATGTCAGACACGTGACATGCCACAGCATTAGGAAGATCAGGGAGGAAGGTATCCAGCCCAGGAATGGGACACTCTGAAGTAAGAGCAACATCATCAGTGATGATACAAATAGATGAACAACCTGTGAAGATCCGGGGTAGAATAGGTCTTCAGCAACCCATGCTTGCCGTTAGCCACACTCAGCAATATTCCAGCTATATGACGGTGGTCTGTAAATAATCGTGTCTGATTCATCGGTTGTTATGGGGCTGTAACATTGAGAGACATCTACCGTTCCTCCAGCCCTTGACAGCCATATGACAGAGACCTGTTGGTTTTTACAGTTATATCGAAATTCATCAGTTGCTATGGGGCTGTAACATTGAGAGAAACCAACCATTCCTCCAGCCCTTGACAGCCATATGACAGAGACCTGTTGTTTTTTTTTAATCAATTATATTGAAATTCATCGGTTGCTATGGGGCTGTAACATTGAGAGACACCTACCATTCCTCCAGCCCTTGACAGCCGGGAGGTATGTATTGGACGTGGAGTCACACTGTGGAGACCTGAGATAGGAGCCGACACCAAGCTGCTCCAGCAGCTGAGACGAGATGGCCGACGACAACTTGGACGCATCGGTAACCTTCAGATCTTCCAGGAAGTTATCCAGAGAGAAGTCTGTGGAAAAATATGATTGTTTCATATACATTTAACCGAACCAGGGAATGGTCAAAGACACTACAACATGCTCTTGAAAGTAAGAGTTCCTTTTCAGAAAGCCAGTTGCTATGGTTACAGTCCCAATGCTTTGGTGCATGCCATTCATGTCAGAATCTTTAACCAAGGTCACTACAGATATATATCTTCAAGGTCAACATACACTGGCTCTCACACTGGTTGTTTGTTTGTTGTTTAACGCCGCACTCAGCAATATTCCAGCTGTATGATGGCGGTCTGTAAATAATCAAGTCTAGTCCAGATAATCCAGTGATTGATATCATGAGCATCGATCTACACAATTGAGATATGATGACATGCATCAACCAAGTCAGCGAGCCTGACCACCCGATCCCGCTAGTCGCCTCTTACGACAAGCAAAGTCGCCTTTTACAGCAAGCATGGTTGCTCCATTAATTTTGCAACACAATGGCCTCTCAGTAAGGATAAGATATATGGATGAACAACTTCTTTATTACAATAAGGAGCGAATAAAAAATTTAATAAAATAAGAAGAATATTCTGGAATGGCTTACAGATGGCCTAGATTGTATGGATATAATCATAAAATCAGTAACTGTCTTTCGGAATACCCCGTGTTTAATATATCGTGGTTGCATGATTAGAAAAAACATTCCGACTGTCACTTTCATGATCTGGTAAGCGATGCTCTGATTGGTTGAATGAAAGGTCGTTCTGACGTGACCCGTAAGAGGATGTCCTCAGATCTTTGTCTAGCGATAGTGAAAACTAAAATCTGATTTTAATGAGATTGGTGCTGAATGCCTTTCAAAGAAATCACAAAGATGTCATCGACAGAGCAGACTCGACACTTAATGAGGGAATGAGTAATGTTGTTAAATGCCGCAGTCAGCAATTCTCTAGCTTTATCTTAGCAGCCTGTAAATAATGAAGTCTGCCAGCTAAACCAGGGACTGAAAGCGTGACAAGCTACACCATCAGGGGCAAGATGACACGCGATAACAGAGTCAGCCACCCTGAACACCGGATCCATTTTTGCATAACGATTAATGACACCCATTCCTGGAACAATTCTTAAATTCTCTGACCCACCTTTCAGGGCAACAGTACTGTCCCAGTCACACAGGAGCTTGGGGATTTTGACGTCCTTCAACACGGGGAAGGACAGCAGACACGAGTCTTCCTCAAAACACACGCTGACATTCAGATTGATGAGGAACTTCTTCTCCCCAAACAGCTCGTCTATCATGAAACTGATGGAAGAGATTCGAGATAAGAAATAATGATAACTTTTCATTTAAATTTTGAGAATGAGTCGATGGGATTTCGAGCTGGAAATCGTATCACAGCTTTAACCTCAAAAGAGGTATGTATCAGAGGAAGCAAAGTTGTGACTGAAAGTGTGCTGAGCACTGGTGGATCGGAAGGTGCGCATCCACGTTATTTTCAGACACCTTATATTTCAAATGCACCTTTTGGGACTTAGGATTAATGTGCATCCTCCTTTGGAAAACTCTGGATCCACCTCTGAGGAAAGTCATTCTGCTGCAACTACATCAAGATGCAGTGACAAACATCCACAGCTTGCAAACTAAACCCATTCAGGAACTATACTCATAGCCAACTAATACCCAATATCATTGGTCAGTTACAAACTTATTGTGTGTTTGTTCGTTTTTTAACGCCGCACTCAGCAATATTCCAGCTTTATGATCGTGGTCTGTAAATAATCGTGTCTGGACCAGACAATCCAGTGATTCACATCATAAGCATCAATCCACACAATAGGGATCGATGACATGCATCAACCAAGTCAGCGATCCTGACCACCCGATCCCGTTAGTCGCCTTTTACGACAAGCATAGTCACCTTTAACGGCAAGCATGGGTTACTGAAGACCTAAGACGGGTCTACAAACTCATTGGGTGTTCTGACATGGGAGGCCCAAGGGACTGCATTGTATAGTTCCTTAATCAATCTTAACAGTATTAACAGACTGTTAAACTTATAGTTATTTTGAAAAAAATATATATACTCACTCAGCACGAATGACACCTTTCAAAGTGAAGTGTTCTATCTGACCTGGAAAGCATTGAAGAGGATAATATATATACATGTATTCATTCAGCCACACAACCACAATGGAGCTGCAGTGTAAGTTAGTGTGATCCTACTTCAGCATCAGGGAAGTACGCAACAATTTGAAAACAGCTCTGATCTCCTTTTTATCAAATCAAGACCTTAGTGGAATCCTCACAATGCTAAGATGCCCAACTAATGCAAATGGAATTACCATTCCAAGCTTCACTTCAGGCTCTCCTCCCACTTACCCCATCTGTACGTGAAGAGGGCCCTGCTTCACTTCAGGCTATCCTCCCACTTACCCCATCTGTATGTGAAGAGGGCCCTGCTTCACTTCAGGCTCTCCTCCCACTTACCCCATCTGTACGTGAAGAGGGCCCTGCTTCACTTCAGGCTATCCTCCCACTTACCCCATCTGTACGTGAAGAGGGCCCAGCTTCACTTCAGGCTATCCTCCCACTTACCCCATCTGTACGTGAAGAGGGCCCTGCTTCACTTCAGGCTATCCTCCCACTTACCCCATCTGTACGTGAAGAGGGCCCTGCTTCACTTCAGGCTCTCCTCCCACTTACCCCATCCGACGTGAAGAGGGCCCTGCTTCACTTCAGGCTATCCTCCCACTTACCCCATCCGACGTGAAGAGGGCCCTGCTTCACTTCAGGCTCTCCTCCCACTTACCCCATCTGTACGTGAAGAGGGCCCTGCTTCACTTCAGGCTCTCCTCCCACTTACCCCATCTGTACGTGAAGAGGGCCCTGCTTCACTTCAGGCTATCCTCCCACTTACCCCATCTGTACGTGAAGAGGGCCCTGCTTCACTTCAGGCTATCCTCCCACTTACCCCATCTGTACGTGAAGAGGGCCCTGCTTCACTTCAGGCTCTCCTCCCACTTACCCCATCTGTACGTGAAGAGGGCCCAGCTTCACTTCAGGCTCTCCTCCCACTTACCCCATCTGTACGTGAAGAGGGCCCTGCTTCACTTCAGGCTCTCCTCCCACTTACCCCATCTGTACGTGAAGAGGGCCCTGCTTCACTTCAGGCTCTCCTCCCACTTACCCCATCTGTACGTGAAGAGGGCCCTGCTTCACTTCAGGCTATCCTCCCACTTACCCCATCTGTACGTGAAGAGGGCCCTGCTTCACTTCAGGCTCTCCTCCCACTTACCCCATCTGTACGTGAAGAGGGCCCTGGTGAACACCAGCTTCTCAATGCCCATGGTAAATGTGTAGGTGCAGGGGTCAATGCCAATCTTGACGTTGAAGGATCTCCCAATGAAGCCCACGAATATACAACACTCTACAGTGCCACAGGGGTCAGACAGGTGACAGGTCACTCCAGACGGCAGGGATGGCAGGGTCAAGCTGGCCGGACAATCTGTAACGGTGCATGGTCAGAGAAAACATAGCCATGGTCTCGTCCACAGGACTAGCAAACATATACCAATTAAAGCAACAAAAATCTTTCCATAATTATACAAAATCTCTGGTAAAAGCAATGCCAATTGTAAGATTCTGTCTTTTTCATAAACATATATTTTTGAATCATCATCAAATAGTGACAATACCAAGTGTTTGTGAAAATAATGGCTAAAAGGAAAAAATTGCTTTTTTACAGTTGTTAAAAAACAATACATCATTGATAAAAAAAAGGATTCCATACACAAGAAAGAATTACCTACATCTACAACCAATATCCAGCACCACCTTCTGGACAGTCAGTACTAGGTGAGTGAGTATTGTTATACGCTGCTATTAGCAATATTCCTGCAATATCATGGGCAGGGGACACCAGAAGTGGGCTTGACACATTGTACCCATGGGGGGATTTTCCCAGGGGTGTAAGTGCAAACATAGCTCCTTACCCTTCTTCCATCCTCCCACAGCTCCAGCATACGGCGCCGCGTCCCTCTGACACTGAGGATCCTTCAGGTACTCCGTGATCTGCAGTTCATCCAGGAGCTTGGACAGAAGGACGCCGGTCACTTGTGCACCAACAGCAGACCCCCTCTCCGCCAACCATGTCTTCAGAGAAAAGCCTACAGACAACAGGAACAGTAGGTTGGTCCATACTGATTTAGGATATTGATATCCAGATTACACTTTGGGAAACGTTTATCAATGTATTAGCTTAGTTAGATGTTTGTTGTTTTCCTTCTCATAAATAACAAACTGAAGACTGTGCTCTGCATGACAATTAGAGGCACAATTCATTATAGCTCTGTATTGGTAAAATATTTGTATTACAATTTATAGCGCTACAGGCATCATTACTGCAATACTTATTGCGATGTATTGGGAGCTGCGGTGTTTGACAGTGATTGACGCTGATTGTACATGCAGATCTTATTTTCTACAATCTGAAGTAAATATTACAATATAGGAGTCAGCATGGCCAGGCGCCATCATTTTGTAGTCATGGATACAAGGGAGATAACAAAGAGAAAAATCAATTCCTCGTTTCCGTCTTTTTTCAATCAATTTCGAGGGGAAACATCATTTGTGAATGAGATTCTGTGTAGATTTTAGGCAAACGGTTCAAATTTAATTATAATGAATTTTTTTAATAGAATTTTTCCCCATATACCAGTACACAGAAATATTATTGCAATGTATATTGTTTGAAAAGCGTATTGATGTATGTCGGTATACCAGTAATACCATGATGTCCTGTATATTTGCAAGCCTTTTAGGTTAAACGATCGAAACTTGTTATATAATGTTTACCCAACATACTGGAACATAGAAATAATATTGAACTACATATCGTTTGAAAAAAGTATTGCAGTATACCAGTATACCTATACGCCATGCAGCCCTACTCCTCGTTATCAACACCAACTCTTGAAACCCGTGGAAATTCCGGATAAGAAAATATTTCCCCAGCAACCTATTGTAGACGTATGAGGACACCAAATGGATCAGGTGGTCAGACTCTATGCCTTGGTTGACGCATGTCATCGCATCCCGAATGCGTAGATCAATGCTCATGTTGTCGATCAATTGGTTGTCTGGTCCAGACTCGATTGTTTACAGATCCCTGCTATATACACGTAGCAGGGATAATGCTGTGTGCAGCCTTACACAACAAGCAAACAAACAACTCATGACTGCATGTCACAAGAAAACAGTGCCTACCTCGCAGAGACAGCTTGTCTTCCCAGTTGCAGAGGATCTTGGGAAATTTGGCCTCGGTGATGATGGGAACAGACAACAGACATGTGGACTCCGCCTCAAAGCACAGGGACACGTTCAGACTGACCAGGAACTTCCGCTCTCCCTTTAAGTCGTCGATCTTAAATCTGAAAAATGCCCAGGAGTGCTATACAACGTGAAGAGAGGAATGCTTTACAATGTGAAGAGAGTATAGTGAGTTGGGTTTAACGCCAGATAAAACAGTATTTCAGTCATATCAAGGCAAGACAGTTGATGTGGCAGGAAAACCAAAAGTGAAGATGATGATGATGAAGATCACTTTGATGAAATCCACGAACACAATATGGTGCTGACAATGATCAGGGCCCCACGAGACACAGGATCATGCACATGTAAGGGACGCAACTCTTCATAGCAAATTACATCACCTTAGACAATCAGGCCACTTGTGCCCCAGAAGAATGAATATTCTTGTATCTTGTATATTAAGTTATATTTCAATTATTTAATGGGCAATATTATATACAGTAGAACATGGATATAACAAACTGCAAGGGACAAGAGAAATCAGTTTGTTATATCCGTTGTTCGTTATGTACGTTTTCGCTTGGAAACGTCCGCCATCTTGGATTAAACAAAACACAATACATGTAATTGTAGCAATGACTTGTAAAGGAGATAAATCTGGGATTTTTATATACATTTGTTCGCTATATCCGTGATCGTTATATCCGTGTTCTACTGTAAATACATTTTTTGAATTTATTCCCCAAATGTGTACACAAGGGGCATTGAAAAATTCCATGCATCTGGTAGGAGTGAGTGAGTGAGTGAGTTGGGTTTAACGCCGTTTTAACATTATTCCTATATCTCATGGCATATCAGCTTAATGTGGGAGGAAAGCCTGAAGTGATGCAGGTCTCAGACGTTTACCACTTCGGTGAAACACACGAGCACGGGTATGGTGCAGACAAACCTAGAAACATAATCAGGGTGAACCAGGATTCTAACCCACAATCATAGGTTTCTGGCGTGCCCAAGGGACGCAAATCTGCACACCGCCTTAGACAACTGGGCCACCGTTGCCCCCGCATCTGGTAGGATGCTACTTCTCTGTTAGCAAGAGGATGCCACATAGTTGATATCATTTAACGATATGGTTTGTTCAACATGTACCTCATTCATTCACAAACAATAGCAAATTAAAAAACTTACTCAATCCGTACCACTCCATTTAAATTAAACTGTTCCCATTCACCTGAAACAAAAACAAACAATAAACCATGCCTGCAAACTAAAAGACGGATATCGTGTGGAATTACAAATCGTCAAAGATTCTTGTACACGTATATATTCTACGCCCTGAACTATGTGTCCAGAAGGTGGGATCGGGACTACCAGAGTTCCACTGTATACAAGTGTGTAATAGTGTAATTGCCACTGGTGTCATTACTGATTATCTGTGATGCAATTGTAGCAGGGCGTTGAGTCATCCCACAGATGACATCCTTACCTTGTCAGCTTGCTGACGGGGTTAACCTCTTTGGTCATGTGGATAAGGCGTCCGACCTCTGATCAGAAGGTCCGTGGTTTGAATCCTATCACAGGACTCAGAAACTTTATGGCCGCTACATTGGCGCCCGACCGGGCTGAGCACATTCATATTAAATTTGAGCAAAATAAGCCTCAGTACCCTACTATGTGGCCCCGGGACGTGCCTTCTGTTGACAGGGGAGTATGTAGCAGGGCGTGGAGTCGTCCCACAGATGACATCCTTACCTTGTCAGCTTGCTGACGGGGTTAACCTCTTTGGTCATGTGGACAAGACGTCCGACCTCGGATCAGAAGGTCAGTGGTTCGAATCCCATCACGGGACTCGGAAATTTTATGGCCGCGACATTGGCGCCCAACGTGGGGCTGAGCACGTTCATATTAAATTTGAGCAAAATAAGCCTCAGTACCCTACTATGCGGCCCGGGACGTGCCTTCTGTTGACAGGGGAGTATGAAGCAGGGCGTGGAGTCATCCCACAGATGACATCCTTACCTTGTCAGCCTGCTGACAGGGTTAACCTCTTTGGTCATGTGGACAAGGCGTCCGACCTCTGATCAGAAGGTCTGTGGTTTGAATCCCATCACGGGACTCGGAAATTTTATGGCCGCGACACAATAATATAACTTTTTCCTCTATTTTTCCTTTTCTGCCCAATGGAATGCCTCAGCAGATAATCTTTAATGATTATATTTTAAGAGGAAGGGGTATGGCAAAATCCTTCTCACGTGAGTTTGTGTTTATTGCAGCTATTCCCAAACTCTTGAATTTTGACTTCATTACATTAATGGTGGGAGACTACTGAAAGAAATTAGAATTTCTCACTCAGTTATAAGATGAAAGTCACAACATACAATTTAGCAATTTGGCTGCCAACAGAGCTGGAAAGCCATTTCACAACCTTCACGATATACATACCCCACTTGTAGTTAAAGAGAGCTGTCTTGAAGACCAGGTTCTCTATGCCAACCGTGAGGACATAGTCACACGTGTTCAACAGTATCTTGGCGTTGAAGGACATCCCAATGCCGGCAGCAGTCACACAACAGTCCAGCCCCGTGCAGTAGTCGGGGATGTGGCACGACAGGGAGTCAGGCAGGCTCGGGAGGGTCAGGTTCCGGGGGCAAGCTGCGGAAGTTGGGGGTCAGATATAAAATACGGCACACCAGTATGTGGGCGAGGAATAATATATAGGCCCGAAATAAATGTCAGATTTTATGGCCACAAAAAAGCTGAAATATTATAATGAAAGATACCAGTAATGTTCATATGACTGATGACTTTCCATTATCATGTAATATTTTGCCAATATTTCTACAATCATTTCTTATATATGATTGAGCTGGTAAGAGCTGGTGAGCTTATAAGGTCCTTATCATACCTCATACTTTATCTAGACTATATTTTATACCTGCATATGGACACGTATTATGCCTCAAAGTGAGATTGACCAATCAGAGAGCAGAACTACAAACCCCATATAAGCCTGTATACCGAATAAAGATACCAAATAGTGTAAACTTTTCGGCATAATTAATTCATTATGGTGTCTTTAGTTGACGCATATGGTGTCATACAAGGTTAGAAGAAAAATATTTGAATAACATGACACCGTCTATGGCTACTCAAGACACCATAACTAATAGTATCTTGCCGCAGCTGTTTCGAAAAAACAACTGTGTATTTTCTTACAACCTCAAGAAGTCACTGATTACAACTGAAATTAAGGCCAGACTTGTAAACAAATTGGTTTACAAATCTGCCAACTCCAAAAAATTGAAAAGTGAAAAAAATAATTAAAGAAAAGCAGAAATGATAGTAAAGAACTAATTTACCGTCCCTATCAATATACATAAATTATTTCAAATTTGATGTAATAAGCGCCCATGGCAATATTTCCTACTACATACTGTATATTGGCTAGTGAACAATCCCAATTAGCACCCCTTCCGATTGATCAATGTACACAAGAATTATTTATTCGTGTGTGATACGCACTCGTGTGTTAAATGCACCCTTAATTATGGGCAATTAAAATTTCAGGCTGTCAGCATAAACCACAAAATTTATGATCTTTCAACTCTGTTTTTTCACCAAAATAATATTGTAACAAGCGCCCCTGGGTGCTTATTACGTCAAATATGGTACTACAATAAATAATGTTAATATGTATCTAAATACTCCACCTAGTTTATCCACCTACCCATATTCCATCCGTTACTGTCTGCCTTGTATATCCCAGCCTGTTTGTTACACATGGGCTCCAGGAGGTACTGCGAGATACCCAGGGCCTCAGCTAGCTGGGACCTCAACAGGGAGGTCAGTGACCCCATGCCAATATTCTGTTGACTCAGCCAGTTACCGAGAGAGAAACCTAGAGATGCATCACAGACTAGTTTTAACACTGAGAGATACATGGCAATGGACATATTGATCACACAACAGTGATAGCTTGTTACAACACCCTTCTGACCCGTGAAGATGCGGGGTAGAATAGGTCTTCAGCAACCCATGCTTGCTGTAAAAGGTGACTATGCTTGTCGTAAGAAGTGACTAATGGGATCGGGTGGTCAGGCTCGCTGACTTGGTCGATGCATGTCATCGATCCCAATTCATGGATTGATGCTCATGATGCCAATCACTGGATTGTCTGGTCAAGACTTGATTATATACAGACCGCGATCAAATAGCTGGAATATTGCTGAGTGCGGCGTTAAACAACAAACAAACAAACAATGAGTTTGTAACTGACCAATGAGATTGTGTATTAGTTGACTGTGAGTATAGTTCCTGAATGGGTTATGTTTGCAAGCTTTGTATGACCGCTGTCATATAGCTGGAATATTGCTGAGTGCGGCATTGAACAACAAACAACAAACAAACAAACAAACAAAAACAGCACCCTTCCCATTATTTTTAACAAATGAAAGGATGAGGGAATTAAATGTTCGGCTTCCACGAGGGCGGAGTGAGGCATAGCGTTAAGCATAGGACATTTGTGAGTCTTATCTTTAAGTGAGGTGAAATGGAGATTAACTTTGCATTCAAGATTATTGCACTTACATAGCAACATGCATGCACGTGTGTGTATGTGTGTGGGTGTTCGTACTTGTCCAGACTAATGCTGGCTTCATAGTGCTTGCCAACAGAGATACCATGCCTCAATTTCACCAGGACACCCCACTCAGACACAGTACACTGATGTCACATTGATCAGTCCTTGTTTAAGCTTGTTTAAGCCCGTTATGCCGAATGCCACATTGGCAACAACAAGTACCATCTTTTAACTTTTTGTGGAATGACATGGCCGGGGATTGAACCCCGACCTTCCACTTCAGGGCAGACGCTCTATCCTCTAAACCACAGAGGAATGAGTAAGTGATTAATTATGGTTTTACGCCGCTTTTAGCAATATTCCAGCAATATCATGCAGAGCTCCAGATAAGCTGCGTATCTGAGTAAAATATGCATCAGAAACGCCGAAATATGCAGTAAAATAAAATCCAAGCGTATCAAATATGCAACGAACATTACAGATACGCTACAAAAATAAAACTTGTGCGTATCATCAAAATATTGTGAAGTAACCCTGCTTATTCGGTTAGCAAATCAGCAACGTATTTTGGAATTATATACGGACATTCCGTCAACCTTGCCAAACTCCACGATGACAGTTACATCATGATCATTTGCCATCACACTTTCTTGTGGAAGTATTGCAGTATTTTTTAGTCCTATAAAGCTCTCGAACCCGCACAACACCAGTTTGCAGGGACTAGATGAATAGTGTTTTTAAATATTTAACTTAAATACCCACATGTGTTTAAAAACTAGTGGATAACAGAAATTGGAATACCCAGATAGAATAACTGATACCCAATGATTTTAAAATGCAAGGGTAAAATACCCACAACACCAAAAGCTTATCTGGAGCTCTGTCATGGCGGGGGACACCAGAAATGGGCTTCACACATTGTACCCATGTCAGGAATCAAACCCAGGTCTTCGGCGCGACAAGCGTCCGTTTGAACCACGAGGCTACCCGACCCTGGACTACGGAGGAGGTCTTACCTTTGAGTGCTTTAGTTGCATTCCAGTCACACAGGGGGTTGGGGAACCTGGCTTGGCTCACCACAGGGACGGTGATCATGCAGGCTTTACCCGCCTCGAAACAAGCGCTGATGTTCAGACTGACCAGGAACTGTTTCTCCCCCTCCAGGTGATCTATGATGAAACTGTGCAGGGGGAGAGTGAGTGAGTGAGTATGGTTTTACACCAATAGTCCAGCAATACCACGGCGGGACACCAGAAATAGTGAGTGAGTGAGTGAGTTGGGTTTAACGCCGCTTTTAATAGTATTCCAGTTACATCACGGCGTGTCAGCTTAATGTGGGAGGAAAGCCCGAAGTGATGCAGGTCTCTGACGTTTACCAGTTCGGTGAAACCCACGAGCACGGGTATGGTGCTGACAAACCTAGAAACATAATCGGGGGGAACCGGGATTCAAACCCACAACCATAGGTTTCTGGTGTGCCCAAGGGACGCAACTCTGCACAAATCGCGGCGCCCTAGACGACTTGGCCACCCGTGACCCCTATACCAGAAACAGGCGACATGGTACCCACATAGGTTATTCACCCCAGGCTTTCGGGTAGACGAATGAAAAAGTGAGAAAGAAGAGTGAGAGAGTTTTGAACAGTATTGCACCGCATGTTAGCATAATTTGTGAGGAATACCCCATAAAATGGATATCATCAGAGCGAAGTGATTAGTGTACCCATGAGTGAGTGAGTGAGTGAGTTTGGTTTTACGCCGCTTTTAGCAATGTTCCAGCAATATCATGGCGGGGGACACCAGAAATGGGTTTCACACATTGCACCCATGTTGGGAATCGAACCTGGGTCTTCGGCGTGACGAGCGAACGCTTTAACCACTAGGCTACCCGACCGCCCCTAGTGTACCCATGACACAAAATGGAGCGGGTACAGTGCCTTCAAATCAAGATCGGAATCAGACCGAATCCGGGACTCGGAGTCATCAACCCAACACCAATCACCATTATCATCTCCTAACCTGGTATCAAAACACCAATTACACAAGAAAGCTTGCAATATTTATTACAAGTTTAACATGTGGTGTTCAAGATGTATTTGCAATATATTCAATTCAATACTCAATTTATGACCTTACATGAGATAGCTACACGATAAATCACAAAGAAGAATGAAGAATGAAGCGATAAAACATTGTTCTGTCATGTCTGCAATTTAGAATATGCTTGCAACTTGATGACGTCATTTATTGGACAACGTTACTTTTGAGAGGGAAGTGTCCTAAGTGGGAGAGATATGACAATCGGTATCAGAAGAAAAGGTACAGATGATCGACGTGAGGATTGTGAGAATATACGGGAAATACCAAACCCACCTATTGGTAAAATGGACTTGTCTGACATTACCGAGGTCAGATTCTATTCAGGGAGTGATCATTATTAAAATTTGGGTACAAATTTTTAAAGCTTGTACTTTTTATCAACATCATTAAAGAGGCTGTACATGATGTTGATATCTCATATAAGACATAAGCGACCCATGGTCGTTGTTTATCGTACAATTAAACATTGCAGGGGAACAAACCACTTGGGGCTGCGCATCTCATGGTTTATTCTTCCTGCAGTGTTTTATTGTATGATAAACAACACCCACTCGTCATCTATTTCAACTTATATTTGTCAATTATTTGCCTCTTGGGTATCATCATGATTTACAATTCAGGGCATTATGACAGAACTTATTTCAGAAAGGTGTAAAAATGTAAAATTCATATATATTTTCTTTCCAGAATTGCAACATAGTCGGAAACCATCACTCACTCGGCCCTGAAGACACCCTTGAGGTTGAAGCTGTCCGGGGTTCCCCAGCTGTATTTAAATAGCATCTTCCGGAACTCCAGCCTCTCTATACCCAGAGTGAGGGTCATTCTGCACATGTCAAGGTCGACCTTGAAGCCGACGTTCTTGCTGATGAGGGGGACGTCGAGACAGCAGTCGATGGCGGTGCAGTGTTCCGGGACACTGCATGAAAGGGTGTCGGGCAGCGTGGGGAACGTTATGTCCAGGGGACACGCTGAAAGCAACATCACAGACTTGGGAAACTCAATTATCATAGTGGCATCCTCCATTTTACAGTGATTGTATATTCATTCTATTATATCAATCTCATTAAAATCAAATCTTAGTTCTCGCTACCGCTAAAGAAAGATCTGAAGACATCCTATTAGGGGTTACGTCAGAACTACCTTTCATTCGACCAATCAGTGCGTCGCTTACCAGATTATGAAAGTGACAGTCGGAATGTGATTTCTAATCATGCAATCTCGAAAACTTTAACATGGGGTATTCCGCACGATAGTTATGGGTTTAACGACTGAATCATTACAATCTCCATCTATTAGTCATTCCAGAATGTTTTTTTGTTTCGGTTTCAAATTTGTAATCGAGAATTTGTCAAAATATTATTCGAAGCGTAGTCGCCAATTTGAAATTTGTGCCGTAAAGCACGAGAAAGCTGCCTTCTGATTGGTGTTTATATATTATATATTCATTCTATTAAAATAAATACCAGGATCCATTGTCACCGTACGTTCAGAGTCCAAAATAACTGCCTGCCCGCCTGCCTGTGTCTTATAACTTTTCTGTCGGGGTGCATATAATATCCTTCAACTGGCCGACTATCTGGCAGATAATTTTAAGACTACTTATGTATTCAGTTTTATTATAAGTCCTTTTAAATTTTCAAGTAATTGTTTGCATTATTTCAAATGAATCAAGAAATGATTTGTCTATTAAGTTTTGTGATATTTCAATATTTATAATGTCTGAATGCAGGCATGTAACTTCGAAGATGGGCAGGCAATGGTTATAGGTCACGTCACAATCTCAGTCTCTCCCAACACTATCTCCGCACCGAATTTCTCTCGTGCATCAGCTTGAAGTCAACACCCAAACTGATTCTTCAGTATGAGTTGGGAATACCCTAAACTACGTTCATGATGAACATGCTTATAATGAACTGACGATATAAGGAGCTGTTGTTTTTTGTCCTGGCCTTTTGCAGTATATATGGTGTATATATGCTCATAACAAAGTATGGTAATAATGAACTAAAATTAGTGGTTCCTCTTAGTTCGCTATTGGTAACGTGTCAAGCGAATCAGACAGCTATTGGTATTGTCTCGTCATGCGAAACAGACGGCTATTGGTATTGTTGTGTCATGCGAAACAGACAGCTATTGGTATTTTTGTGTCATGCGAAACAGACAGCTATTGGTATTGTCGCATCATGCGAAACAGACAGCTATTGGTATTGTCTCGTCATGCGAAACAGACAGCTATTGGTATTGTCTCGTCATGCGAAACAGACGGCTATTGGTATTGTCGCATCATGCGAAACAGACAGCTATTGGTATTGTCGCGTCATGCGAAACAGACGGCTATTGGTATTGTTGTGTCATGCAAAACAGACAGCTATAGGTATTTTTGTGTCATGCGAAACAGACAGCTATTGGTATTGTCGCATCATGCGAAACAGACAGCTATTGGTATTGTCGCGTCATGCAAAACAGACAACAGGGTGCCATTGTACAAAACAACCTTAGCACTACGACTGTCACAAGTCTATCTTAGTGCTGAGATCGCTTTGTACAACAGCATCGAGATTTAGGATTGCAATCATTGGTGTCAATTGTTTCTTCTTTCAAACATCTGTCACGTACATCCTATGTCCTGGAAATATTAGGGTCACTTATGTCCGATATGAATATACATGGAATATTGTAAGTTTAAATACAATGAAAATGAATTTGTCTTTGTAAAAACGACAGTATGCCTCAAAAAAGATAACATCAATGATACAGGATTATCCAGTTAATCCTCAGCAATGACAAACACCCTGCATCGTTGAGCACCTGCTACAGCCAGAGTTCCTGGAGCACCTGCTACAGTTAGAGCTCCTGTGGCACCTGCTACAGTGAGTCCCCAAAGCACCTACTACAGTTGGAGTTCCTGTAGCACCTACTACAGTCAGAGTTCCTGTAGCACCTGCTACAGTCAAAGTTCCCATAGCACCTACTACAGTCAGAGGTCCCTACACTATGCCGCACCTGAGTTCCAGCCTGTAGCCCCTCGGCCGGCAAGGCTGCACTGTGTGTCCTGGAGGTAGGAGGCGAGGCCGAGCGTGTCCAGTAGCTTGTCCACCAGCAGGCCACTCAGCTTGTCAGACAGCTGTGCACCTTGTGTTGACACGAACTCCGTCAGGGAGAAGTCTGGGGATGAATGTCAGAGTTCTAATATCCTGGCAGTGAATATCCAGTCTTTTTCCTGACTATGTGTACAATTTACGGATAACTTCTTTAATTTTCCATCAATTGTGTCTACTTTGTCATCCGTCAACTTCCTAGAAAAGGCTATCAAACAATTAATGTGAACATTGTCTAAAACATTAACATGCTTTATTGAATGACCGCCCTCCCTAACTGTCACCTTGACAACCACTCTTTCCCCTGCTAATCATATGTTAGAAAACAATCAATTACATTTAGCCTTGACAACAACATATTTTCTCCACCTATTAAATCTGTACCAGGTAAAATCCCATAAATCTTGTAATGAGTGACTCAGTGAGCGACAGAATGTCACAGTCAGGGCAGGGTGACCTGATAATGGGGAACAACGGACCTATTCTACCCCGTAATTAACAGGGGTACAAGCTATATGCTACTGACTATCAATCTTGAAACGTATAAGCACTTCATATCATAGGTGGCATCATTTCGTGTCTAAAAAAGATAGATATTTGATTCACAACATAGGAAAATATATATCGTTCGTATATAACAATTATTAATGCACGACATACCGCAACAGTAAAAATGCCTTAATTTGTTATAAGACATGAAAGAACCAATCTCATTAAGATCAGACCTTAGTCCTCGCTAGCGCTAAACAAAGATCTGAAGACATCCCATCAGGGGTCACGTCAGAACGACCTTTCATCCGACCAATCAGAGCGTCGCTTTCCAGATCATGAAAGTGACAGTCGTAATGTGATTTCTAATCAAACAACCTCGAAAACATTAACACGGGTTATTCCGAACGACAGTTACAGGTTTAACCACTGAATCCATAGAATCTAGACCATCTATTCCAGAATGTTCTTTCGTTTAGGTTTCAAATTTGTAATCGAGAATTTGTCAAAATATGTTTCGAAGCATAGTTGCCAATTTGAAATTAGTGCCGTAAAGCACGAGAAAGCTGCCTTCTGATTGATCATGCTATTGGTCGGTCAAAGTTCGCTTAAGGTCGGTCTGACGTGACCCGTAATGGGATGTCCTGAGATCTTTGTTTACCGGTAGCGAGAACCAAGGTCTGATTTTAATGAGATTGTGAAAGAACAAATGTTGACTCACCTTTGAGTTGTTTCGTGGCATCCCAGTCACAGAAGGGTTTGGGCACCAGCATGTCTACGAAGATGGGCAGAGTGAACTGGCAGTCCGCCCCGGCCGTGAGACACACCTTCAGCTGGAGGTTCACCAGGAACTTCTTCTCCCCGGGCAGGTTCTGTATGCTGAACTCGGCTCTAAACACTCCGCCTATGTCAATCTCCTCTGTTTTACCTGAGTGTGGAAAAAACACGAATTGTTTGATAGGCATTACTTAAAAGTTGAGGGATGACAAAGTAGACAAAGAGTGTTGGTTGGTTGGTTTGTTGTTTAATGCCGCACTCAGCAATATTCCAGCTATATGACGGCGGTCTGTAAATAATCGCGTCTGGACCAGACAATCCAGTGATTGACAGCATGAGCATCGATCCATACAATTGGGATCGATGACACGCATCAACCAAGTCAGCGAGCCTGACCACCTGATCCTGTTAGTCGCCTTTTACGACAAGCATAGTCGCCTTTTACGGCAAGTATGGGTTGCTGAAGACCTATTCGACCTTGGAATCTTCACGGGTCAGACAAAGAGTGTGGCAAAACATGAATTGGGATTCAACAAATGCTGGTGTCCTGTGTTTGATGAGCATGTAGAAGTTGGGAGAACATGATGACATGCTTCAACCAAGTCAGCGAGCCTGACCACCCGATGCCGTTAGTCGCCTCTTACGACAAGCGTAGTCGCCTTTCATGGCAAGCATGGGTTGCTGAGGACCTATTATACCCTGGATCTTCAAGGGTTGCATGTGTATGTGGCATTTGGTGACATTTACTCAAAAAAGTCACCACTTCTCTCGAGTGAGTGAACATTGTTTTACACTACTCTTATAGTCCAGACCTACCATGATAGAGGACACAAAGGATTGATTTTGCTCATATCCATTTAGGGAATCAAAACCACAATGAAAAGAGGTCTTACGACAAGCGTAGTCGCCTTTCATGGCAAGCATGGGTTGCTGAGGACCTATTATACCCTGGATCTTCACGGGTCGCATGTGTATGTGGCATTTGGTGACATTTACTCAAAAAAGTCACCACTTCTCTCGAGTGAGTGAACATTGTTTTACACTACTCGTATAGTCCAGACCTACCATGATACAGGACACAAAGGATTGATTTTGCTCATATACATTTAGGGAATCAAACCCACAATGAAAAGAGGTCGTGAGCGTTGCGAGGAAAATTAACATGTAACATGTTTCTATAATTTTTTTGTGAAACACAATAAATCTGAAACAAAGCTACCACAAAGACATCCCTTCCGTGTTCTAGACACATTGAAAGTATAGAACAGTTAATCATAACGATCAAACCAGAATATCCTAAAAAACAAATGTAACAATCATCGAACAACATCAAACAAACTAATCACACTACTCAACGTTTAGACTGCCATCAATGCATAAAGATGTCACCATCAACAAAACATTAAAGGTACCAGGTATCTACTAATCACGAAACATCAAAGGCACTGGGTATCTTCTGATCACAAAACATTAAAGGTACCAGGTATCTACTGATCACGAAACATTAAAGGTACCTGGTATCTACTGATCACGATATTTTAAAGGTACCTGGTATCTACGGATCACAAAACATTAAAGGTATCTGGTATCTACTGATCACGATACATTAAAGGTACCAGGTATCTACTGATCAGGATACATTAAAGTTACCAGGTATCTACTGATCACAAAACATTAAAGGTACCAGGTATCTACTGATCAGGATACATTGAAGGTACCAGGTATCTACTGATCACGATACATTAAAGGTACCAGGTATCTACTGATCACAAAACATTAAAGGTGCCTGGTATCTACTGATCACAAAACATTAAAGGTACCAGGTATCTACTGATCACGATACATTAAAGGTACCAGGTATCTACTGATCACAAAACATTAAAGGTACCAGGTATCTACTGATCACGATACATTAAAGGTACCAGGTATCTACTGATCACGATACATTAAAGGTACCAGGTATCTACTGATCACGATACATTAAAGGTACCAGGTATCTACTGATCACAAAACATTAAAGGTACCAGGTATCTACCGATCAGGATACATTAAAGGTACCAGGTATCTACGGCTCACGAAACATTAAAGGTACCTGGTATCTAATGATCACGATATTTTAAAGGTACCTGGTATCTACGGATCACAAAACATTAAAGGTACCAGGTATCTACTGATCAAGAAACATTAAAGGTACCTGGTATCTACTGATCATGAAACATTAAAGGTACCTGGTATCTACTGATCACAAAACATTAAAGGTACCTGGTATCTACGGATCACGAAACATTAAAGGTGCCTGGTATCTACTGATCATGAAACATTAAAGGTACCTTGTATCTACTGATCACAAAACATTAAAGGTACCTGGTATCTACGGATCACGAAACATTAAAGGTACCAGGTATCTACAGATCACAAAACATTAAAGGAACCAGGTATCTACTGATCACGATACATTAAAGGTACCAGGTATCTACTGGTTACGATACATTAAAGGTACCTGGTATCTACTGATCACGAAACATTAAAGGTACCTGGTATCTACTGATCACAAAACATTAAAGGTACCAGGTATCTACGGATCACGAAACATTAAAGGTACCAGGTATCTACGGATCACGAAACATTAAAGGTACCTGGTATCTACGGACCACAAAACATTAAAGGTACCTGGTATCTACGGATCACGAAACATTAAAGGTACCTGGTATCTACTGATCACAAAACATTAAAGGTACCAGGTATCTATGGATCCCGAAACATTAAAGGTACCAGGTATCTACGGATCACGAAACATTAAAGGTACCTGGTATCTACTGATCAGGATACATTAAAGGTACCAGGTATCTACTGATCACGATACATTAAATGTACCAGGTATCTACTGATCACAAAACATTAAAGGTACCAGGTATCTACGGATCACGAAACATTAAAGGTACCAGGTATCTACCGATCACGAAACAATAAAGGTACCTGGTATCTACTGATCAAGAGACATTAAAGGTACGTGGTATCTACAGTTCATGAAACTTTAAAGGTACTGGTTATCTCCGGATCATGAAACATTAAAGGTATCTGGTATCTACAGATCACAAAACATAAAAGGTACTGGGTATTTTATGATCACGACACATTTAAGGTACCTGGTATCTACGGATCACGAAACATTGAAGGTATCTGGTATCTACCGATCACGAAACATTAAAGGTACCAGGTATCTACGGATCACGAAACCTTAAAGGTATCTGGTATCTAAGGATCACAAAACATAAAAGGTACTGGGTATCTACCGATCACAAAACATTAAAGGTACCAGGTATCTACAGATCGCGAAACATCAAAGGTACCTGGTGTCTAAGAATCATGTAACACGGAATATGCTCAAATCAATACATACCCCAATCATACTCAAACAGAGTATGGCTAAACTCCAATTTCTCAATGCCGACACTCATGAAGAAGTTGCAGGAGTCGATGAAGAGATGGGCGTTGAAGTTCCTTCGGATCTGCGGCACCTTGGCACAGCACGAGATTCCCGTGCAGAAGTCACTGACATAGCACACGACATTTGACGGCAGAACAGGGAGGGTCAGGTTCTCTGGGCAATCTGGAGAGACAAAGAATAAACTCCTGGTTGATGGCATTATAGTTGTTTGATTGTTTGTTGTTTAACACCGCACTCAGCAATATTCCAGCTATATGACGGAGGTCTGTAAATAATCGAGTCTGAACCAGACAATCCAGTGATTAATATCATGAGCATCGATCCACGCAATTGGGATACGATGACATGCATCAACCAATTCAGCGAGCCTGACCACCCGATCCCGTTAGTCGCCTTTTACGACAAGCATAGTCACCTTTTACGGCAAGCATTGGTTGCTGAAGACCTATTCTACCCCGGAATCTTCACGGGTCTGATGGCATTATGAGTGCTGCATCCAAACATAAGCAAAAATGATTCGGCTTTTGACTGCAATAATTAATTGAATATGGTGAAGATTACAGTGACATTTGAAATGACATCTTATATAGTCAAGGGAGGATATAAAACAATGTGACAATGTTTACAGAAAGGTCATGAAAGTCACTTCAGAAATCAGGATATATTTCTTTTATTGGACTTTTTTGTTAACTTCTAACCATCTGCTACTTTAAGGCTAGGGTCAAGAAACATGGACAACGTTTTGGGACGGTCTGCAGAAATGGACAAACTTTTGAAGATTTGTTTGTTTGTTTGATATTTAACGCAACACTCAGCTGTATTCCAGCTATATGATGGTGGTCTGTAAATAATTGAGTCTGAATCAAACAATCCTGTGATTGACATCATCAGCATCAATCCACGCAATTTGGATACGATGACATGCATCAACCAAATCAACGAGCCTGACAACCTGATCCCAATAGTCGCCTCTTACGACAAGCTTAGTCACCGCTTACGGCAAGAATGGGTTGCTGAAGACCTATTCTACCCTGGATCTTCACAGATCCAAACTTTCGAAGAGGGTATTTTCCCTTTTGTACATTACTTAACAAAAACAAAAATTTCCTTTGCAACGGAAGTACTTATAGGGCTTGGGAAATGTTTACAAGCATTATGTTTAACAAGTGGGCCACAAGACTGTATACCGTTCTTCCATCCTTGTATGGCTCCCTTGTATGGCGTGACGTAGGTCTCACACGGGTCGTTCAGGAGGAACTTGTCTACACCAAGCTCTTTCAGCAGCACGGCAGACAGTGCAGCAGTTATCTCCCCTCCTCTTTCCTTCAGCCAGTTGTTCAGGGAAAAATCTAAACATGTGACATATAAAAGTTCAAGGGACTAAACAGAGAGAGTGAATGTGCTTAAGAGGGTGTCAAACCCCTTTTGATACGCTGGATGCCGGATGCCACGGTACTCTGGATGCCATGAAATGTCTATCTGGTACCCGGGTGACACTATTTCAGTGTTGAAATTTATTTTCCGTCCTTTTCTTGCAAAAAGTAAAAATCAAAAACATATTTAGCCTTATGCTTATGAGCATGTATGGTCATGGATTCTATGTGAAAAGCCCTTTCTAATTTACTGTGTACACTAATATGATTCAATTGAGAGTTTTTAATAGTTTTTGACAGATTAAGTGGATTGCTGGATGCTTGTTGGTGGGGCTGGCACCCTCGTTTAATGCTGCACTCAGCAATATTCCAGCTATATCAGGGCAGCCAGTAAAGAATCCAGTCCCGACCAGCTAAACCAGTGATTCCTTGAACCTTAATTTTAACCCGATGACATGCAGTCATTCACAGTGCCTGACTAAACAATAGCGCAGGGACGAGTCCAAATTTACTACCCGGGTACCCGACCCTAGCCGGGTACCAACTGTAGGCCTCAAGAGGGAACACAATGTCTAATTGGGAATAGTTTAACTGTAGCCCTGGCAAAAACTGTTTGTATACAAGTATGAAACCACAGACCATGTAATAGATATATGGTCTCTTATGAAACGATCAAATTATGAGACACTGAAGTTGACTGAAGCTTTATCTTTACTCAAACATACAAAGTCAAAAGGAATGTGTCATCATCATAAAAAAATGGGAACATTAGCGACTTGTTGTGGAGCCACTGAGCAAAAGTGAGTTTTTGTCATTAAACAATATGTCTTGTGACTAAGCACGGGTCCGGGTAGTCCTGTGGGTACCCGGGTCCTACTTAGGACCCTACCGACCCGAGTACCCGAGTTACCCGTCCCTGCCCTACTACACAATGATGACAGTAAACTCTAACGACATGTATATTTTACAAGGAGCCAACACAAACCCCAAACCCGATGGTGAATTGCTAAAAAGAGATACAGAGTCGCGAGAAGACATATGTACATATTTAGTGAACCATTGTTATAGAAAATGAAACAGACAACAAAGTTCGACATTATTCACACTGAACAGAATTATTTGTTTTGGAAAATTCATTTTCTACTGAGGATTTTGTTTGTAATCAAGTATGCTGTTTATAATCCCAAAATGGAGTCTACATGAGATAAGGCTTGGGCTGCTGTTGGGCTGCTGTTGGGCTGCTGTTGGGCTGCTGTTATCAGTACTTTTTACACTTTTTACACTGCTTTTTACACTTGACACTGCTTATTAATGTCTACAAGCTGAAAAAGTTGGAAGAATGCTGTTGGATGATAAATAAATTATCACCCTCGTGTCTTTTGATATCAAATATATCAACACATCTTGATAAAAGTGGAAAAACTCCCTGGCAAGCCATATATTTGATATCAAAAGACACTCAGTGAGATTCTCTATATGTTTACCTACATATGGTATTGACATAATCATAAAGCATGAATACAATAGCTAAGATCTGTCATCGGTTTGCAGAAACGAGTGGAGGTTAATTGATCGTCATTAAAACACAACATAAAATTAGACAAGTATATACACCATAGTTCCAAATATGAAGACAATCCAGCGATTAGTTCTTGAGATATCGCGGCAACACCGTTTTCTAACTCCAAAAGCAGATTTGCCTGCTGTGACCATGAAAATGGGGTCAAGGTCACCAAAACCGACTGGTGTCTTCGGAGTCTGTATATACACCATAGTTCCAAATATGAAAACCATCCAGTGTTTAGTTCTTGAGATATCGCTGCAACACCGTTTTCCAACTCCAAAAGCAGATTTGCCTGCTGTGACCTTGAAAATGGGATCAAGGTCACCAAAACCGACTGGTGTCTGCGGAGTCTGTATATACACCATAGTTCCAAATATGAAGACAATCCAGTGTTTAGTTCTTGAGATATTGCTGCAACACCGTTTTCCAACTCCAAAAGCAGATTTGCCTGCTGTGACCTTGAAAATGGGGTCAAGGTCACCAAAACCGACTGGTGTCTGCGGAGTCTGTATATACACCATAGTTCCAAATATGAAGACAATCCAGTGTTTAGTTCTTGAGATATCGCGGCAACACCGTTTTCTAACTCCAAAAGCAGATTTGCCTGCTGTGACCTTGAAAATGGGGTCAAGGTCACCAAAACCGACTGGTGTCTTCGGAGTCTGTATATACACCATAGTTCCAAATATGAAAACAATCCAGTGTTTAGTTCTTGAGATATCGCTGCAACACCGTTTTCCAACTCCAAAAGCAGATTTGCCTGCTGTGACCTTGAAAATGGGGTCAAGGTCACCAAAACCGACTGGTGTCTGCGGTGTCTGTATATACACCATAGTTCCAAATATGAAGACAATCCAGTGTTTAGTTCCTGAGATATTGCGGCAACACCGTTTTCCAACTCCAAAAGCAGATTTGCCTGCTGTGACCTTGAAAATGGGGTCAAGGTCACCAAAACCGACTGGTGTCTGCGGTGTCTGTATATACACCATAGTTCCAAATATGAAGACAATCCAGAGTTTAGTTCCTGAGATATCGCGGCAACACCGTTTTCCAACTCCAAAAGCAGATTTGCCTGCTGTGACCTTGAAAATGGGGTCAAGGTCACCAAAACCGACTGGTGTCTGCGGTGTCTGTATATACACCATAGTTCCAAATATGAAGACAATCCAGCGATTAGTTCCTGAGATATCGCGGCAACACCGTTTTCCAACTCCAAAAGCAGATTTGCCTGCTGTGACCTTGAAAATGGGATCAAGGTCACCAAAACCAACTGGTGTCTGCGGAGTCTGTATATACATCATAGTTCCAAATATGAAGACAATCCAGTGTTTAGTTCTTGAGATATCGCGGCAACACCGTTTTCCAACTCCAAAAGCAGATTTGCCTGCTGTGACCTTGAAAATGGGGTCAAGGTCACCAAAACCGACTGGTGTCTGCGGAATTTGTATATACACCATAGTTCCAAATATGAAGACAATCCAGTGTTTAGTTCTTGAGATATCGCGGCAACAAACAGGTGGGACGTACGGACGGATGTACGGACGGACGGTCGTGAATACTATATCCCCCGCTTCGCGCTTTCGCGCGGCGGGGGACAAAAAGAAAAGGAAAAAAATATCAATTTAAATTTCTGAACTGCAATGTTGTAATGGATATCATCACTTCATGGTTATCCACACATAACCATACCTGGTATTTTGAATCCCTGTATGGGAGCACAGCCAGGCATTGGGAGCTGTGATTGGTCAAATATCTTCAGATCCAGCTCGCAGTCCCCGCCCTGAAGACACAGACTCGCTGTCAAGTCCACGATAAACATCTGCTGGGAAAGTATACGCTCGATCTTGAAACTGGGGGAGAAAACAGTCAATACTCAACACAATGCGCAAAATAAAGTTATATAATAATGGTATTTATAGTAATAATATACTATCACATCAGTGAGTGACACAGTCAGGGAGTATCTTTTACACCGCTTCTGGCAATATTCCAGTCATGTCACGTCGGGAGAATGGTCTTCGCACAATGCACTCATATAGTTGGTTTGTTGTTTAGTGCTGCATACAGCAATATTCAAGCTATATGACGGCGGTCTGTAAATAATCGAGTCTGGTCCAGACAATCCAGTGATTGACATCATGAGCATCGATCCACGCAATTGGGACCGATGACATGCTTCAACCAAGTCAGCGAGCCTGACCCCCGATCCCGTTAGTCGCCTCTTACGACAAGCATAGTCGCCTTTCACGGCAAGCATGGGTTGCTGAAGACCTATTCTACCCCGGAATCTTTACGGGCCGCACTTATATAGAGAATCAAACCTTGTCTTCAATGTGATAAAGTGAAAGATATGACTTGCAGGGCTTTATGCGACAAACAAAAGTGTGACCAGTACCCACATAGGGAAAAAATATACTGCGTCCAGAGGTGAGGTGAGGTGAAATGGGGTTTAACGTCGCGTCCAAGATTATTGCACTTATATAGCGATGCGCATGTACGTGTGTGTGTGTTTGTGTGGCTGCTTGTACTAGTCCGGACTGATGCCGATTTATAGTGCTAGCTCACTGAGATACCATGCCGCAGTTTAACATGAATACCCCACTCAGACACAGTATACTGACTCCGAGCCGACCAGTCCTTGTTTCAGCCCCTTGTTGAGCGCCAGACAGGGTAACAACAAGTACCATCTTTTAACGTCTTTTGGTATGACGCGGCCGGGGCCGGTTGCTCTACCACTAGACCACGGAGGCAGTCATACTGCATCCAGAGAGACAGACAATAACATTCAGTGCATCAAGAGCAGTTGTGGGTGTCTGTTATTTCATACATCAATCATGAGTACTGTCTCTTGATCCGTGATTCATTCCAGGCTCTAAAGTAATTATCTAAACATACAGTACACTTCACCATTACGTTACTTTACAGGACCCTCATATTGCCTGCAGGGGGCACAGGTGGCCCAGTCGTCTAAGGCGCCGCGATTCGCTGTGCAGAGCTGCGTCCCTTGGGCACGCCAGAAACCTATGATTGTGGGTTCGAATCCCGGTTCGCCCCGATTATGTTTCTAGGTTTGTCAGCACCATACCCGTGCTTGTGGGTTTCACCGAAGTGGTAAACGTCTGAGACCTGTACACTTCGGGCTTTCCTCCCACATTAAGATGACACGCCGTGATATGACTGGAATACTGTTAAAAGCGGCGTTAAACCCAACTCACTCACTCACTCATATTGCCTGCAAGGACCTTAAAATGGATTAATGGATTATTATTGGGCCCCCACTATTGGAATTTAAGTGACACCTTGAACCCTAACGCCCGGCTAACATGTGAGGTGTTTTGCAGTGCAGACCACGACTGCCTCTTACTTAAGCCGAATATCGACAAATGAAAACTAGACATATTGGAATGACGATCACACAATTTCAAAATCGTGTGTAAACGACAAAAAGTGAAACATGATCCGCTGACTACTCACTTCATTTTTAAGACTGGAATTCCTTCTATCGTAACTTCTGTTTCTGTCCCTGTTAAAAAGGAAAGGTGTTTTGAATACATCTTAAATTTCAATTTATGATTCGATTTTAATCACTATGAAGCCCGGCATGTAAAGATAGGATGAAAACCAGTACAGTGTTTTGTTAGCGTAAATAGTGTTATTGAGATGTCCTTATTTTAAATATGAAATTTGAAAATCATTTCTGTCACAATCTCATTAAGATCAGACCTTAGTCCTCGCTACCGCTAAACAAAGATCTGAAGACATATTATTAGGGGTCACGTCAGACGACCTTTCATCCGACCAATCAGAGCGTTGCTTACCAGATCATGAAAGTGACAGTCGGAATGTGATTTCTAATCATACAACCTCGAAAACTTTAACACGGGTTATTCCGAACGATAGTTACGGGCTTAACGACTGAATCCATACAATCTAGACCATCTATTAGCCATTCCAGAAAGTTCTTTTGTTTAGGTCTCAAATTTGTAATCGAGAATTTGTCAAAATATGTTTCGAAGTGTAGTCGCCAATTTGAAATTAGTGCCGTAAAGCACGAGAAAGCTACCTTCTGATTGGTCATTCCATTGGTCGGTCAAAGTTCGTGCAAGGTCAGTCTGACATGACCCGTAATGGGATGTCCTCAGATTTTTGTTTATCAGTAGCGAGAACTAAGATCTGATTTTAAGGAGATTGTTTCTGTCAGGACTTTTTTTCATTTGGTAACACAGTGCTCGAAAAAAAGAAGATTTTTGTACTGATGCTTTTTGTTTCCTTGGCTGGTTTCTATTAAACGATCGTGAAATCTACAGCATCTGACATATTAAAAGCTACATCATAAGTGGTAGGTAAAAAACCCAAAATAATAAACAAATGATAATGAGTCAATTCTAAATATTTTTTACATTTGTATACTTATCCTTCATTCTATAATTTCCAAATGTCTTGCTAATACTCACCCCATTTGTAATCCAGTATATTAAATCTAAAGCTGTACTTCTCGATGGACCCCTCTATGTAGAAGTTGCACAGGTCTATGGTGAAGGTGGTGTGGAGGGAGAGGTCGAGGAGGTTGCTCTGCATGCAGCAGTCGATACCAAGACACCTGTCGTTGATGTAGCAGTTGGCAGGGATGGTCAACTTCGGCAGGCTGAACGCGCTATTGACCAGTGGGCAGTCTAACAGACAAAACAAACATTTGGAGAAATTGGTTTTGTCTCTGTTCAATGGCTCTTGGTCACCATAAGATATTTTGGCAAACTGTTTGTTTGTATGTTGTTTAACACCGCACTCAGCAATATTCCAGCTATATGACGGCGGTCAGTAAATAATCGAGTCTGGACCAGACAATCCAGTGGATGACATCATGAGCATCGATCCACGCAATTGGGATCGATGACATGCATCAACCAAGTCAGCGAGCCTGACCACCCGATCCCGTTAGTCGCCTCTTCCGACAAGCAGAGTTGCGTCAAACTGCTTGATATTAAAGGATTTACTGAACATTACTTGATTTTTAAACAGGATATGAGGTGAGGTGAAACAGGGTTGAATGTCGCGTTCAAGATTATGACAGTTATATGCTTGTATGTGACTGCTTGTATTTGCCCTGACTAATGCCAGTTTTATAGTGCTGGCCCACTGAGATACCATGCTGTAGTTTAACATGGATACCCCATTCAGACACAGTATACTGATTCTGAGCCGACTAGTCCTTGTTTTAGCCCCTTAATGCCAAGTACCAGACAGGGTAACAACAAGTACCATCTTTCAACATCTTTTGATATGAAGTGGCCAGGGATCGAACCCCAGACTTTCTGCTCTCCGGGCAGACACCCTAGCCACTAGACCACCAAGGTGATCTTTATTCAGAAGCTAAGAAGTAGTTGAGTATCAACATCTGCATGAAGGTTGTCATTCTTGTTCCCAATTTGTTTGCATTTATCTGTTCAGCTTTTTAAAATTGAGTGAGTTGGGTTTAATGCCGTTTCTAACAGTATTCCAGTTAAATCACGACGTGTCAGCTTAATGTGGGAGAAATGCCCGAAGTGGTGCAGGTCTCAGACGTTTACCACTTCGGTGAATTCCACAGTCACAGGTATGGTGCTGACAAACCTAGAAACATTAATCGTATTTAAAATTGAATATTGTTAACCATTATACTACCATCCTTGATATCCAGTCAACAACGTTCAACAGAAGTTTCAGTGTCTGTTTAATTTGTTGTGGTTGTAACCTCATGAGTGACTGTTCTTGTGTTAATTGGAAGAATTAGTTCTGCAAGTTCACTGTATTCAGACGTCCTGTGTATTTCATTATTTTCATGAACTTTTGTTTCTTGTATTCTAAGATATTTGCAAGAGAATTCAGTTTTATACTCTCATGAAATAGAAATGCTGCTGTGCACTTGTGGTGGGAAATGTTACCTGCACTGGGTGCAACCAGGCAACAACAGTTACCTGCACCTGTTACCTGTTTTAAACGACCTGATGCAGCTTGGATATAGCGACATCCATCCCTGTTAACCACTTGACAACACTGCTTTATACATATTTGAGTGAGTGAGTGAGTGAGTGAGTTGGGTTTAACGCCGCTTTTAACAGTATTCCAGTTATATCACAGCGTGTCAGCTTAATGTGGGAGGAAAGCCTGAAGTGATGCAGGTCTCAGACGTTTACAACGTCGGTGAAACCCACCCATGAGCACGGGTATGGTGCTGACAAACCTAGAAACATAATCGGGGCGAACCGGGATTCGAACCCACAATCATAGGTTTCTAGTGTGCCCAAGAGACGCAACTCTGCACAGCGAGTCGCGGCACCTTAGACGACTGGGCCACCCATGCCCCCCCATACATATTTGAAGTGGAATGTAATGTCAGAGAGGCTGCCTACCGTTCTTCCAGTTATCAGCATCCGCAGGTTGATACTTGAGACTGGATCGAGCGCAGGGAGGCTCCAGCATCTTGTCCTTGATCCCCAGCTGCTCCAGTAGGAGGCTCACTGCGGCTTTGGCCAGACCTTGACCTAAATCTTGACCTTTGGCCTTGGCCCAGTCAGAGAGACTGAAATCTAGAATAAATAAGTGAGTGAGTATGGTTTTACGCTGCTTTTAGCAATATTCCAGCAATATCATGGCGGGGGACACCAGAAATGGGCTTCACACATTGTACCCATGTCAGGAATCGAACCCGGGTCTTTGGCGTGACGAGAGAACGCTTTAATCACTCGGCTACCATGGTGCCAAGCTTTCCAGATTTACAGTGCTTTGTTGAATAACAATGCTCACTTTTCAGGTTGACCTTGGCATCAAGGTCACAAATGAGCTGTGGAACTTCAGTGCCAGTCATAACTGGGAGGTCGATCATGCAGTTGTCACTTTCAAAGCAAACTTGCACCTTCAAATCCAGAAGAAACATCTTATCCTGCTTCTTCAGACCAAAACTGAAACAAAAGAAAAACAGATCTGTTCAAATTTCCTAGAGATACATGCCAATTCCACAGTCTCTTTGTCTTTGACATTCCGAAAGTTGGTTTTAAACTTAAAATTTTATCTTTCCGAGTCAATTAAGAAATGAATTTATGGCACCAAACAAAACATGTATAAAAAATAGTTCACATCTGAAATACTTATTATTTCTCAATAAATGTACCAGGTAATAAAAAAAATATGATATATTCACTCACTCGATAATAAATACATCCTCAATAGTGACCCCAGTTGATACCCCTGTAAAAAAGTGGAAACATAATTTCATTAACGACATAAGGATGCAAGAGATCATTTATATAAAAAAATAATTTTTTTTAAATATTTTAGCAGTCAAAAGTAATGTAGTCTATCATATTATACACGACACAGACAAACTGACATATATGGGAAAACAGAAAACATGAAGATTTAGCAAACATTTAATAATTTTCACTAATTTTCAGTGATCCATTCATATAATTGTCGCCCGTATTTTGCCTTTCAGGCCCAATGGAAATTGTTTGGGCACATAATCGAGACCAATTAATTATTCTACAGCATTGATGTTTTATATTTATAAGGTTAACCAACATTTGTTGTAATCGGTTCATTAGGTATTGAATTGTACCTGTGTCCAGGTTGACATTGTCTCCCAACATGTTGAAGGTGAAGTTTTTCTTCTCAACAGCCGCAAAGATGAAGTAGTCACACATGTCGACGTTGAGGATGGCGTTGAAGGACATTTTAAGAAAGGGGACGTCAAAACAGCAGTCGATTTTGGTGCACGTGGCCGCCAGATGGCAGTGTAACCCAGAGGGCAATTTAGGGAGCTTCCGGATACTTTTTGGACATTCTGCCATCAACAAGAAAAAGATTTCAGTTGGTAATGAGTTAGTTTGTTTGTTTGTTTGTTTGTTGTTTAACGCCACACTCAGCAATATTCCAGTTATATGACGGCGGTCTGTAAATAATCAAGTCTGGACCAGACTATCCAGTGATTGATATCATGAGCATCGACCCACGCAATTGGGATAATGGCATGTATCAACCAAGTCAGCGAGCCTGACCACCCGCTCCCGTTTGTCGCCTTTTACAACATGAGTTAGTGAGCTAATGATATTCAACACAGCTGTCATTAATATTCCACTACTTTTCTGGCAAATCCTAAGAATTAAGTCCGATCCAATGACTGACAGCATGAGCAACAATCAAATTCTTTCGGGTACAATTGCATACAAAGTCAAAGAACCTTGCAAGTGGATCTCCATTTTAGCCTGGGAAACTGGGGCTGGGGACCCATTCTGACCTGGGACTACCACTGGGGATAAATAAGAGTGAGTGGGTGGGTTGGCGGGCGGGCAGGCAAGCGAGCAAGCGAGTGAAACAATGCTTTGGACAGTATTCCAGCTATATCATGGTGAAAGCCTGAAGTGGTGCAGGTCTCAGAGGTTTAGACTTTGTTGAAACCGAAGGGGGAACAGGTATAGTGCTGACAAACCCAGAAACATAATCAGGGCAAATTGGGATTGGAACCCACAATCATATGTTTCTGGTGTTCCTAAGGGATGCAACAGCCAAATGCAGCACCTTAGTCGACTGGGCCTCTGGTTACTTAGACATACAGAAACGACTCGACGCTCACACAAACGAGGTGTACTGAACTCAACATATGAATCAATAACTGTACACAGTTGTATCACACTGCCAAGGATTTCATTTCTCTGTATACCACATCTATAATAAACTGTGTCTCAGGATTCCAGCAAATGTTTCTTGAGGTGAGTGAGTGAGTATGGTTTTACGACGATTTTAGCAATATTACAGCAATATCACGGCGGGGTACACCAGAAATGGGCTTCACACAGATCGGCTCTATGAGCTATTGTTTTATGCCGCTTTTAGCAATATTCCCGCAATATCACGGCGGGGGACACCAGAAAGGGGCTTCACACATTGTACCCATGTCAGGAATCGAACCCGGGTGACGAGCGAACGCTTTAACCACTAGGCTACCCGACCGCCCCTAAAAGTTTCTTGACTTAGAAGACACTACAGATCGTCTCTGGTAGCTATGGCGAAACATTTATTATACATGTGATTGAGCAATGTTCAATAAACATACTATTGATAGGTCTGTACATATTCTTCATTACTCCTCAGACCTCTCTCCCCCCAAAACTCACCATTCCTCCATCCATCCACACTGGGGGTGTACGGCTCTCTCTGAACATCACACCTCCCCCCAAAACTCACCATTCCTCCATCCATCCACACTGGGGGTGTACGGCTCTCTCTGAACATCACACCTCTCCTCCTTCAAGAACTCGGCGATGCCAAACTTGTCCAGCAACAGTCTTGCAGCCGACTGAGAAAGGGCTTGGGCAGCATCCAGACCCAGTTCCTTCGTCCATTCTGAGAGGGAGAAATCTGGAGAGGATTGAGACAAGGTAATCAATGCTTAGATTACTTAAAGATATGCACACACAATAAAATCTTTGCTCAGTGGTTATGTTTCCATGAAGCATGTCTTGATTCCAGCAAATAACAAGTCAAAAGACATTTCTACAAAGTATCTTGATGGCTAGTGGAAGTCAAAGTCATTGCAAAGGAAACTCGAAAAATAATTTTTTCCAAAATCCGAAACTATCAAAAGGCACCAGGTTACCACTTGGCCAATCTATGTGTCAAGTTTGGTGAAAAAATTACTGACGGTTTTCAAGATCTGCTCCAGAAAGGAGCACTACAGCCATTTTCAGTCTAAGTCAAAGTCGTTGCCATGGAGACTCAAAATATTTTTTTCTTCCAAAATCCCAAACTATCAAAAGGCACCAGTTCACCACTAGACCTATCTATGTGCCAAGCTTGGTTAAGATATCTCTAATGCTTTTATATATAGTTCTGCTACGGAAACAAAACGTGACAGACAGACAGCACCCATTCCTATATTCCCTTCCACTTTGTGGTGGGGGATAAGAATAAAAATACACAACAAACCATTAACAATCTACAACCATTAATATACCAAAATCTCAGACAAATGAAACTGTGTCGACAGAAATTAAGCTTTTATAATGGATGTATGATATACTGAAGGAGTCCATGAATATTTGATCCCCCCAAATTTAACGGCTGTATGATTGAGACTGACTCTGTTTGGAGAATTCCACCAGAGCCTTGGCATCACAGGCTGGTATCCTCTCTCCCTTCATCAACTGCAGACCTCCGTCTGGGAAACAGAAGCTCTCGTCGTCTATCGGGATGCACGTGGTCACGCTCAGGTCAATGATGAAGCCCTGGCTGTACTTGGATATGGAGAAGCTGAAACAGATGTGAGAGAGTCCATCGTAACGCAGACTACAAGTAAGGTTTAAGCCATCTTCACGGAATGTTGGAGAAAGCAACAAGAGTTATCAGAAGATGACAAATTCCCCCGGGGCCCCACTACAGCAAAAGGCACCACTTCAGCCCCTGGTTAATACATGTACATGAAATATCTTTCACGGTTTTCAAGTTAAGCTTCAGGAAAGAAATATGGGTTGACAGACAGACGGATGGACAGACACATGATGACTATATCCCCCTGCATCATATGCCAGGGGGGAGAACAGGTGGCCCAGTCGTCTAAGGCGCCGAGATTCGCTGTGCAGAGTTGCATCCCTTGGGCAAGCCAGAAACCTATGATTGTGGGTTCGAATCCCGGTTCGCCCCAATTATGTTTCTAGGTTTGTCAGCACCATACCCGTCCTCGTGGGTTTCACCGAAGTGGTAAACGTCAGAGACCTGCATCACTTCGGGCTTTCCTCCCACATTAAGCTGACACGCCATGATGTTACTGGAATACTGTTAAAAGCGGCGTTAAACCAAACTCACTCACTCACTCACTCAAATATGTATGAAGCAGTGTTGTTGTCAAGTGGTTAACAGGGATCGATGTCGCTTTATCAAAACTGCATCAGTGCGTAAAAAACAGGTAACAGGTGCAGGTAACTGTTATTGCCTGGTTGCACCCAGTGCAGGTAACATTTCTCACTCACTCACTCACTCATATGCCAGGGGCATAAAATTGCCAAAGGTTGTAGACTACAACACTGGTGAAGCATTAGTACGGTCATGAACTTGAAAGCCACAAAACCCTTTCCATACTGAGAAATCTCTGCTGAAAGCAGAGTCGACTGTACGATTCCAACGGTATCGTGAAGGATCAGGATCGGGTCTGTGGAGGAATCTGGGATCTGAACACATGGTCAGTAGATTCTGGCACAAACAGAAGATGTTCGTCTGCAGACGTGGACACCATGCTGTTGTTCTTGGTTCAGGTGTATGCTGAATGCCATCTTCTCGAGGCAAGGGCGTTGACTGACTATAAAAGTCCAGTTGCCACCCTTGCCGAACTAGGCTGGAATTCCGGAGTTACATTTTGGCTGGACTAACGGGTCTGTGCATAGTCCAATCAAAATCGCGCAACGAACTAGACATCCAATTTGAAAAAAACATACGTGCAGATTTTGACAGATATTTTCCAAATCTTTTCATGTTTTTAATCAAGTTGCTCAAATGATTTGATGCACTTAGCGAGGTATGATGCACTGTGACAGGTAATACCAGTTTTATTACGATATAGATCTTGATTATCGATCTGATTGTCTTGACTGGGTGCTACAATTTTGTTTGAAGCAAATGCAAGTGATATGAGAGATGGAATCCGATTGGTCAATAGGGGGGACATAGAAGGGATGTAACTTGTAATAGCCACAGGTGGTGCTACAATTGATCCACGAAATTCCAGCATAGTTCGGCAAGGGTGGAAACTGGATTTTTGTAGTCATTAACACCCTTGCCTCGGTAAGAAGGCTAAATGTATGTTAAAACATATACTTTATTCAATAGTTGCACTGACATTAAATTAAAATGTCTACACACCCAAAAAACTGATCGAAATATGTTCTAGGCCCCATTCCACAAGGCGATCAAAGCCCTTGAACGATTATAACTCCCATATCTTCACATAGACTTACGACGGTCATAGTGCTACCAACCGCTTTGCAGAATGAAGCCCAGATAGACAATGCTATCTGAAGCATGTTGAACAAATAAATGTCCTCTACCTTATGATGATCGGGGCCGGGTCTCCATCTCCTATTTCCAGAGCTGTAACACTCCCTGAAAGAATGAAAACAGGTTGTAGAGATCGGGATACATGATAACAGCTGAACTCGGAACATCAGGAAGTCACCAAATGATTACACCCAGTGAATGTCAGCTTAAACGCGACGATAGTTTTGTGTCAGTGTCAGTCTTGAAACCCAACCTTCAAAGAACCTTCTGTGCCAATCTATGCAAGGCATTATTGCATTCAAAATATTTTAACAAGTTATTGTTTCCAAATATTATTGCATATAATGTATTTATCATTTCACATGAGACAAATATTATCAGTTTCACAACAAAATGCAAAAAACTTGTAACTGAAGAGTGAGTGAGTGAGTTGGGTTTAACGCGGCTTTTAACAGTATTCCAGTTATATCACGGCGTGTCAGCTAAATGTGGGAGGAAAGCCCGAAGTGATGCAGGTGTCAGACGTTTACCACTTCGGTGAAAACTACGAGCACGGGTATGGTGCTGACAAACCTAGAAACATAAACGGGGTGAACAAGGATTCGAACCCACAATCATAGGTTTCTGGCGTGCCCAAGGGACGCAACTCTGCACAGCGAATCGCGGCGCCTTAGACGACTGGGCCACCTGTGCCCCTATAACTGAAGATCTCTGAGAGAATATGTGCACTGAGTGAGCCAAGTTCAACGTCACTTGGAACAGTATTTCAGCTTGAGTGAATCAGTTCCTGCAAGGAATGGTCCATTTGCCCATTAGACTAAAAAAATAATAGCCTTGATTCTCAGGCACCACCCACATCATCATAAAGTCCGCTGTACGTTTCGTTTTTATTTCCATAAAAAATCAAAAAAATCTTTTATAAATATATATTCCGCGTCTCGAACACACGACCCCGGCAGTGAAGTGCTACAACACTTAAGAACAACATGATTTCTCCAAATTTAAGGTCAACAAAAGTTGGTGACATACTAGCTTGAACAACAAAAAAACAAACCAAAAACACTGCCCGCCCGCTCTATATTTTCAAAAGCCTTTGCCTGAGAACAAATTTGTTTATTTTTTTAAGCCTAAAACAGTTCAAGTCACTTAGTTTGTGGACCGGCACACTTCATCATGCTGGAGCATATACTCTTGTATGTGTTTCCTGATCTTTCCATGTTATGTTTTTTAAGCCAAGAAATATAAAACAACAGTCAAATGAATTTCCATAAGGGTTCCCATATAGACATGAAAACAGTAAAACGTAAAAAATCTGTGAAGATCCAGGTTAGAATTTGTCTTCAGCAACCCATGCTTGTCGTTAGAGGCAAATAATGGGATCAAATGGTCAGGGTCGCAGACTTGGTTAATGCATGTCATCAATCCTAATTGACAAGATCGATGCAAGTCAATCACTGGATTGTCTGGTCCAGATTTGATTCTTTACAGATCAACATCATAAAGCTGGAATATTGCTGAGTGGGCGTTAAACAACTAACAAACAAAAACTAAAAGATTAAATTAATAATAATTTGGCATGTTTAGTCTGGAAAGCCCAAAGTGAAAGGTTGAAAACGCTTACTGAGTTTCTCAAAACGTTTGTTTGTAAGTTGGTATGGTGCTTCCGAAACAGAACTATTGACATAATTTCTTTGAGAATAAATTTCTATGATTTTCCATTCACTAAACTCTATCGAATTAATATCCATTTCACATGACCCTCACGAGATTCCTTTGTGAAGACTATTAATTATTGTAAATATTTCATTCTGCAGGTTCAATAATTTGACAAGCACATCTTACCCCAGTTGTATTCCAGGAGTGTTTCCTTATGATAATACGACCCAAATCCGACCTCCACAGTGAAGTTACAGGGCTCGAACTTGAGGAAGAACGGGACGCTCTTGAGAAGAGGCTGGTCAAATAGGGGTATATTGAAGACAAAGTCCACACAGCACTGGACACCGAAACAGTTCTCCGGCAGACCACAGGTCACCTTGTCCCTGAAGCTGGAGGGCAGGTAGCTGGTGATGTTGGGAAGCTCCCAGGGGCAGTCTAGAACAAACATGAGGTAGACTGAATGCAAGTTTAACCAATATTTGTGAGTGAGTGAGTTGGGTTTAACGCCGCTTTTAACATTATTCCAGTTATATCACAGCATGTCAGCTTAATGTGGGAGGAAAGCCCGAAGTGATGCAGGTCTCAGACGTTTACCACTTCGGTGAAACCCACGAGCAAACCTAGAAACATAATTGGGGCGAACCAGGATTCGAACCCACAATCATAGGTTTCTGGCGTGCCCAAGGGACGCAACTCTGCACAGCGAATCGCGGCACCTTAGACGACTGGGCCACCCGTGCCCCCACCAATATTTGTGACCAACCATGAGATAATTATGGGACCTTATGGGTGAAAAATCATATTTTGACTTCTCATCGGGATCTTAGGAACACAAAAATACAATTCACAAGCTTAAATTCATATCTATTACAGCGAGACATGACATCAAACATTTGGACTCATTTTCTGCAAAGTCCCATTTTCTGACTTAAAACTGTTTTGGGAGGCGGTTGGGTAGCCTAGTGGTTAAAGCGTTTGCTCGTCACGCCGAAGACCCGGGTTCGAATCCCGACATGGGTACAATGTGTGAAGCCCATTTCTGGTGTCCCCCGCCGTGATATTGCTGGAATATTGCTGAAAGCGGTGTAAAACCAAACCACTAGGCTATCCGACCGCCCCTCCACCAGCTCAGAGACATGATTTAATTATCAATACAAATAGTGAGCTTCTATGAACATAAAACTTCTCTTCACCACCTCAGAGACATGATTTAATTATCAATACAAATAGTGAGCTTCTATGAACTTAAAAACTTCTCTTCCTTGATGATGGACAATTACCTGCAGGGGACGCCCCCAGAGAACAGGGGCCATCAGAAAACACAGTCTGAAAGGGAAATAAGATAATTATTGTTATACCTCTATTAAGAATCTTGCAATTCCATTGGTTAATCTGTACCATGTGATGAAACAATACATTTCAATGTAGACACCAAAATCATGTGACAGAGGACGGTTTAAAGGCTATATAAATCTAAACTTAATAACGGTATAACAAAACAAATAATTACTCTTGACAAGGTCAACTTGCAAAACAAGAACCCTTGGACCCCTTTGATTTTTCATTTTTATTGCATAATGACCTCATCAAGAGTAAATTATTTGTATAACATTGGCATTTATCAAATAATTGAAATTTTGAATTAGGCTTCATAAAAACACTAAAATTTCACTAAATGCATGTCAGCAGCTATATCATAGGTAAAATGAATACCCATCCCAGCTTTCTGCTACAGTATGTTATTTTTAACGTAGCGAAAACAATTTGACATCAGCAGTACTTCAATGTTTACCATCTTCCTGAGGCAAGGGAGTTAATTGACTGTAAAAGTCCAGTTCTCACCCTTGCCGAACAAGGCTGGAATTCTTGGCTCAATCATAGCGCCACCAGTGGCTATTATGAGTTATGTCCCTTGTATTTCCCTCCTATTGACCAATCAGATTCCACCTCTCATATCACTTGCATTTGCTTCAAACAAAATGGGGGCGCCCAGTGAGGAGGATCTGATCAATAATCGACATCTATATTGTGATAAAACGGGTCTTACTTCATGATTAAAAACATGAAAGTATTTGGAAAATATTTGTTGACGCCGAGTTGGCAGTACACATGCTTTGCAAATCCTGCACTGCAGTTTACGAACAAAATGTCGATTTCGTTACTCGATTTTGATTGGACTATGCACAGACTCGTTAATCCAGCCAACGAGTATAACGCCATTATTCCAGACCAGTTCGGCAAGGGTGGAATCTAGACTATTAATTCAGTTAACTCCCTTGCCTTGGGAAGACAATGTTTACAGTAACACTTGAACATTAGTTTTGCAACACAAAGAAAACTTCAAAATATTGAACTTCATAGTATAATAGGGTTTTCAATGCGGGTTTTCTGAAATGCTATAGAGTACAAAATATCTAAGAAAAAGTATAAACTAAAAAGGACAACTGGCTGTTTTACCATTAAATGAATGACAAAAAATATAGAAAAATAACATATAATGATTTAACATGAAACAATATTCTTGCTTCTATGATTTGCTTTTATGAGAAGGTTTGACATGATTCAGTTCATAACAAAACCTTTATGACATCATACAAAGAAACATTTTGCTTACATCAAGTTTAAGTTTTTTGAAGATGACGTCTACCACTTCGCCAATAATCTTCCCTCCCATCTTTCTTGCAAGGTCCTTGATGGAACCGGTTCCTGGAAATACAATACTATCTTCAACATTCCAAACATTGAAGTCATAAAGACATTGTTATACAAGACATAGACTTAAATGCAAAACTTCAATGTCAGAGAATAATCAGTCTCCACTATCAGCTGAAACAGATTTCACTCGGCATCACCTAAAATAGAGATGAGGTGAGGTGAAATGGGGTTTAACGTCGCGTCCAAGATTATTGCACTTATATAGCGACGTGCATGTACGTGTGTGTGTTTGTATGGCTGCTTGTACTAGTCCGGACTGATGCCGATTTATAGTGCTAGCTCACTGAGATATTATGCCGCAGTTTAACATAAATACCCCACTCAGACACAGTATACTGACTCCGAGCCAACCAGTCCTTGTTTTAGCCCCTTAATGCCGAGCGCCAGACAGGGTAACAACAAGTACCATCTTTTAACGTCTTTGGGTATGACGCGGCCGGGGATCGAACCCTGGACCTTCCGCTCTCCGGGCGGACGCTCTACCACTAGACCACGGAGGCGGTCAAAATAGAGATGAAAACTGATCACTGATAATGAGTGATGACACCAGGTGTTCTCATAAAAAGGGTAAGCTAAAATTGTCCTGCTCCATCTGTTGCACCTGCCACGCACACAGAACACTGTGGTTTTACTTAAGAATTTTTTTTAGGATTTTATCATCTTTGGATACTGGACAAAATAAGATAGGGATCATAAATATTTTTGAGGATATTTTTTTGTACTGAAAATATATCCCCAAAAATATTCATGATCCCTGACCTTTTCATTCAGTTGTATTGTTACCAATACATAACACAAAATTTAACCTTTTGGATGACTATCAGTCGAATGTGAAATCCTGATATTATGATTCAAACAGCCTACAGTACTGTTGACACCGTGAAGACCTGGGTTAGAATTGGTCTCAAGCAACCCATACTCGTCATAAGGATCAGGTGGTCAGACTTGCCGACTAAGTTGATGCATGTCATCGTATCTCAAATGAGTGGATCGATGCCCATGATGTCAGTCACTGGACTTGATTATTTACAGACCAGCTGGAATATTGCTGACATGCATCAACCAAGTCAGCAAGACGGACTACCGTATCCCATTAGTGGCTTCTTGCGACAAGTATGGGTTGCAGAATACCAATTCTAACACCGACCCTCACAGGTCATTTTCTGAACAGTGAGCGAGTGAGTGAGTTGGGTTTAACGCCCGCTTTTAACATTATTCCAGTTATATCACGGCGTGTCATCTAAATGTGGGAGGAAAGCCCGAAGTGATGCAGTTCTCAGACGTTTACCACTTCGATGAAACCCACGAACACGGGTATGGTGCTGACAAAACTAGAAACATAATTGGGGCGAACCGGGATTCGAACCCTCAATCATAAGTTTCTGGCGTGTCCAAGGGATGCAACTCTGCACAGCAAATCGCGGCGCCTTAGACGACTGGGCGACCCGTGCCCCCTGTGCAGATTAGGAATCATCATTGTCCAAATTAGCTAGAATTTGTGTGGAAATATTTAATACCTGGTAGAGAAAAGTTTTCATTGCATAGAGGAATTGGGACATCGAAGTTCTCCAGGAAAGTAGAGTCAAGGATGGGTTCAGCCCCAATACCCAGCTTCAGTCCCATGGTGACGATGAAGACCTTCCTCGTCTCATCTCGGTCTATTGTGTACCTGATGACCACTTCGTCTGACAGCTTCAGCTCAGAAGGCGTCCCTGTAGAGGAAACAAAATAAACATTAAATACTGTAAATCTTGAAATGAATGTGTCTCCAAATGAAGTCAACTGCTAGCCCAAAGCCAAAAATGCAACTCAATATGAATGCAACTCCCCCCAAACACATCCCCCTTCCCCCCAGCCCCCGTAGAATTATCAGTATATATAGAGAAAATGGCAATCAAACAGCAAATAGCACCGTTTATTAGCGCTGACTAGAGTACTTCTGTACAAAACAATACATAGTGTTTTGCCACAAACAACAGATCATTGATATGTTTATTCTGTTGACCGGCATTAAGGAAGTTCAAAGGAAATAAAATAATTGAAACAACTCAAGTTGATGCAGTCTAAAAGTACAAAGATGCTGTGATGCGTGGGTGGCGTCTGTCTGGACTTGCTGGAGTAATCAGTCATGCAAAGTTTGACACGAGCTCGAGGGAGTGGAACTCTAGACACCAGCAGTGACAATTCACAGGATGTCCATTTTGTAATTTCTAGTGTTTCAAGATATAAATGCTATGTTTAAAAGACCACTTGCTTTTTTCGTATTTAATTCGTGCTCGCATTAATTTCTAGATTTACCATATAAGGTTCAGACTTGTTAGCTGTCTATGTATCTCATTTATTTATATATATATATATATTTGATTTTGGGTCAAATCCAATTTTCATAAAGTCAGTCTCATTAAAATCAGACCTTAGTTCTCGCTACTGCTAAACAAAGATCTGAAGACATCCTGTTTTGGGTCACGTCAGAACGACCTTTCATCCGACCAATCAGAGCGTCACTTACCAGATTATGAAAGTGACAGTCGGAATGTGATTTCTAATCATGCAACCACGAAAACTTTAACACAGGGTATTCCGAATGATAGTTACGGGTTTAACGACTGAATCCATACAATCTACACTATCTATTAGCCATTCCAGAATGTTCTTTTGTTCAGGTTTCAAATTTGTAATGGAGAATTTGTCAAAATATGTTTCGAAGCGTAGTCGCCAATTTGAAATTAGTGCTGTAAAGCTGGAGAAAGCTGCCTTCTGATTGGTCATTCCATTGGTCGGTCAAAGTTCGCGCAAGGTCGGTCTGACGTGACCCGTAATGGGATGTCCTCAGATCTTTGTTTAGCGGTAGCGAGAACTAAGATCTGATTTTAATGAGATTGTCATAAAGTCAGATAAAGTATCAGAAATATACATTTATATTTCGTTAAACATCCCATTATTCATTCATACATATTTACAATGTCCTCATATGTCTGTAAAAGAGCATCCGTCTTTGTATTAACAGCACAATATATTTTATTAATATTTATTTCTTTGCAACAATAAGGACAAATAATTAAAACAACACAATATCTTCACTCACCCCAAGCATAGCCAAAGAGTATGACCTCGTGGGTGCAGGTCTCGAAGTTGAGCACCAGCGTGAATCTACAGGGGTCCAGCTCTATGTGGGCCTTGAATGCCTTGTTGAAGCCAATCGCCTTGATCTCGGCGTCCACGCAGGCGTCAACTCGGAGACAGTTGGAGGAAATGGACATGTAGATGATCTTGTCCAGCTTGGGATTTCTTACTGCTGGCAGGGTGAGAGTCTTTCCAAGGACGGTACACTCTGGAACAGTGGGGAGTGGATAAGCTATTACATGTAGGAGTGAGTGAGGGAGTGAGTTGGGTTTAACGCCACTTTTAACAGTATTCCAGTAATATCGCGGCGTGTCAGCTTAATGTGGGAGGAAAGCCCCAAGTGATGCAGGTCTTAGACGTTTACCACTTCGGTGAAAGCCACGAGCACGGGTATGGTGCTGACAAACCTAGAAACATAATTTGGGCGAACCAGGATTCGAACCCACAATCATAGGTTTCTGGCGTGCCCAAGGGACGCAACTCTGCACAGCGAATCGCGGCGCCTTAGACAACTGGGCCACCCGTGCCCCCCTATTACATGTAGGAGGTCAATCACAAGCAGTTAAATTATGCATTGTGGTGAAATGTATTATGCATTGTGGTGAAATATATTATGCATTGTGGTGAAATGTATTATGTATTGTGGTGAAATGTATTATGCATTGTGGTGAAATATATTATGCATTGTGGTGAAATGTATTATGTATTGTGGTGAAATGTATTATGTATTGTGGTGAAATATTATGTACTGTGGTGAAATATATTATGTATTGTGGTGAAATATATTATGTATTGTGGTGAAATATATTATGTATTGTGGTGAAATGTATTATGCATTGTGGTGAAATATATTATGCATTGTGGGGAAATATATTATGTATTTTGGTGAAATATATTATGCATTGTGGTGAAATATATTATGTATTGTGGTTAAATGTATTATGTATTGTGGTGAAATGTATTATGTACTGTGGTGAAATATATTGTGTATTGTGGTGAAATATATTATGTATTGTGGTGAAATATATTATGTATTGTGGTGAAATGTATTATGTATTGTGGTGAAATGTATTATGCATTGTGGTGAAATGTATTATGTATTGTGGTGAAATATATTATGTATTGTGGTGAAATATATTATGCATTGTGGTGAAATATATTATGTATTGTGGTGAAATATATTATGTATTGTGGTGAAATGTATTATGTATTGTGGTGAAATATTATGTACTGTGGTGAAATATATTATGTATTGTGGTGAAATATATTATGTATTGTGGTGAAATATATTATGTATTGTGGTGAAATGAATTATGTATTGTGGTGAAATGTATTATGTATTGTGGTGAAATATTATGTATTGTGGGGGAATATTATGTATTGTGGTGAAATATAGTATGTATTGTGGTGAAATATTATCTATTGTGGTGAAATGGATTATGTATTGTGGTGATCATGAAATATATTATGTATTGTGGTGAAATGTATTATGTATTGTGGTGAAATATTATGTATTGTGGTGAAATATTATGTATTGTGGTGAAATATAGTATGTATTGTGGTGAAATATTATCTATTGTGGTGAAATGTATTATGTATTGCGGTGAAATATTATGTACTGTGGTGAAATATATTATGTATTGTGGTGAAATATATCATGTATTGTAGTGAAATATATTATGCATTGTGGTGAAATATATCATGTATTGTGGTGAAATATATTATGCATTGTGGTGAAATATATTATGTATTGTGGTGAAATATATTATGTATTGTGGTGAAATATATTATGCATTGTGGTGAAATATATCATGTATTGTGGTGAAATATATTATGCATTGTGGTGAAATATATTATGTATTGTGGTGAAATATATTATGTATTGTGGTGAAATATATTATGCATTGTGGTGAAATATATCATGTATTGTGGTGAAATATATTATGCATTGTGGTGAAATATATTATGCATTGTGGTGAAATATATTATGTATTGTGGTGAAATATATCATGTATTGTGGTGAAATATATTATGCATTGTGGTGAAATATATTATGTATTGTGGTGAAATATATTATGTATTGTGGTTAAATGTATTATGTATTGTGGTCAAATGTATTATGTATTGTGGTGAAATATATTATGCATTGTGGTGAAATATATCATGTATTGTGGTGAAATATATTATGCATTGTGGTGAAATATATTATGTATTGTGGTGAAATATATTATGTATTGTGGTTAAATGTATTATGCATTGTGGTGAAATGTATTATGTATTGTGGTGAAATATATTATGCATTGTGGTGAAATGTATTATGTATTGTGGTGAAATATATCATGTATTGTAGTGAAATATATTATGTATTGTGGTGAAATATATTATGTATTGTGGTGAAATATTATGTATTGTGGTGAAATATATTATGTATTGTGGTGAAATATTATGTATTATGGTGAAATATTATGTATTGTGGTGACCCCACCCGACCCGAGTACCCGAGTTACCCGTCCCAGCCCTAGTCACGATCATGTTTTTACTCATATTACGTAACTCAGACCGCCATGTCACCAAACAGATCAAAAACCCCATGAAGATCCGGGTAAGGAATGATCTTCAGCAACCCATGCTTGTTTGAAAAGGCGACTAATGGGTGGTCAGGCTCACTGACTTGGTTGACGCATGTCATCATATCTCAATTACGTAGATAAATGCTCATGATGTCAATCACTGGATTGTCTGGTCCAGACTCGATTATTTACAGACTGCGGTCATATAGCTCAAATGTTGCTGCGTGCAGTGTTAAACAACAAAGAAACTGATACCACAGTACAGTGCTATCGACTCCTGGTTTCTTTGACCCCATTGTGTTACTAAAAGACGCCATGATATATCTGTTTTATCTCCGACATACGTTTATCAGCATCTCTCAGCCTCTGCTCCAGCTGAGTCTTGGTTCCGGATACCGCCAGCCCCCTCTCCTGGAGGGACTGCTTCAGAAGGTCCTGGGTGAAGGTCTCCGGGCGGTGGCAGGGGGAGGACTTGCCTGGCGCCTGGGGAAGTATGTAAGTGTCTTTTATTGTAACCTCTTCATTTTGAAATATAAGATAGCTGTGCCATAACGAGGTGTAGTTTATTTCATGATAAAACATTGTTCTATCACGATGTCATTTCTGGAGATTTGAACATAAACTCGCAACTTGATGACGTAAATTGGATTATCCTATTTTGTAGAAGAAAGTCAGTTGTTACCCTTTGAGGTAACAGGGCAACGCAGAAAAATGCAATGACTGAACGATCACATCCCCAGGTGGGCTATGGCAATTGATAAAATGAGAAAAGGTACATATCATGAATTGTTTGATGGGCATGACTTTGCAGTTGACAACCAATCTCATTAAAATCAGATCTTAGTTCTCGCCATTACGGGTCACGTCAGAACGACCTTTCATCCAACCAATCAGAGCGTCACTTACCAGATAATGAAAGTGACAGTCGGAATGTATTTTCTGATCATGCAACCACGAAATATTTAACACGGTGTATTCCGAACGAGAGTTACGGGTTTTAGGATTATATCCATACAATCTAGGCCATCTAGAAGCCATTCCAGAATGTTCTTCTTATCAGTTAAAATTTTTAATCGAGAATACGTCAGGAAATGTTTCGAAACGTAGTCGCCAGTTTGAAACTAGTGTCGTAAAGCTAGAGAAAGCTGCCTTCTGATTGGCTAATGTCGATTTCTTGTCAGTCACTTCATTGGTCGGCCAAAATTAACGAAAGATCGTTCTGACGTGACCCGTAATGGGATGTCCTCAGATCTTTGTTTAGCGGTAGCGAGAACTAAGATCTGATTCTAATGAGAATGGTTGACATCTGTGTGAGGAGCTGTACCGAAATATCACCTTTCCATTACTATAGAAGTTGTTATCTATAAATTGTATCTGATTTGGTACATATCATGTTAGAAATCCAGGAAATACCAAACTTACCCCCCAACTGTTCATAAAACAGACTTGTCTGACATGGGATTGTATTCAGGGTGTCATCATGATTTTAATACTGGTAAATATATGAAAAGCTTGAAACCTTAATGAACATCCTTGAAGAGGTTGTAAATAATGTTGATATGTCAAATTAGAAATAAATGACTTATGGTCGTTGTTTGTCGTACAATAAAACACTGCAGGGAGAAAAAACCATGATAAACAACTACCCCCTCATCGTTTATTTTCTAAAGAAACACTCTTCAACTGAAGAAGTTGTTTTTTTCATAGTTCGTTAGTTTATATAGCTTAATTGTGACTGAGCTTCTTTAAGAATGTTACTGTGCCTTGGCAAATGGCATCTTTGTCATTTATTAACATATATTTCTTGCCAAAAAATTTGTTTTGCAGAAATGAAAAAGACAGGTAGTTGATCTGAGTTCAACTGAACATAAGCCTGTGTCACTTTAACTCTATCAGGACAGCTTTTTCCATCATCTCATATTTTCATATTTTCGAAATGTTTCAATCGACCATTTTCTTCGTGATTGACAATCTAAAAAAATCACCTATTGACATGTTACTTTTGCACATCTTGGCTAAACACATCCTACAACACGACATACAATCAGTTTGTTAACAAATAAGACAAAGAAATGAACCCCGCCACTGTGACGTACAGTTTTCGATATGCAGGGGACGAGGGACAGCACTTCCTCTATGCCCTTGTTAATGGTGTCCTTGACCAGCTGGGACCCCTTCTCCCTGATCCGCTTCCTGATGGCCTCCTTGTCGAACAGGGACTTGTAGTCAACTGGAATGGAGGACATGCGATTGAGAATTTACCAATACAAATCTTTAATAAAGATCATTTCAGTCATCTTTTTAACGCATGTTCGTGTTTGTAGTGTTGAAACGGGACCACAATGTAGCATCTAGTGTAATGCTTGTTTAGTTTATAAACCATTTCCACAATAAATATAATAATAATAAGAAGAAGAATGTTTGTAGTATTGAAACAGGGCCACTATGTAGCATCTAGTGTAATGCTTGTTTAGTTTACAAACCATTTCCACAATAAATATAATAATAATAAGAAGAAGAAGAATGTTTGTAGTATTGAAACAGGGCCACTATGTAGCATCTAGTGTAATGCTTGTTTAGTTTACAAACCATTTCCACAATAAATATAATAATAATAAGAAGAAGAAGAATGTTTGTAGTATTGAAACAGGGCCACGATGTAGCATCTAGTGTAATGCTTGTTTAGTTTATAAACCATTTCCACAATAAATATAATAACAATAATAATAATAATAATAATAAGAAGAAGAACAACAACACAACAATAAAAATAACAATAACAAATAACAAAACCCTTTCCAGATTCACCAGAAATCTCGATTTTACGATTACGACAAAATCATGAGGATGTGTTTCTGAACCACCATCAAATAGTGATGACACCAGGTCTTCAGCATCGTTCTACGCAATATAACACATGTACAATGACATGCACCAACCAAGTCAGGTCGCCCCACAACTACGTCCCATAAGTCGCCTCTTATGACACTCATGGATTCCTGAAGACCAATTCCAACCCGCATCATCTTAAAGTCAACCTCTGATACAACAAAGCGCAGGAAAACCTGTAAATACATCTGTTTTATCTGAAATTTGGAATTCACAAAGTTATGAACCCAATCATGTGTAACCACTCCCGTGGACTCGAAAATGCACTTACTCTCGGGCCACCGCATAGTGCCATCATCAAGGCAGATGGGTAGAGGCGTTGGTGCCTCGTCAAGGATGTTGAAGAAAGCGATGCAGTTCTCACTGTCGTCCAGGGCACAGAAACCCGCCCCTAACGTGATCAGCGACACAAACTCATCCTTCTCAAGTCTGACTCTGTACACAGAAAAAAGTGATGACCGAAAACATCAAAGTGTTTCTCTCATAAGTTGAACTGGATGAAGCTATATAAGCTGTAAACAAAGCTGTAAACAGAACACTTACAAACAGGGCTGGGACGAGTCCAAATTTGCTATCCGGGTACCCACTGTAGGTCTCAAGAGATACAAAATGTACGATTGGGAATTTATTTACCACAGTACTTGCAAAACGTATTTAGATACATGTATTAAACGATCTGGTCATGCATACACTGAAGTTGACTTAAGTTACCGTATTTGACTTAATAAGCGCCTACGGCGATATTTGCTGATATATTGGCTAGTGAAAAAGCCCAATTTGCATCCCTTCCGATTGATCAATGTACACAAGACTTATTTATTCGGTATAATACGCACATGTGTGTTACATGCACCCTTATTTATGGGCAATTAAATTCTGGAAAAATATATCTGTCGTACATAAACATTTCAGGCTGTCAGCATAAACAAAGAAATTTATCTTTCAACTATGTTTTTTTCCACCAAAATAATATTCTAATAAGAGCCCCCTATTTCTAATTTTGAGAGCGCCCGGGCGCTTATTGCGTCGAATACGGTATATCTTTATTCAACCATATGAAAAGTCAGAAGGAATGGATGTATAATCAGAAAGAAATGCGAACATTTGTGACTTGTAATGTAACCATAGAGTTCCAGATACCTCTTGTCATTAAACAATATATCACGTGACTAACCAAGGGTCCGGGGAGTCCTGTTGGTACCAGCTTCCTACTTAGGACCCACCCGACCCGGGTACCCGAGTTACCCGTCCTAGCCCTACTAACAAACTGGTTCCATGGTAAAAAATAAGATTTATCGGATTATATGTTTTTAGACAGCCATTTTTTGCGATTTCTCATGCTATAACGAGGGGTGTGACATCATACTACATTGTAAAAACTCAGATGATGGGTTGTTTTTAAGATAAAATTCTTTCATAGGTGAGGGAGATGTCTTACAGTTGGTCATGTGATTTGTGAGAAATGTTTCTTAAGTGTCCCAAAACCCATAATACAAGGATATAGTCTTGAACGATGGTATATATCCAGAGATCAGAAGATAACTATAAGGTTTGATTAATATTCAAATTCTGAATTATAACAAACTTTAAATCATAACATGCACAAACACATTTATTGGTGAAGAATAATGCAGTGGGAGTTTCAGTGCTGTGCGAGTGGGTGAGTATTGTTTAACACTGCATCAGCAATCCAGAACGCTATTCGAGGCAACCAGTGGTGAAACTCGATAACTTGCCAAGATATGATGATCGTGGGATCTAATCCTAGGTTTGCTAAAATTATGGCCCTTGGTCAATCAGTATCCCATCCCTGCTCCAAATGTTTCTTTAAATATAAAAACTGTTAACATTCACGACCTACATCAAACTGACAGAAGTTCTGTTCCAAGTGGCACAAACCACAACTCACTCACTCACTCACACATTGCATCCAAGACTTACTTGACAACCAGCTCGATGCCTCCTAGAATATTAAGTTTGATGCCTGTTTTAAGTGTCTTGTCAAAACCTGTAAAATTAGAAGAGGCAGAATTGTTGTTTTTGTGACATTACAATATAAAACGTCAACGCCACCAGAGAATATTCAGTGTCCAATATCTGCTGAAACAGATTCCATTGAGAGTAAAAGGCAAATTGTGATGAAAGTTATGTGCTAAATCACAGAAAATCAATGACACCAGGTGTTCATGAATAGGGTAAGCATGTTCTGTTCTACCGGTAGCACCGCCACACATGCAATTTCTATAAAAAGTAAAAGTGTCTATTTGTTGCCTAAAGCCATACGGCGACGGCCTGTAAACAAACCCGTCTAAATTCCAGTCACTTGAGACAAAACAACCGAATCTAAAGTTATTTTTCATAAAGGCATATTACAGTAAAGTCTAGCCATACAATCTACCAATACCAACAACTGTTTTATTTTCCTGCATGTTTATTCATATTTTTATCCCCTGCCACGAGGTGAAAGGGGATATGAGAATGGGAGCTGTCCGGCCGTCTGTCCGTCCGTTCTTCCTTCCATCATGTTTCATTTCTGGAGCAGAACTCAAAAACCATGAGAGAAATCTGAATGAAACTTGGCACATATATAGGTCGAGTGGTGAACTGGTGCCTTTTGATATTTGGGGATTTTAAAAATATTTTTCGAGTTTCCATGGCAACGACTTCTTTAGACTTAAAATGACGATAGTGCTCATTTCCTGGCGCAGATCTTGAGTACCGTACAATATAAGAGTTCTTGCCTTGCACACAACCGGACATGTCATATTGGCAGGGGGTTTGAGTATTTCATGCTTGTTATTCTAAATATTACCTGCGACGATGTCTTTTAGGCCGTCCAGAGCGCCAAACGTCTTCTCGAACTTCTTCTCCACGCCAACAACGAACTGGAATTCACAGGGATCAAGCCTGGCATACACCTTGTAGGCCTTCCGGAACATGAACAGCTTGAAGTGGGCACAGCACTCCAGGCCAAGACACATGCTGTCAAATGTGCAGTAGATGTTCTTCGGCATCCCTATCTTCATGGCCGGACACTCTGAAAATATGGGGACCAGATTAGCATAGGTCTCTATTGTTGTTCATTAGGGGCGACTAATTTGGGTTGGGTTGGTCCGGATCAATTGATATCATGTCATCGATATCGTTCCCTGTCGGTGTGGGATGCTGTTCAGAGTATCATCCACTGATGTTTTGTTTGTTTGTTTGTTGTTTAACGTCGCACTCAGCAATATTCCAGCTTTTTGACGGCGGTCTGTAAATAATTGAATCTGGACCAGACAATCCAGTGATTGACATCATGAGCATCAGTCTACGCAATTGGGATAGGATGACATGCATCAACCAAGTCAGCGAGCCTGACCAGCCAATCCCATTAGTTGCCTCTAACGACAAGCATAGTCGCCTTTTACGGCAAGCATGGGTTGCTGAAGACCTATTCTACCCCGGATCTTCACGGGTCAACTCTTGCTCTAGTGTCCATTGGAGTTCAGTGTTGCATCCACTGATGTGTGATTTTTTTATTGTGTAACAAGAGTCTAATGAAATACAGGTCATTGATGGTCACCATTTTTGTAAAGCCTATCTTTCCTAAAAAATGTCGAAAGTATAGTTTATCAACTACACAACCGGTCATTATGATAATGACCATATGCTGTGGAAAATAAAGTTGGGTTTACGCCGCTTTGAACAATATTCCAGCTGGTATCACGGTGTGTCAGCTTGATGTAGGATGAAGTGATGCAGAACTTTACCACTGTTGATGAACCAAGACCCCTCAATCAGCAGATCCTGGCACAACTAGGGGACACAACTCTGCACAACAAATTCTGGTGCCTTAAACAACTGGGTTACCAGTGTTCCCTCAAGAGAAGAGAAGTTTAAAACCAATGTTAAAGGACAGTGGAATTAAGTCGGTCTATATGTTTGTCTACAAAACCTACTATTCTGTGGCGTTGTGATCCTGGTTATCATCTGTTCCCTGGTGCCATCAGCTCTCTGACCTCTTTCGGTCAGCTCAGTTCTCAACTGGTCATCGGTCAGCTGGCTTGGGTTGAAGCATGGCTTGTTGTCAATCATCTCCTGCAATGAACAAGTGAGTGAGTTGTGTTAAACACTGCTTCACAATAAGACCCCTGAAGATTCCGGGGTAGAATTTGTCTTCAGCAACCCATGCTTGCCGTTAAAGGTGACTATGCTTGTCGTAAAAGGCGACTAACGGGATCAGGTGGTCAGGCTCGATGCTCATGATATTAATCACTGGATTGTCTGGTGCAGACTCGATTATTTACAGACCGCCGTCACATAGCTGGAATATTGCTGAGTGCGGCGTTAAACAAGAAACAAGAAACAAGAAAGCCTCACAATACAATAAACTACGTTGATAATGAGCATGCTCATAGCGAACTGACGGATATATTAAACTGTTTGTTTGGTCATGTCCATTTGCTGTATATTTTAGCATAGGTAATTGATGGATATAACCAGGGGTCCGGAAAATTTAAAATCCCAATCGGACATTTGCATTTAGGCCACGCCCCCTTAAAATAGCGTATTTTAGTACGAATTTTCACACACATTACAAGTTTATGTATTCATAATATGATGAATTATGAAATGTTTCAATTTAAATTGTTTAATTCACCGGACAATTAATAACAAATAATATCATTTTAGATTTACATGGAAAACATACGTTTGTTTCTGTTATAATAACGATCTGTTAACGTAGTGAACGGTCTAATTAATATTCATGAGTTATATTCATGAGTCTGCTCAAGTGTACGCGTTGTAACATCTGGATCGAGACTATTATCCCATATTTGGTTATCACGTGACCTCACGGGAAAAGGTTTTTTTTAAACTTAAGATTTTTTTAAAAACAAGACAGATAATTTAATCACAAATACTAAAATATCGTTGATAGCAATAGTTATTTGAATACTTTTTTCATCTGTACTTAATTATTGACAATAAAAAAATGGATATCGATCGTCCGAGAAAGCATGTTATATCATATAACAAACATGCTTATAACAACATAATGGATATAGCAAACTCACTTTATGGTCCCGTGTGTAGTTTGTCAACGCCAATGTTTATGTTCATAACTAAATGTTAATCTCTGAGCAGCTCACGGGTCACAAATCAGCCAATCAAAACATCCGCTGTCTGGTGTGGCAGTTCAAAGCAGCAATAAATGATTGAAGGCAAGTGACAAACTGGATCAACTGTCCTCAATTTACACCCCCAATAAACATTTTTAAAACAGTGATTAGGCAACAGACTCTGAAGTGGATATATCTAAGAGATTCTTATCAAGACTGAGCTCGAAATTTGGTGCCATAAATAGTTTTTCCCCAGAGTTACGTCCCTTGCTACATGTATTTTCACAGAGTTAAGGCCCTTAAACCATACAATTCAACATTAAATTATTTTATTAAATACTATATGAACAAACACAATTTCAATGTGAAATTTCTCATGGCAGGAGATATTGTTTACGCCGTTTTCTTGTTTTAATTTGGAACCGAGTGCTTAAAAGTTTATCTCCTAAAATCTTTCAGACCTTGCTTTTTTCATTAAAATTCCCATTCAGAATACCAGGTACTAAGGTATTGGACATATTTCACCATTCAACGGTATGATGTACACATGATACCCACCCTGTGTATTTTAGTTTTACTCCAAGCAAGGGTATAACTGTTATCGCCATAAGTTACCGCAAGCGACCCTGACCTTGATGAGTTTGATGACGTCCGCCATTTTCTGCTGGCTTTCATCCAGGCCCAGAATGTCCATGATGCCCAGTAGCGCCCCCAGCTTCAAATTCCTCACAGAGAACTTCTTCATAAAAGCTGCAGGTTTCTTGAACAAGGCTTTCAGTGCTAGAAAAGAAATTAACCACATATAATTTAACAAATGTTATATTTGGGATAACACTTTTTCTCGTACTTTTTGGGGTTGAGTCCCGTCCGGGATTCGAACCCACACTTGCCAGAGTGAGGCACCTAATCGCCAGCACACAAAGTCAGCGATCTAACCCACTCAGCCACCGAGGCTTCCACAAAATGAAAGTCCGACAACTGGTAGTCTAGATCACGACTTTCATTTTGTGGAAGCCTCGGTGGCTGAGTGGGTTAGATCGCTGACTCGTTCGACATTTGACCACTTTCTAAATGGCATTGTGTATTCACACATATAATTTACCGCATAAGTTGATGATCGTTGTCAAAACAGTTTCTTACAGATCTGAACAGGTTTTTGTGAAAAGCAAAATGAAAAGTACAGATTAGTTGGTCCCAAAGTGGACGTTTTGAAGAGTGACAGCGGTTTCCAGCTGTGATTCATCATTTGGTTGTTGACTCATCCATTTGTCACAATCAGTTCACGCTTCCCTGGTCCTGTGGATAGAGCGTCTGTCTGCAGGGAGGGTGGTTCTACGCCCTACCGTCATATCAGAATAAAATATGGTACATGTTGCTCTGTATGGAGCTCGGCATCAAGGGGATAAATCATGTATTTTGGTAAAATATATTATGTATTGTGGTGAAATATATTGTGTATTGGGGGCGGTCGGGTAGCCTAGTGGTTAAAGCGTTCGCTCGTCACGCCGAAGACCCGAGTTCGATTCCCGACATGGGTACAATGTGTGAAGCCCATTTCTGGTGTCCCCCCGCCATGATATTGCTGGAATATTGCTAAAAGCGGCGTAAAACCAAACTCACTCTCACGCTCACTCAATCAAGGGGATAAAACAAGGATTTACCTGCATGAAGTGGGATATCCAGTGTGCTAGTACTATAAATCGGCATCAGTCGGGACAAGTACAATGGTTCCCCGCCACCCACCCCAAAGCAGCGTATAACCATACTCTCACCCACACATCCACCCATGAACCACCCATGCACGAAGCCACTCACCCGTATCATTGGTCTTGCCCGCCTTATTCTCTATCTCCGTCTTCTTCGTCTTCTGTTTCTGGTACATAGAGCCGGGCTGATCTGAAACATAAGCATAATATTTTTTTTAATATTATATATCGAAGTGTTAAAATATCGTCATGCTAAAACCGAACTGAGGCGAATGTAGGCAACGCTGGCGGTGGATAGCGGCACGATGGGTTGTAGACAAAATTTACAACAACAGGCGTTATGTTATTGTCGGCCTGACTTCGACAACCGTACACAGGTTCTTTCTGTGATACGATAGAGAGTGCCAATCCCGAATACCATTCTAATTTTTCTCTATGCTTGTCGTTAGAGGCCACTAACGGGATAGGGTGATCTGGCTCTCTGACTTGGTTGATGCATGTCATCGTTTCCCAATTGCGTTGATCGATGCTTAAGATGTCAATCACTGGATTGTCTAGTCCAGACTCGATTTTTGAAAGATTGACGTCATACAGCTGGAATATTGCTGAGTGCGGCTTTAAACAACAAACAACCATTCGCTCGTTCTCAAAGTCAAAACTGAAATATAATTCCACCTACCATTTGCAGCACTCAAGATCTTCGATGGGTCTTTGTCTGGGTCGACGTTGGGCGGATTCTCGATTTTTTCCCCCTGTCTCTCGGGACTGGTGTCATTCTGGTCCTTGCCCAGCAAGCCGATAACGGAGCCAGCCGCCACGGTCTCAAACTGTAGAGGAGACAGGGTGGTATTACTGATTGCCACACACACACTCCCGTTTTTGGAAATTGTGTTGGTCGAGAGGAAATTACTGATATTGACAAATGGCACAATGGTTTATGTGCGAGTTTTATGCCCAGTTCGACAATGATCTAACTATATTAACAAGTGATTGATAATGTGAACACAATCTGAACAAGGCATTTTTTTTAAAAGGGCCGATAAAGAAATGTCCAAGAATCAACACTTTCAAAAATGGGAATCTCTGCTTAGAAGTGAAATCTTTGAAGCAGATCGTAGACATTACAGTCTTATACCGTTTAGGTGTACAAATTAAACTTTTTAAGTTATATCACGGCGTGGCAGTTTAATTTCAGGAGAGCCTGAAGTGACACAGACTTAAGAGATGATGATGATGATGATGATGATGATGAAGATGATGATAATGATGATGATGCTATTATTATTATTATCATTATTATTATTATTACCTTCCAGACCAGTTTGTAGTCATCACATTCCTGAATCCACTTTGGTATCTCAGGAATCCGAGGCTCCAGGAATCGTGTGGGGTCCACAGGACCGTCCGGACGTCGCATGGCGAAGTGGATGTGGTTGCTGCTGCCGCACTCTGACTCCGAGGCTGCCCCGATCACTTGGCCAGCTACCACCTGTGTATTTAGAATGACATGCTCAGAACGTTTGATAATTCGTACATCTTGGAGTATGGGGGGCGACTTTACGTTATTGCTGATAAATTCGGTTAATGCGGTGTTCTCTAGGGATCTGAGAACGCAATTTGAACACATAACGAACGCGCTTGAAAAAGGCATGAAATGTCAATCCAACAGACAGTTGTCTGGAGTCAACCTGTCGTTCAGATGACGTCATATCGTGAGGCTCTCACTTCAGCTTGCCCATCCACATTGAGAATCGCAGAAATATTCAAATATCGGAAAATTCTTACACCCAAATTCAAGCCTTCCAGGTCATACACTACTGCCTTACCTGATTGTCCACGTAAAGACCGTCGCTGGGATGTTGTATAGTGGAGTTGGGTTTGACGTTTGTGATGATGATTTCTGTGTTCTTGAGGGAGCCTCCCGTCGCCATGACGATCACTTCATTAGGCTTGTTGGACAGCATGATGATTCCAGGGAAGGGGGCGACCACCTTTAACAGAAGAAACGAGGTATCCATTTCCACACCTTTATAACTTCTTATAGACCCGTGCCTGTCGTAAAAGGAGACTATGCTTTAAGCGACGACTTACGGGATTTGGTGATCAGGCTCGTTGACTTGGTTGATGCATGTTAACGTACCCAAATTGTGTAGACCGATGCTCATGATGTCAGTCACTGGATTTTCTGGTCCAGACTCGATTATTTACAGACCGCCGTCATTCAGCTAGAATATTGCTGAGTGTGGCGTTGAACAACATACAAACAATCAAACTTGAAGTGTTTTACCTTGACCTATACAACTAGGGGTTCAGGTCACCCCCAATATTATTAATTCCAAGGAACCTTATGGGGAAAATGAGGGTTCTGTAAAGGAATAAAACGATGTCGTGTCCTGTACTGTAAAATTTGATAATTACTAAAGTGAGCGAGTGAGTGAGTTGGGTTTAACGCCGCTTTTAACAGTATTCCAGTTATATCATGACGTGTCAGCTTTATGTGGGAGGAAAGCCTGAAATGATGTAGGTCTCAGACGTTTACCACTTTGGTGAAACCCACCAGCACAGGTATGGTGCTGACAAACCTAGAAACATAATCGGGGCGAACCAGGATTCGAACCCATAATCATATGTTTCTGGCATGCTCAGGGGACGCAACTCTGCACAGAGAATCGCATCGCCTTAGACAACTGGGCCACCCGTGCCCCCGATAATTACTCAAGGACCTTAATATTTCTTGTCAAGAATTTGGTACACTAAATATTATTGTGCGTCCCTCGAGATGCAATATATCTTTTTTCTGCGTCCATCCTAAACATTTGTGCGTATTGGACGCACATTTCTGTTTTGTGTAAAACCCTGTATTAGATCTAGACTTACCAATTATTGATGTAGATTGTACTGTCGATTATCGTATGATACTCTATCGCACGTCTTAAACGTTTATTTGATATATTTTATGTAATGTCGGAGGCAAGGGTGGCCCAGTCGTCTTAGGTGCCACGATTCGCTGTGCAGAGTTGCGTGCCTTGGGCACGCCAGAAACCTATGATTGTGGGTTCGAATTCCGGTGCGCCCCGATTATGTTTCTAGGTTTGTTAGCACCATATCTGTGCTCGTTGGTTTCACCAAAGTGGTAAACGTCTGAGACCTGCATCACTTCGGGCTTTCCTCCCACATTAAGCTGACACGCCGTGATATAACTGGAATACTGTTAAAAGCGGCGTTAAACCAAACTGACTCACTGTAATGTCACCAATGCGTTGCGTAAGACTCAAATTCACACCGCTCATGATAACGTGATAAATAAATTATATTAAGTATTGCAATGCGTACAATGGCTGGACACATCCCGCATTCAGGCACTGGAACCTTCGTGCCCAAGGTGAACACTGACCAGAAGTTTTTTTGCTTCGGAAAAACTGGTTTACTCACGTCTTTGCCTTTCATAATGGTTATATCGGCGCCAGCGTTCTCGTACTCGGGTTTCCCGTTCTTTAGGGTGGAGGGGTAGCTCCCTGCCCCATCACAGCCACCCCCGGGCTGCCGGAGGGTTCGAGGGAACGTCTTGTGGCACTTGGGTCCAAATACACGATCGATCAGTGAACGCGCTGTGCGGTAACTGAAAAAATGTGTTGTGTCAAGAATATCTTTTTGCTTTGACATTTCTTGTATTAATGGAGCATCCATTTGAGAACAATCAAGTTTTTCCCCCTGAACCCAACAAACTTTTTATTTACCGAGCACCATCAAGCAATCTGTTCATTTTAATTATTAGCACCCAAAATTTGTTTACAAAACAAATGATTCATCTTTTCCCCACTGCAAAGAAACTATTCAGTCTGGTCATAATTCAGAACAAACTATTCATTTAAAAAATCTTCACAAACCCCGTCATAAAAATCAAATGGATCCTCCCAAACTGGCATAAGAATGAAAATAAAATTTATTACAATTTATCACACATGTTTTATTGGGGAAATAATGTGCTTGTTAAATCATATCAATTGATCTCCCTTTCAAAAAAACATATGACATAATCACTAAGGCCCGGGACCATAAATTGAAATAAATACGAAATATGGTTCAATAATTTTCCAGAATTGTGAAAGGGTGACCAACCTGAGTCTTGTACATTAAACACACATGGTAATTCTATTCAGTGGAACTTTGATAAACCAATAACCAAATAAATCTTTGTTATTCCGGACGACTTACTACTTGGAACTATGAAATCAAATCATCATTCGTCGTCGGAAATCCTTTATCCAGAAGTGAATGAAAACCGAACTGTCCATATTAACGAGTATCTACAGTTTTGTACTTACCCTTCTCTAAGAGCGTCGAAAGCCTCTTTGATGTCTTGCACGACCTTGAAGACCTTTTCGTATGTCTCCACGAACTTCCCGCCCAGGTTCTTGAGGCCGTCGAGGGGAGCCAGGAGGTCATCCACAATGCCCTTCACAATATCAATGACTTCCTGCTTCTGCTCAGCCTGAAACGAACGTGAGTGAGTCAGGGAGGGAGAGAGGGGGGTAGCAATGTTCCAGCCACATTACGGTAGGGGACACCAAGAATCGTGACCAACCAATGCTTCAACCACATGACTACCCAACATGCCGAAAAAGTGCAGTAGAAGTAGTAGTAGTGGTAGCAATGGCCATAGTTGTAGGAGTAGTTGTAGCAGGAGTAGTAACAGCAGCAGCAGCAGTACTTGGATTGAGGGCGTGTTTGGGCCAAGAAGAGACCTATTTGCGCCATGTTGAAATCGTGATAACAGTTACTTCCCTTGCCATATGAAACTCCTTACAGGATTTTGAATTCCACGCGGAGAGCGAAAAGACTTTTGTTACATATTGATAATAATCACCATTTGGATCGGCGGACCCGTACAACAAGTGTCCGTAACAATGTTAACACTCTTGGCTTTCTTCACATTGTAATTCCTGTATTTCCATTGTCACTTATATTGGTCCCGTGAAGATCGGGATTGGAATTGGCCTTCAGCACCCATGCTTGTAAGAGACGACTAACGGGATCGGGTGGTCACACTCATTGGTTGATGCGTGTCACCGTATCCCAATTGCGTAGATCGATGCTCCTGATGTCAATCACTGGATTATTTCCAGACCGCCGTCATGTCGCTGGAATATTGCTGAATGCGGCCTTACACAATTTTTTTAAACAAACTAAACTGCCAAGCAAAAGAAAGTGTACACTTGAAAATTGGATTTGGCCAAAACGTTATCTAAACGCTACTTGGTTGAAACAGTCACCGAAACACAGCAAACTTAAGGCCAAAAACACAGCTGTGGTACGAGTATCAAATACATCTACATCGTACAACTATTTCTTGTTTATTTTGCCATCAGCCACCATCAAAAATGGGTGTGTACTTTCTTCTGCCTGGCAGTTAAGTTGCATGGGAAGCGAAGCCCTGTCAGACTTACCATGGTGGTTTTCCCTTTAGTAAACTCGGCAATCGGGTCCTTCTGTCCCTTGACCACTTCGTTGACCCATGCTGACCCTCCCGTCCTGAGGGCGGAGGTGGCGTTAGAGGCCATTGCCCGTATTTCCGATATCTGACCGCGAAGATCCCACCAGTAGGGTTTCTCCTCTGTGAAGGAAAACAACATCATAACTGTCGACAACACCTCGATTACCATCAGTAGCTATGTTTGTTCAAAATTATCACAATGACCGTCTTTACCAGCGCCCGTGCGGGATAGAATAAGTCTTCAGTAACCCATGCTTGCCGTAAAAAGCAACTATGCTTGTCTTAGAGGCGCATGAGGGATCGGGTGGTCAGGCTCGCTGACTTGGTTGATGCATCCGGATTGGAAATGGCCTTCAGCAACCCATGCTTGTAAGAGACGACTAACGGGATCGGGTGGTCACACTCATTGGTTGATGCATGTCGTCGTATCCCAATTGTGTAGATCGATGCTCATGATGTCTCGATGTCATGACTCGATTATTTACAGACCGCCGTCATTAGGCATGACTATTGCTGAGTGCGGCGTAAAACATCAAACAAACAAACAAATAAACAAAACTAACACCCGTGATTGTCTGCATCTTCATCATCGCTTTTTCCCCATTATCATCAATACGATATTCATGAAGATCATTACCCGTGAAGATTCCGGGGTAGAATAGGTCTTCAGCAACCCATGCTTGCCGTAAAAGGCGACTATGCTTGTCGTATAAGGAACTAACGGGATCGGGTGGTCAGGCTCGCTGACTTGGATGATACATGTCATCGATCCCAATTGCGTGGATTGATGCTCATGATATTAATCACTGGATTGTCTGGTCCAGACTCGATTATTTTACAGACCGCCGTCATATAGCTGAGTGCGGCGTTAAACAACAAACAAACAAACATGAAGATCATTATGTTTTATGTTGGTCCTCTTATGCCGTGCTCGTGGGTTTCACCAGAGCAGAGAGCATGCATCACTTCGGGCTTTCCCCCAACATCAAGCTGACACGCCGTGATGGAACTGGAATACTGTTGAAAGCGGCGTTAAACCCAACTCACTCATCAAGATCAAGAGAATCGAGTCTTGAAGGTAAAGGCACATGCTGTTGACAATAATTTTGAAAATTTCCTAAGCTTATTAAGAGGTAGTGTACATTCGCACAAACCATGCATTGCATTACATCGTCAAAATGCAGTGTGACACTGAAACAGGTGACGCTACTTTCAAAAGCAGAACTATATGTCTTACTTACCGCTTGTCACGTCTAAATTACAGTTGCACGTTTGTCACGTCTAAATTACAGTTGCACGTTTGTCACGTCTAAATTACAGTTGCACGTTTGTCACGTATAAATTACAGTTGCACGTTTGTCACGTCTAAATTACAGTTGCACGTTTGTCACGTCTAAATTACAGTTGCACGTTTGTCACGTCTAAATTACAGTTGCACCTTTGTCACGTCTAAATTACAGTTGCACGTTTGTCAAGTCTAAATTACAGTTGCACGTTTGTCACGTCTAAATTACAGTTGCACCTTTGTCACGTCTAAATTACAGTTGCACCTTTGTCACGTCTAAATTACAGTTGCACCTTTGTCATGTGCATGAGGTAGGTATAATACGTGTATGCATGACGTGTCTCAACGCATTACAACAATACGGGCCATACTTACTTTTCAAAAAGAAACAGGCTTGTTTTGTTTTGTTAATAGCTTCCACGAGGTTCTTCACTTCCATGCCAATCCTGCAGACAAAAATGGGTTTTGTCAGGCATTTACTGCCATCTCTTATTTCAGGCAAATCGAAAATCACTCACTCGTCCAAGTAGCCTCGGAGATATGTTTGACGGTCTGTATATTGTCAATTATAATCCCTCCTCCCACTTGACATCTCGCGTATGATGACGTTATTTACTTACTGCTGTTAATATTTTCTTACATTAAAATGTTTTTTTTGTGATAAAGGCGCATATTTTTGCCGTATGAATAGTGTCTCTAGTGCCGATAACGACAATTTCATTGTGCACTATGTTTTATGAATGAAGGCACGCACACAAAAAAGAATGTTGTTTGTTTTCATTTACATGACTTTGCTAAATGTATTCCTGCGCCAATGATGTAAAGTTCGTCCCCAAAACTTTTTGGCGTATTTCGATTTGAGAATGATATTGGATGATAAATAAAATCAAACTGCAGATGACTCGATGGTTTTCAGGTCTGAGCATTTCGAGTTAACGAGGTATCAATGTATGTTCTCTTATACCATTCGAGTTTACTCGTTATGTCATTAACAATGCTAATTATATTTTAGAGCTAATAATAACGTCAGTGTCCACTTACGTTATGACGTTGCCAGCGATACCGGATATGGCTTGTTTCGGGTCATTGTTGAAGTTCTTGAAGCCATCGACGATAGTTTTGATGGACTTGAAGATCTGTTCCCCCGCCCGGGGGATCACAACTGTGATGGTCTCCATCAGCGTCTAGGAGGGGGAGAAGGCGTGGTCAATGACCTTTACTGAGGTTTCGGCGTGGGTACGACATGTGCATTGAAGGGCATAGCATAGCACACAGGATTTTCACATGAGAGTAGGATAGGATAGGATAAGTTTTATTCCATACTGAAAGGCCTCAGGCCCATAGTACAATTCTGTTTTCGGGACTGGTTACAGATCCGTTTAACAGGTCATATTCTAATAAACATAGCATGATAAATGAACATTGATAGATTTTTTAGAGTATCTTTATTAGTTGTTGACATGATCGTTGTAAAGTTTTGTGGAGTGGGATGTACATAACAAGGCACATCAATATATTTTCATCTAAGGTGGTCGTATTTTGGACAAACTAAGAGAAAATGAAACTCATCTTCAATCACATTTAAACCACATTGCTCACATATTCTCAATTCTCTGGCTACGTTTCTATGCCTGCCTACTTCGATCCTAAGTCTATGAGAGCTGCATCTAAATTGTGCTAAACTTATTCTAAACCTTTTAAAGTTGATGTCAAACAAATAGTATTCTGGGGAAATTGTTGTCTTGAAAAGCTTGTAATAATTGCATTTTTCTGAACTTAAAACATGCGATGCCCATTTTTGTAAGTATATATCCTTAAGTCTTTGGCGTAAAGATACTAAAAATGAATCTGGATTGTTTGGTACACATTGATTATGCCAAACAAACCCATAGCCGCAATCATTTAATAAAGACTGTAATAGTACAAAATGGATCATAATGCGTAACCTTCTAAAATATATACTACTCAAAAGAATTTAAAGAACACCCAATTCTGTCATACTGCTTTAGTTAATCTGCATGGCATGACCGAGTAACTAATGGTCATGTGAAAGAATCGGGTGTTCTAAAACTTCTTTTGAGTAGTATATACTGTTTTTGGTGACCTCCCAAGTAATCATGACTCTCAGAAATTACCATATTAGTTTGATATCGCAAAATGAGCAAATGGTTATATTATTATTTCAAGGATTCTGGTGTGAACTTTTGCATTGTATTATTTTCTCAACACTCCCGTGAAGATCCTGAATAGAAAAGGTCTCCAGCAACCTAAGCCTGTCGTAGGAACAAAATAACTGGAATATTGCTTAGTGCGGCGTTAAACAACAAACAAACAAGCAAACAAACAAACACAACACTTCTCTGAACCAATGATAATGCTTCGCGACTCTTCTTCAGTTCTTGAAAACCAAAAATACTAAGAGCATGCGTGTGTTAAAATGATTGATAACTTACATTGTAGAACGTCATGACGGCACTCTTGATGTCCTTGTACAGATTCGTGACCTTGACAATGAGGTTGCGTGTAGGACGGATAAAGGGAGGTAACTGCTCCTCGTCGATCTCGCCCATAGCCGCCATGGCCAGCGCTGATTTCTTACCCACCTCGACCACCTGTGTGTGTATCAAACAACGTGTGTCAGTGATCATCGTTTACGACTTTTCGAGCATCAACATTCAAACGTATACACAAGTGTCAAGATCGTCCAAGGCGCCGCGTTTCGCTGTGCAGAGTTGCGTCCCTTAGGCGTGTCAGAATCCTGTGATTGTGAGCTCGAATACCAGGCTCGCGCTGGTTTTGATTCTTTTGGTTTGTGAGAACCATCAAATATCATCACTTTTTGGTAGTGATATGTGAACACATCATTTTGATATAGTCTGGATCGTACAATAGACTCTGCATTTAGGGACCGCCTCCGTGGTCTAGTGGTAGAGCGTCCGCCCGGAGAGCGGAAGGTCCGGGGTTCGATCCCCAGCCGCGTCATACCAAAAGACGTTAAAAGATGGTACTTGTTGTTACCCTGTCTGGCGCTCGGCATTAAGGGGCTAAAACAAGGACTGGTCGGCTAATGTTAAACTGCGGCATGGTATCTCAGTGAGCTAGCACTATAAATCGGCATCAGTCCGGACTAGTACAAGCAGCCACACAAAAACACACACGTGCATGCAAGTCGCGATATAAGTGCAATAATCATGGACGCGACGTTAAACCCCATTTCACCTCACCTCTGCATTTAGTGGATATTTCTTATTATGATTATGGAAATGCTTTTTGTCTCTTGTATTTACCAAAACATTTACCTTCTTAGACCTGCATCACTGAATGCATCTTTCAATTCCAACATTCAGACCCTATGACTATGAATAATGTCATGTTCATTAAATCATACTTACGTATTTTAAAAATACACACATATCAGATTAAAACAGTTTAATTGTCTCCAAAAAGAGAGTACCTTGCTACACTTGGACTGCAATGTTGTTAAAAGCGTCGTAAAATCCTACTCACACATTCACGCTAACCGTTAGTTTAACTTGTTACATATTTACCATAATGTAGGCTGTTACTTCAGAAAAAGGGATTCTTTGTGATATGCCTACCCTCCCTCTCACTCATCTCTCTCTCTCTCTCTCTCACACACACACACACACACACACACACACACACACACACACACACCAGCTCACTCAACCACCGTCTGATCACCCACGTGATGGGATGTCCTCAGATCTTTGTTTTGCGTTAGCGAGAACTAAGATCTGATTTAAATGAGATTGGATCACCTACTCACTTCTCTATAAACCCTTCCCCTCACCCAAACTGACCTTCTGTGGCATTTCTTCCAGCGCCTGTTTGAACTCGTCCAACATTTCGCCGATGGATGGATCGCCTCTGATGATGCCCTTGAACAGATCGACGCCTACTTCGATAGCGTCAACGACGTCGCCCTTGATCTTATCATAAAGCTCCACCAGTTTCCTAATACTGTCAATATCAAATTCCTGAAAAAGATAAGTTGTAATATATTTTTTATAAAACATAAACAGAAATAGTGAATTGTGATATGAGTGTTGTTCGCACATTGTGCTTATTACTGGACCTAGCTTATTGACTGAGCTAATATTTAACTCCGCGTCCAGTTCTAGTTTATTGACCAAAACACGACCTAGTGTTAAAATATACACATAATATACTTCCACCGTGATACCCGTGAAGATACGGGGTAGAATAGGTCTTCAGCAACCCCTGCTTGCCGTAAGAGTCGACTAGGCTTGTCGTAAGAGGCAACTAACGGGATCGGGTGGTCAGGTCCGCTGACTTGGTTGATGCATGTCATCCTATCCCAATTGCGTGGATCGATGCTCATGATATTAATCACTGGATTGTGTGGTCCAGACTCGATTATTTACAAACCGTGACGTCATTTGAATGTCTCTTCCTCGTGTCGCCACAATGGTCTACAGAACATTATGGTGCAACTTAATTGCATCGTTATTTTCAATGAGACATTGTTTGATCTCACCCAAGTGGGAGCCAGTTTTTGGATAATAATAATCTATATATATGTACCTGTAGCAGATTTAGATTGTAGGAGGCGCTGCCCTTAAAGCAGAGCCTTGCCCTGAAGAAGTCGACGTTCAGCCCGAGGACTCCCAGATGAACCATCGCGTAGGCTTCATCATGGACAGTCAGCTTCGCGTGGCCGTCCAGGGGTGCTGCGTGAGAGAGTGGGTGAGCGAGTTCAATTAAAACGGTTTATTTAAAGTTTATTAGTCGCCTTAAATGTCGCCCCTTTAGTAAACTGTAACGACATTATGTGGACCTTTTGGGATGTCACGTAAATCATACATAATCGATCTCTCTATGTTTTTCTGAACAAATATGAAGCCAGAAGGAACTATTTCACAAGAAAGGGCATGTGAATTAAACATTTTCAATCAGGAGGAACATGAGAAACTATTTCCCCAAACGGAGCATGAGAATGCCATTGAAACTATTTCACCAAAACGGAACATGAGGAACCGTTTCGTCATAAGGAACACGAAAAACTATTTCACCAAACGGAACATGAGAATAAAACTGTTTCACCAGAAGGAACATGAGAAACTATTTCACCGAACCAAACACGAGAAACTATTTCACCAAACGGAACATGAGAATAAAACTGTTTCACCAGAAGGAACACGAGAAACTATTTCACCGAACCAAACACGAGAAACTATTTCACCAAACGGAACATGAGAATAAAACTGTTTCACCAGAAGGAACACGAGAAACTATTTCACCGAACCAAACACGAGAAACTATTTCACCAAACGCAACATGAGAAACTGTTACACCAGAAGGAACATGAGAAACTATTTCACCAAGCGGAACATGAGAAACTGTTTCACCAGAAAGAACATGAGAAACTATTTTGGCCCAATGGAACGTGAAAATGAAACGACTGCACAAGAAGGAACATGATAAATAATTTGACGTAACGAAACTTGAGAATAAAACCATTTCCCCAGAAGCAGCATGAGAAACTATTTCATATGAATGAACATGAGAAACTGGCTCTAAAGAACAAACATGCGAATGAAACTAGTTCCTTTATGTTCAGAAGGAACAAGATTAACACAGTAAAATGGACGAAAACACCAAACAGTACATGTTATTCTTAACTACCCATGGACATCAAGTACAGAACATTTTACTTGCCTATCTTAAAATCCAAAAGATTTTCCAGGTTGACTCCAAATGACGCGCCTATCTTGGTGGACCCCAGTAATTTCTTCCAGTTGACCCCTGGCGCCTGCAGCAGGAACTCTATTGTCTCGTCCAATATTCCCCTCTTGTGCCGGTCAAGTACCTGGATGTCCTGGGAACCGATGCTTGGGTTCTGGTAGAAGATCGAACCGTTTACCAATCTGCAAAAAAGGTTTTCAGTCAAAGTGAATTATTGTTTAAACACACGTGTCTACTCGCAGAGCAGAGTTTTGTCGCTTAGCTGTGCCAGGCTCCGCTGGCCAGGCTTCGAACCCCAGATTTACCCCCCTGACCTTCACTCAGACTTGGCGGCACAATGCACGTGTCCGTGGGGTGGTCAACGTCTCTGTCCTGTTTGCAGTAAGATGTATTGAGAATTGACTTCAATAATGTCTTACGTTTATAACTCAGTGACCCTCACAAACATATTGAAGTAAATTCTTGTTAATAAATGTCAACAATTACAACTCCAGCGGCTCCGTATTTATTTATTAACACTCAAAACTGCAGACAACAACAGTGACATCGTTCGGCCAGTAATGCGACCGAAACTACCCGAATATCAGCCAATCAGGGAACAGTAGTTCTCAAGTGGGCGTGACCTAATTCACAAAGCAATTGCTTAACCAATTAAATCCCATTGAGTCCCACTATATAAAGCGGTGATAAATAAACCCGCATTTACCGTGTGCGAAATACGCTTCAGTCGGAAAGCGCACGTAAAATCTCCAACATAAGTAAGTAAGTAAAACCGCATTTAAGCAAATACTTGTACCTGGATACCTGCGAAATATAATGTATTATAAAAATAAATAAATAAATAAACAACATCAACAACAACAAAGCCACGTAAAACGCATTTTACTCACTCCTTCACTCATAATACTTACCCCTGCTTCATATATTGGGCAGCAACATTTGCCGCCCTGGGATGTGCCTGGTATTGTAGGAGGGCTTCAAACCGCACTTTATCGTCTTCATCAAACAAGGCTGTCTTCATCATCAGATTTGCTGCCTGGAGACAATGAATTACATTAATTGAATCACCCCATGAACATCCGGGTTAGAATAGGTCTTCAGCAACCCATGCTCGTCGTAAGAGGCGACTAACGGGATGGGGTGGTCAGGCTCGCTGACTTGATTAATGCATGTCATCGTATCCGAATTGCGTAATCGATTCTCATGATGTCAATCACTGGATTGTCTGGTCCAGACTCGATTATTTGCAGAGCGCCTTCATGAAGCTGACAGTACGGCGTTAAACAACTAACAAACAAAATTAATTGAATCCGAAATTGATATCGTGTGAGTCTTACAAGCAATGAAAATTTAAAAAAAACATGCTTAGTTGAAGTTATTTTTAATAGATCCTTTGCAAGTTTAAGAAGATAGACTCACTGAATCATGATCGTATTTCCTCATCGCGTGTATTCCCGCCCTTTTCACCCACTGAGAATTGGTGTCATTGACATGTGATACAATGTAGTCGAATGATTGGTCCAGAGCGGCGTTGCCAAGGGATTCAACAAGCACCACACGCCAATGATCATCAGCCAACATTTGGGCCTCCGTCATCAGAGCCCGCTTGTGCCGGTACAACCAGGGATCTGTGAGAAGAAAAACACATTCATAAACAATAGGACAATATCAAGTTAAAAAGGATTTTTAACCATTAGTACAGTAGTACTGAAATGATATTGCGAAACTACCGCGGTGGTGTCATTAGGCGGACGTACCCCGGTAATATCGGTGAGAAGAAAAACTCTTTTGACAAATATGATGTCAAAAAGTTCTTAAACCAATAAAATCATCCACTGCTGCTGACATCAGTGAGTGAGTGAGTTGGGTTTAACGCCGCTTGTAACAGTATTCCAGTTATATCGCGGCTTGTCAGCTTAATGTGGGAGGAAAGCCCGAAGTGACGCGGGTCTAAGACGTTTACCACTTCGGTGAAACCCACGAGCACGGGTATGGTGCTGACAAACCTAGAAACATAATCGGGGCGAACCGGGATTCGAACCCGCAATCATAGGTTTTCTGGCGTGCCCAAAGGACGCAACTCTGCACAGCGAATCGCGGCGCCTTGGACGACTGGGCCACCCGTGCCCCCGCTGACATCAGTCCTGAAATGACATCGCGAAACTACCGCGGTGCGGCCGCGAAAATGTTGCGGCCATTCAGTTGACGTACCGCGGTAGTATTGCGAAAATTGTGCGAAAGACGTACTTCTGAACATATCATTTTAAGAAATATTTAAAAAGAAGAATAAAATGCTCCAGTTTGATGCAAATTAACAAATACTCCCACGTAGCATCTTTTTTCCTTTCAACATTCTGATGATCCCTTAAAGAAACTATTATTCATTCGTCATGATAGAATTATAAAGTAATTAAAAAGTTTAATTTCATAACACTAGTTGACACTTTATATTTCGCTATTGTATTCATGTTTGTTACGCTAGAAAACGACACCACCATCCCACATTTGATGAAATAAGTCATCCGTACCATGCAAACCCAACAAGGATTCAATTTTCCTGACTATTTGCGACGCTTCCTGTTTTCTGCCAACGGTCCACAGTCGCTTAGCAACCACGCCAATAGCCAATACCATTCGGTGATGTGTGTCTCCCTCTTGAAGTTGGGAAGGGGCGCCGTCAGGTCGGAAACACAGGTCCTCCAGTTTGCTGATAATATCCTGTAATAGTAAACAGGTCCTTGACAACAACTTGGGCTCTCCTCGCAGATATGCACAAGTATTATAGTATCGCGCATTTATCTTTAAATATAGCACTAAGTGTATTTGAACGAATAATACGGTTTAAGAGAAAGGTTAGAATTTCATGGAAGTAGTGATACGTAATAAAAAGTATCAAGAATAATATGTTTTTAGTCATATCATCATCATTGGACTTTGTTACAGTCAATGTGTCAATGTGTAAAATGACATATTTTCACTTTGGCAATTTTACAAAACACATAAATATTTCAGTTATTTTAGAAATTGAAAAAAATCTATGCATTCATGTTTTGTTTAATTTCATCACACAGTGTCTGAAATTATACGATTAAAAGAAAACGAAAGTCAATGTATATTTCTTTTCTTTTTTGGTCTCCTAATCCTAACATATAAAGTTAGGTGTGATATTTATTGTGATATAAACATAATCATAAAGCATACGCAAGATACGCACGTCAATGGGTGGTGTCTCCATGGTAACAATATGCATGAGGAGTCGCTTGACCAGGAAGGCGTTCGGGCTGGTGACGTTGAGGACAGTATCCAGGAGTACCCTCTGAGTGTGGACGGTATTCAGCGCAGCAATGGCATCGAACACGTGGTTCCGGTCTTTGACGTCACGTGGACGTCTGGAAAAGACAGTTCGTTGCCTGGAGCATTACCCTTGGTGTGTCACCTTATGATCGAGCCTAGTGGTTACAGCGTTCGCTCGTCGCGCCGAAGACCTGGGTACAATGTGTGAAGCCCATTTCTGGTGTCCCCCGCCGTGATATTGCTGGAATAGTGCTAAAAGCGGCGTAAAACCATACTCAGTCACTCTAGAATGTGTCAAATACATGTCTCACTCACTCACTCACTCACTCACTATGATCGTGGTTTCAATCGTCTGAGGCGCCGACATTTGCTATGAAGAGTTGCGTCCCCTTGGGCACGCCGGAAACCTATGGTCGTGGGTTCGAATCCCCGGTTCTCCCGGATTTGATTCTCGGTTTGTCAGCACCATACCCGTGCTCGGTTTTCACCAAAGCGGTACGTATGGGATCTGCATCACTTCCGGCTTTCCTCCCACAGTGTGGAGGCACGCCGTGATATAACTGGAGCACTGTTTAAAGTGGCGTTAGACCCAACTCACTGGTGGGTTTGACCAAGGTGTTTGACATCTAGTGCTAAACACTTCGTGATTTTCTCGCAATAAATAAATACTGTTGAAAGTGAGTGAGTGAGTGGATGCGAACATAGATCAGCTCAAAGATTCAGATGGAATGAAATTTGAAGAATTTTACGCCGCGTTTGGCATTAATTCATCTTTACAAAAAAGGTCAAATTACTCAAAGAATGGGTTTCACAGATTGTACCCATGTTGGAAATCAACCTGAACCTTGGGCGCGACAAGCAACACCATAACCACTGGGCCACTACACCCGCTGCGTAATGTGTGTGTGTGTGTGTGCGTGCGTGCGTAATGTGCGTGTGCGTATGTGTGTGTGTAATGTGTGCGTGTGTGTGTGTGTAATGTGTGTGTGCGTAATGTGCGTGTGTGTGTGTGCGTAATGTGTGTGTGTGCGTGCGTGTGTGTGTGCGTGCGTGATGTGCGTGTGTGTGTGCGTAATGAGCGTGTGTGTGTGTGTGTGTATGTATATATGTACGTAGGTATGTACGTATGCATGTATTTATGTATGTATGTATGTATGCACGCACGCACGCACGCACGTATGTACCTATGTATGTATGTATGTATGTATGTATGTATGTATGTATGTATGTATGTATGTATGTATGTATGTATGTATGAATGAATGTATGCATGCATGCATGTACGTACGTATGTACCTTTGTATTGTAGTGAAACATTGTTTTCTAGGTGTTTTATCAGTGTCTTACCTGGGGTTCGGAGATAGGTATTTCTTGGCTAGCACGTCGACATAGCCATCAGGCAACACTTTAAGACAGGCCAGGATTCCCATAAAACACTTCGTGAGTCGCTTAGATCCTAGAAAGATATGGCGCCAGGTAATCGTTGATGAGTGAACTCGAAAACAATCACTCGGCCCTTTCAGCTCACAAAATTAGAAAGCATTACTTCCTCTTACATCGCTTAACACTTTGCTGAAAATTAGCCACTGGGCGTTTCAAATATGTTAGTTCTAACATCTTATAATGTGTTCACGTAGAGCTCCAACCATAACGGCAATACACTGTGTACTTTCTTATCAATTTCTATCATTTCATCAAATGGAGTACTATATCGGCTCCATGAAAATAAAATAAAAGCGACACAGGTCTTTCCGTAATAAAGAAATATCTTCTAAAAGAAGACCCCATTGTACAATTCCGACTAAATCCATGCATTTATATTCTAAGTTTAGGTCGTGTTGTGGCGGAAACGGTAAGGTCTTATGGTAAGGTCGGTGTGTTTTTAGATCGGTCCTTACGGTAAAATCGTTGTGTTTTTAAGACGGGTCCTACGGTAAGGTCGGATGTATTAATTTTTAGGATGGATCTTTGGGTAAGGTCGGTGAATTTCTAGGATGGGTCTTTGTCATAGTAGTGGCTTTGTCATAGTTAACGAGCGAGCTGAACAGTTTCCCCAACATAGATTATTTCTCCCGATCAGGGCCCACTTGCACAAAGCGATCTTAGCGCTAAGACTATTGTAAGCCTATGTTAAAGTATGGGAGTTACAATCATCTTAGCGCTAAGATCGCTTTGTGCAAGTCGGCCCAGATGTAACATGTTTGGCTTTACTAAATTACTTATTTAATGCGATAAGTATCTCATTTATACCGTGTTTGAAAAGTTCATATATTTTTGTCGGAAATAGTTTTACTAAGAAATAACTGGTCAATAAATAAATATTATTCTGGCATAAATAAATATGTAACGTGCATTGATGAGCAGAAAAAAACAACTTGTTCTGATACAGTGTAGCGTTATAGCGAGGGACCATTGGATACCTACCCTTGTCTGGTTCGTTTCGCATGCAGGTCAAGTTGGAGGTGATAAATTTCATTTCGTCTTTTATCACCACTGAATCCGGTTTCTTTCGACTGACCTGGTACAAAAAGAGAAAATGTACTCGCGGCACCGCCCACACAAACTTCGATATGCCCCTATGCTGGTTGGGGCTATTGAAAACACTTACACATCGGTTAACTCTTCAAAGAATAATTTATAGTCCGTGAGTTTATTAACGCTCTGGGGACGCGGGAGTACAGTCGTCTCAGGCGCCGCAATTCGCTGTGCAGAATTGCGTCCCATGCATATGGGTACACCAGAGCGGCGTTGGGTACAACAAACAAACAAACAAACAAACAAACAAACACATTTGCCCGAAAATGATGTTTTGAATTTTTACCAATATTGTTGCTTTTCTATCATTGTTGTAAATTCCATGAAGCCCCTGTTGCTCGAAAGTAGTTTTTTAGTGATTCTATGCGCAAAAACTCATAAGTTACATAGAACCAGATTGTTCTATGTCCATGTGTCCAATCACATTCTTGACAGAGATCACGTGACAAGGAGATGGGACCACATAGTTCAAAACCATTTGAAGATAGAACCATTGGTTATTATTTACCAAGTGTAGAATGTGAACATTGGGAGTGAGTTTTGTGATCTGTCAGCTTAAACACTGAATTAAAGGGATGACTTCTTTACAATAAGCTGTCTCCAGTATGTGGTCTCTCGTTTGAGTGAAAACTTTGGTCAAGAATTATCAGAATAGGCCAATTGAAATACTAAAGGAGATGGGTGGAATTGTATGGATCTGAAAACAAAATGTCCAAACTTCTTTGGTATCTTCCATAAAACTTACATTTATCTGTAACTGAGAAGATGGATAATTACTTTTTCTTTAAAAACGTATAAATTATTTTGTATTTGTTTCATGTGAAATAAATCCATATTGTTTTTTAAGTTAAGTTAACAGCACTTCAGATTTTAAAATATCATTTACTAAAAACTTGAAAAAGTGGGGATAGGACATTATGGTTCTCAGGCAAAGGACAACTTAAGATTTCATTGGAAGTCCTCCATTGAATAAATGAGTTCGCTGCTAAAGTCAGTTCAAGTTTTAGGGTTCAGCGGAAACTACCGTACATGTTTCGTAAAAAAGAGATCGAACTCTCTCATTTCACATGCTTCTTTGGAGATATCGTCTTTTGTCGAATGTGACAAAAAAGGTAAATTTCACAATACCTTGTCAATGAATACGGATGCCCTTGTTATGGCGTCAACCGGTCTTGAAGGAACATGGCGGAGTTTGTATCGTGTCAGGAACTCCAGTTTTCCCGTTCCAAGGGCAGATAACTCAGGATATTCTGTAATGTGTATGTTAACATTTGATCAAAAAGCCACGGCTCTAATGAACATTCATTGTACTGACAACGTTCTATTTCTCTCTAGAGGCATCATGTCAGTTCAATTTCACGTATAAAGGATACATGTACCAATCTCGTTGCCGCTATGGGCCATGTTCGTCACTATTATTATTCAAGGATCCAGGTGATAAGGATAGAGTTGGGGGTAACCGACCCTAACCCTAACACAACTACGTAAAGATGTATTCTAACTAATATTTTTTGAGATATATCTTGATTTTATGATAGTTTTGGGTGGCGAGTAGATTCTATGATCTCATCTGAATCTCAAGCACCAAGTGAGTGAGTATGGTTTTACGCCGCTTTTTGCAATATTCCAACAACTTCACGGCGGGGGACACCAGAAATGAGCTTCCCACATTGTACCTATGTGGGGAAACGAACCCGGGTCTTCGGCGTGACGAGCGAACGCTTTAACCACTAGGTTACCCCACCGCTCCCTCAAGCACCAAGCGACATGCGAATATTAACTAATTTAAAGGGAAAGTACCAAATCTTGTATTCTACTGCTTGGTAAATGTTGTTTCTCGCATTTAGGGATAATAAATCATGATTATTTCTTGTTTATATATAACAAGTGCTCACATTTCCATATCCAAAATTAATTCAATTAATAAAAACAGAATTCCTTTTTGAGAATAAAAACTCTTTTGAGAAATATAAAGTCATAAAAGTCCTGAAACCAAAAAACATCTTTCACCGCTGCTGACATTAGCACTGAAATGACATCGCGAAAGTACCGCGTTTCAACGCTAGTTAAACATTAGTCACATGGCCAGCAAAGTGTCCTTTGCACAAAGCTCAATTGTTAGGTTATTTATTGGTTTGAACTGAAAACCTTCCTGGTTTTGTTAGATGGAACACTTGCAGACATGTTAACCCAACATACACACGTAAGGAGCTTTATCCGACATAGACTATTGAGGTGGTCTCTAATACTGGTAATAATTTCATGAACATTGCCTACCACAGTTGGGCGCATTGTACAATAGGTTCGCTTAAGCCGACTGTTTGTTATATCAGTTTTTTATATAAAAGATATAAAAATTGCTCCTGATTCAATATATACTGGTCTCAATCCACAATGGATGTGATTAGCGCACAGTGTTGATACTCTCTTGAAATTAGTTTCATATTATATTTCGACAAGCGACCATGGCATCATGAACACATTCACTTGGTCCAAAGACTGAAGTGGTGGTTGGTAGCCTCGTGGTTAAAGTGCTAGCTCGTCACGCCGAAGTCCCCAGGTTCGATTCCCTACATGGGTACAATATGTGAAGCCCATTTGTTGTGTCCCCGGTCGTGATATTGCAGGAATAGTGATAAAAGCGGCGTAAAACCATACTCACTCACTCACCCAAAGACTGAAATACATTAAATACGTTTATAACGAACACGCTTATAACGAACTGACGGATATAACGAACTTACTTATTTGTCCCGACTATTTGCAGTAGTTATGCTGTATATATGCTTATAACGAACTACGGTTATAACGAACTGAAATTAGTGGTACGATGAGTTCGTTATAACCGTAGTTTATTGTACTGTCAACTCACCTATATTCGTGAACTCGTTCACAGCTTTCACTGGCCTGGAGTTTTCGAAAGGCTCATACCTGCAGCCGGAAGCAAGAACAACATGATGGGGAAATAAACGTCCGATTCAGTGGAAGGCATTGTCATGTTCATGATGATGTGGGAGATTTAACGAGCGCTTCCGGCAGACCCGATTTAGCACTCAGTAGAGGCAAAGAAGGTGATGCTTCGAGTGAGTAAGGAAAACTCAGCATCCCAAAAAATATTCCATCTGTATCAATGCGAAATGGAAGTTGGTTGGTTGGTTTGTTGTTTAACGCCGCACTCACCAATATTCCAGCTATATGACGGCGGTCTGTAAATTATCGAGTCTGGACCAGACAATCCAGTGATTGATATCATGAGCATCGATAAACGCAATTGGGATCGATGACATGCATCAACCAAGTCAGCGAGCCTGACCACCCGATCCAGTTAGTCACCTCTGACGACAAGCATAGTCACCTTTTACGGCAAGCATGGGTTGCTGAAGACCTATTCTACCCCGGAATCTTCACGGGTCCGAAATGGAAGTACCGAGTACCCTGTCCACATGGACGCTGATACTTATTTATACACACGTAAGTAACTTAACTAACAGTAAGCAAATAAGTCACGTGAACTCATTTACTCGTGTATGTTTTTGTTTTGTTTGTTCGTGAACGCCGCCCTCAGCAATATTCCAGCTATATATGACGGCCGTCTGTAAATAATCGAGTCGAGATGTATTTCTGCATGCAAATTGTATTAGAACTTCATTATATTAACACCACCTACATCAAATATATCGACGTGTATTCGTAGCCATGCCACTTACCCGTCCTGAACTTTGTGCATGGCCTGGAATGTCTCGTTGATCTCCACTGAGTGTATGTTGCCCAGATCCTTGCTGTAGTACAGCGTCTGGGAAATAGATACATCATTAGAAACTGTCGGGCAATAAACGGTATACACCCATGTTTGATGGTGGCTTACATGAAACAAACAAGGAGGTGAGGTGAGGTGAAATGGGGTTTAACGTCGCGTCCAAGATAATTGCACTTATATAGCGACGTACTGCTTGTACTAGTCCGGACTGTTGCCGATTTATAGTGCTAGCTCACTGAGATACCATGCCGCAGTTTAACATGAATACCCCACTCAGACACAGTATACTGACTCCGAGCCGACCAGTCCTTGTTTTAGCCCCTTAATGCCGAGCGCCAGACAGGGTAACAACAAGTACCATCTTTTAACGTCTTTTGGTATGACGCGGCCGGGGATCGAACCCCGAACCTTCCGCTCTCCGGGCGGACGCTCTACCACTAGACCACGGAGTTGTGTTTTAGACCTTAACTTTGCAGTGTTTCGGCGACTGTTTTCAGCCTAGTTACGTTTTGATAACGTTTGTAGTTGTTTGGTCAAATCCAATTTTCAAGTGTATACTTTCGTTTGCCCGACAGTGTGTTATTAACGGATAAAGAGCAAATTTTAATGAAATATTTGTTGACTGTTTCCTATTAAAGAGTTAGGGAAAATAGTATCTTTTTCTTTCTTGCTTCCGACTGTGTCTTGTTCAACCCTGTACGTCGTGACTTGATTCCGATAGTCAAGGCAGCGGGCGGATTATAACAATCATTCACTCGAGAGGAATAATTTTTGTTGTTGTAATTCCTTATAGCCCGTTAGTTAGGGGTGTACTCTAGCCTATCTCTCTATAGGACTGCGTTTCTGTGATATTTTCCACCGTTGTAATGGTGTGCGACAAGGAGAACATATGTCTCCCATTTTATTCTCATATTTTTAATATAATACTGACCGTAACTGTCACGGCGTAACACTGGATTCTGACTTGCTAGATACTATGTTTGAGTTATCCATGACTCTCTTTGTGCTTTTATGCCGATTTGAGTCCCATTATATTTAACATGATACTGACTGTAGCTATAAAGGCGTAAGTTTCACTTCGAAAGTGTGTCCATTTCTGCAGACCATCCCAAAATGTTGTCCATGTTTCATGACCCTAGCCTTAAAGTCGTGGATCGTTAGAAGTTAACCAAAATGTCCAGTAAAAGAAATATATCCTGGTTTCTGTTGTGACTTTCATAACCTTCCTGTAAACAATGTCACATTGTTTTACAACAAAACAAAACGAACGCAAGCAGTGTAACGCTCTCGTGTAGGACGTGTGACCCTCACCTTGGTGTACTGGGAGGAGGCATGTTTGACAGGGTGACCTTTGGGATCTCGTGTCTTGGTGAAGATATGCCCCTCTTTGCTTGGTCGAACACTATACGAAGCTTGATGCACACCTGGATGACAGACATGGATAATATCGTGACCGCTGGAATTCCATACTTTCAAGTTTGATTTAGAATTTTTAAATTTCCAATACTGTGTACATTTTCGTGAAACATTTTTCACATACAAATACCAAATTGTGTACACAATCATTCAATATACTGGAGCATGGAGAACTAAGGAGATATGATTGTGCGTTATATGACGACGGTTTATAAATAACATGGTCTGAGATAAGTAAGTTAAAGGTTTATAGGGTTAACAACGTCAAGCGCTGTTGGGGTTCTATGATACACATCCAGGTCATACATTCTAGCCAACTGTTCCTCATCTAGTCGGTTCTTGCGACAAGCATTGAAGTACTTGGTCCTATCTGCCCAGGAATCCCCACAGGGAGACACGCATTGGGTACTTGGGGTCTATCTGCCCAGGAATCCCCACAGGGAGACACGCATTGGGTACTTGGGGTCTATCTGCCCAGGAATCCCCACAGGGAGACACGCATTGGGTACTTGGGGTCTATCTGCCCAGGAATCCCCACAGGGAGATACGCATTGGGTACTTGGGATCTATCTGCCCAGGAATCCCCACAGGGAGACACGCATTGGGTACTTGGGGTCTATCTGCCCAGGAATCCCCACAGGGAGATACGCATTGGGTACTTGGGGTCTATCTGCCCAGGAATCCCCACAGGGAGACACGCATTGGGTACTTGGGGTCTATCTGCCCAGGAATCCCCACAGGGAGACACGCATTGGGTACTTGGGGTCTATCTGCCCTGGAATCCCCACAGGGAGACACGCATTTGGTACTTGGGGCCTATCTGCCCTGGAATCCCCACAGGGAGATACGCATTGGGTACTTGGGGTATATCTGCCCTGGAATCCCCACAGGGAGACACGCATTTGGTACTTGGGATCTATCTGCCCAGGAATCCCGACAGGGAGACACGCATTTGGTACTTGGGGTCTATCTGCCCAGGAATCCCCACAGGGAGACACGCATTTGGTACTTGGGGTCTATCTGCCCAGGAATCCCCACAGGGAGATACGCATTGGGTACTTGGGGCCTATCTGCCCAGGAATCCCCACAGGGAGACACGCATTGGGTACTTGGGGTCTATCTGCCCAGGAATCCCCACAGGGAGATACGCATTGGGTACTTGGGGCCTATCTGCCCAGGAATCCCCACAGGGAGATACGCATTGGGTACTTGGGGTATATCTGCCCTGGAATCCCCACAGGGAGACACGCATTTGGTACTTGGGATCTATCTGCCCAGGAATCCCGACAGGGAGACACGCATTTGGTACTTGGGGTCTATCTGCCCAGGAATCCCCACAGGGAGACACGCATTTGGTACTTGGGGTCTATCTGCCCAGGAATCCCCACAGGGAGATACGCATTGGGTACTTGGGGCCTATCTGCCCAGGAATCCCCACAGGGAGACACGCATTGGGTACTTGGGGTCTATCTGCCCAGGAATCCCCACAGGGAGATACGCATTGGGTACTTGGGGCCTATCTGCCCAGGAATCCCCACAGGGAGATACGCATTGGGTACTTGGGGTCTATCTGCCCAGGAATCCCCACAGGGAGACACGCATTGGGTACTTGGGGTCTATCTGCCCAGGAATCCCCACAGGGAGACACGCATTGGGTACTTGGGGTCTATCTGCCCAGGAATCCCCACAGGGAGATACGCATTGGGTACTTGGGGCCTATCTGCCCAGGAATCCCCACAGGGAGACACGCTTTGGGTACTTGGGGTCTATCTGCCCAGGAATCCCCACAGGGAGATACGCATTGGGTACTTGGGGTCTATCTGCCCAGGAATCCCCACAGGGAGACACGCTTTGGGTACTTGGGGTCTATCTGCCCAGGAATCCCCACAGGGAGATACGCATTGGGTACTTGGGGTCTATCTGCCCAGGAATCCCCACAGGGAGACACGCATTGGGTACTTGGGGCCTGTCTGCCCAGGAATCCCCACAGGGAGACACGCATTGGGTACTTGGGGTCTATCTGCCCAGGAATCCCCACAGGGAGACACGCATTTGGTACTTGGGGTCTATCTGCCCAGGAATCCCCACAGGGAGATACGCATTTGGTACTTGGGGTCTATCTGCCCAGGAATCCCCACAGGGAGATACGCATTTGGTACTTGGGGCCTGTCTGCCCAGGAATCCCCACAGGGAGACACGCATTGGGTACTTGGGGTCTATCTGCCCAGGAATCCCCACAGGGAGACACGCATTTGGTACTTGGGGTCTATCTGCCCAGGAATCCCCACAGGGAGACACGCATTGGGTACTTGGGGTCTATCTGCCCAGGAATCCCCACAGGGAGATACGCATTTGGTACTTGGGGTCTATCTGCCCAGGAATCCCGACAGGGAGACACGCTTTTGGTACTTGGGGCCTGTTATATTTCGGAATCCATTTGGCGAGACAAGCATTGGGGACTTGGGACTTATTTTACCCTGAAATCCATTCTGCTCCGCAAACATAGGACACTTGGGTCATCGCGGGTTTATGATAATGTCACGATATTTATAACCCCAAGAAGATCCTGGTTACAATTGATTTTCAGCAACCCACGCTTTTCGGAAGAGGTGACAAATGGGATCGGGTGGTCAGGCTCGCTGATTTGGTTGCTACATGTCATCGTATCCCAATTACGTAGATCAATGCTCGTGATATCAATCACTGGATTTTGTGAGTCAGACTCGATTATTTACAGACCGCCGTCATACAGCAGGAATATTGCTGCGCTGGGCGTTAAACAACAAACAAAAAATAATACTGCGAATTACACATAATGCGGACCCTGTTAATACAACACTCTGAACTATTTCTTTGGATATGTATACAACACACTGTACTTTGTGTGGTGTTCGGGTAGCCTAGTGGTTAAAGCATTTGCTCGTCACGCCGAAGACCAGGGTTCGATTCCCCACATGGGTACAATGTGTGAAGCCCATTTCTGGTGTCCGCTGTCGTGATATTGCTGGAATATTGCTAAAAGCGGCGTAAAACCATACTCAGTCACTGTACTTTGTGAAGAAAAGTTTTAAGAAATGGAAAGCGTATTTACTGAGAAACTATTTCAATGTCCACACATCTCATAATGTGCATAAACATCAATCATGAAATCTCAATGTGTTATGCTGTTGTTCAAGTCACGTGACTGATGACGTACCTTCTTGTCCTGTCTCCTGCACGCTATACCGCCAACCCGCCTCAGTTCTCCGGGAAACTTCCTGCAAAGAGAGTACATTCATGCCTCGTTATAACGCCATTATTGCCTCGCTTATATTGAGGCGCAATAACATTTGTGACGTTTAGAAGGGTAAGTTAACAATGCCCAAAATATATGAAAGATCCCACTCTTGTCGTTGTGTGTGGCTACTTTATAAATTGTTCGTATCCTGATACAAACTTGACATTCGAAGCCGCGCCCGTTTTAACCAAGCCTTCAGCTGTCAGACATGTTTTAATCATGTTATTTGGAGATACATTGTATTTTACGTGAAATAGAAGTAACTGCAGTAAGTGTGAAAATGGTGAATGGCCTACATTAACGTACATATATCCAAACCGCCTCACTAGTCTAGTGGTAGAGCGTCTGTCCAGAGAGCAGAAGGTCGGGGGTTCGATCCCCGGCCGCGTCATACCAAAAGACGTTAAAAGATGGTACTTGTTGTTACCGTGTCTGGCGCTCGATATTAAGGGGCTAAAACAAGGACTGGTCGGCTCAGAGTCAGTATACTGTGTCTGAGTGGGATATTCATGTTAAACTGTGGCATGATATCTCAGTGGTCTAGTACTATTAATCGGCATCAGTCTGGACCAGTACAAGATGCATATCGCGATATAATTGTTATAATCTTGAACGCGACGTTAAACCCCCTTCACCTCGCAGAGACCTAATCGATATCATCTTATATGCTCTTCATTGATTAAACTGGGTGTACACTAAAGTTGTTAGAATGGTCTGCCTTTACACAATACAACATAAACAGCCAACTCTGGTTACAACCGGATATAACGATTTGTCGGTTATTCAGTAACAGGGTTTATTCCCCAAAATGAGAGAGAGAGAGGGAGAGAAAGAGAAAGAGAGAGAGAGAGAGAGAGAGAGAGGGGGGGGGGGGAGAGAGAGAGAGAGAGAGAGAGAGAGAGAGAGAGAGAGAGAGAGAGAGAGAGAACGACGTGATAGTTTGATTTTTGCTGGCTTCTTGATGTTCGACATAATCGGAATTGCATGTTCTGTTACAGATGAATAACACTATTGTCGCGATATCGATCTATATACTCGAGTTCCAGTGCTGTCGATAATGAGAAAATATATAATTATATGTCCATTTTGAAACATCGTTACCAAGAATAACAAAAACTAAATTCGAAACATTATCCAATGGATATGTTCACTGCAACCAGTGTTCGTTTTACCACAATCCTGAAGATATAATCTGAGGTTACGTAAAGGTCATGACCTCTCACCTCTGACTCGTGGTGCAGACGACCAGCAAACACAGCCGAGAGCCCCTTCTTGATGGCGACGGCCTCGTCATCGTCGTCTGCAGGGTGATAGACGTGGACGATCTCGCCATGGGGCGTAATTACAAACGAAAACCTGTTTAATAAAATGAGAGAACATTTTAATTCATAATCAATTTGGAATACCTCCATTGAACTTGTGTGAGAAATTGTTTCGCCTTAGCCAAATATTAAAATTACAGATATAGAAAAGTATATAAATATATGACTACACAGGGTATATGAATAACGAACTTCGGATGTATCGTGTTGCCTAGTGGTATATGGTGCCGTAATTCTTTGTGCAGAGTTACCTCCCATAGCTTTGCCTGGATCCGCTTATCGTGAGTTCGAAGCCAAGATTCTTACTGATCACGGCCCTTTGTTTGTAAGCACTTTATCCGTATTTGTGGGTGTTTACAAATTAGGTAAAATGCAGTACTGTTCAAAGAAAGAAAGAAGCTAGCCATTAACAGAGACCACGGCATCTAGTTATCAAGCGTACTACATTGTTTGTTTGTTGTTTAACGCCGCACTCAGCAATATTCCAGCTCTATCACGGTGGTCTAAAAATAATCGAGTCGGGACCACAAAATCCAGTGATTGACATCATGAGCATCATTGTTCTTAACAGTATCTGTAACAAAAGGTCGTGCTTTCGTGTTATGTTGGGTGAAGTTCTGACACTACCACGGTGACTGCTGCACAGTAAAACCCTTTTAATCCGGACGGTGTCGTTCCCCGGTGTCCGGACTAACGAGGTTTCCCTGTACAGTATAAACGATGTAACCGCCTTACCATCTGGAGAAGTCCCAGTCATGTCCAGCCACGCCTGAAAGAGTAAGGTCCGTAATAATAATAAGAATAACAACAATAATATTTTCTTTATAGGCAGAACATATGTAATTATCTTATATAATTATTTATCAATATTTTTCATTTCTGTAAAATAAATGATAAAAAAACATTACGCCACCCTAATCAAAATCACAAAACTGACATGCTAGTAGACAGGTGGTGAGGTGAAATGGGGTTTACGTCGCGTCCAAGATCATTGCACTTATATAGCGACGTGCATGCACGTGTGTGTGTGTGTGTGTGTGTGTGGCTTGTACTAGTCCGGACTGATGCCGATTTATAGTGCTAGCTCACTGAGATACAATACCGCAGTTTAACATGAATACCCCACTCAGACACAGTATACTGACTCCGAGCCGACCAGTCCTTGTTTTAGCCCCTTAATGCCGAGCGCCAGACAGGGTAACAACAAGTACCATCTTTTAAAGTCTTTTGGTATGACGCGGTCGGGGATCGAACCCCGGACCTTCCGCTCTCCTGGCGGACGCTCTACCACTAGACCACGGAGGCGGTCTGCTAGTGGACAAAGGATATTTATACAATTATTTATCAATATTTCATAGTTATGTAAAATACACAAAGAGGAACATACCTTGTGAATGTTTTGTTTTGAGAGCCAAGGTGTAAACCCTCAGTGAAACCTCCTGTCCTTCATCGTCCTCCCTGATGTTCGTGTAGCCGACCTGGAACAGTGGTCAAGCTGGTCAGTGAGTGGGTGTGGTTTTACGCCGCTTTTAGCAATATTCCAGCAATATCACGGCGGGGGACACCAGAAATGGGCTTCACGCATTGTACCCATGTCGGGAATCGAACCGGGTCTTCGGCGTGACGAGCGAACGCTTTAACCACTAGGCTACCCGACCGCCCCCAAGCTGGTCAGAGTGTACTGTAACTGTATGGGTAATGTTGTGATTCATGTCCATTGTAATATACACATAAAACGTTGACATTTTCTTCAGTTGATATTTTTTCTCTCGAAGTTTCTCATCTCATTTTGCATGTGTATGTACCTGAATATATATTGTAAACAGAAAACGTCAACGCCTGGTAATAACCAGTCTCGATTATCCACCGAAACAGGGCGTAAAAGGCAAAATAGCGGTGAAAATTTTATTGAATGGCTCACTGAAAGTTCGTGATGACACCAGGGCCCACTTGCACAAAGCGATCTTAGCACTACAACTATTGTAAGCCTATGTTAAAGTATGGGAGTTACGATCATCTTAGCGCTAAGATCGCTTTGTGCAAGTGGGCCCTGGTGTTGCCCTACCACGACTCAACCGTAGCTATATTTCTTCGTAAAAATGTCTGGTTTGTGTGCGTGCGTGTGTGCGTGCGTGCGTGCGTGCGTACGTGCGTACGTGCGTGCGTATGTGAATTCAGTGTGCTTATGTGGTGTCTTCTCGAGTTGGTGTCACAAATTGAACAGCAACATTATAATATAACATCAAAATTGTCTTGAGTAAATCCATAATCCAGTTATAAACTCACTCAAGATGCTTGCTTGTCTGAAGTGTCACGGTTTACTCGTATATCCTTAAGATTCGAGAACAGAGATTATCATACCAATAAACCCAATAATGGTGATCGTATGAACACAATGGCTGCTGACGTTGAACTCCTTCCATGGGGGAGAGGGCCACCAGACGCCCCATGTCAGCACACTATACACAGCTCGTGTGCATGGTCCAGGTTCGAATCCAAGAATTTGGCTTATGGATGCTGAGGAAAGCTACAATAATTCATTCTACCGACAAAAACGAAATACTTTCCCCAAAAAACATGTCCTTGACCCTCGTCGATTGTAATCCATAATGCATAACTCCAAGACATACCTCGGCCGATGCATGTCCTTTGTCAAATCTGTGTCAGATATCCCCCGATTACATCCTGTTATATAAAATTGATTGGTTTGTTGTTTTACGCCGCACTCACCAATATTCCAGCTATATGACGGCGGTCTGTAAATAATCGAATCCGGACCAGACAATCCAGTGATTGACATCATGAGCATCGATCCACGCAAGTGGGATACGATGACATGCATCAAGCAAGTCAGCGAGCCTGACCACCCGATCCCGTTAGTCGCCTTTTACGACAAGCATAGTCACCGTTTACGGCAAGCATGGGTTGCTGAAGACCTATTCTACCCGGGAATCTTCACGGGTCCTGTTATATAAAAGACTTGCAGCAATGTAATTTCATATAACTTAAGCTATTTCGAAACGTCTGTCAGCACGAATATTCATAATTCATATGCATATCAGGCTTTTCTTTTTCGCTATTTCGCTTTTCTCGAATCTTTGCGTCGGGCACTTTGACAAAAAAAAGACGCCATGTCAACATAAAAAGAAATATTCAAGGGATTCAAAATTATGACAGCATCTGCAATCTAACAATGTGTTGATTTTCGAGTATCACTAACAAGACATGTATTTGACACATTCTAGAGTGAGTGAGTATGGTTTTACACCGCTTCTAGCAATATTCCAGCAATATCACGGCGGGGGACACCAGAAATGGGCTTCATACATTGTACCCATGTCGGGATTCGAACCCGGGTCTTCGGCGTGACGAGCAAACGCTTTAACCACCAGGCTACCCGACCGCCCCGACACATTCTAGAACCAGCAAGTATGAAATGAACATCTTCAAAGCTGTCCTGAATGTGACATTAAACTTGTTGTCAATCAATCTCATTAAAATCAGATCTGAGTTCTGGCTATCGCTAAACAAAGCTTTGTTTAGCGGCAGCGAGAACTCAGATCTGATTTTAATGAGATTGGTTGTCAATAAACCCGGATACGATTGTCACAACAAAAGTCGTTTATCTCCTTTTGGACCAGTCAAACAAGTCAAGTACAAGTCAACCACTGCGCAGCAATAAACTGTTGGCCAAACAAAAGAACACACCCACATGTGATGGCGGCTAAAAATAACAAACAAGAACTCGATGGTGATGTATTTGACACGGGTATCACACATGTTTTGTACCTTAAGTTTGCAGTGTTTCGGCGACTGTTTTCAGAATAGTAATGCGTTGAAAACGTTTCATTTTTTTGTGATTTATATTTGTCAAATCATTTTTTTCAAATTAAAGTATAATAGCTTTCTTTTGCCGGCAGATTTTGTACAGCTCCAAAATGAAGAAACCAGATGAACGTGGACAGGCATATGATCCAACTGACCGGCCTCAACAAACAAATACATTTTCGTCCTTTCTTGAGTCAGCAAAAAAGATATTTAGGATTTGTTTTATGTGTTCGTCTTAAGATAAGGTATTAACACACAAATATTTGTTTGTTTGTTGTTTAACGCCGCACTCGGCAATATTCCAGCTATATGACGGCGGTCCGTAAATAATCCAGTCTGGACCAGAAAATCCGGTGATTGACATCATGAGCATCGATCCACGCAATTAGGATACGATGACATGCATCAACCAAGTCAGCCAGCCTGCCCACCCGATCCCGTTAGTCGGCTCTTACGACAAGCACAGTCGCCTATTTGGGCAAGCATGGGTCCTGAACACCTCTTCTAACCCGGATCTTCACGAGTCAAATACACTAAGAGGCTGAAGCAGTCGGCCGTGTCCCATTTCACGCAACAGTAGCCCTATCTTCAACACGGAAGTTCGTGACATACAGCGTCTGCTACCGAAAGTTCACATTTAGTAAAACAATTGTATGCAGCCACAAAGAAAACAAGTCCCCCCGGGCTGATACCGTATCCTTACGCCTACATCTCGCTCAGGACAAACAGGTTATCTTTTGACGACTGTCATCAGTCCTTGCGGCAAGTTTGAACAATCTTTTCCCATCGCCCGCGACATGTGTGTCAGTTCAAGATGGTGACTTTGTCACAGAGAACTTAAAAGCACACTGGACAACGCATTATATTTTTTAAAGAATTATAGCTTCTTAACTACTTCCCTTTTGTACAGTGTTGAGAACATATTGTTTAGGAAGCCTGGATTATTTAACATGATGTAATCCATGCCTAACAGCGCTCAGTTGTACCATTGTCTAACACAGCATTTCACATACTGACATTTATAGCCTGAATCCATTTCCCCCTGAGCAGTGTCTGTAACCACACCCATTAGTCCCATGTCCAGGGCAACGCCATTGTCTCTTCGTCTGTCGATTGTTGTCCAATAGTGTATACACATGTTTACATCTTTACTGTTAGTTTGCCTGGTATTCCGACAGCACCTGTATGTATAGCCGCGAGTAGGTATTTCTATTAGCAATATTTATTGTATTTGTTTGTTTTTTTGCCGACTAAAGAAGTTTGGACTCAACGTATTCTTCGTCTTCAATGTGAGCTAATTTCCCCGTCAACATACGCGTCGACAACTTTAACATTATATAACTTGGTGTCATAAAAGCGAATGGTTAAACATAAGTTTAAAGTTGTTATATTTGTCAAACAAACTATAGTACTTTCGTGTTGGTGTCTCAGTTATTTTCCTTTGGTGAGTTTTTTTGATACTAGACAATAACGTTTTCATGACATGGTTAAGGATTTATAAATCTTATCCTGTGGCTAAGTGAAAAATATGTTTGTATTAAGAGTATGGCTATCTAAATCCATTTGCTGGTTCGATGCTCATGATATCAATCACTGCATTGTCTGGTCCAGACTAGATTATTTACAGACCGCTGTCAGATTATCAACATGATGTCCTGAGAATGCTGGAATATTAATGCGGACTGAAGTGACACTAACAAATAAGTAAAACGAAAACTAGCATCCAGGTGACCGACATTCAATTGTTTACAATAAACACTATATATATCACCACAACAACAAACAGGCAATTGCAAGTCACACGATTCCCGTGCTTGAACGCTCATCAGCGCTCATAGGACTGACTGATCACATACACGTATAGCACAAAAGCAACAGCAACAACAATAATAATAATAATCCATTTGTATGGCGCCAAACTCCATACCAGCTCGTGTGCTCATGGCGCTTACATTATTACCCCAGTAAATGGATCAGCGAGCACTCGATTTTTATTCTCAGCTCCCTGGGGAGTATACAATGTATTCTAAACGTTCAATCAAGTATAATATTAATTTGCAGCTATTGTCACCACGCTACGTACTTGAATGAGGTAGATTCTAAGGAAAGGGCTTCGATCGATCGTTTATTATCGAAACAGGTCAGTCACTCGTCCGGCTTTTGTTAAAGACTGCCGCGCGTACAGAGGGTGCGCCGACATATATCTGTGATGTACAATATAGTATACATACCACTCAAAAGAAGTTAAGAACACCCGATTCCTCTATATTACTATAGTTATATGTCAGGCATGGTTGTATACTTCTGTCAATCTCTGATATACAATAATTGGGTTCATTGCCCTATTGGCGACACTGTTCGTCAATGATGATACACTTTACGTTACCAGAAAGTGGGTTTTAAGTGACCTGAATCAATTTAAAATTGCTAGTGTTGCCATTTAGTCGGAAAGTCTTCCTGTATCATTGATGGCCCGGACACTCTACTACACACAAGGCAGGTATACAGTGGAGACGTGTTAATAAAAGCGACAAGACCTAATTCCACGATCATAAGAAATATCTGCTAAAACCAGAGCCCATTGTACGATTCCGACTATATCCTAATCATGTGTTAACTTTAACTTTTGGGGGCGGTCGGGTAGCCTAGTGGTTGAAGCGTTCGCTCGTCACGCCGAAGACCCGGGTTCGATTCCCGACATGGGTAAAATGTGTGAAGCCCATTTCTGGTGTCCCCCGCCGTGATATTGCTGGAATATTGCTAAAAGCGGCGTAAAACCAACTCACTCACTCACTCACTGTCAACTTTTGATGGTACGGGTGTTCATAGGAGAGCATATCCTGCCCCACCCGTGGCATTCATGACAAACACATGCAAAGGCAAGTCAGTTATTCATCTGAAAAAACACGGTCGTACATGGTTCAAGTCAAAATTGGGAATTGCAACATACATAATGTTTGTCGGTGATGCGTCAAATTTGGAAAAGACCCGCACATGCCTAGCATAAAACATTTTGAAAGCTTTACTGCGGTCTTGAATGTTGTAACCAAGATCAAACAATCTTTGAGCAAAGGGATCAACAAAGTGTTCAACAAAGGGTTCGTTTGTTTATAATTACTCGGCCGGTAAAGAAACCCGAACAAACTAAAGTCATGCCAGAACACACACAGATTGTATAACGTTTACCCTTTTGTATACACGATACCCCTATTAGTACACCCTTATGAACTTTGCATGTGTGACGTTCATTAGAAAGCCTGCGGTGGCTTTCACCTCCTCGCATGGTTGAGATATTGTTATAACGACATAACGACAGAACAAAGTTTGCTAATATAACACTGGTTTCAGTGTATGAAGTTTATACATGGTTATTGTATATACACTGAAGCTGTCAAAAAACTTTTGCCTATACCCAGGTGTAAATAGAAACAAACACTGGCGAAAATCACTACAGTAAACTACGGTTATAACGAACTCAAAGGGACCACTAATTTTAGTTCGTTATAACCGTAGTTCGTTATAAGCATATATACAGCATAACTACAGCTAATAGTCAGGACAAAAAAGTAAGTTCGTTATATCCGTCAGTTCGTTATAAGCGTGTTCGTTATAAACGTAGTTTACTGTGCTTTGTCATGAGAAATAAAAGTATTCTTTATATTGTTAATAATAATATTTTTGTCTGAAAATAGGGTCGGAAAGATGAGAATATTTATTTTTTGAATGTAAGTGGCATTTTCTGAAATGTGTTTATTTGCTTATAGTGAGTGACTGAGTATGGTTTTACACCGCTTTTAGCAATATTCCAGCAATATCACGACGGGGGACACCAGTAATGGGCTTCACACATTGCACCCATGTCGGGAATCGAACCCGGGTCTTCGGCGTGACGAGCGAACGCTTTAACCACTAGGCTACCCGACCGCCCCTTATTTGTTTATAGGGTTTCCATGGAAACAAAAGCACGCACGCTGCTTGGGACGCATGCACTTGTTTCATTTTGAGGGTCGGCGGATGTGAAAACCATGTAAAACACAAGTAAACACCGGGTGTGTTTTTTGTCGCCTTTATATTCCAGCAACACATGGCCGGAAACATCAAGACAGGGCTTCACACATTGTACGCAAGTTGGGAATCGAACCCAGGTGTTCGGCGTGACGAGCGAACGCATTAACCACGTGGCGACACAAACGCAACTTTGTAACAACGTCACTGTTAAAGGCTGCACAACTGGGTCCTCTTGCACAAAGCGATCACAGCGATAAGACGATCGTAAACTCCATACTCCCAATACACTCACAAAACCCATTGGGTTGGTTTGTTGTTTTAAGCCGCACTCAGCAATATTCCATATATGGCGGCGGTCTGTAAATATAATCAAGTCTGGACCAGACAATCCAATGATTGATATCATGAGCATCAATCCACGGAATTGGGATCGATGACATGCATCAACCAAGTCAACGAGCATGACCACCCGATCCCGTTAGTCGCCTTTTACGTCAAGCATAGTCACCTTTTACGGCCAGCATGGGTTGCTAAAGACCTATTCTACCCCGGAATCTTCACGGGTCCCCATAGGGCTACGACCGTAGAGTTAGTGAACAAAATGAAAAAAACAACCTTAAGTAATAAAAACTTTAAAAAATGATTCCCGAAACAAAATGTGAGATGAGGTGAATTAAAAAATATTAAAGAGGTTTTGAGCGGTCGATAAATTATCTGCATGAATTTATATTTCCCATTGTAATTTTTGTCGAAAGAACGACTAAGATCGATTTGTGTGTAGTTGATCCAGGCTCACTCACCACTTGCTTTGATATTATTTTTTCACATTTTTCAACGAATAATGCCTCGAGGCTTGTTTATCCCGCTGTATCATCAAGTGAGTGACGAGGTGACAACCAGTACGGCACATGATACTGATGTAATGAAACACTTGTCTGGACGCACACATTACCTAGGAAATATTAGTGGTTGTTCGGTGTCATGAACGTTTTTAGTTTCAAGTTACTTCATACGAGGAATCTCCGTCACGCAGACCACACCTTCAGGTCAGGCTTTGTCCCCGCGTGACTGGCCATTACGTGAAGTAAAGGTATTGCACGTATTCGTGTATAAAGCCTCACAAACAGACACAGGAATATGGGAAGGTTAAAATTAAGCGGAAAGGATACCTGTACCTGATTTAAGCAAATAACAAGACATACATACATACATACATACATACATACATACATACATACATACATACATAAATAAATGTTACTATCACAACCACGACTACTACTAGTGTCAATCACCGGATTGTGTGGTCCAGACTCGATTATTTACAGACCGTCGTCATTTCGCTGGAATATTGCCGAGTGCGGCGTTACTGACAACCAACCAACCAACCAACCAAATCATGTTTCAGTGTGCTATCCGTTTCACTCACAAACCTTAACACGTTCTTGTCCCAAAGTTTTGACGCGTTTAGTGTCTAAGCATGTTTAGGATAACTTTAAAAAAAGTTTGGGGGTCTGTTGTCGTAACATGACATACTTTCATTGATTTCATTTTTCTAGTCGCCATTATCTTAGCTTGTTTTGTTTGTTACTATCAGTGCTGCCTTGGTCATGACGTTTGTTTGATTGTTTGTTTGTTGTTTAACGCCGCACTCAGCACTATTCAAGCTGTATGACGGCGATCTGTAAATAATCGAGTCTGGACCAGGCAACCCAGTGATTAATATCATGAGCATCGATCCACGAAATTGGATTCGAATCTTCGCTTTTACATTTTTATGTTAATATTGTACCAAGTTCGATGTAAGTCCCGGTTGTATATGTGTTATGCAAGTGCTATAAATATGATTGCACACCTAATTTCAATATTTATTATACATCTTATCCATATTTAACTTAATGCTGAATGATATGCACATTATCTAAACATGTTTAGATTATTAGGATAATACACACTGATATGTACTTTGTCGTAAACGTGTTTAAATTCTAAACAGGTTTAGATTTTGGGGATATGTTAATGTGGTGTTTAGGCTGTGAGAAGAAAGGTCATGTCCTGTGTTTAGACTGTAAACGTGTTGAGCTGGAACCCATCAAATATTTTTCCGTTTAGGATTTAAACACATTCCTAAATGTCTTGTATGTGTTTACATTCTAAACAACAAACAAACAAGTGTCTTTAGGGCACCGTTTTCTTTAAAGACTGTACTTATACAAGAAAAGTAAGTACATTGTGTATCTCATCCTCGATTACCCAGGGTTATATATCGCAACTCTTTAATGATTAATACCCTGGGTCCACCACAGCTTCGCTTTGAGCCCAATCCGACTAATACGACGCTAAATAAACATGAAATCGTCCAATCAAACCATAGTCACGACTGAGAGACATTCTGTTAATTAGTTAACTAGTTTGTTTGTTGTTTAACGCCGCACTCAGCAATATTCCAGCTGTATTACGGAGACATGTAATAATCGAGTCAGGACAAGGTAATCCAGTGATCTATCTATATATCTATCTATCTATCTATCTCACCTTTGCTGCAATGTGGAATTCCCCGATACTCTTCACATCAGCCTTTGAGTTGAATTTGTACTGATACTCAAATCCTGGAATAAAGTTGATGAATCGTGCATTGACACACGCGAGAAATGCCACAAATCCAGCTATTATTTCAATCATGGTTCTTTGTCGGAGTCCCGACATTTTCACGTATCACACCACTGAGTATAGCGCATTCCCTGGTCACATTATAAGAGCTGGAAAGTTAGATGCGTGTGGCTGTGTGGCTGTACGGACGACGAGCTAACCCACGTTTCCGAGAAATCCCACTTCAACGCGTGAGAAAGGTAAATACATGTCGGTTTTCATTGGCTGACCCTCCCGGAACATAGCCTTATGTGACGTCACGTGAGTAACTCGACCGTAACGAATGTCTCCATGCGCAACCTCCAGCGAACCGTGACAACTCCATCGATATTGCGCTACTCATAAACCATGTTTTGCTTTGACAGTGCAAAGTTACAGCGAAAACGTTAACAAGATATGTACTAAGGATGGGCTATTCTAAGATATCTGTTTTAGGTTTTCAGATAATTTCATAATTAACGGGAGGGGAGATTGGCTGTGCCAATCTGTGGAGGCGATGAACCGACCGCGTTATAACAGAAGCGCGCGGTTTCGAAACATTCCGATTTGTTTACGAGCCAATCTAACGGAAATTGACATTTCTGGTCAGTCCCTGTTGATATCCGTCTTTGACATCTGCCCATGTGGTGAGCTGTGAATTTGAAAGTAAATCAAAGCTTAAATTGTCATGTTTACTATTTGTCTCCCACATGCACCTTCTTATACTGTGCCTGCAGTAAAAGGTAATGTCGTCTTGAAACAACACACTGACATTATTTCTACCCTGTTTACATTTTATTCTAGCGCTACACGTGAGTGGGTATTTACATCTCTATTCAATGTCACATAAAATTATTTCTTATGATTAATGCCATGTCACGATACTCCGGACCAGGGCCTCGTTCTTCAAAGCTATCTTAGCGCTAAGGTGATCTTAAGTGCCACACTTTAACATAGGGTTACGATCATCATAGCGCTAAGATCGCTTTGAGGAACGAGGTCCAGTATAAGAATACACACACACACACACACACACACACACACACACACACACACACCCGGAGAGGGGAAGGTCGGTGGTTCGATCCCCTGAACGCGCCATATCAAAAGAGGTTTAAAAAAGGCACTTGTTGTTGCCCTGCCTGTCGCAGGGGGAAAACAAGGACTTGTCGGCGTGGAGTCATCATTCTGTGTCTGAGTGGGGTATCCATGTTAAACTGTAGCACAGTATCTAGGTGAACTAGCGCGCGCACGCACACACACACACACACACACACACACCCGTGCTATATGTATATCTATAAGAGCAATAATTTAGAACGCTATGCTAACCCTGCCCCTCACCCACCGTTATCGTCATGTATGCATGTATATTATATGTCTGTCCATAGTTTGTATATAAATTGACACAATAAAGATTTTTAGTGATGGTACATTTGTATCATTGTGTGTGTGTAAATAATGTATAATGAGGTCACCTCAGCCTTAGAATGTTTTCACTGTCCGTGTCTTCAACCAGACGCTGAAAGCGGTCTTGATGTGTTATGAGTGACCGACACAACAACACGTTGTTTACCTATTCTCTTGTGCTGCGTATCTTGATTGATCCGACATGCTCAGTAACACGAGGTGCGAAGTTAATGACCGTGACGATTAATGTTTAATTTGACCCAGATATATTAAAACTGCTCGCTCTGCCATGTTCCTTTAAGCGTGTAGGCGACTTAAAGACGAGGAAATACTTGTCTGGTTAGTTTTGTTTGACCTGAAGCATTGATGGGATGAAACCAGGGTGGGTTTATTGACAGCTAGCTGGCTGTTCTGGGTGTTAATTCGGAGCATCAGTTCGCGAATTTTCCAAGGTGATATTTCCATACATCTGCATTACATTAATCACTCGATTGTCTGATCCAGACTCGATTATTTACAGACGGCCGTCATATAGCTGGAATATTGCGGAGTGCGGCGTTAAACAACAAACCCACCAACCAACTACAGTACGCGTGATTGAAGTAGAACAAGTCTGTAATCGCCTTTACTCTTATGTTATTTGCTTTATCTGCCCGAGATTTCATTATTTACATGCGACCGTGATAAATGATCTGCAAAGGTGCGGAGCAAAAACAACATTCACACACGAACGGGGTCATCCGAGGCGTCTGACATTGCGGTAGAGAAATATTTTACGTGCGACTCCCAATGAGCTGTCGAGGCAAATGACAATCTCATCACCATGCAGCTTGAGCCTCCTGTGTTACATAATTTGTGCAGCAAAATTTACTTTCATGAATTTACCCCCTCTTCACCAGAATTGCAGAAAGTTTCCGTGGAGATGTATACAACTATCGCCTTTCCAGACAGTAATTACAGGCGTCAAATGCGGAACACAGTCACCGCTGACAACGCTGGTGGGGCCCTTTTTCCTTTTTCTTCTTTAAAGTGCACCTATCGCACGCTATCTGTCATTGTCATTAAACTACACACCAAATGAGCAGATCGGAATTGTGTCCAGGTATTTGGCTATCGTGTGCTCAAATGTGTTCACATGCTCCCAGAACAATCAAGGTCAAAAAACCTTTTTCAAAATTTGGTTTACGACTCCCAAAAAAATGAAATGTGGAAAGAAATATAAAAGTGAATTGTTGAAAAAACACACCGAATAACTGTCGCTATCAATATAAATTAATTATTTAAAACACAATGCTTTAAAAATCTTGAAAATACAATTTAATAGACCCCTTTTTTCCAACCTACTTAACATTTGGAGGAAATTGAAAGAAAAGAATTTGCAATTTGTGTTTTCGACCTACCGACCAAGATTTTGGGGCCAGAAATCCGCAAGCCAAAATTAAACTGGCCTAAAAGTGAAAATAATGTTCATTTCTCTTCACAGAGACCGCCTGCGTGGGGAAGTGGATAGAGTGTCTGCCCGGAGAGGGGAAGGTCGGTGGTTCGATCCCCTGAACGCGCCATATCAAAAGAGGTTAAAAGAAGGCACTTGTTGTTGCCCTGCCTGTCGCAGGGGGAAAACAAGGACTTGTCGGCGTGGAGTCATCATTCTGTGTCTGAGTGGGGTATCCATGTTAAACTGTAGCACGGTGTCTAGGTGGACACACACACACACACACACACACACACACACACACTGCTATAGGTGCAATAATCTCACCTCATCTCAGAAAATTTAGAAAGACATATAGATGGCATGGCCCTTCAGTGTGCACATTTATAAGATGATTAATAACATGAGCATGTATCCCATCCAACTCTTACACCTGGCGCGTAATCCTGCACTAAGCAATAGCTCGTGTGTGTGCGTGCGTGCGTGCGTGCGTGCGTGCGTGCGTGCGTGAGAGCGTGTCATGAGCAACGTCCCACGCTATAGGGCTCAGATAAGACGCCTCCAACCAACCCATCGGGACTGGGGACCAGCTTTGTCACTCCCCACGAGATCAACCTGGAGCTTGACACGGCACAATTTGTAACCATTTGTACACATGGTGACATGTAAACTAGGGAACAGCCTTGCAAGTTGTGGAAGTATGTTCCGTCTATCCTGACCTGCACCAAGGGCAGATCCAGCATTTTAAAAAGGGAGGGGGCCAAATATCCAAATCCTCTCTCAGTGGGACCCTGGACACCCCCTCTGGATCCGCCTATGTTCACAGCCCTAATTTTCGAGACAGGGGGCGGGGGCACGGGTGGCCCAGTCGTCTAAGGCGCCGCGATTCGCTGTGCAGAGTTGCGTCCCTTGGGCATGCCAGGAACCTCTGATTATGGGTTCGAATCCCGGTTCGTCCCGATTATGTTTCTAGGTTTTTCAGCACCATACCCGTGCTCGTTGGTTTCACCGAAGTGGTAAACGCCTGAGACCTGCATCACTTCGGGCTTTCCTCCCACATTAAGCTGACACGCCGTGATATAACTGGAATACTGTTAAAAGCGGCCTTAAACCAAACTCACTCACTCACTCGAGACAGGGGGCCCAGTCGCCGCATTCAATGACAGGGTTGTGCTCCTTAGTCGTGGTCGTGGGTTCGAATCCTTGACAATACAGACCTCCAAGTAAATACATTCGTTATAGTCAAGGTCTATTACAAAATTGTTAACCTCGAAATCGACCAGAATGCATGAAAAACGCACACGGTAAACCGGCCATACATGAAGCTTTTTTTTCACCCTATCGCTAAAAGTTTTTCCGTTATATTCAGAGAATAACATCTGAGCTGCTAGGAATAAGGAATTTTCTGTCCCGAGTGAATTCATTTCGCAAGTCCATCTCAGCGAGGGGGTTTCAACATTACTTCGCGAGGGACAGATAATCCGTTATTCCGAATGGCGAGTGGATTATTCTTCATTATAGGCTTCAGTGGGAAATAATGAGGTTTCTGAAGTTGAGAAAAGTGATATTTTCATTGCAGTGAACACTTGACATTTCACAGCAGTGATCATAACAATTGATATTTCACTTGAATGAACATAACTCTTTGACAGGAGACCCGTGAAGATCAGGGGTAAAATAGGTCTTCAACAACCCATGCTTGCCGTAAAAGGTGACTAGGCTTGTCGTAAAAGGCGACTAACGGGATCGGGTGGTCAGGCTCGCTGACTTGGTTGATGCATGTCATCCTATCCCAATTGCGTGGATCGATGCTCATGATATTAATCACTGGATTGTCTGGTCCATACTCGATTATTTACAGACCGCCGTCATATAGCTGGAATATTGCAGAGTGCGGCGTTAAACAACAAACAAAACAAACTTTGACAGGACTATTATCTTACAAGAATTACCTCTCCTGAAACTATTTCCCCTTAATCGGGTAGGCATCAACAAAAAGTATATAATATATAGGATATTCCAATTGTCTCGTGAAATATCGTGTTTCTCTTATCTCGTGACGGGGACAACGAGATATTTTCAGAACTTGCGAGAAGGCGCTGACATGACCCAACGTTGAAAACAATGTAATAACTGACGTGAACTGGGCAACCATCATGCAACAAAAATAAGAAGGCTCAGTCTGAATTAATTGCGCTGATATCATTGCCCTTATGGGTAGAGTGAGTGAGTGAGTGAGTTGGGTTTAACGGCGCTTTTAACAGTATTCAAGTTATATCACGGCGTGTCAGCTTAATGTGGACACGGGTGTGGTGCTGACAAACCTAGAAACATAATCGGGGCGAACCCCTTATGGGTAAAAGAAATTAATACACGTACTCTGTAACGTGTGGAACTTGTTTTATTTCTTTAAACATCTACAACGTGTGCGCTTGGTGAGTGGGATACCGTCCTCATTGTTGACATTATTGATATTTATTTCCAGTTCAGGTTAGCCATGAAAATAAACTACAGCAAAACCTCGTTAATCCGGACCCCCTTTATCCAGAACCCTCGCCTTCTGGACGATCACGATTCGTTAATCAAGTCAGTTAAACGGGAAATTTTGTGACCCGGATTGTCATGGTTTTTTACGGGAAATGTTTTTTTCTTGGCAGTCAAGGTGATTCGATCTTCCCATTCTCTGTAAATCCTTCGTTATGAACTCCAGAGTTCGCATCACAATTTTCCACTTTTGGCTTGCCGTCCATGTCCAGAACGTCGATGTCAACTTTAACGTTTTCCCGTGCCCAGGGTTGAACTTCGAACTCGGAGAAAAAGGTAAATATGATGGCTCCGACAAGACCGAATCCCGCACAGATGTAGAACACCGTACGCCACTCTCCCTGTGTGTTCTGCAACCCAAAAATAAGTGTGTGAATGCGTGAGTGAGCGAGTGGAAATCGAGCCCGGGTTTTCATAAACGAACCACAAGCTTGACGAAATTACTCTACCCCAGTGAGGTTTATTCCACACGTGTCACTTTAATGGTGTATTCGTAAGCAAGAAACGGACTTGAAGTCCATGATTATTGCACTTATAAAGTGGCTGCTTGTACTAGTCCGGGGGGCGGTCGGGTGGCCTAATGGTTAAAGGGTTCGCTCGTCACGCCGAAGACCCGGTTCGATTCCCGACATGGGTACAATGTGTGAGGCCCATTTCTGGTGTCCCCCGCCGTGATATTGCTGGAATATTGCTAAAAGCGGCGTAAAACCATACTCACTCACTCACACACTCACTAGTCCGGGCTGATGCCGATTTTAGGGTGCTACCCCACTGAGATACCATGCCGCAGTTTAACATGAATACCCCACTCAGACACAGTATAATGACTTCGAGCCGACCAGTCCTTGTTTTATCCCCTTAATGCCGAGCGCCTGCAGAGTAACAACAAGTACCATCTTTAAACGTCTTTTGGTATGACGCGGGCGGGGATCGAACCCCGGACCTACCGCTCTCCGGGCGGACGCTCTACCACTAGGCCACGGTGGCGGTCGCATCTCTAAAGATAAACATGTACAGTTACTACTTACATTGGGCGTGAGCGCCCCAACAGCCAGTGGTGCCGTCATCCCGGGAACAGTGGCAAACAGGTTGGATATTCCGAACAGAATTCCAGCGTATCTGGCAAGGATACAACATTTCAAAATGTCATTAATATGTACGAGAACATTGAGATGATTTTGGAGGACAACTGATATCTATCTTGTCATATGTCTCATCAAACAACAGGAGTAACGGTAGAGCTGTCGATAGAGCCGTCCAAAATGCGGATTGTTGGGTCACAATGGCCGCTTAATATGCACTGGGGAAAACCTGTCACCGGGGGGTTTGTGGAAGGTTTGTATGAACCAGACTCGAAAATACCTCGGAAAGTCATTGGCAGTTATAGATTTATTATACTGAAAGGTCACACTCTCAATACATATGTCTTGTCAATTAATAAATATTAAGTGGTTTATATTTGTATACGCAATATTTGTTCGCCAACTGTTTTTAATGAAACCCCGAATGTATAAATGTATTCATGATTCCGTCTGGTTAAACGGGTTTCACGTATTAAGATATGCTGGTACATTGTATGCTCATCAATGTTTGTTTGTTTGTTGTTGTTTAACGCCGCACTCAGCAATATTCTTGCAATATGACGGCGGTCTGTAAATAATCGAGTCTGGACCAGACAATCCAGTGATTTACATCATGATCATCGATCCACGCAATTGGAATCGATGACACGCATCAACCAAGTCAGCAAGCCTGACTACCCGATCCTGTAGGTCGCCTTTTACGACACCACGCAAATGGGATACGATGACATGCATCAACCAAGTCAACAAAGACCACCCGATCCCGTTAGTCACTTCTTACGACACGCATTGTCGCCATTTACGGCAAACATGGGTTGCTAAAGACCGTTCATCTATGTAGTGCTCAAGGAACATCTAGACATACCTGGGAGCGAAGTCGACGACGTTGACCACGAAGCCAGAGTTGCAGAGCCCCATGAAGCCGACGGAGACACAGAGGAGGACAACGCCGACGTACCTGTTGCTGCAGGATACGAAGCCCGTCCCTAACAAACACGCACTGGCACCGAGAAAAGCTTAAAATAAGAAATTAATTGTGTCAGCGCATTTGAAGTGTGGTTGGTTTGTTGTTTAACGCCGCACTCAGCAATATCCCAGCTATATGACGGCGGTCTGTAAATAATCGAGTATGGACCAGACAATCCAGTGATTGACGTCATGAGCATCGATCCACGCAATTGGTATACGATGACATGCATCAACCAAGTCAGCGAGCCTGACCACCCGATCCCGTTAGTCGCCTCTTACGACAAGCATAATTTGCTGGTGACCGATGTTAACCCGGAATCCTCAAACCTTGCTGACTTGGTTGATGCATGTCATCGTATCCCAATTGCGTGGATCGATGCTCATGATGTCAACCACTGGATCACCTGGTCCAGACTCGTTTATTTACAGACTGCTGTCATATATCTTTAATATTGCCGTGTGCGGCGTCAAACAACACACAAACAAACAAACAAACTTCATGTGAACCACTTGCGCAAAAAAACCTTCATGCATTAACAGGATACTCTCTAGACAAGTCGAGTAATAATGTGTATACTGACCAAGAGCTTGAGCCCCTCTCCGGGTGACTTTGGTGCTCAGATAGTTTCTTCGGAGGAAGTCGGCTATCTGGCCACCTCCTAATGACGTCACAGACATGGCCATGAAGGGAGCAGACGACAGCAGGCCGTTCTGGAGAAGATGACAACTCATGGTCACATATTCCACGGTATGCCGAAAACAAGCGTGTCACTAAGATGTGACCTTGTTCAATGGATAAACTAACTGGTGAGGTATGGTGAAATGGGGTTTAACGTCGCGTCCAAGATTATTGCACTTATATAGCGACGTGCATGCACGTGTATGTGTGTGTGGCTGCTTGTACTAGTCCGGACTGATGCCGATTTATAGTGCTAGCACACTGAGATACCATGTCGCAGTTTATCATGAATACCCCAGTCAGACACAGTATACTGACTCCGAGCCGACCAGTCCTTGTTTTAGCCCCTTAATGCCGAGCGCCAGACAGGGTAACAACAAGTACCATCTTTTAACGTCTTTTGGTATGACGCGGCCGGGGATCGTATCCCGGACCTTCGGCTCTCCGAGCGGACGCTCTTCCACTCGACCACGGAGGCGGTCGGATATACCAACTGACCTCTGGGTGATGATATGACATTATTCAATGGGGTTACTTTCGCAGTGGACTTACTTTGTTTGTTTGTTGTTTAACGCCGCACTCAGCAATGGTTGACATCATAAACATCGATCCACGTAACTGGGACACGATGACATGCATCAACCAAGTCAGCGAGCCTGACCACCCAATCCCGTTAGTCGCCTCTCACGACAAGCATAATCGCCTTTTAAGGCAAGCATGGGTTGCTGAAGACCTATTCTAGCCCGGATCTTCACGGGTCGGTGGACTTACTAACACAATGAATGTACTTATTGTCACGAACGATTTACTTATATTTACAAAGGATTCACTGAATAACACATTGGATGTCGAGGGGAATGTCCGAGTAACTCTCCATTCCTTGAAAATAATGGAGCAGAGTCCTCTACTTTCACACTTTGACAAAATATTATCTTGTGTAAAATATTTGAAAAATATACAACAACTCTTTGTAGCGTGTATTGACACTGTGTGAGTCGCCCTTGTTTGATGCACGAGGAATACGTTCTCTGTCGCTGTTGCACGTGCACCTCGCTCCGTCACGAGCTGATATTTACAATACATGGTACACGGCACGTCATAATATCGTGGGGTCCTGAACTAGTATTTTATCAATCGATTGCACATCGTCAATACACGATGACGGGAATTATAGGAAATATACACGATGTTTTTTATTTTAAAATATTTGATTAAAAAATAAGCCCGATTCTATTGTACGGATCAGAAATTTGGGTCCTAGAACATTTGGATGTTATTGAGAAACTACATTTATATGCATGTCAAAAGTTTTTGGGTGTAAAATCTAGCACAGAAAACGCAAGAGTATATGGTGAGTGCGGACGGCTTCCCATGTATATCAATAGTTATTTAAAGGTTATTAAATACTGGGTCAAACTATTAAATATGCCATCTTCAAGATACCCTAGAAAATGTTATAATATGATGCTTCTCTACGACAGCCATGGGAAACAAAATTGGGCATTAAAAGTTAAAAACATGTTATACGAATGTGGATATGGTTATATTTGGTTACAGCAACATGTAGATATGCCACAGCATTTCTTCTCCTGTTTGACACACAGACCTAAAAAGATATGTACATTCAAAAATGGCATGGTCTTTGTCCAGTTCTAGAAAAGCAAATTACTACACTACATTTAAGACTACTATAATACGAGAGCCTTATCTATTAAGTGTAAATTTACATAAGTTTAGAACAGCTCTTTCTCGATTTAGTTGTGGCTCACATGATCTATTTATTGAAACAGGCAGATATGAAGGTATTGCAAGAGAACATAGACTTTGTAGGATTTGTAAAACTGATTGTATTGAAGATGAATATCACTTTTTATGTGTATGTCCAGTGTATAAAGATTTAAGAGCAAAATATCTAAGTACCTATTTCTACCGCAACCCAAACGGTAACAAATTTGGTAAATTAATGACTTGTGATTGTACAGAAACTATTAGAAATTTATCCATGTTTGTTTATCATGCTATGAAACTAAGAAAATGTATGAATTTGTAACACGCCCCAGACAATGTACTGTACGCGTTTTAACAATAGAATGACGTCATGGATGTGTTTCAATGGACTGGATTGGATATTTACAGCACACTACAACATACTGCACTATAAAACTACACCCACATGTGCAGAAGGCCAGATCCACGGACAGGTTATCCTAGAATGTTTAATGAATTAAGTACATGAAATAACTACACTGGTCTGATACAATAATGCTGTTAAACATGTCAGACATTGTTTATTTGTTTGTTTGTTGTTTAACGCCGCACTCAGCAATTTTCCAGCTGTATGACGGCGCTCTGAAAATAATCGAGTCTGGACCAGACAATCCAGTGATTTGACATCATGAGCATCTGTACTAGGGTAGCTTAGTGGTTTAAGCGTTCGCTCGTCACGCTGAAGACCCGGGTTCGATTCCCGACATGGGTACAATGTGTGAATCCCATTTCTGGTGTCCCCCGCCGTGATATTGCTAAAAGCGGCGTAAAACCATACTCACTCACTCATTTACCCCGGCTGTCTGATGCTTATGGGACTCTGTGAAACAGTATGATTTAATCACATATCATAAGCAAAAAAATGTACTGACTGCCCCGACCCTTAAACACCATAAACTGAGTACCGTTCAAATACAATCACTCACTCACCCAGTCACCAAATTAATTATTCTTACTGATTTAACATCGTAGAGGAGAACATCTTTCAGGAAGGATGGTACTTCCGCCATGATGGTGTACAACAACCAGTTGAAACAGACGTGAGACAGGACGCACACGTAGAGTGGCCGTGATGTTGCTATCTCCCGCCATGGAGTAGATGTCACCTGTAAGAAAGTCCAATGTAATTTATATACTGACCGCGAATACCATACACGTTGGTTAATATATGTAGAATGACTCAAATTCTTGAGATATTGGGTTCGTTCGATGCACAAACGAACATACTGGTATGTTGTGTGAACCGACTCTCATGAGCGCATCACATGTGACGTCATAGATCCATGACTCAAGATGTGTCTTATGTAGGATTAGCGTGTAAAGTCTTGTGCAGCATATCGTGATAGGTTGGTTGGTTTGTTTGTTGTTTAACGCCGCACTCAGCAATATTCCAGCTATATGACGGCGGTCTGTAAATTATCGAGTCTGGACCAGACAATCCAGTGATTAACATCATGAGCATCGATCCACGCAATGGGGATCATGCATCAACCAAGTCAGCGAGCCTGACCACCCGATCCCGTTAGTCGCCTTTTACGGCAAGCATGGGTTGCTGAAGACCTATTCTACCCCGGATCTTCACGGGTCATATCGTGATAGGAATAAAGACGCTCAGTGGTAATACTTGACTGATTGTTAGGTTTGTCATGAAGTGGTACACATTGGAAACATCTCTTCTTAACGACATTTTTCTCTATATGTTTCTATAGTTCGCGTTTCTTTTGGCGTCGAGTAAATATAAACAATTAAACTTTCGATCTCAAAATATGTTCTTCTTAAATGCGAATGACTGTCATCAGTTGACGATCTCTTTGAAGCAGCGAATGTTATTCGTAGTTTCTTTGTTTGGTTGTTGTCTAATTAAAGCAATTGTTTGAGAAGAGCCACCGTACCGGTTTTGTGCTGTCCCCAATGCTCTTAACGATGTAGTCGCGCTCTTCATCAGTGATGGAGGAGTGGGCTGACGGACTGTCAGCCACGAAGACGAACCACACAATCATCCATAATAGGTTAGCTGCCCCTGTGCAGGTGAACACGTTGAGTTAGTTCATGTTGTATTTGACTTGGGAGATTCAATATGTCTTTACGTTGAATATCTAGTCTGAACGCTTTGACTTAATCCACCGTACAAGAGCAGGAGGTTGGTGGTTCGATCCCCGGCTGCGTCAAATAAAAAAAGACGTCAAACTATGGTACTTGTTGTTACCCTGCCTGCACACGACATGAAGGAGATACAACATGGACCGGCCGGTTCGGTCGGAGTCAGAATACAGTGTCTGAGGGGGGTGCTGCATGCTATCTCAGTGGACAAGCACTATCAAACTGGCATTAGTTCGAACTGGAAAAAACATACGCATGCATACCAAAATACTTTAAAAGATGGTACTTGCTGTAACCCTGTCTGGCGCTCGGCATTAAGGGGCTAAAACTAGGACTGGTCGGCTCGGAGTCAGTATTCTGTGTCTGAGTGAGGTATTCATGTTAAACTGGTATGGTATCTTTGTGGGCGAGCACTATAAATCGGCATCAGTCCGGACTAGTACAAGCAGCCACACACACACACACACACACACGTACATGCACGTCGCTATATAAGTGCACTAATCTTGGACGCGACGTTAAACCCAATTTCACCTCACCTACATGTATTCTAACATACACAGTGACAATGATATCTAGCAAATATTGGTTATAAAATTGCTCGATTTAGATGACTATTGGTTATCACTGGCATATCACTGGGTGAGTGAGTGAGAGGGGTTTAACACCGATTCGAACAGTTTTCAGTTTTGTCACGGCGTGTTGTAATTAGTGACCCGGATGTGTGTCATCTCTCCCCAACTGATCGTTGCGATGTGGTTGGGCCGATGGATAGTGGTTGGTTCTTCACGCTGAACAAAGTTCGCTTCCCACATTGGTACACACAACCCATGGGAGGCCAGGTCTGGGTGCCACCCGTACAGACATTTGTGTAATGTTGCTGCAACAAACTCACTCACCTCTGAGCTGAAAGTTATTTTTTGGGTGGTTTTATAAGACATGTGTGTGAAGGCATGTGTGTGAAGGCATATGTGTCAAGGGATATATCTGAAGGCATGTGTGTCAAAGGATATATCTGAAGGCATGTATGTGAAGATGTGTGTCAAGGCATGTGTGTCAAGGCATGTGTGTAAAGGCATGTGTGTCAAGGCATATGTGTGTGTCAAGGGATATGTCTGAAGGCATGTATGTGAAGACATGTGTGTCAAGGGATATATCTGAAGGCATGTATGTGAAGGCAATTGTGTCAAGGGATATATCTAAAGGCATGTGTGTCAAGGGATATATGTGAAGGCATGTGTGTCAAGGGATATATCTAAAGGCATGTGTGTCAAGGGATATATCTGAAGGCATGTGTGTGAAGGCATGTGTGTCAAGGGATATATCTAAAGGCATGTGTGTCAAGGCATGTGTGTCAAGGGATATATCTAAAGGCATGTGTGTCAAGGCATGTGCGTCAAGGGATATATCTAAAGGCATGTGTGTCAAGGCATGTGTGAAGGGATATATCCAAAGGCATGTCTGTGTCAAAGTGTATGTCTAAAGACGTGTGTGTGAAGACGTGTGTCAAGGCATGTGTGTAAAGGCATGTGTGTCAAGGCATATGTGTGTGTCAAGGGATATGTCTGAAGGCATGTATGTGAAGACATGTGTGTCAAGGGATATATCTGAAGGCATGTGTGTCAAGGGATATATCTAAAGGCATGTGTGAAGGGATATATCTGAAGGCATGTGTGTGAAGGCACATGTGTCAAGGGATATATCTGAAGGCATTTGTGTCAAGGCATGTGTGTCAAGGGATATATCTAAAGGCATGTGTGTCAAGGCATGTGTGTCAAGGGATATATCTAAAGGCATGTGTGTCAAGGCATGTTTGTCAAGGGATATATCTAAAGGCATGTGTGTCAATGGATATATCTAAAGGCATGTGTGTCAAGGCATGTGCGTCAAGGGATATATCTAAAGGCATGTGTGTCAAGGGATATATCTAAAGGCATGTGTGTCAAGGGATATACCTAAAGGCATGTGTGTCAAGGCATGTGTGTCAAGGGATATATCTAAAGGCATGTGTGTCAATACATGTGTGTCAAGGGATATACCTGAAGGCATGTGTGTCAAGGGTTATATCTGAAGGCATGTGTGTCAAGGGATATATCTGAAGGTATGTGTGTCACGGGTTATATCTGAAGGCATGTGTCAAGGGATATACCTGAAGGCATGTGTGTCAAGGGTTATATCTGAAGGCATGTGTGTCAAGGGATATATCTGAAGGTATGTGTGTCAAGGGTTATATCTGAAGGCATGTGTGTCAAGGGATATATCTGAAGGCATGTGTCAAGGGATATATCTGAAGGCATGTGTGTCAAGGGTTATATCTGAAGGCATGTGTGTCAAGGGATATATCTGAAGGTATGTGTGTCAAGGGTTATATCTGAAGGCATGTGTGTCAAGGGATATATCTGAAGGCATGTGTGTCAAGGGATATATCTGAAGGCATGTGTGTCAAGGGATATATCTGAAGGCATGTGTGTCAAGGGATATATGTGAAGGCATGTGTGTCAAGGGATATATCTGAAGGCATGTGTGTCAAGGGATATATCTGAAGGCATGTGTGTCAAGGGATATATCTGAAGGCATGTGTGTCAAGGGATATATCTGAAGGCATGTGTGTCAAGGGATATATCTGAAGGCATGTGTGTCAAGGGATATATCTGAAGGCATGTGTGTCAAGGGATATATCTGAAGGCATGTGTGTCAAGGGATATATCTGAAGGCATGTGTGTCAAGGGATATATCTGAAGGCATGTGTGTCAAGGGATATATCTGAAGGCATGTGTGTCAAGGGATATATCTGAAGGCATGTGTGTCAAGGGATATATCTGAAGGCATGTGTGTCAAGGGATATATCTGAAGGCATGTGTGTCAAGGGATATATCTGAAGGCATGTGTGTCAAGGGTTATATCTGAAGGTATGTGTGTCAAGGGTTATATCTGAAGGCATGTGTCAAGGGATATACCTGAAGGCATGTGTGTCAAGGGTTATATCTGAAGGCATGTGTGTCAAGGGATATATCTGAAGGTATGTGTGTCAAGGGTTATATCTGAAGGCATGTGTGTCAAGGGATATATCTGAAGGCATGTGTCAAGGGATATACCTGAAGGCATGTGTGTCAAGGGTTATATCTGAAGGCATGTGTGTCAAGGGATATATCTGAAGGTATGTGTGTCAAGGGTTATATCTGAAGGCATGTGTGTCAAGGGATATATCTGAAGGCATGTGTGTCAAGGGATATATCTGAAGGCATGTGTGTCAAGGGATATATGTGAAGGCATGTGTGTCAAGGGATATATCTGAAGGCATGTGTGTCAAGGGATATATCTGAAGGCATGTGTGTCAAGGGATATATGTGAAGGCATGTGTGTCAAGGGATATATGTGAAGGTATGTGTGTGAAGGTATGTGTGTCAAGGGATATATCTGAAGGCATGTGTGTCAAGGGATATATGTGAAGGCATGTGTGTCAAGGGATATATATGAAGGCATGTGTGTCAAGGGATATATCTGAAGGCATGTGTGTCAAGGGATATATCTGAAGGCATGTGTGTCAAGGGATATATCTGAAGGCATGTGTGTCAAGGGATATATCTGAAGGCATGTGTGTCAAGGGATATATGTGAAGGCTTGTGTGTCAAGGGATATATCTGAAGGCATGTGTGTCAAGGGATATATCTGAAGGCATGTGTGTCAAGGGATATATGTGAAGGCTTGTGTGTCAAGGGATATATCTGAAGGCATGTGTGTCAAGGGATATATCTGAAGGCATGTGTGTCAAGGGATATATGTGAAGGCATGTGTGTCAAGGGATATATCTGAAGGCATGTGTGTCAAGGGATATATGTGAAGGCATGTGTGTCAAGGGATATATGTGAAGGTATGTGTGTCAAGGCATGTCTGTCAAGGGATATATCTGAAGGCATGTGTGTCAAGGGATATATGTGAAGGCATGTGTGTCAAGGGTTATATCTGAAGGCATGTGTGTCAAGGGATATATGTGAAGGCATGTGTGTCAAGGGATATATCTGAAGGCATGTGTGTCAAGGGATATATCTGAAGGCATGTGTGTCAAGGGATATATCTGAAGGCATGTGTGTCAAGGGATATATCTGAAGGCATGTGTGTCAAGGGATATATCTGAAGGCATGTGTGTCAAGGGATATATGTGAAGGCTTGTGTGTCAAGGGATATATCTGAAGGCATGTGTGTCAAGGGATATATCTGAAGGCATGTGTGTCAAGGGATATATGTGAAGGCATGTGTGTCAAGGGATATATCTGAAGGCATGTGTGTCAAGGGATATATGTGAAGGCATGTGTGTCAAGGGATATATGTGAAGGCATGTGTGTCAAGGGATATATCTTGAGGCATGTGTGTCAAGGGATATATGTGAAGGCATGTGTGTCAAGGGATATATGTGAAGGTATGTGTGTGAAGGCATGTGTGTCAAGGGATATATCTGAAGGCATGTGTGTCAAGGGATATATGTGAAGGCATGTGTGTCAAGGGATATATCTGAAGGCATGTGTGTCAAGGGATATATGTGAAGGCATGTGTGTCAAGGGATATATCTGAAGGCATGTGTGTCAAGGGATATATGTGAAGGTTTGTGTTTGAGGGCATCTGTGTGAAGCTACGTTACTTTCCTCACACAAGGTGCCTTTGATATTGACTTAATATTGACAAGCGCGACTACAACTTTATGGAAAAAGATATACATTTTTATCATATAATGGGTAGGTTTCTCGACAGGATAAAGCCAACGGATAAAAACGATATCCGTTGGGGTCATATGCGGATAGAGATGCAAATATCAAAGGTCAAGTAGGACTACTTTCACTGTTTATAAACAAACATGGCGTCGCCCTCGTCATTCGGCGATCGAGTCAAAATTAACCATTGGGAATCTGGATAAACTACTGGGATAATTGCTATCATTATCAAAAGAACAGTCTAATATACTGAGAATCAGTGTCTAACTGTGACGCAGCTAAGGCATTTTATAAGTTTTGGCAATTTTGGAGATAAAAATTTTGAAACAATTTTGCGAGGGCACGAGGCCTAGCCAAGCGGGATCAGTAGCCATATATGTGCTTGTAGACCTCTGCGGCTTAAAACCTTCTCCACATATTAAAATAGTTGGATTGGGCCGAAATATGTTTGAATTTGTACCTTGTTTCGTTTTGTCGCTGTGTGTACATCTGACTACACTTCTTAACGTAATGACAGGACAGACCGACTGTCAACAACGTCTGACCGTGGCCGTGACGTCTCATAGACTAGGGTTAGAGTAGCCGAGTAGCTTCCCTTTGACAAAGGGCAGTTACTCTAGCGGACAGACCGATGGATTGCCGCGAAAGGCAATTTAAAAACAACTGTTGTTTTGCGTATATTTTGCTTCGCCACTGTATAAGAAACAGATTTCAGTTAGAACTATATTGGCTACTGTCACTGTCCGACTGACACATCACTTACCCTGTGACGGAATAAATATTAATGCGCGCAATCCAGGAAAACTCGCAATGTTTCGGTAATGTTTGTGAGAGAGAGAGAAAGCGATTTTGAAGCACAGAATTAAAAGAATGACATTATATGATAAAGAGGTTATCACGCTTGTGTGTTTGGGGATGGTAAATATCCTGTATTAGGAATAAACACGATGTATTTAGCTCGCCAAGGCTCGCTAAATACAATGTTTATTCCTAATGCAGGATATTTACCATCCCCAAACACACTCGCGTGATAACCTCTATGTATCACAAGTTAACAAGTGCTAGATGAATGTAAAAAGATCCTCGAAGATATTTTCGTTCTGAACACTTGTCGCCCCAGTTTTGTTGAAGTGAGTAGGTTGTTGTGTTGTGTTTAACCTTAGTACATGTATATCGATTGCATAAAAGAAAACATGTTCAGTATGGTGTGTGTGTGTGTGCGTGCGTGCGTGCGTGCGTGCGTGCGTGCGTGTGCATGTGCGTGCGTGCTCCCCCACCCTATTTTCCCGTTGTTGTGTTTCTGATCTATTGTCTTGAATCTCAGTGGAACAGGTGTACAGGACATACGAGTTGAAAATATAATCACTTGAGAAACCTTGCATCTACTGCTTTGCTTGGGACATTTTACTGAAGTCACTGTCAGACTCAGGGTGTTCGGTCTATAACTGTTCTATTTGATAGTAAAGTGATTTACTCACCTACCACGTAAAATATAGATCCCCAACCATTGTCAAATCCTTCAGCGCACAAATAGCCAGATATTATAAAGGTCAAAATGTTTCCGACGAAAGCTCCTGAAAATACAATTTCGAAAATATCATGACAGATGAATGAATGAATGAATGAATGAATGATCGTTTTCAGTTAACGAAATTCTCATTTTTGATATTTACAGCGGTGTAAAAATATGAATGGATCACTGAAAATAAGTGATAACACCAGGTGTTCGCGAAAAGACTTTAACTTTTACTTTCAGTGACTGTTTGGATAGTATTGTGATGGCCAAAATGTTTCCGATGAAAGACCCTGAAAATACAATTTCAAAAATATGACAGATGAATGAATGAATGAATGAATAATCATTTTCAGTTAACGAAATCCTATTTTTTGTATTTACAGTGGTGTAAATATATGAATGGATCACTGAAAATCAGAGATGACACCATGTGTTCGCGAAAAGTCTTTAACCTTTTGCTTTTAGTGACTTTTTGGTTTATGTTATGATGGTGAAGATGTTTCCGACGGAAGATCCTGAAAATACAATTTCGAAAATAGGATGAATGAATGAATGAATGAATGAATGAATGAATGAATGAATGAATGAATATTTGTTCAGTTAACGAAATCCACATTTTTGTTATTCACAGCGGAATGAATGAATGAATGAATGAATGAATGAATGAATGAATGAATGAATGAATGACTATTTTTTCATTAAACGAAATCCACATTTTTTTCTTTAATAGCGGCGAAAAAATATGAATGGATGACTGAAATTCATTGATGACACCAGGTGTTCGCCAAAAAAGCTTTAACTATTGCTTTTAGTGACTATTTGTGCAGTAAATCCACAATATACGCGAAATAAGCGAGGTAGTTTGGTTTAACCCACTTTGAACTTACAGTATTTCAGTTACATCAGGGTGAAACCCACGAGAGCAAGGTGCTACCTGACCAAGGACCATGCTGAGCCGGGATTCGAACCCACGATTATTGGATCATGTCATGGAACCTGTGCCCCGTATGATCCTAATGAAAACATCGTACATTGGAAAGAGGCGACTTTATATCATTTTCTTGACAATCAAACCACATTTACCCGAGAACGTCAGGGAGAGGAGTTTACTTCTCTCCATAGGTGGGGCCCATTTCCCCCACATTGACTGCATCGCTGGATAAGACACGCCCTGAAATGGTAATTCCTGATCTGCATGAATGGCTATTGAAAATAGTCCACAGGAAAACATCGTTAAACTGGACGGGGCCAATGGCGGAAGAAATCGTCTTTATAAACGAATTCCGGATTATCGATATACAATTATTATAATTGTGTTTGTATACTTTCCTTGAAAACGTTCCAAATATCAATCTCCCGGGAAGCTTGACACACCAACGGGGTCAAGCAGTAATTTGGATCCAAACCAACGGGGTCAAGTTTAACTCGGTTCAGTCTAACGGGATCTAGGCTGACGGTGTCCAGATTAACGGACGCCAAAGTAAAGGAACCTGACTACTTTATAACAGGTTCCAGATTAACAGTGTCCAGTCTGATGAGGTCCAATCTATCGTGACCCAGAATAACGGGGTAAATGGCCTCTAAAGGGGTCGAGATTTATGAGTCCAGTATAACGGGATCTAGAGTAGCGGGGTCAGATGTACGGGGACAGTATAACGGGGTCCAAAATTCTTTGTCAACTTTTCTCCATATCTTACCGTAAAGAATCCAATGAGAACCCTCAGTGCGTACACAATATAAATGCTCTCCCGTGCTCCAACTGGAGTCAACATGGTTGCTATGGCACCAATGGTCCAACCAATTCCAAGCACATATTTCCCCCCAAACCTTCCGGCAAGCCATCCAGCGGGGATTTGGGCGAAGATATAACCATAGTAAAAAGCGGACAAAATGCCGGATTGTTCTCCCTTGTTCCAATTGAACTCCGCCCTCTGGAAAATACAAGAATAGGATCACTCTTCAGTGAAATGTGGTCATAGGAAGGATTTGGTTGGTTGGTTTGTTGTTTAACGCCGCACTCAGCAATATTCCAGCGGGGATTTGGGCGAAGATATAACCATAATAAAAAGCGGACAAAATGCCGGATTGTTCTCCCTTGTTCCAATTGAACTCCGCCCTCTGGAAAATACAAGAATAGGATCACTCTTCAGTGAAATGTGGTCATAGGAAGGATTTGGTTGGTTGGTTTGTTGTTTAACGCCGCACTCAGCAATATTCCAGCTATATGACGGCGGTCTGTAAATAATCGAGTCTGGACCAGACAATCCAGTGATTGATATCATGAGCATCGATCCACGCAATTGGGATCGATGACATGCATCAACCAAGTCAGCGAGCCTGACCACTCGATCCCGTTAGTCTCCTTTTACGACTCGATTATTTACAGACCGCCGTCATATAACTGGAATATTGCTGAGTGCGGCGTAAAACAACAAAACAATTAAACAAAATACTAACAGGCCGTTGTGATCTGGCTAGACTATTGCTGCAAACTGTTTTAAACAACGTTCAATCAACGAATTTCGTTCTGAAACAGAAGGCTCGACGCTCACACAATATGAACCACAAACGACAGACATTTCACTTACGTCATAACCCCTTGAAGCATTAGCGTTGGGGACGCACATTGGGTCGGAGACGTTTGCAGAAGACGCTGTGTTGTTGTCAATGACCATGCAGACTATGGCGACACTGATGTCGGTCCTGACGGCGTAGACGAAGATGAACGAGATAGAGGAGATGTAGGCCAGCAGCCATCGTTTGGATAACAAGCAAGGTGCTGCAAGAAAATATGTATTGGAGAAAACACGCTCACGAGGTTTTGGTAGACAGAGCATGCCCTGGGGAGAGGGAAAAACCAAGGGGGCGAAGCCATGCTTATAAACCGAAAAAACAAACTTAAAACAACATTTATCAACATTTTTATGTTTCGAGCATACTTTCCATGAACCTTAGGAAACGCGCGTAAAATATCTGTTGCTGGCGTACGGATCTTGAAAAGGACATTCTAAAAACCAGTGAGGCTTATCAACACCTGGGCTGGGCTACAGATATGAAGGTTGCGAGTTCGATCCTCGGGAATATAAAGCAAACATTTGTTATTTGATTTTACATTTCATTACATGTTACAATCTGAACGGAAGATATATTAATAAAATACCCAGGACATTATATAAAATCCCTGGGATATTATATAAAATCCATTACCACGTCCCTGTTTATGAGATTTAACCCGACTGGAAAGTAAAACCTCACAATAGGTTTTAATGCCTATAGAAAGAAGTCTCTTACTTTATAGAGATCCCAATGAATAGGTTTATAAGTCGTCGGTAATGTTAGTTTCTAAACGTATGATTCTTGGAAATATACCTACACTTTTGAATCTTGAAGTAATCTAACTGTAGATTAGATAACGGTTATTTTATTTTGGAGCCGGGCGCTTTAGCGTTATCTCATAGCCAACCACCTTGAAGAAAGGCTAAAAAACACCATTTTGAGTTGAAGACGAGTCGGCAGTACACGGCATGAGAGCCACGAGATCGGTTGTTGTTGTTATTGCTGTTGTTGTTTAACGCCGCACTCTGCAATATTCCAGCTATATTATGACGGTCTGTCAATAATCGAGTCTGGATCAAACGATCCAGTGATTGACATCATGAGCATCGATCCACGCAATTGGGATTCGATGACATGCACCAACCACGTCAGCGAGCCTGACCACAAGATCCCGTTAGTCGCCCCTTACGACAAGCGTAACAACAAACACCCCAAACCAAACCTAAAGTCAAATGTGTTAGCGTGAGAGAGTGAATATGGTTTTACGCCACTTTTAGCAATATTCCAGCAATATCATGGCGGGGGACACCAGATATGGGCTTCACACATTGTACCCATGTCGGGAATCGAACCCGGGTCTCAGGCGTGAGTGAGTGGGTGAGTTTGGTTTTACGCCGCTTTTAGCAATATTCCAGCAATATCATGGCGGGGGACACCAGATATGGGCTTCACACATTGTACCCATGTCGGGAATCGAACCCGGGTCTCAGGCGTGAGTGAGTTGGTGAGTTTGGTTTTACGCCGCTTTTAGCAATATTCCAGCAATATCATGGCGGGGGACACCAGGTATGGGCTTCACACATTGTACCCATGTCGGGAATCGAACCCGGGTCTCCGGCGTGACGAGCGAACGCTTTAACCACTAGGCTACCCGACCGCCCCCCCCCCCCCCCCCCCCCCCCCCCATGAACTGAGACATTCCTTGCATATCCAGCTTTTCTTTTTCCCTTTTATCCACACTGGATTAGTGTGATGTAGTGTTCACGTTCCAAGCAGAAAACATATGTTTGACCTCTTTGCCTATATCCCCTGGAACATTATCTATGAAACTAAACAATCCATTCCAGAAGTATTCCCGTTGCCATGCAACACATGCGACTGGGTAAAAATCAGCAACGGGTGGCTGATAAAAACCAGCCGCTATCGAATCCTCCACACGTGAAATACGACAATTACACACGTGGCAGGAATAAGGGTTGTAGAGTAGTAGTAGTAGTAGTAGTAGTAGTAGTAGAGTGTGAGTGAGTGAGTTCGGTTTAACGCCGCTTTTTTAACACCATTCCAGCTATATCACGGCGTGTCAGCTTAATGTGGGAGGAAAGCCCGAAGTGATGCAGGTCTCAGACGTTTACTACTTCGATGAAACCCACGAGCTGGGGTGTGGTGCTGACAAACCTAGAAACACTCGAGTTGGTCCAAAATCAATGATATACTTGCCCCAGGGCCGACTCACACAGAGTTCTCACAGTTGAGCAAAGATCATTTTAGGTGCTATAGTGAGTGAGTGAGTATGGTTTTACGCCGCTTTTAGCAATATTCCAGCAATATCACGGCGGGGGACACCAGAAATGGGCTTCACACATTGTACCCATGTCGAGATTCGAACCCGGGTCTTCGGCGTGACGAGCGAACGCTTTAACCTCTAGGCTACCCGACCGCCCCTTTAGGTGCTATAAATGTTGGACATGGTTTAAGTCTGTCAGACCACTCGGACCCCGGGGTGTCTAATCGTTGAAATGGTTACTTAAATCACTCGGCGCTGCGCGGTTTAATTAACCATTTCAACGAGTAGACACTGGGTCCTCTTGGTCTAACCTTTACTTCAACGATATTTCAGTTATATCGCGACGCGTTAAATCCAAGTGATGGAGATGGCACTGAAACCAAGGGTCATGCACAGGGCGAAATTGTAAATCGAAATAACGTTCAGCGGATCCTGTAGTGGTTAAGGGACTCAACTGTGAGCATTGAGAATTGCAACGCCAAAAACCGACCATTTCAAATTGCGAAATTACTACTGTCGGGGGGCACGGGTGGCCCAGTCGTCTAAGGCGCCGCGATTCGCTGTACAGAGTTGCGTCCCTTGGACACGCCAGAAACCTATGATTGTGGGTTCGAATCCCGGTTCGCCTCGATTATGTTTCTAGGTTTGTCAGCACCATACCCGTGCTCGTGGGTTTCACCGAAGTGGTAAACGTCCGAGACCTGCATCACTTCGGGCTTTCCTCCCACATTAAGCTGACACGCCGTGATATAACTGGAATAATGTTAAAAGCGGCGTTAAACCCAACTCACTCACTCACACTCTACTACTACTACTACTACTACTACTACTACTACTACTCAGTCACTATTACTACTGTCAGCCACAAAACCCGTTCCATAATCATAAGACATAAATATCGAGACATGATACCAACTCTCTTAGCTGTTTGTTTTAGAGCTTTTAACAACTAAGTAAACAAATAACTAATAACAAATGAAATAAAAGAAAACTAATTCTCACCATTTTCTCTCAATTGGGACTCTTCAATTGTTTCCTCCATACCCGTCCGCGTATTGAAACAAGATAACACAAGTCATATGACTGACATCATGTCGGTCAAAGTAGTGAAGTGCCCTCCTCGCCGGGGCACGATTATCACCCAGAATGACACCTGCACGAGTTTCGTTCCCGCAATGGCTCGCACTTCGGTAGAGATAATTTTGAAATGTTAAAAAATTCGGCACGCATCAATATTCGTGCCATGTGCGTGTCACTTGCGTGAACCATGCGTGAACACTGCACGAACTTCTTCAGTTTTGGGGCAGCTGAGCACTTCGTCCTTGGAGACCTCAATGATGGCTTTGCACACCTCTGGTAAGAACTTGCAGATTGGACTTGCTTCAGCTCTGAAGCTGTACTGTAGACTTGGATAGGAATTTATTTTCAGTGGCTAGGAAGCGGAGGGTGGCAGCCAGCTTGAGTCCAACTTCAAGCGGTTCTCTCATGAATGTGGTCTGTTTCTTAAGGTGAGGAGGGGTAGACTTCTCCGCCATCTCTTGGAACAGGTCAGGTGTCATTTTCACATCATTCCTGTAGCCTCTGGGATGTTCCTTATTTAGTTCTGTCAATAGCTGATCATAATGTCCGAACTCATGTCTTCTCGCCAACCATTGCCTATCTCACACTGTCCTTGCTTTCCTTGTTCTAGTTAGGGTTGTCTCTTCTTCTTTCTCATGCTCTTCCTCTTGCTCTTGCTGCCTTTTCTCATGCTCTTCCTCTTGCTCTTGCTGCCTTTTCTCCTGCTCTTCAAGAAGTAATAGTCCTTCAGCTTCCAGATATAGACACCTTCTCTGTTCTGCAATAACAGTGTTTCTGGTATTCAGCATGTTCTATCCTCCACAGCGAGTCAATAAATGAAGCGTCTCTTCTATTTGGAGTTTATATACATAAGCCAAAAGCGGGATTTGAAGCGTGCCGCCAAGCGGGACAAAGCGTGACCAAAAATTGCCACGACGACTTCACGCATGCACGAAGTCGTTGGGGCAATGCGTGGCGATGCGGGAAAACAGCGGGAACTATGCTTGTCGTGTGTGACACTGCGGGACATTGCGCTACGGAAGAACAATGCGCGAACAATACTTAACCTAAGCGTAAACAAGTCGTGCCATTGCGGCCCATTTCTGGCCGTTCATTGCGTAGACATTGCGTAAGTTATGCGTGTACAGTGCGCGAACAGGGCGCAAACGCGGCTTCACGCTCCGCTGCGTACCACCGAAATGGCGCGGCATTGCAGGTACACAAATCTTGCAAGTGTCAGGGTGGCTTTATTTATTTATTGAAAGAACGTAAGTGTACGAATTACGTTAATTCAACTGCAGCGTAGAGTTGGGTAACACAAGAAAAGCAGCAAGCGGACAAAAACCGACTGTAAGTAAAAGCGCCAAAATCCTTTCCATATTCATCCGCGAAAAGCAGAGCCCATTGTACGATTCCGACTATATCATGATAGTGATGATACGAGAAAAGGATGAGCCCCACCGGTGGCACCCGTCACAAACACATGTAAAGGCAAGTCAAGTGTTCACCTGAAAAGCCTGTTTGAAAGCTTTGTTGAGGCCTTCAATTTCGTAACCTTGAGTCGTATGAAAATACATAATTATGTAGTTCAACTTTAACCATTTAATAAGTGCGATATAGATTTTGCTGACATTATAAACATAGCACAACACACATTTAAATAAAATCGCAAAGTCTACCCCAAAATTAAAGCTGCTGATGTTTTTATGTTTGCATTCATTCTTAAAACTATTTATAGACGTACGTCTGATATTCCAGCTACATTTAAAATAGAAGCTTCAAATGTAAACTTGAAGGGTTTCAGTTTCCAAAACTCATGTTATCAATCACTGGATTGTCTGGCCCAGACTCGATTATTTACAGACCGCCGTCATATAGCTGGAATATTGCTAAGTGCGGCGTTAAACAACAAACAAACAAACGATTTCCAAAAGGGCAGAAATAAATTTCGAACAATACTTGGATCCAACTGAATAAAAACAAAAAAATAAGCAATATTTTATACTCCTATGAAAAGTCCAACACAGACTCGATTGTTTATAGGCCGCCACGATCTTTTTTTTTAACAAAAAAAAATCAAAACATGCATGAGTGTTGAAATGTCGTAGGCCTGCTGTTTCCCGTGATAACAACTATCAACCTAACTTCTCAGGTACGTGAACCTGAATCAACATGAAAACCTGGTGCTTCACATATATTGCTTGTGATAAATTATAACGGCCTTTTGTTTTTTGCACTTTTCCTCATGCATCAAATAAACATTTCGTCGAACTATCGAGTGAACATACACTACTTCTCAAAACTAACATCCCCTCATTCCATCTGATCCTGATGTTTTCCTGGAGGAGATATTGGTTCATAACTGGCGTAGACTTGAGAGAGTAATACAAACATGCTACCTTCTTGACAATTGAAGAACATTCCCATTTGACATATTCACAGAATGTATAAATTGGAACCTTCACAAAATATAACTGGAATACTGTTAAAAGCGGCGTTAAACCAACTCACTCACTCACAAAATATATAATTATTTATTTGGGTAAAATCAAAGAATGTATGTATTAAAGCACCACGAAAAAACTTCAAAAACAACAAAATTTGAAACAAAAACCTTAAAGGAAAGTAAAGTCTGTGTCGGAATAATGATCTAAATGACGTACATATTCAAAAGACCCGTGAAGATTCCGGGGTAGAATGGGTCTTCAGCTGCAGCAACCCATGCTTGCCGTAAAAGGCGACTATGCTTGTCGTAAAAGGCGACTAACGGGATCGGGTGGTCCGGCTCGCTGACATGGTTGCATCTTCCCGAGGCAAGGGAGTTAACTGACTAAAAAAGTCCAGTTTCCACCCTTGCCGAACTACGCTGGAATTCCTGGGCTCGATCGTAGCGCCACCAGTGGCTATTACGAGTTATGTCCTTTCTATGCCGCTTGCATTTGCTTCAAACAAAACGGTGGCGCCAAGTCAAGACGATCTGATCCATAATCAAGATCTATATTGTGATAAAACGAGTCTTACATCGCGAAGTGCATCAAATCACGTGAGCACCTTGATTAAAAACATGAAAAGATATAGAAAATATTTTGTTGACAACGAGTTAGCGGTGCACATGCTTTGCAAATGCTGCAGTCGACTGAAATCTGCATGACACTTTACGAACCGGATTTCGATTTCGGTGCGCGATTTTGATTGGACTATGCATAGACTCGTTAGTCCAGCCAAAATGTAACTCCATAATACCAGCCTAGTTCGGCAATGGTGGAAACTTGACTTTTAAAGTCAGTTAACTCTCTTGCCTCGGGAAGATGACTTGGTTGATGCATGTCATCGATCCAAATTGCCCGGATCGATGCTCTTGATGTCAATCACTGGATTCTCTGGTCCAGACTCGATTATTTACAGACCGCCGTCATATAGCTGGAATATTGCTGAGTGCGCCGTTAAACAACAAACAAACAAACAAAAAACAATGGGGGATGGTAATGTTCCATTCCATATTGCCGATTCCAGTCTGCTGTGGTCGTGTAGAGTGAGAGTCTGCCCGGAGAGCGAGAGGTCGGTGGTTCGATCTCCTGGCCGCATCATACCAAAAGACGAAAAGAGGTGGTACCTCCCTGACGATCCAGTTAAGTCTAAAAAGCAAGGACTGGTCGACTCAGGGTCAGTTTACTATGTATGAGTGGGGTATTCATGTTGAACTGCAGCATGGTTTATATAATTAAAACCAGCATTAGCCCGGACTTGTACATGCACACACGTACGCACGCACACTCGAACACACAGACACGCAACCCAAACAAACAAACAAAACAACACACACTTGCATTCACTGTATAAGTGCAATCAGCTTAACGAGACGTTAAACCCAATTTCACATCACCTGTTGTGATTTGTGTCGAGTCATTCATAAATGTTGAAATTAAATTTGAGATAAATATTGAAAGAAGTGTTTGAACACCTGAATCAAACGACTGGCAGCTGAAGAGAGCTAAACGCCACTTCAAACAGGGAACGTTTAATTATATTCACGAACACTTACAAAAGTATATGGTTGTTTTAACTATTTTAGTTTAGTAAGGGTATCCCAGCTGGAAAATGTACGACAGACTTGGCCCACCAGAAAACATATCCTCAAACGCTTGTTCTGTATTATTTAGGGGCAGTTTTTCGGGGGCAATTGTCCGTGGGGCAGTTTTCCGGTGGGTGAGTGAGTGAGTTGGCTTTAACGCCGCTTTTAACAATATTCCAGTTATATCGCGGCGTGTCAGCTTAATGTGGGAGGAAAGCCCGAAGTGATGCAGGTTTTAGACGTTTACCACTTCGGTGAAACCCACGAGCACGGGTATGGTGCTGACAAACCTAGAAACATAATCGGGCGAACCGGGATTCGAACCCACAATCATAGGTTTCTGGCATGCCCAAGGGACGCAACTCTGCACAGTGAATAGAGGCGCCTTAGACGACTGGGCCACCCGTGCCCCGTTTTCCGGTGGGCATTAGTCCTTGCACTAATAGAACAAAAAATATAAAAAATCTCAAGGCCAGGAAATAGTCCGTCAAAATGTTGATATTTGTTTTTTTATGAATAGATCACTGAAAGACAGTGTTGACACAAGGTGATCGTGAAAAGGTAAGTATGTCCTGTTCTGGCGGTAGCACCCACCTTTAACACAATTTGTATAAAAAAAAGTAAGACTAGTATTTGTTGGCCAAAGCCGCACTCCCAGCAATAATCCCGCCTGTAAATAATCGAGTCAAGGCAAGACAATCCAGCCAGCGTTTACCAATTTTGTTGGAACTATAAACCTTTAATTACTTCTGCTGCGTACAAAATGCGGAGATTCAAATAGGCCAGACATGACTGGGTATCTAATATCATGTCAGTCTGATGTAAACAGTCTGTTAGATATGGGCCACTGATAAACATCTGCATGTAATATATATATATATATATCATAAAAAACACGATTCTTATCTACTTTGTCCTTGACATGTTGTTTACCCAGTGTGTGAACGTACGTATGTATAAGAGGGGTTATTAATCTATGTTGGGTGCAAAACATACTTGAAGGTTAGTTTGTTTGTTGTTTAACGCCGCACTCAACAATATTCCAGCTA